GGTTGTTGCGGCAGCAGGCTCACATTTGCAGGAGGAGGACGGGAGTAAAACAGTGGGTCATTTAAGTGGAACAACGCGATTATTTGCGGTGTAAACTAAATAATCTATAATTGATGACATTGGCTTGCTGCGATCCTGTAGTTTGTACGCGCTGCAGGATGATCGTCGATGCGGCATAAAAACGTAATCGACGGCAGAAACAACAACAAACTTTGCGAGGATGGAAATTACGTGTGGATTGTTTCCATGCAAAACACGCGCTCAGGGTATTTTTCATAGGAGCCGTCCCAAATACTTGTACGTGCGCATTCGAAATATGCCGCGTTTTACTAGCACCGGCTGAAATAGTATTTACATCTTTAAATTAACACTTTTTTTTTAATCAACTAATTATTTGTACTTCAACTATATTGAAGAATAAGTTATGTAATATGAAGAACAGTTAGATTATCTATTTCAAATGATTAATAATTGTTTTTTTTGGTTATAGAAAGCTAATTAATTTATTTGAAATATTGAATCTGTAAATCATCAAATTATGAAAATATTTGAAAATTTCATATTTTTTACTATCAGAATTTTCAATGTTCACGACAAGGTAATAATGATAGTCTGTATGTGGATCAACGTGAATGGGTATTACGTAATGCCAGTAGATAAATGAAACGCGTCGGCTAATGCTGATTAAACGCGCACGTCCAATTGTTCCGGATGCGAATTAATCTAATAACGATCGCGAGTTGGAAATTCTGAAAGGGATGGAAAGAGAGAGATGGGAGAGAGAGAGAAAGAGGAAAAAATCACGAGCCCGGAGATGCGGGTTCAAAGGGAAAACGCGGAGGCCGCGACATTAATAAAGTGGATCCCATCAATTAGCCGATAATTAGATTTTGCACGAATCCCAGTTGGATGTGCATGTGAGAGAGTGTATAAGTGTTTCAGGGAAACGATGAGATTGCATTACACCTGTCACACGCTCACACCAACTGATGTAATAGAAAAGTATGAATATTGTAAATCTCTATTGAAAATTGTTTGAGCGGAAAGAAATAGAATGAAGACACTATTGTTTTTGCTGTATCAAATGGGATGATGGATGTTTCGTTTCTTGCACGCCACTGGCTTGTCAAAAATAATTGATGTGCGTCCATTTGAAACATAACCAACTGAAACAGAAATTTTACTTATACCAACTGAAATCTGTACCAATCGTACTTTTTCTTATGAAGCATGATACAAAAATGTTGATATTTGAATTAAAAAAAAATTCTTATTTATTTTATAAATAAAATTCCGCCATCTGTTGTTTTGTTAAGTACATGACATTTAGAACTGAATATAACTGACAATGTGTTCGACTTTAGAGAAATGATAGATGTTTTATGTATTGAACCATTGCCAAAAATGAAAAGCGTTTGCTCATCGAGCTTATGGTATTTAATTTAAAATATGAATATTACAATAATTATTGAAAGTGATTAATTGTACTTCAAAATGTAATTATCATTTGATATTTTAATGAGAATCGCATCTGCTGTTCTTTTTAAATATATTAAATGAAAATTTTAAAGGCACAAAGATATTTATAGCTATTGAAATTAATTTGAGTGGAAACTGTATGTTACGTTCAATGCACGCCACTGGGCTATCATACATAATTGATGCACTCCCTTTGACCCATTGCCAACTAGACAACAAAAATAAGTTTAAGCTCATTTCGGCATGATTAAGATATGCGAATGTTGGCGGAGACGGATGAGAACTGAACTGATGGTAATGTAAGGAAGAATGAAAAAGATATAGGAGGAGGAAACATGCACGAATGCTGAGGAAGCAGAGAAAGTGTGGGTTACGTGGAAAGCCCTGAGGAAATTCCTTAATGCAAAGTATATATATACATGTATGCGAGAGCTCGGGCATCCTAATGAATATATGAATTTTCTCCGGTATTTTCCGCATCTCCATGTTCTCTTCGCTTTTCTTCTCTCCGTGCCCCATGGATTCTTCCTCCACTTCTCTCCCGAGGAAATCTCCCGATTACAAAAAAAAAGTCAGTGGAAGGGTTGCGATAAATATGCGTGGCGTACAGCCCGAAGCCCCAAGCGATGCATACAAAAAATATATATTAATATACATAACGCGGACAAAAAACGGAAACGAGCGGAAAAAATTAAAGCCCCGGGGGAAGCGTGTCTCCGCTTTATTATTCATGAATCGTTTACAATCCAGTTACACATGACAAAAACGATCTTTTCCGAAGGGAAGGTCACGCAATTTCAGTGTATGAGATTTCAATCTCTTTTTTTGGCTGTTTTATTATTTTTCTTATGGATGAAGAAATTCTTAAATTGCTACCATCATTTGCTCTCTTTCTCGGCGTTGTTGTTGTATTTTTTTGTTTCGAGTGCTAAATCGAGTTTCAATGTTGGATTGCGCGCAGGGGATTCCCCCGGCCGCTTTGATGCATCGGTACGATCCATCAATTTGGCGTAGAATGAACAAAGAACGCAGAACAAAAAAGCGCCCACTCGAAGAATAATACGACCCCAAAAAAAAAACAAAACAAGAACGAGGAAACAATGAAGTAGCGAAATGAAACGGCGGGGGAGGCGACCGAAAAAAATGTAGAATAAACGAGCTGCGGCACCATCGAACTGGACAAACATTTGAAACTGTAACGCTTTGTTCAGGGATTCCCCAGCACGGTCATGCGAAACTACGATTTGTTCAGCAATTGAGAGAAAAATTGCCTTTAAAGTGCGATGAAGTGGAAAACAACATTTGATTTGTGATTCTGTCACTATTTGTACTCTGACATCAATGTATTGAAGCTAAAAGCCTCGAACTCACGTTGAATTCGAAAACTGCATTTAATTATGTATGCGAGTACTAGATTTGATGAAATTCTAAAGTGCACTCAAAGTAAGTTCAAACTTTTAAAAGCAACATTCAATGTTTAGTCTGGTTTTTGTTGATTGGAGAAGCCAAAGCTAATAAGTACGAACCAACTGCACATATAGACCCAATTAATTAATCTTCAGCAACGTTCGAAAATAATTCAAATTTACTTTAAATTTGATTGTTAAACATAAATTCGTTGTAAAAAGGATTTCGAATACGTAATCTTCTTGATGGCAACTAGAGACTACTTCCCTTTTTAGCTAATTAAATTCTGTTATTTTGTTTCGCAAAGGTTTCTCTGTTCGTTCTGTGTTAAATTTGCATCCTTTCACGTAACAAATTCGACTTGCGGATGATGGAATCAAGTCGCGGAAGTTCGCGTGGATCGAGGCGGAAAATCTTTCTCGAATGTATCGGCCTTATTTTCTCTCTCTTTCTCTCTCATCCATTCTTCCCTTTTATTCTCTGCGCAATGGAAACTTTTAAAACGTCTCATCTTGTGTTTCCGCAACTTGTTACGTTTTCACCGAACGCAACGCCGGGTGAAATTCGTGCCTCTTCCAGTCGACGTTGCCTTTCGCACGCATCGACCCTTTTAAACATTCTCCCTTCATGTGAAAATAACTGCACTATTTTCAAATAGAAAATTTCCATTGGATTTAGAATCATGTGCGGAATACAGACATCCTTTTTTCAGAAGATTTTTATTTCTTTTAAATTACCTAGTTTTTTATTCAGTTGTAATGTAAATTTATATAGTTTAGTTATTAACTAAATTAATCTAAATTTTAGATAGTATACATTTATTTTGAATAAAAACGAATTCAGATCTATTCTATTTAAATTGGTTAGAAATACTTCATTTTTATTGGAAAAGTGTATAGAATTTATTTGGTTTTGCAGTTTTTAGAAAAACTAATTATTTCAAATTAACTTTCGCCATTTAAAATAGTAAAAATAAACATTAAACAATAAACAATAGTTTTACATTAAACAATAATAGATGACGGTTCCGATGCTGTCAGCTTGAAATGCGTATGAATGTAGAATACCCGATAGTAATAAGATTATGTTTCCGGCTTAACCCGAAAACGGTAAGACGATATGCCGGGTCGAGCATTTTGAATGTTAATGGAGGTTCCTTGCAAGCATCCCGATATAATTAATTTCCGGTTGGACGGCGGCGGCGGCAGGATACAATCAAGCAAGCGGGTCGAACGAATACATGAAGAGGATCTGAACGATCTTGACCTTCCTAGCGGAGGTATTTTCAATTTACATACATCCCACCACCATCCTTTCGATATGTTTCAAACGTCAATCAATTATGCACTTGGGATGTCCGTGCGGCGTGAGAATTAAAACGTGAATAATTAATGGCAATTAGTTTGCGTTTAATTCACTTTTGACCGATGCCGCCGCTCCTCCCTCAAATTGATGGCTTTTTTGTTTTGTTTATTGACGGCACGCCGACTGTCGGTATTTTGCAATCTAATTATGCTACACAATAGCAACTTTATTTGTAGCAGTGATCGTCAAATATATTCTATTATATTAATTCCTTTTCATATGTTTTTTTTTAAATTAAGTTCATTGGACAACGATGTAAATTTTAGCCCGGCACATCCACCATAAAAAGTCGATGGTATTAAAAACTTTTTAATGCACGTAACCGCAACGCGCGGGACTAAAATTAGCTGTAGTCGAATTGAGTTAACGTTATTTTCGGTCTGAAGCCGTTTTGCTTGTTTGTTTTCTGTTTCGCTGTTTCAGTTATCGCGCGTTAGAGAAGAGAGATAAAGAGAGCAGAGCTAAAAGTAATAAAGAAAATTGCACTCACTAACTTTATTTTTCAGTAAAGTAAATTGAACAGAGATGAAAATGCGCTCGTTAGGTGCTCTCCTCTCTTTTGCCTTCCTTCCTTCCGTCCGTCCATCCTCCAGTTTTTCTACTTTTTTTTACAGCGAAAAGTTTTTTGTGCGCGCATGTATATGTCTGTCTGTATTCTACTCATTTGTTTGTGCTCTTTCTCTCTTTTAGCGAGTTCAATTAGTGGAAAGCTTTTGTAAGGGCGGTTTAACAGGGAGAAAAATACGCACCTGCTGCCATTGTATGTGTGTGTATGGAACTCCGACGCTTTTCTTTTATGGTGCTTCTTCCTCGCTCCTTTGGGTTTCTTCCTCTTTCTTTCGTCCTTCCGTGGGAGACCCGAAATTATCGAATCTGGGAGATTCCTCAGCTGCTGCCAATCGCACCGGTTTCCATTAGTGTTCTTTCACTCCGCCAGACGTCGGTTTTTTTCTCGACCCACGACCGATTCATCTGTGCCCCTAAGAAAATCATCGTCGACCATTAATGATAGTTCAATTCAATGCGCTGAAAAATACGGTCCGAATGAATCAACGAATGACTGACACCTCTAGAAAGAACGTGAATGAAATTGAGATAAAGCTAAGTTTCCGTTTTCGTGTTTTTCTTTCATTCTTGTGTGTTGGTGTCTCTCAGAACCGCATGACAAATGAGGAAAGTGTGCCGCTAACAAACGGTGCAATTTCTCGCGATCTTTCGGAAGATCCAATTCCATTATTCCGGGCGCATTTCAGAAAAGTTCAAGAGAAACTGTAAACTTCTTCTTTTTTTGCACATCGACCGCAACGCGATGGGATTGCATTCGATTCTATTGACTTTCTACGAAACCCGTAAATTATGTTTACCCACTGTTCGGCTATACGTAAAATCAAGAGTTTTACCGAAATTGCGATCAGCTTCTCATTGTTCTTCCGCAATTGAAATATTTGTTATTTCTTTTTTTTTACTTTTTTGATATTGATATTTTACATAAATTGATGCAAATCGCAAAGGGAATTTGCTGCAACTTCCAGAAATTGATGACAAATGCAGCAAACTGATTTAAATAAAAGAAAAAGAAAAAAAAATGAAATCGCAATTTCGTAAGTGGCCGAATGTTCATTCAAACAATTATTTTAAACGAGTTGGAAGGAGGAGAAACAACAAAAAAAAAGTCAAACTAGGTGAGCCAGAGAGCAAACAAACGAACTATTCTAAACTGGTTTTGAAACAAATTGGCGATCGATGAAGCCATTCAGAGAATACACAAAAAAGCACATTCTGAAAAATAAAATAAAAGTTAAAGTTGAATAATTAATTAATTTGAAAAACAAAGACGAGGACAAAGGAATTAACAACTATTGTTACTATAGTTTATTTCTTTTGATATCGTTAAATTACTCTAGTAATGAATAATATGGATTTCACCATATTTCAAAAATATCTGATTAAATTCTTTGGCATGGCAGAATTGTATTGATTGGGTTACGGCAAATAGCCAAGCAATTAAAACTTCCGTGTGCTGCATTTCTGAAATTGCTCCGTTTGCATTTGCGGCATTCCGATTGACAGTTGCTCTCATATTAATATAAAACATTTAGCAGTAATTGGTAGTATTTTTTTTGCATCTAACATCAATTGATACCTGAGGGATATTTAAATGATGCAATTTGTACATATTGCAATGTTTTTTTACATTATCATTCTGATATTGTTTCAATTTCGTTCGTTACGATTTACGTTTAAATCTGAAGGATTTGTAAGGTAACTGATGAAGGTGCGGGCGTAGAGAATTGAATGTGCAAAGAAGTAAATCCCGTCTCAACACGATCATTTTCCTTCTATTCCTGCAATACAGCACCCCGGTGCCATTTCCTGCAGAGTACGTGATGTCTGTTCGAGATGGAAATATCGGATATAATAAAATGCGCAGCTCGATGGGACTGATATTTTCGGACCCGCGTCGAATACCGAAACTGGGATGAAAACGAAAAGAAGAAAGAGATAGAAAAAAATCTGTTGGGATGATCAAAAGTGGTGATTTAGTAGACCCGAAGGGAAGTTTGTTTTCTGAATAGAGGAACTCTGGGTATTTTTCGTAACCCAACGACGTGAATTCATCGCCGCCTTCAGCGATAATCAAATATGGATGAGTTTACGCAACGGAAAACGAAGCGAAAGTGTGAAACAAAAAAAAAGTAGAGTAAAAAGGAAAACAAGCAACAAACACTTCATTCATCATTTCTGAAGTGAAACTGAATTATCTCTTACTCACTATCTCTCTTTTTAGAGCGTGCATTTTCGCAAGATTTATTCAGATTTATTCCGGCGGCGTTTCTCGATTCGATGTAATTTTGGTATGATTCGCGAATGAATTACGACCTAATTAAATATGGATAAAGTTACGCAACGGGAGAAACGATAGAAATAAAGAAAGACATCGAGCAAACGTGACTTGGCAACATTTTTGTTGAGTTTGTCTTCTTGAAGCAAAAATAAGATGATAAATCGCTTACGCTTTGCTGGTGACAGCTTGTAATCAGGTGTCGACGTAGTTACGCAACAGAAAACGCTCTAAAAAGAAACAAAATAATAATTATATTATTTTTTTTCTCCAAGTATTTCTGCAATTAGTATTGAATATAATTGCTGTAGATACATTTATTGAAGCAATATGTGATTTTTATAGTTAAAGTTGATGAAATATTATTAAAACTTATGTTGTTATATACATGGAATTACACAACAGAAAACACTTTAATCCGCTTAAATAATGAAAATAACGTCGCCACGTTCATCATTTCTGATACGTCGGCTTAGAGACGTGCTCTAAGATTTCATAGAAAACTTTACGTTTGAACACTTAAACGTACATGATTTTGGTTTCACGCGTTTCTTTAGAACTTATAAATATATATTTTCTTTAAAATAAACATTCATCTAAGAATGAAATTTTTATTTCCTCATTTATAAAGAATTCTTGAATTCTTTTTGTTTTTTTTTTTCATATTATTTTTTTTGTGTAAATTACCGGAAATGGAAGATCATTCTGCAGTCATTCATTCATTTTATAACAAATAAAACACGTATTCAAATTGTGATGACTTTTTTCTAACAATAAATGAGCTTGTTCAGAAACAACGAAATGATGAACTTAATTAGATTTTATTTTTGTAAACTTGGCGAAACAAAAGATTTGATATAAACTGAAGTCTTGTTATTTGCGGTTCCGTAACGGAGGGAGAAATGCACGAAGAACGAGAAACCTACTACAACAATTCATTCATCATTTTGTGAGACCTTCTTTAACGCGTTGCGAAGTTATATAAAGTCGCGCAAATTATTACGATAATGGCACACTTGACCCTTTACGCAAGTTTGAAGAAGAAGAAAAATAATTGAAAAAATAAATAAGTTTTTAATTTAAACCCGAGACACAAAGAAGTCTCGTTCGAAAAGACAAAGAATCAAGATTAACATTTTCAATCTAACTAATGGGGATGTCTCTCTCTCTTTGGGATACATTTATTTCTTGATTCATGTTGTTCCTGCCACAATGGAATACTTGACCCTTTTTTTTGTTGTTGCTCTCGCTCGGATGACAAAAGCGGCGGAGGAGTGGGTATGTCGAGTGTTACACATTTCGCTTTCTGTCGTTTTGCGTTTTTCGTTATAATTTAATAGCGAATTCGGTTGCGGTGTATTTATTAAAGTATAAAATGGAAATGTGATGATTGTAAACAAAATGAAAAATAAAAAAAGATAATAATGAATAAAACAACAACGGGGAAGAGCTTGATTGGATTTCGGCCGAATCCGATTGTAGTTTGAAATTGCACCCGGGGGTAGATTTTAACGACTCAAAATACTAAAACCAAAAACAGATGCTCTAAATGCTTTATTTTTTTTACCGAGTTTTCGTTTTTGTTTTATCTAATATCCTAGATTTTGGTGCACTTTTTTTTGGAGGCCTTGGTTTTAGGGGGGGGCGTTTTGGCACTTTTTTCTTAGGTGGCGAGATCGCGCTGTTGGGGCTGTCGGGGGGATGAAACGTTTGGATACGTGCGGCCGGAGCGAAGATCGCGTCGGTACTGCAGCTGGAAGGCGGCGGCGGCTTTTGCGTCGACGGTGGTGGCACACAGAGAGAGATGCTGCTGCGACTGCCGCCCCCCACACTAGCACACTAACATACATACACACAGCGAAAATTCCGCCGCCCCCGTGCGCTGCGCCTCCTCTCCGCCCATCGAAACACGGTCTCAGCTGTATTCGTATGTGTGTGTGTCGCCCTGAGATTTCCTCCTAATATCTCGCCCGCCGACCCTCAGCAACTTTGCATACGCACATCCTCGCACCATTCCCAGGCGTTCTTTTGTTTCTTTTTCCTTCTTATCTTGACTTTAATGTGAGGTTTAGGTAGAATTCGTTCCACCCCTAAAATGTGGCGAACGGGTGAATTTCCCTTTGGGGCGGAATTATTTACGTATTTATTGTGTTAACACAAGCCGTGCTCGTTCGTTCGCAAGTCAAACAAAACGACTGCTGTCGACATTGCGCCCCTCGTGGCCACGAATTTGACCGCTCCCCCGACTCTCCAAATCCGCTTCAGCAAATCTTTAACAACGCTAATTCACCAGAAGATAACAAAAAGTCATTGTTTCTGTTATCCTGCGGGAATCTAACACGCCTAGAATGAAATGTAAATAAGTGTATAACTTAATATTATTGCGATAATTAAAAGTCTGATTTGTTCTCAGTTTCCATTTTTTTTTTAATTTTTCCTTGTTCCAAAATTAACCACAATAGTAAAAATATTATAATTTACGGAGAGAGAAAAATAGTCAACATTGAAAGTTCCATTATTTTTTTGGAAAAATAATACCGTTCTAATTCTCTGCATAAAAAAAGCATTTATAAAAAGCTGGATGCATTGGATAACTTCGTTCTGACCGGTGTATCTACCAAATTATTTTATAGTAATATCTCGTATAGTGTGAATTCTATATAGTACGGTTTGACAATTTAAAAAAAAAAAATTGAGCAAAATAAAACAGTAAAGTCTCTTTATGTGCAGTTATTTTTAAGCTGTCTTAAATTAGATTAGTACGCTTTATTGGTAGAATTTATTACCCGCACTATGCGAGGTATTCATGTAATTGTAATACAAAAATTGAATATTTTAAAAAAATATTTTCATTATTGAAATAGTTTCGAATATGTTATTGTAATGAACATTTTTCATTTTGGCGTAAATATAATATTTTATGTATTTTTATTAGTGGAATATTATAATAAAAATTAAAACCAACCCGGCGAATCCACTAAAATAAACACAACATCGCCTACAATGAATATATACATGAAATTCGCTTATAAAATTTTGAAGAATTAAATGTAATTCCATTACGAGATTGGTTCAACGCGCTTTTCTGTGCCAAGTCTGCTTCGTCTGTGGGCGTTTCAAAATTGAGCAGACAATGTTATTTAAATCTTTATAATAGATGTTTTACTTTCCCTTTCTCTCTGTAATCTCCTTCTTTTGTGGCGACCACTCTTTTCTTTCCACACTTATTTGTTTATTTTGGTTTTTTTTTTCTTTTCTCAGACTGATTACACGAGACATTTGGAGGAGCTGGGCCATCACGTCGAGGCCATCCATTTGCGAGCCGTCCGACAAATGTTCGCTTCTGGTTCCGAGAAGGAGGCCATCCAGTGTCTGCGCATGTGGGAGAAATACACGGCCCTAAAAACAGGTATAACTCGCAGTTAATGGTATTTACAATAATCGCGGCTGGTGGAAATAGGCGGAGGTTGGACAGATTAGAAGAAGAAAAAATGCTTGCACACAAAATTGCCTCCATTCTATTCCATCTCTATCCTATTCCATCTCACCCAACGTATGAATGTCACTTTTGTGTGAAACCGCGTTGATTAATGCCTCTTTCGATGATTCCCACCGTTTTTGTCGTACGTCTGTGAACGCGTGCGGATTTGCCAACCCCTGCCACACACTCCACCGTCGTTCTCCTAAAGAGAAAAAAGGGAAAAAATGCTGAAGAAAAAAATGGAAAGGATGAAATAAGACCTGATCTCCTCCACTCTGCAATATTCTCATCCATGATGCATATACTACATTCTTCTTTTTCGTTTTTCAATCTCCCCAGTTTCGTTTTCGTGAGGCGACGAATAGAATTTTATTATTTATTGGATCCGAGACCGTTTTTTGTTGAATTAATACTATCTTGTCCCCGTTTTCTATGCTTCTCCAACATTCATCCAAAGATTAAAAAAATTAAAACAAGTAAACTAGTAATTCACTAAAACCAATTATTAACAACAACTTTTTGATTCGGAAAATTCAACTAATTCTAAGATTAAAAACTTTCAAGTTATACTTACTTCACAAGTTTTAATAATGAGACAATATCTGTAAGAAATTTTAATAAGAATATATATTATTATTGTATTTGCAGAGGTGAAAAATTCAACAATGCGTGAAGAGGCCGAAAACTGCGTGCAGAAGTTAAAGCAGCTCGAAGCGATTCTGTCCGAACTGGGAGGAGTCGATGGAGCGGACGTTGAACTGATTGGTCGCTTATTGAAGACCGGATGTGCGATCAGGGCCAATGTCGAAAGACACGAGAGCCTGAACGCCGGCGGCAAATTCGAATGGGTCGACTCGGTGCTGATAAAAGTAACTGCCCTCATGTTTTATATACTTGATAATTTACTAATTCGATTATTTAAATTAAGTGTTTGCAAGAGGGCACCTGGCTGCTCGTGGATAACGTTAACCTCTGCAGTTCGGCCGTTCTGGATCGACTGAACGGTCTGCTCGAGCCGAACGGTGTTCTGATTGTCGGTGAACGCGGCATGGACAAAGATGGCAAGATGATCTGCATTCGGCCTCATCCGGATTTCCGTCTCTTCCTGACCATGGATCCCAAGAACGGCGAAATCTCTCGGTAATTAAAATACATAGTGAATATACACTTTATGCATACAGTGTGTTTAGTAAAGCTAGAACAATATTATTATCTCTTCCATTTTGCTATTAGCGCCATGAGGAACAGAGGTATCGAAATCTACATCCTCAGCGATGCCGAGAAGGAAGATCGCAACGAAACCGATATCAAATCGCTCATAGCGCAACAAGGACTCCGTCAACCCTACTGCATTGAGGCGCTTCTACAGATACACGATGAAATTACATCCAACGTCATCGGTAACTACATTAACTGGAGCGACGTAATCGCGAAATAATAACTAACCATATTTCTCGCTTGTTGTTGTGATCAGGGGAAAAACCTAATTTAGGTCAGCTGTCGCAGGCATCTTTCCTCATCAGCCAGAAGTTGTCGCGAGGAGCCAACGTTTCCGGTGCCTTTACCTCCGTCATCGGCGACGTATATTCCAACTGCAGACCGGAAATGAGCGCGGAGAAAGTACGCGAAATTTTGAATTCCGTGCATGCGACCGGTACGTTGAACCTGGGAGACACCTTGTCCACAGCCAAATTGCAAATCAATTGTGATTTGGCAAGGATCGAGCAACAAATCTCAACGGTTTCCGCAAACGGAAGCAATTTTGCATTCATGCACTTCTTCACCATCTCATCGATGCGTGATGCGAATCTACGATTGGAATACGTCGCTCGTATCTTAAGCGACGAAAAGTTTAAAACGTTGGCTACGAGATTCTTCCGAGAGCTGCAGAAAAGGTGGAGTAACGATAAACTTCTACCGATCGACGCTAATTGGCTACCGGACACCTACTACAACGATAGGAACGCAACAAGAACAAACAAACTCTTTGTTTTGTTCTACTACTTGACGTGCACCGGACTACAGGAATTCGAACCGGAACGAATCCGCAGTAAAACATTAAAAACTTTCACGCTACAAGAATATTTGCTGGGCGTGAAACGCAAGCAGATCGAGAACAAAATCGATGATGCCGTGATCATGAATGTCCTCTCTCTGCTTCAAAAGTTTGACGATTTCATCGCCCAACTGCTCATCCGAGACTTCCAACTCGACAATGAAACGACCATCGAAGTTATTTCTCTGTTACAATATAGATTTGTACTCTACAGATTCTTTGTCAACACGAACACGTGCATGAGCGAGTTGAGAAACGATGAGAAGATCCTGAACAATCTCCACGTCCATTACAAGTGGTTCATAAAGAACTCCATCAAGAACCTGGAGAAGCTAATCGCAATCCAAGCAGTCGACGAGAGTTTAACTTTACTGATCCGCACCATCAATGCGGCTTTAGTGAATCACTTCAGCGCCCTCCAGAAGTTGGGTAAAAAGTACCAGAAATCTCTCACGAAGCCTCCACCTCTAATCAACGAACTCCAAACCAAAATCCTACCAGAGTTTCACGCTGCTCTGACCAAATTGGATTACTATAATAAGTCCAACGATTTCCACAAAGCGTTATCTCTTCTTCATACACCAGAAGTTAAGAACGCAGCATTAGATATGAAACTGTTTTTCGATTATGGATTCAGTGAGATTCCAGCTATTTACGAACAATTCTCCAAGATGACGTTCAAAGCGATCGAAATAAAGCCCACTGAAATTGCAGCTTTTCCTGTTTTGGATCATTTCAACTTCTTGGAAATTTTGAAGTTCCGCTTGGAGGATGAGAACTCTGGTGACATCAGTGGCGTTTGCGTTCCGATCAACACTATAGCTACAATTCAAAAATACATCAAAACTAACGATAAAAGGATGTTGAGCGATGTTAAAACTGAAATTTCCAACTACTTCAGACATGCGGCCAGTCTCAATCCATCAACTTTCTTGAAATCCGAATTAAATACCACCCTGCACGCCCATAATGCTGTTTTGAGCTTCCTCATTGGTGATCTGATGGCAGGGGCGGAGACTTCCAGCACCACCGCTGTCACTCGATTGGGCAGCTACAGAGATAATCACGCCATGCACCTAAAGATACGAAGTGCCATCTGGAGCAACTTCCGGCAAATATCCAGCGCAGAATACGATTTCACGTAAGTCAAATTAGATTTTCAATAATATGGTAATAATAATAATGTTGTTTTTGTGATGCAGGCAATGCGAGAAGAAGTATTTGATGAAGAGCTACGAGGAGTTCCGGCGCACTTTCTCCGAAATATTCGAGGGTAATTCCATGGATTTTAACCAAATTCTAGAAGGTATCGAATCGGTGTTTAGTCAGTTTGAGGATAGGAACAACGAGAAGGGCGTGCTGATCTCCTTGCTGGCAGCGCTTCAAGAACAGATTGGGCTATTGGAAAGCGATTCGATAAATGTTTTCGCCAACGTTTACATAATTCTCAGCTATCTAAAGGCCCTGTTGAATTCGCGACTGCCGCTCATCGATCCCCTGGCGAAGATCGAAATGCGTGAACGCTACTGCGGTGAAGAGATTCAACACCTATCGGAATTGAACGACAGTTTCTTGGTGCAGAGTCGGTTGTATTCGGACACAAAATTCGGCCTGAGTCCGTATTGCGATGTATTAAAGCGCAAAATAGGCGATTTAGAGGTGAAGCGCGAGAATCTCTCTAAGTATGTGGCCGTGCGACCGGAGGATGTCGACTATCAGAATGTGAGAAGGATGGTTGGTCAAGCTTTTTCCACGGTGTTATCTCCGAGTACGATTTTCGATATTTACAAATTTAACAATCAAATCGAAGAGTTGATTCGTGATGCAAATGGGGTGGATATCAAATCAATTGATACCAATGTGCGTTTATGGTCCTCCCTTGTTGCTAGCTTCGATAGCTTCGTCAAAAGATTAAACAGCTTCCGGTACACTTTCCCCGATATTGTAGCTCCTCTCCTAGCAGACGTTATGGAATTAGTTCACGGTATGAATCTTAAGATAGGCTTAATCAAAAAACATCTTCTACGATACGATCAATCGAAAACGTACAACATCTCTCTTCAGAGCGAATTACTCGAACTAGTGAAGATTCCAAACGTGCAAAATCTTGATGTAGTTAACGCATATAACGGAGATAAACTTAGAGATTTTGTTGAAAAAACGCTGGCGCATAGCGATAAAGCAAACGGAAAATTAGAGAATTTCAAGATGCTCAAGTGCGGAATCATGGAGCTTTCGAATGCCTGCAAATTGCATTCGCAGTTCACTCGAACGCTGGACGAGAATCTCTTCGAGCGCTTCGATAAGCTATTGAGGATGTTCGTAGCCGCTTGGAAAAAGCAAGAGGAAGATACTGCCGCCAAGAAGGAAGCCGAAGAGAGTCTTTATAAAACTAAAACAAAATGCGATGAGAATGAAGATGAGATCGACGAGAAGGAGTTTAAACGTCTATTTCCGTCATACCACGATCGAGACTTTGCCGAATTCGGAGAAAAAATGTTGGGAGATGACGATGATGATGATCATGATGATACGGTCAAAATTGATAGCAAGTTTTCGGAAGTCATCAGACTCGAAGATTTATATTTTGTCTCGGATTTGCATTCGCATATGATGACGTTGTTCACGAGAACTGAATGGCTTAATCCCAATTGCCACAAGGATGATTACAAGTGCGATACCATCGAACCAATTCTGATTAAGTTCAAGCTCTTCAAGACTCTGCTCGATCAGAGTCCGGAGAGTTTCGATTACACTTTGGACGCAGAATTGATGGGAACTTTGAATGTAGTCGCGGCAATTGCACAAAATTACGGAGATTCCAGTTCTCTAGATGATGAATATTCTGGAAAGTCGAAAAAATACGACTTTTACAAAGACCCTAACGTCGAGGAAGTCGAACCAGCCTATGTAATTCTGTTGAATTTACAGAAGAAAGTCAACGAACTTTTGGCGGAATGGCCTGAACATCCGACTCTCTCTACCGTTATCGATTTAATTGAGAGGATTTTCAACTTTGACATAACCAGTCCGCTTTCGCGTTTTCTCACCGGCTTCGATATCCTCCTCACCAAGTGTCACGAATGGGAGGAGAACGCCCACTCGGGTGTTAGCTTATCGGAGCATTCTCAAGCGATCAGTCATCAAATGATCGCCTGGAGGAAGCTCGAGATAAACAATTGGAAAAACTCTTTAGATAACACCTACGAACGGTTAATCGAATGCATGCCTAAATATTGGTCGTACATCTATGACGTGATGAATGAATTCATTGAGAAGAAACTCTTCGCAACCGATGAGTTGATCTCAACACTACAAAAGTTCATCCTGCAATCGAATGTGGCCGAGTTTAAGACACGTTTGGAAATGCTGAACGTCTTCCATTGTCATGCGACTTATCTACCGAAAACTGAGGAAAGAGACATCTTCATTAGCGTTATGTGGAATCTGTTCAAATATTACGAGCAGTTCTTGCCGAACGTCACTTCTCAAATGAAATCTGATCGCGCTCCGCTAGAAAAAAAGCTGAAGGACTATGTGAAAATCATCCGTTGGAAAGATATCAGTTATTGGGCGTTGAAAGACACCTTGGAGAAAACGCACAAGAACATATATAAATTCATGAAGGAATATATTTTATTATTATCTAAACCAGCATCTCCATTCTTGAAAAACGTGACGTCGCAACAAGAGTTTGTTGGTGTTCAAGATAGACCTCAAAGGACCAGCCCGAAACGATACCATTACACTTCAGATTCCAACTCTTACATTACCAAATTGCAATTGAATATTGGAGAGTGCAAATCAGAGGTTGGATTATTAGCCTGTGGTGATAGATATCTGAAGAAGTTGAAGTCTCTAAGTCAGAAGATTATCTCAGCAACGCAATACCCTCAAAATGTGAAGAAGTTGGATTGCTTTGTGAGCGAAGTAATTGCTACAAGCGAACATCTGCAAAAGCTCGAGATTGATACGAATTTGACGAAGGAGAAGCAAAAGTCACAGGCCAAAGGTTACCTGCAGCAAAAGCAGAGAGCACTCGTCGATCTCTTCAAAACATTGTCGAAAATCGGGTTGTCTTATCGTAAGGGTCTCATGGAGGAAAAATGTAAAGATATTACAGCCGAATACGTGACGAAACCTTTGGATTTGGAAGCCGCCTTGTCGCACGTACCCAAGTGTAAGAATGACGAAAAGTTGCTCATCCTCTGGGACGGAGTCGAGGTTTACTTCCGAAAGTGTTTGATGCGCATGGAGATTTTGGATGGTGCCGTAAAAACCCCCGCCAAAGACTTGGGCATGGGCAACGTTGAACGGTGCAAAGGATACTCCGGCCATCTGATGGTACTTTAAATTATCACTTCACTAAGAAATATATATTTTAATATTTACTCTTTGCTTTTCAGACTTTGGCTTTGGCACAGAAACGTAAGCTGATCGAATCCACGAACCTCCTGTACCACATCCGCTATTACCAAATGATCTTCGGCGAGTTCCAAGAACATTCCACGTACATAAACTCTGAAGATCTGGACAAACTGAAATATCTACTCTTCGACACCGTTGTGGCTATGAAGCAACTCAAATTAATCCTGATGTCGTGTCCAGACTCTGAACCATCAAAAATCATTCCTGTTCTCGAATCCAACACCGCGTTCATCCAAACCAAAGACGACCTCATATGGAATTCGACAATGAAACTCGTCGCATCTACTCTGACCAAGAGTGAACAAATCCTCGAAGCTCTACGTAAAGTCAAATTAACGATACCTTGCGTGGACAGGAATCTGGTTACACCAAAATTCGTCCACCTGCCAAATTCTACTCAGATCATTGACGATTTGAAGTTGACGATGGAGAATCTCGAAGCGATCAAAAGCATTTTCGGTTCCGTTCCGAGCATTGAAACGGTGACCATCCTGTTGAAGCAGTATTCTGCTATGGCTGAAGTGTTATGTGCCAAACCTGCTGAAGATAATTGCAAAGAGGATCTAAACGAATTCAAGAAAGATACTGAGGGTATCGTTAAAACCGTACTCTTAATAACGCAAATCATTCACAAAAGGTATCCAGAAAATAATGAGGAAGTAAAAGGAGAAGAAGAAGAGGATCAGGATGTCTTGTCGGATAATCTGCTGAGCGTCTCTTTGGTACAACAAATCTTCGATGATATTTCTGTTCTTAACATGGCCGATATTTATTTGCAAGTGAATTCTTTGGCGTGTAAATTGGCTGCACTAGATTATTCTAAGATCTCGGACGAGTTCAAACGGGAAATTGCCAAGATGGCGCCATTCTTCGAGCAAATAGTTTTCTTGTATCAGTACTTCATAACGCAACAGGTTTCGACTTATAGGGTTACGTTAAAGGTGTCGTCGATTCTTTTGAACATTTTCATCGAATTGGCCACGAACGGTTTTTGCATTCCGCCTGAGCTGGCCGAGGAGGAGAAAGGTGAAGGTGATGGAAAGTCGTCGAGTGGAATGGGTTTGGGTGATGGTAAGGGCGAGAAGGACGTGTCGGACAGGATTGAGTCTGAGGATCAACTGGAAGATGCTCAACCTGCTGGGCAGGAGCAACAAAAGGAAGATGACGAGGACTGCAAAGAGGAGGAGAAAGGTATTGAGATGACCGATGATTTCGAAGGAACCTTACAGGATAAAGAAGAGAAGCCAGGCGATGAGGAAGACGATGATAATAAATCGAAATCAGACGATGGAGAAGAGCAAATGGGTGATGTCGATAATGATGCCGATCAGTTGGACAAAGAGATTTGGGGCTCTGACGATGAGGAGGATGTTGACGAGCAAGGCGATGGAAAAGACGAACTGAAAGGTGACAAAGGAGAGACCGAAGGCGAGCAAGAACTTGCCGCCAAAGAGAACAACGTCGGCAACGAGGAGGAGGAAAAGAATGGCGATGATAAGAAGGAGAAGGAAAAGGAAAAGAAGGAGTTGAACGAGATGGACGACGTAGAGTACGACGATGATCAAGTAGATCCGAACCATGGAAATCAACCGGAATATCCAGAACCAGAAGCTCTCGACCTACCCGACGATTTGAATTTGGATGGCGAAGACAACGAGGACGAGAAAAACGAGGAGAATCCTTTCGACATAGATGCGATTAAAGGTAACTATTTTAAATCTAAATGTAATATAATTTATTAATATTATTTAAATTTCTAGATCAAATGCCGGAAGATAAGCAATCAGACGAACCAGAAGACGCCCCAACTCAAGAAGAAGAAAAGAAAGAAGATGAAATGGAAAACGACAGTGACGAGGAAGGAGGTGAGAATAAGGACGATGCAAAAATGGACACCGGAGAGGAAAACGAGGAAGAGGAAAACGAAGATGCAAAGAAAGGTAAAAAGGAAATAGAAGAGGCTGTGGAGGAGGAGCCGCAAGGCGAGGATGAAGATATGGAAGCACTGGATGATCCAAGTACAGCTGAAAACGAAATATCCGCTCCGGAAACATCCACAGCCCAATCTTCGGTTCAGACAAATCCATCCACCGAAGATCAATCAAAGAAATCCAACGACGAAGATAATTCGCAAGACGATAACCCCGAGAAGGCGGGAACTGGACAGGCGCAAATGGAGGAGAGCAAATCAGGTCACAAAGGGGAATCGTATGCTCAACAAACGTCCAAAAGCAAAGAAGAAGTCAGTAAACCCCAGAATAAGAGAAACAAGTCAGGCGAAGAAGATACGGAAAGAAGTATGGGAGATACTTCTGAGCCATTGCACAAGAAGATGAAAACCATCGACGTGCAAGATGGTAAGGAAGATGAGAATGAGGAGATGGAAGGTGAAACTGAATCAGAAATATACCAGCACATCAAGGATCCAAAGAACGCCACCGATCAAATGTTGGACTCGGTTAGCAAAGAGCAAACAGATAAGCAAAAGGATGTACCGAACGAAGAGAAACAAGGAGACGAAGAAAAACCGTCAGAGGATACGGAGATGCTTCCAGAAAACGAACAGGAGGAGGACGTTGAAATGGTGGATGTGGACAAGTTAAAACCGGAATCTCTCGATAAGAATGAGAGCAAAAAGAAGAGTAAGGACAAGCTGCAGCCAAAAGATGGGGAGAGCGAAGATATTACGGATGTTGAAATCGATGGTGAGAATGTTGATACTATGAAGGTTCGTAGAGGCGGCGAGAGCGAGCATTTCACTCAAATGTCGTCTACTCAGGACACGAGCATTCCGCGCTTATCTTTGGAAAACATCACCCAATTACGAACCGAAATCGAGCAGCAGCTTTCCGTTTGGCATGAGCCTCCAACTAGTGGAGAAGCGCAGAAGACCTGGAAAAAGATATCATCGGTGACACTGTCTTTGGCCCAAAGTCTATCCGAGCAGCTAAGGTTGGTTTTGGAGCCAACGCAGTCGTCGCATCTGAAGGGCGATTACAGGACAGGAAAACGCATCAACATGCGCAAAGTCATTCCGTACATTGCGTCGCAGTTCAGAAAGGATAAGATCTGGCTGAGACGCACCAAGCCAAGCAAGAGGGATTACCAAATCGTCCTGGCTATTGATGATTCCTCGAGTATGGCCGACAATCATTCCAAAGAGCTTGCATTCGAGAGCGTGTCTCTGATCTCTAAAGCCCTGAGTTTGCTGGAGAGCGGACAACTATCCATCCTGAGCTTCGGCGAAGACACTGAAGTCTTGCACAAGTTGAGCGATCAATTCACAGACGATTCAGGATCGAAGCTTCTGCAGAAATTCCAGTTTGGGCAAAAGAAGACGTGCGTGGCGAAGATGGTGGATTTCGCCACGGAGATGCTCAACGGATCGTCAGCGACTTTCGTAGATTCGCTTCTGGCAAAACTGCTGATTGTCATGAGCGATGGAAGAGGTATCTTCTCGGAGGGCGAGAGCTTTGTGCAGCAGGCGGTGCGACGGGCCAAACTCTCTAACATCTTCATCATTTTCGTGATCATCGATAACCCAGAGAACACCACCTCCATTTTGGATATCAGGAAGCCGATCTTCCAGGACGGAAAGATCAAGGAGATCAAAGCATACATGGATACGTTCCCGTTTCCATTTTACATAATCCTGAGAGACATCAACTCTTTGCCGAACGTGCTCAGCGATGCGCTAAGGCAATGGTTCGAACTGGTTTCGAACGTGGACAAGCAGTAGAAAGGATGAAAGGTTACAATGCTTATAATGTTTTTAAATTTTAACACAAATAATTTCTGTTTTATTTTATAAAATATATGACGATGAAGTATAAACGTAAAATATCTAAAATCACTATTAATATCCTACTCATATCATCCCCGTCCTTCTAATTCCATCTATTATTCCCAGCCGGCGAAACTTATGTTGGTTGCCGAATCAACGGTAGAGCGCTTCGACTGAGTCCCGGCCTCTTCAGAGTCGACACGATCCAGAAACTGCTCGACCTTCTCAAGGAGATTGGTTGCAACATTGGCAAACTCCTCCCATACCATGTACTCGTTGGTCATGAGCATATCGGAATTGTCGCCCGTAGAATCCATCAACCCAAAAATCTTTTCCTCATCTGTACAAAGTCAAAACAAACCAATTTCAAATTAATTCTAATGAAACCTTTAACTAATTTATACCCAAATAATCTACAAGAATGGCTATGAGCTGCTGAATCTCGACATCGGATATGGCCTCGTACAGGTTACTGCTGTCAATACAATAGTTCCAAATCACCTGGCAAACGAGCATCGACAGGGACCAATCGTATTGTCCGTAATTATTCATAACTCCGATCAACTTGAGCAGACCGTAATTCTCCAGAAGCAGCTTACGGTTCTTCTGGTCGGCCATCAAATTGACAAAAACACCGACAGTCGTCTTGAGCAGACTCAAATCACCTAAGAAACAATATATAATATACACAAACTTCTAAGAAATTTATAAACTCCTACCGCTATCCAACATGCTGATCAATGTCGAGAAAATGTTGGTTTCAGAGATGAAGCTGCGAGTGATCTTTGAACGCGAGAGATTTCCCAAGATCCTCATGGCTTCGATGAGACACTCTTTGCTTTCGCAGCACGTATATTCGGATATTGCTGAAAAACATAGTCAACGAGTGAGTACTTGTACGTATTTGATACATTTTTAGTGCGCACCACTATATGAAACTTACCTTCTATAATATTGATTTGCTTCACGTGAAAAATATCTTCATTCAATTCGGCCGAATAGTAAAACGATAGGTTGTTCAACGTGCTCAGCACAGACAATACGAGCTCCTCGTTTTTCTTAAAAGGATTGCTGATGAGCACTTTGATGAATTCGTCTATAAATTGAGCTCCGAAATTCTCGTTCATAGCCTTACCAATATCAGGATTGATCGCCATATTTGCAACTATTCGAATGATCTAAATAAATACATAAATGATTGATAAATACTCAATGATATTCAATACAGCACCTTAATCATAACATCTTCGGTTGCCGTTGAGCTCTTTCCGTCGTCGTTCAACGAACAAAACTTGAGCGTCCTCTCTAGATAGATTCTCCATAGCAACAGTAGAGTCTTTATGGACTCATCCTCGTTGTAATACTTATTCCTGGCGTTGTCCAAGTTCGCAACGACGTTACCCAAAGTATACGTCAAACGCACGATGATTTCGTCATTCTCCGGGTACTTCTTGAACATGCGAATAAAGAGCCTGTATATGCCCGGATACTCGGATATGGCGTCGCAGCAGCCCTCATTCGTTGAAATTATGCTTAAAGTTCTCGAAATGTTGCTCACTATATCAGCGTTCAGCGTAAATAGATCTAAAGTCTGGCAAAGCTGTTGTATAGCCTGCGTTTCGACGAAGTTCTCGTACATGGTCTCATCTGATGCAAGATTCCGAAGCGCTCCGGTTAACTGGAATACTGCGTGGTTGGTCTGATCCGGTATGAAGATGTTCTCCAGTTTCTGGTAATTTAACGGATGTTTATTTGCTACTCGGTACTGTGTCAAAACCCGCGTTTACTTACGGCATTGTTAACAAGCTTGATATGCAAGACCATCAGTGGGAGAATTCCCAGTGAGAGAATCTGATGCAAAAGTTTCGCATTCATTGTCAGGAACTTGATAGAACCGTACCCATAAACGCAAGCCTCCGCATCGTCCAACGGACTGGATCTACCCAGCGCATCCACAAAAAGTTCTTGACGAATAAACAGATTAATTATTAAATATGATTTTGCGATGAATGAAATCGAATTACCTAGAAGGTTTTTCTTGAAGAACAGATTGTCGTTCTTGTCGCTTTTGGAGACTTTGAAGATTAATTTGCAGACGCCGGTTAAATTGTTTCCCATGACTTTCAACTGTGAAAGAGAATGGTATCATGTTGTTGCAAGAATCGAGGATGTGAAGAGAAAAGACTTACTGCAAGTATGATGCGTGCTATGTTGAGTAAGAGTACTTCGTTTGGTGATTCGACGTGCCTGTAGAGCGTCTTTAGGATCTGTATCTTCATTTTGGATGCGACCTTCGATGCGACCAGGAGTCCGTCTCGCTCCATGCACTCGTAGAGATCGTCCAGCAGGCGAATCACGACCGTTTCATCTCTTTCTTCGGCCAGCAGAGCGAGCACTCCTTCTATGGTCATGGCAGCACCGCCCTCTGAAGCGGTTAATTTTTCCTTAAATTTACCACAATATTTGCCGTGAAAGTAACCTGATTGAGAGAACAAGTTATCCGAGTGCTCGACGATGTGCCGGTTCTCGAATATCCTGTCCAGGTTTTGCGGTCCCAACAGCAAGCACTGCGACAGGTTCTGTATCTTCTTGGAAGGTCTTCCAAAATGCGAGTGCGATGAGGATACGGCGGACTCGGTGCGCTCCTGAGGGGAGCTGAAGGCATTCCTAGTCTGCACGCCTCTCGGACTCGTCGCCTCGTTCTCCTCCGGAACTGTAGCATAAAAAGTAAAAGTTAAGACTTTCGCTTATATGCCCGGTTGAGTACTGACGATTGTCCAAAGAGTAAGCGTTCTTGTATTTCTTCTTCTGATGCGACAGCCGTAAATCCAATGAAGGTAATCTGATCTTCTGCGCCGCGGATTCTTTAACCGATAGATTGAAGATTTTCCCATCCGCTGAAATTTCAGACAGCGAATTGGAGCGCTGCTGGCGCGTTTCTGATCTCTTGCGCGTAGCTCCATCTTCCGGAGTACTAGGCGGAACGGAAAAGTCCGTTTGCAAATAGCGCAAGCTAAAATTCAATCATCCTCTTTATTGTTTGAACTCAACCGATTTCGATGATTCGCAATTACCTGAAAGAGCTAGGAGGTCTGTCCTTGATCTTTTTTCCGAATAGCAGACGTTCTTTATCGCGCGGTGTAAACGGTCTCTTCGTCTGCAGCGGTTTGATTGATGTTGCGGCGAAAGAGTTGTCCTGCGGCATCTGAGATTCTGCTTTTTCGAGAACAAAAAATAAATTTAACATAAAAAGGATTCCTTTTGGTTAAAACTTCTTCCATCGCTTGGTGAAATACTTTCCTCTGATTGCCAATCGGGCCTCGTTAATGATATCCGCAGAGGTCTTCCTCGAAGGCGGCTCGTAGAAGGGTAGCGGTGCGGCCCCGAAGAAGTTCCTGTTCTTGTCCATGTCGTTTTCTTAGTCTCGTTTCCACTGACCTGACTTGACTAACTGCACTCACGGCGAAACGAGGAAAACTATCGATTAATTTTCCCACCAGGTATGGTGGTATGGGTATATATATACGACGAAGGTGGACGAAAATAATCAATATTTCTCGTCCGTCTCCGCTGCCACCACCGCGGTCGTCGTTTGTTTACAGTAAAACCGTGGCGTGTCGTTGACTTTTGTTTATTGGAAGCGATCGCATCTGATTAATTGTTCATCGAACGACGACTCTTGATGGTCGGGGCGAAACGACGCATACAGACGAACGCACGACGATTGGTTGTGCTTGTCCAAGGAGCAGCAATCTTCTACACGCAAACTTCCCAAATCAATAAGATCAATTCGAAGAATCCAATAATACAATTCGACCTCTCAAACGTCACATACTAACACTCATTGCTCACCGACGACATTCGCGAAACTTCGTCGACGAAAGGAATAAGCAATTCAAAGTTCCTGGTTTCACCATCGCAATTATCGCCTATCAATCGGATCTACAATTCAAATAATTCATTATTTTCGTTGCTGGGAATAATTAAAAAGAACAGAACATTAATTTGACATTAACGTTAAATAAATCGATCTAGAAAAAATCGCAGTAGGCATCAATTATGTAAAAGCGGAAGATTCTATAAATCATTTGGTATGCACAGAATTATCTAAATTTTTAAATATTTCAATTGAAAATATTGTTTGAATATGATATTGATCCAATAAAACATAAAGTTTCGCGCGTAACTTGTCTCTTACTCAAATTTAACGAACAGATAAATTTAAGTTTAGTTTAGTTTGGCACTTGTAATTTAATATATTGAATACAGATGATGGAAAAAAAGACGAATATTATTTCAAGTATGAAAATACTTCGAAATACAAAAAAAAGTTTGACATTATGGGGTGAAAATATTGGAATGTAAAGAAAATATAAAAGAAAAGATATTTATTTTTTTTAAATACGACACATTCTCGCATTATCATACAAGAGATTATTCCCAATAATAATAATAATATTTGTAATAATAATAAGAAATCGATAATATCTATAAACTATGTATATATAATAATAATTCTCATTTTTTTTCACAAAAAATTCGCAACAATAAAAATCTTAAAACTTGAACAGTTAATAGGATTTACATATAGAAAATATTATAATAGCTTTTTTCACAAAAATAAAATAAAAAAACAAAATCATGTTACATCTTTTCACTCGCTAGTTTTTTTACAAATTACGGACGAGAATATACATAGAAAACAAACTAAAGTTAGAGAGAGAGAACATCTATATACGCGTTTGTATATTATTCTAATATATATTTAGTATATTATTATTATTTGATTAATTAAAACGTAGGCCACGACACCGGAAAACCGGAAGAAAAGTAAAAATGACATGAATTAATAAACCAAAAATAAATTAAAAAAATCGCCCTCTCGTCAATCAACAATGGAATGTCGAATAAAAGAATTAAATAAAAAACACTTAATTATTTACAGTAAGGAAGAACCTTAGAACGAACGTAATAGTAATATTAACATAGTTTAGAAGAAAACCAACGCAAAGGAAAGTTTGAGCTTAACTAGTTTTTGTTGTTGTTGCTTTTCCTATTCTTTCTTCTATTTGATAGAAGCCACATCAGGCACTTTCCGATCACTTTTCATTTCCTTTTCTTTCTACACATTAAGGTACTTCGCATTTTCATTTTCCGAAATACAAATCGTAAACAGAATTTTGAAAAAAAAAATATAAACATGACATACATTGAATATTTAAGACCAGTTTTCCCAAAATTATTAATTAAAGTTTTACGCCTCTAACGGAGATTTGTTAGACATATCCACAATTTCGGCAATCGCTGACCAAAAAAAAACGTATTTAATACATGGTACACGCAATCTACGAGGGAAAGTCGGGGGAAAGTTTCGAAATTGTTTCGTTTCAAAGATTATTATTATTTGAGATCTCTAAAGTCTATGTCAAAACGTTCCCGACGATTGATTCAAATTGGATTTAAATGATTCAACTTTCAGAAATGAGAATGTCTTGATTATTAAAGAAAGTTAAAGAACGTATATGTATGTAAAAATATACCCAAATAATAAGTAAAAATTAACCCTAACGAAAGAATAATATTAATATTGATATAATATTTAATAGAGAAAAATAAATCACAGACCATAAATTAAAATAATTAATTAGAAGAGAAAATTAAAAAAAAAAAGTATCATAACGTTGAAAATATATTGTAATTTCGAATAAAAAATAATAATAAAGGATTTTTTGTTTGTGGTGTGTGTTTTGTTTGATATGTCAAGGGTTGCTTATATACGCTCGTATATAATATGTAGTTATATATGTAATGTAATTATATATGAGAATGAAAAGAAGATAAATATGTTCGTGAATGAATTGTTAAAAAAATACTGCGTCGTAAACTGAAGATACTCGAGAAAGTCAAAAAGTTAAGAACAACTGTGAATGCTTCCAGCTGAAGAAAAATAATTGTATAATAATAAAAATAATAATAATGGACACGTATGCAAATAAAATAAATTAGAATAATTTATGAATATATATATATATATATATATAATAAAATTTTAAAAATTAGAAACGAAACTGTCATAGATCGCTTGAATTTTGTAAGCACCAAATTCAACAAAATTGCTTGTTATTTTCTGTTTGCTTAACGCTCTTTTGTTGTCATTTTGTGAGATGGGTGTATTGGGAGGAAGGGTTTAATTGTATGGAGCACCGTCTACGCATCGGCCTGAGTCTCGAGCATTTCCTTGAGGAAAGTGTCGATCGGAACGTTCCGAATCAGACGAAAGAAGAACAGATGCTCCAAACATTTGAGCCCGATCGAGCGAAGGGCCGGAAGCCGCAGGAGAAGCTTTGCGAATCGGCCTGGCTCATTGGGATGCTTCGTCCTTGTGTACTCCTCGAGGACGGCGTACACCTTCTCCCTCAATATCTCCACTTCATTTATCGACTTTAAACCGCGCACATCTGTAAACAAACAAACCACACAAATGTCGTTAGAATGGATATCGTTTGACGCGATTTGTATTTAATGTACCTGAATTGAATAGGATTATGCAGCGCAGGCAGCCGATCTCCGTCTTGTCCATCTTCATTTCGCGCATCTTCGACACGAGCTCGGTGAGAACCCTGTCGAATATGCCGCCAACGCCGATCTGATGCGCGGAATTCCTAAAGGAAATCATCAATTAGTGGTAAGAGGTAGCCACGATGAGTGCATTTCCTCTGTTGCATACCTGTGGATGGTAAGGCCCGTCGCTAGGACGATACCCTCCTTCGCGTCGAATTCTGTGGTGCGATGCGAGAAGGCCGCAATGAGAAGCTCGTTCCATCCGGCCCTCAGGAGCAGTACCTGATCCATCACCGGAAGACCCGTGAAATGCGGTATGTGCTTCGCCCACTCCACCAGTTGATACAATTGCTTGTTCGTTGCTTGACATATGTTCGTGACGGCATTCTACAAAGACGAATTATCCATCATCATTACCACAAATCTATAATTATATTGATTGCTCACTTCTAATTCAGGCTTCTCCGATTTGCTGCATTCTGTCCTCCGCTCCGCCTCCAGGATCCTCTCAATCGGCATCTCCGAGTTGATGGTCGAAGTTGACTCCACCTCCGACGTGTCCCTCTCCTTCGTCCTCTGTCTCTCCTCCTGCACTGCCTCTCTCTTCATTCCCATCGCTAAACATTTCTGATAACGACAATACTGGCATCTGCAAAATGAACGATACATTTAAAAACACATCACACAAGTAATGTATAAAAATACTAATAAAAAAAACGGCATCGTCGCCGTCCACACTAGCTGCTGCTATCGATCAGGCGTTGGGGTAGGCCCAGACAAAAGCGTCGCGACGCCACAGACGCCGCCGCCACCACCTCCCACCTTTCCAAAAAAAAAGGCTGCTCGACAAGCAAACAACACAAGATCTGCATATCAATAGTAAACGGCCGTCTGCCGTGTCTTTTTTGTTTATTTCAAATTTCTTTATTTTTTGAGCGACGAGATGAGGTATGGTAATCTATATATACCTGTTCCGCTGTCGTTTGTCTATTGTACAATTCTTATCCTCTCTGCAGGCGTACGATAGATCTTTGCGGACGGTCCTTTTGAAAAATCCTTTGCATCCTTCGCAACTGAAAAACCCAAATTTTATTCATTAGAAAAATACACAGCACATTTATTAATACCTTCTCTTTACAATTACGAGTTAACAAACTTAAAATAATTTTCGCTATGTTATATAAAATGAAAATTAACAGTCTTCTTCAGTTATTTGAATCGTTGAAATATAATATTTTTACATTTTTTTATTACTAATTTAAAAATAACGCTTTATTGATATTCTTTGGTTTATTTAAATTAATGTAAATAGATCTCTTGGAAATAGAAAGGTATTTTTGTGTAGTACAAACACAATGAAGAAATATTATTCTCAACAAATTACATTGTATGACGAATGATGTCATTAAGATAAGAGATTAAAAGACAAAAAATCTGTAGGAATAAATAAAAACCAGCAGATAAACACGGAGGAAGCGGAGGGGTTCGTGAAACAAATGAATGAATTGCGGGGTATCGATTCGGTTGGTGACGTCCTTGGATGGCGTCCCCACCCCTGTCGTTCAAGGTCATCCGCACACCAAAACATAATAATAAGTATCGAAGCAAGGAACGGAGAATTTCGAAAACATATTTAAAGGTTTTTCTAATGTGACTTCGCTGCGCCTATGAATAGTAGCGGTGTCTGTACCGAAAATGAACAATGATTAATAAATAAGTAAAATAAGCAAAATATGAAATGTATTTATGTGCTCGGTTGTTCCGTTGCTTCGTTCTTGACCCCAAAGTGCAAGTGCAATTTCGTTTTTAATGAGCAGAGACGACGGCCAATTGGCGAACGGCAAATATTCGCGACCTTCGCCGAAACGAATATTCCAATCCTCTATGGCTGCTGCTTAGCACAGCCAGTTTTAGGTGTCTTTTTTTAGCCATCTTTTTCTACTTTATCTACGTATTTCTTTGTGTGTGTGTGTTATGTATGAAACCGAAGGTTAATCTGCTAAATTGCGGTCCCCCAGGTGTTTTTTTCGCGTCGTCGGTGCATCTCCTTCTCGCTCGTTCATTCGATTCTTCGTCTCGCTTTACGTCGTCGTCGTCGCCCACGTCTCGCACTATTTTGCATTCGCAATCATTCATCTATTATTTACGGTGATGGAAATGTGCCCATTACAACTTACAAAGTAACCAACTGTGTGTGCGTGCGTGTTCTCTCGCTCTTCTCGCATCTTGCTATTACTTTTCGCTCGCACCTCGATGACACATCCAAGTGTAATGATCTGCAAACGCGCGACAGTCTCCACCAATTTAGACATCATCTCTATTTACTCGCATCGCCTATCTTAATATTTGAACATGACCTTGTTCTCGACATGATCATTATGCATTTTAGTTCCATTTAAGAATGCAAAAGATTTATATTAGTTTGGCCAAATACCAGTGACGGAACTTCAAATATTTGTCCCCCGCGCAAAATATTCAGGCCCTTAAATTGTCCGCAGTTTTTTTTTTCTGAGTAACGAGTTATGGCTTCATAACTTAAAAAGAGAAAATCATAGAGCCAAACATTTAAAAAAATTAAGTGTCGGTTCTTGGCGGGCCACATTAAACATTTTTTTTTATCTTACCCCCCCATCATAGCTTCCAGCCCCCAGATTGCAAGGTCAGGCGGAACTATACCACCACTGCTAAACACAATCGCATCGGTCGATACGCGACGGAAATACAAACTTAAAACTTACAATAATGATGAAATATATAAATTGATGGATGTGAATCAAGGGTGTGTTTACTTTCTACCTTGACACATATTTTAAATCAACCCTCGATATCGATTTGTCTTCGACATATAAACGGCATTTAATACGACGACACACAGAAATAAATACAAAAAAAGTACCATGGTTCGTGGCTATTAATTGTTTCGTTAAGCGTGTATTTTATTACTTATTCTTTCCGACTTTTCGCATAAAGAGGGCGAAAAAAAATTCGTGTGTTTCATGTCTTTTCTAAGTATGGAAAAGACGTTAACCAGTTTCTGTTGTTCTGCTCTTCGACCTTGATATTGTCGGAACGCGCGCGTTCAGCGTAAATTGTATGCGCTCTATCGTTCCCGCAGCTCGATGCAACATTGATAACTTTCTCATCTGAGGTCTGATATTTGCATCTTCGCGTAATAATTTTTCAGTGACAAATCTTCCGTTTTTTTTTTACTTTTGTGTAGATACAATGAAAATGTAATTAAAATATCAATATTTCACATAGACATAGGTAGGGTGAAATAAACGAACGTTTTGCTTGTTATAAAATGGTTACGGGCGATTTGTGGAAAATGTATTTTTATGCTGAAGGGTGATATTAAATGTTGTGTGAAAAGGAGATATAGTCTATTGAAAGAAAACAAAAATTTGGCATCGGTTTGGCAGTAGTTATTTAGCGGGCTGTCAAATAGACAGGTGCGCGATCATGATGTGAAATGCAACAAAAAAAAACTTAAAAAATAGTATGTGTGTGTGTGGATATTATGTATTCATACATACACCTGCGCGACATTGAGAGAACAAATTGGCGGAAGCAACATTTGCATATACGACGACTAAGCCAAGGACGCGAGGGGAAACTTTATTTTCTGTTCTTATTTTTCTCACCTATAAACTCCGTAATGTTTTCCGCTGGCTCGGTCTCCGCAGATGGAGCAGAGATGTTTGGATCCGCTGAGCGGATGGTTCGGGGGATACGGAGAGCCGACGCCCTTGGCGCCGCCACCCCCGCCCCCCGGACTGAGAATATTCGAGTGGGCCATGGAGAAAGAGCCGGGGCTGTGGGGGCCGCCTTGTGGGCTGAACTGCCCCGACGAGATTAGGGTGGCCGTGTCCGGCTTCATATCCAGCGGCGACTGCGGACCCATGGACCCCATCGACGACAAGCTCTGGTCCAAAGTCAAGCCGGTAACTGTAGATACAAAAGAACAAGAAAAAAAGATTAAAAATAAACATCTGATAATTGGTTATTCGCAAATTAAAACAAGCATCAACAACGGGAACGCCGAGTGGGAGGGGCGGAACTCGAGCGAAGCACCGCCCCGACCCGACCCTGCAGAACGATTGGCCCGATCGGATCGCCACGTCCGCCTCCCTTGATTCAATTTCAAAGGTTCTTGTTATTCATTGTTTTTGTTGTTGCTCGCGTTATTTTTTCTCAGGGCGAATGCAAATATTGAATACGAGAGCCGAGCGTCGGTACGCCGTGTGTGAATAGGAGCGAATCGATTCATATTATGAGTGACCTTGGGACTTGTTCAAAACGTAATTACTTAATTGGAATTTCTTCGTACGGCGCTCGCTACTAGCTCGAAAATTACAAGATCTGTATGCACATACACAAGCAGGCAGCTCGCTTCTCTTATTATTATTTACTCTTTCTTTTTTTTATATCGTACCCCTCTTTGCGATATAATCGACGCGCGGAGGTGGACGAAAACAAAATTTAAAAAACAACCGAGTCCATTGTTTGTGTTCATTCATCATCAACTTCAATATCATCATCATCTCCTTCGTGCTTCGGTATTTTTAGAGCGACCTTGGATCGTTCTAATGTGTCACTTGTATGTATATATTGTATGTGTGTGTGTCTGTTTGCGAATGCGTGCATTAAAGAAAACAACAATCAGAAGCTCGGAGCGTGTATCGCGCGGGAGCAGGAAGAGAAACAAAGAAAGAAAAATTATATACGACAATAATAAAAGAAGAAGACAAAGATTGTCGTCGTGATAATTATGGCATCGTTGTCGCAAATATTTATATTCCACCTACTCCGGCTCAAGTCTAGACAAGGCAGCACACATTTATCCGTAAAGCAAGAAAAACAAATGAGCAGACAAAAAAAAACAAGAAACAACGTCTGCAACAATGGATGCCATTGACATGGTCTATGACAATAGATTAACGACACACCTTGACTACTCTCTACTCTAATGTAAACGGTGGTGGTGATGACGCTACTGCTAATTGCAAACTGTCACATAGAGAAGAAGATAACTTTGTTGATTTATTTATATTTTTGTCTTTACTTGTCTCAGACTTGTGTTTGTGTTGCAATTTCGGCAAATAATTCAAATTTCATTTCCTTCAATGTAATTGTTAAACTGACCTCTTATTACACGATACTTGTCAAATAACTATTAATAGACTCGACTATCCTAGTAACAAAGAAACATTTTCATTCTGCTTGTATAAGTATTTGGAAATATGAGATTACTCATATTTCGTACACACTAAGTTTCACATATAATTTCACTCTAATCAATTGTCATGTTAACATTTACGAGTTGAGAGTGCAAATTTAATTTTTACATGAACAATCAGAAAGAAATTATAGAATATGAAATTATACTGACTTATTACACTATTGCTGAAGCATGAGTTCTTATTGGATCTGATCAAATATTAGAATTGTGGGAAAGTCAATAAATCACTCTGACGTTAAAATGTCAAATTGTTTGATAACATGGACGAAAGAAATCAGTTGCTGTATCAATTGAATCGACTAATTGAAACGTGGAGTTAAAGGAAATGTCTGTGAAGTGTTGTTTTCTGTGGAAATTTCGGCGATGACATCACGTATCGAATAATTAAGAAACCATTAAGCGAAATATGCGTGGAACTGAATTCTTGCGATTGATTAATCATTGCAGCTAATTGTGAAATGTGCATAGAAAGTTAATTTTAAAGAGACGCATTTTCACCCAATTGACACAATTAAACGAATCTTTTTTTCACGTCCACATAGCACAGATCCATTCCTATTCGAATTTGCTGATAATGCGCAAACGTAAAGATTGGTTTATCTCTGGGAATTGTAATATATAAAAGAGTCGATCGTTTTTCATTCGTTAACTATTGGCTATTATCCGTTGGTGGTTGTTCAATAATGGTTGTGATGGGTATTATGAATGTATGAATGAATATGATTGGGTGGTTATTAGGTACCTAGGGGTAGTCCGGGTGGACCTAGTCCAAGGCCGCGGCCCCAATGCTGGGCCTGGGCGCCCTGGATGATCGCCGTGACGCTCATCATCGGCTTCTCTTTCTTCATCATCTTCCTTCACCTTCGCCGATCGACGACAGACCGATCGAACAGAGGAACAACTAAGAACAACAACAAATTTCACCACCCACGGCGACGTGCGTCGCTGGAACTGAGCGTTGGCTTCGGCTCCGCGGCCAACAACAAATAACAAGCAATAATAATCAGCCAGACAGACAGTCGGAAGGCTATTACGGGCGCACTGCGATAAACCGAAAATTCCTTTCGCTTTACATATTTTTAAATTGTTTGCTTCGAAAATATATATTATCGGATATCATTGTTTTCTTTTTCTGCTGCTGCTTCCTCCTTCTGTTTTCTTCCAAACTGTCTATTATATATCGCAGCTCGTCTTCAATTAATTACATGGTCTCCTTGCTGCTTCTATTGTTGTTGTTGTCGTCGGTTCTTTTTGCGCTGGTTACGAGTCTTTGAAGGCTTCAGAGATTGGCGACCGACGTCTGAACGTCGCGGCGATTGCACGACTACTACTGCTGCGCTACAGCTCGCATTCAAACACACACACACACGCGCTTAACTCATCGCTTGTATAGTAGGAAACACGCACACACACGTGCAACGGCAGACCAAATCGGCCGCACAGACTGACTGCCGAGCGGCGGCTGATTCACCTGTCCAAAACTATCGAGAAATACCTCCAAAAAATAGAACAGAGTGCAAACAGACGGATGATCCGACCCGCACCTGTCAATGTCAAGAAAAGTCAACAACAACAAAAATGACGTGATCGTTACCCGGCAACTGCCAACTTTAGCGTCAAATTTATATATGACTGAATGACTTATTGATGATCAGTGGATTGGTCTGCAACGATCTCCTAAACTTGACAATGATTGTTACATTAGTTTACATTTAAATTGAATTGTATTTCCTAAGCGTCTATTTCAATATATTTTCAGGGAGAATAACTTAAGATATTTCGATTAATGTTCACAAACAGAATTTAACAAGTACGCAAACATTTTGGACACTTAGTTTTCATATTTTGTTTTATTTATACTTTGTAACAAAATTGACACTCTCGACATATTGAGTAAATCTGTATTTCGCATTATTTGTAAAGGAACTTGTTGAAGCAATAAGTAGGAAATACGAAAAGTATTCAGACTGCTGATTTGTGTAAGAAAAACTTAATTTATATTCCTCAACCGAAATTGATACTTAATGATACAATGAGGGTAACAATAAGGAAAGAGTATCGGATGCGGAGTTGCGTAAGCTGAAATTCAATACGATTAACCTTTTACGAATTAGTGGAAAATCTGTATCGGGAACAGAAACATTTTATTTTATGCGACGCTTCCTTTTTTTTCCATAAGCAACAAAGATTTCCAACAATGGAGAAATGTCAAGAATCATAATTATGAAATATAAAGTTCGATTTGACTTGATCAATTGGTGTTCCGATTGGACTAAACGTTTGTATATGTAGTTTTTCAGAGTTGTGCGAAAACGTGAATTTATGTGTGTGGTCTTCTCAAAATGCACCGGTGCAAATTGCAAACGGAAATCGTTCGAAGGTCGAGCGGTCTCCTCGGAGACCTCTCTGCAGATTAGAGTCGAAGAAAGCTGACGGGGAGCGAAAAAAACAGAAGAATAGAAGAGAAACAAAAAAAAACGGAGCGACACTTCCAAGGCCGGTTTCACAAACAAAAAATCCGCGTATTTTTAAAACGTAGGCAAAAGGGACGACCGAACGACCAATGTGCCAATGTTACGTAAACGTATAATGCAAGAGATTCAGAACGAAGGAACGAACGACCGACCATATATCATAGGTTGCTTCATGCATCTTCATTCTAATTTTTTTTTCATCTCGTCTCGACCCACATCTTAAAATTATCCGCGCTTTTGTCAGAAAAAAATAGAAACGGAAAAGTCTGGACGGAATTGCGAAACTTGCGTTGTTGCGGAATTTCGTTGGTCGTAGAACGATAATTAAAGCGCCTGTCAAAAAGGAATTCCAGTAAATGTTAAATAAAATATTCTTGATCGATTTGAAATGCCTGTAAGCAATTGTTATTTTCTAAATGTAAAAGAAAAGTTAAAAATATTATTGAATTCGCAAACAATTTAATCATTTTTTTCTTCCATGTATGTTATAAATTATTAACAAATTTATTTTAAAAATTGGCCTTAAAAGAAATAGAATCAAATTCTACAAAAATATGGGAAATAGACAACAAAAAATTCTTATCTTTTGATTTATGGGAAATAATAATAATAAAAAATCTTTATTAGTTACCAATTGTAACCAAAGTCTTTCCGCCAATGGGAAATATTTTTTAGACATTTCAATTAAGAAATTGACATTGATATTTTTTTTATTAACTAGACCATAATTGTGTCTATTATGTTTATTAGGAAATAAATAAAAGAGCAGTGTTTTCAGTTATATTCCGGAATTTATTGTTGGCGAAGAGAGCGCGGCGGGAAATCGTCGGAGTTGTTGTGTAACGTGCGAAAGACCAATGAGGAAGAGCCAACCTTGACACGAAGCATGAGGGGGGCCGCGGGACCATTTGGCAGGAGGAGCGATTGGGGAGATCCCCTTCTGTTCACCGCTCAAGGTCAAGGGCAACGTACAAACATAGCCGCTCTTGCTGCTGATGTTCCTGCTACTGCTGCATGCATGCATTCGTCGTGCAGCTCGATAGACCAAACCGCGCTGCTGCCTCTCCGAACTGGGTCACCTCCTCCTGTCGATGCGCCCATACCATGACCATAGATCTGTTCCGTGCTATGCCTTGATCTTCCTCATCCTTTTCTTCCATCTGCTCCACCTCATCAATCGCGCATTTCCGAGCGTAACTCCTGCATCGAGATATCATTTGATAATTATGATGATAATCATCATCATCAGCGTGATGACGACCGCAAAAAACAAATGGATGACCGACCAGTTCACCTTGGAAAACTAGGCCCCCTTTTATAGCCCCCTCCCGACAATAATAATAACAAATCTAAAATCGGATTCGCGTCTGCTGGCAGATCAATCTAGCATCCGCTCCGATGCATCTGTACGCGAAACAAAAGCAATATTTATATATACCCGATACGAACAAATCGAAACGCGAAAGCTTTCATTTCAACAAAAACATGCGCCTCTGTTTTTCTGCACTCTGATTCGCATGTGACAATGACGTTTGACTAAAATTACTTGACAGATCAACAGTACTTTTAATGTCTGCATCAAATTATATAAAATTTATAATTCTTCGTTCATTTAGCTTTCATGTGAATATGTGGATTTGATTTTAAGCATTCTGATTTATGAGTAATTCATTAAAATGAGATGACACTACATAAAAATTAATTATTCAAACTATGACATTAAATTACACAAAATTTATAAACAATACTTGTATATTTTATAAGAAATTCACACATTCAAGCTGTTATTTTAAAATATCAAATTTAATTATTTCAAAAATTAAACTTGCAACTATTCCAAACAGCATTTTGAATTACGAAATTTGTAAAAGATCTGTAAAAAAATGAAGTTCATCGACCAAATTTATAAAATTAATTTTAAATTTCACTTTTAATGCAAATTTTCAGGAAACTTGAAAATACGATTTTCATTTTACTCAAGTCATGTCTTTTTTAAATTCTTGAATAAATACTTAAGTAACATATAAATAAATTTCCTTTTTTTCGTGTTTTTACTGTACTAAAATAAAAACATGAAATATTATTTCAACGCGTTTCTTTGGCTTTTGTGGTGTTGGCGTTTATTTATTCTGTATTTATTGTTCTGTTCCGAAAAAATAAGATTTTATTTATTTGCGTAGTGTGGTGTGTGTGTTATTATTGTACTTATGCTTATATATTTGCTTTGCGTACCGCCTTTTAATCGCGTCTCGGTTTCTGGACGCGCTTTCTGGGTATTATGGATCTTGACCTTTCTCAATGTGAAATTCCTTTTTGAGATCATCTGGCAGATGCGGCAGCGGCGACGTATGAATGCGTTCATGTATATATTGCAGATATGCACAAGATCAAGTGTGCTCAACATATACGAGAACAAAACGAGAGAGGAGAGGAGGAAAAAAAAGCAGAGAGGAATACAAAAAAAATAAACAAAAACCAAAAGGAAACCGTGGCCAGAAATATCCCAATTTATTTTTAGAAACTTGTTGCGGGCGTCGCGCTTCTTCTACACCATATTATATATATGTGATGTGTGTATGTGCACACATAACCTTTTTCCCCCATGACTTCCCTCTCTTTCCTTCTCTCGTTTGTTTGTTGTTCGCTACAGTTTTGTTTTTGTATGTTTTCTTTTCGCTGTTTTGGCGCGTTTGTTTTCGCGATCAAAGTGCGGGTCGGGTCTTTCACATCAAAAGACGTCACCGCTTTCGACGGTTTACTTAAAAAGCTAATTTCTGCTCTCCTCTAAATTTAAATGCCTGTTTTGATAGTAGAATGCAAATAAATCACGAATTCCGGCTGCACACGGATTAGTCTCTAGTCTCCAACTGAATGAAACGCCCAATATAAACGAGATACCACCGGTAACGCCGTCTTCAACATTATCATCAAAAACAATTTCGAAAATTCCTTCCATTGACTGTTTGACGTTACACCTCAAATTACTTATCAATGTTCATCATATTTACATAGAAAATCACCACGTTTCCTTAACTCTTTAAGGGCGGTGTTGTACCACCTTTAGAAAAATTGAAACTTTCTGTGTGGGGCCACTTTGGTCAAAAAATTTAGGAATTTCTGGCCCTTTGAAAAGTTAAAGAACCAAAAAAAATCAACCAATTATCGGAAATTCGCGAGTTCACTTAAAAGGTATCACGGATCAATAAACATTTGTTATTGCATGTTTGATTTGCGGACAAATTATTTAGTGAGTTTATCTAAATTGAATGTCTGAAAAACAACAAAAAAAAACAATTACAACTATTTAAAAAAAATCCTGTTAAATATTCAATTTGATTCAAGAACGTGAAAATGAAATCATTTCATATGCAACAATTGCTAATATAATAATCAATAAAAGTTATTAATACTTAATACTATATGATGATACATGTTAACAGTACAGTGGAACCTCGCTTAGCGAGCAAAATGAATTGTAAGAAAAATGACTCGCTTAACGAACGATCATTCGCATAACGAGTGACGATAAGAAGAGAAGTCCCGGATTGCGCACCTGCTACATCATTTTTAAAACTTGTGTACACATATTATGTGTATTTTTGAATATGTTTCACTATACGAGTAAAAAACCGGAAATTTTAAAACGGATTAAACTCGTTAAACATGAAACATTAATTATATAGATTTCAATGCAGCGTTTTCGAAATTGAAATTGATTGGCATATTTTGTATCTGAATATTTCATCGGTACCATTGATTTTAGCGCTGCAGTTGGCTTATTCCGATGAAACATTCGGATGTTGCGCTGCAATTAAACTAGACCACCCCCACCGCAAAACTGGGTCACCTGTTTTTTCTCCCAAACAGAAGCATATTTAATATATTTTCACGAGCCATTTCGATGTCTCTATAGAAAAACGCTAAAAAAACATTTCTCTGAATAAATCCTTCATTCGCGTCAAAAATCATAATCTCGAATTTTCACAATTAAACAAATTTTGATAAATCAGTTTTTATTTTTATTTGCATATTAATTTAATTGATATTTTATAGCTTTGCAAGATATTAATTCAATATTATAACGTTATAAAGTAACTATAAAACTAATTAGATATCTATTTCTGCGTAACCATATTTAACACGATTTCGTTAATATTTAGTAACTGAATGTTTTTAACCATAGTTGAAAAGATAATGTATGAACAAATAAAAGCAAATGTCGAATACTTTCCATTATTATTTAAAATATAAATTAATTAAAGTAGAAATTCGTGACACCTGTTGGTGAATCGCCGAACTAACCTTGGACATTTGCAGCCAGCATAATTTTCGTATTACCTTTAGCTCGCCAGATTATCGTAGCCAACACTGCGTTTTGGAATGAAACAATTACTAGCAACAACTCATGTTTGTTTAAAATGTTGTTGATCAAAAATTATTACGATTTTCTTTACCTTTCATTATTTATTTTTACTGAAGACGTCGTCGTATTGGAATTTGGGTTAACTTATATACGCTTGGTTTGCATGAATTATTGTCACAGATGGAGGTTTCCAATAGAAATGTATTGAAAAATTGGGAAATTGTTCATTTCCTTGGAGGGTATGCGCGAAAATCTCGAAGTAGATCCGGTCCGGCGAGGGAAAGGCGGTCAGTGAACCAAATGTGCCGACCCTGACTTTGCCATTGCCCTTTGCTTGATTGTATGTATGTCATTTTCGGGGTTCGCAGGAATGCTAACAGAATGGACCCCACTTACCTCTCTCCGATGATTCCATGTCCTCCGCTCGGTGCAACCCACCAACCAAATTGAATTCACCTCCGTTACTTCAACCTATTCACCACCGAAACAATTGCACGCACTCACAAACACAACAGCCTACTTTTCGCACCGTAAACATGGCCGAACGCGATGGCGCCCAGCACACATCAAGACCTGTCAAACAGGAAACATAGGCAATACATCGCACATATCAACACCGTATCACTGCATAACCAGCGAAACCAAACTAATCCGAATTTCTTTTAGACTCTTAAAACAATCTCAAATCAAAAAGTACTTAATTAAAATTCCCTCAACTTTATACCTTAATTAAAAATAAATTTTCTCGAATCTTTTACTTTCATAACGATGAAACCGCATTAACAACTTAAAAAAATCGATTTGCCGATATAAACTCATCAAACTTCTTTCACCTATTAAAGGAGTTACAATATAATTTAACCAATAAAATCAATTAATAATTAATTTTTTTTTTTTTTTTTTTTTTTTTTTTTTTTTTTTTTTTTTTTAAAATAGAGATTTATATCAATTTATTTATTGATATAAATCTCTCCGGCCCTATTTCTACCCCTTTCGGGTTTAACAGCCACCACAAATTTTTGTTGATTTTCGGAATTGAACCAACGACATTTCGTATCAGATGTTCGTGATACAGGCGACCATAGCCACACGGCTACGGCCGCCCTCCTTAATAATTAATCATTACCACAAAATTATTCAGTTGGTAGACCGAGTGTCATCATGCAAGTGGCCATTGGTGGCCATAACAATTCAAACTAATATTTAACCGCTTTCTTTTTTTCCGTTTTTCTTTTTATTCCTACTGTTTCAATATTTTATTAGACTATTTTAAGTATCCTACTGCAGGATGTCGGAACAGGGTGCGGCTTTGCAGACCTACAACCAAGAGCTAGTAAAGTGTAAAGTAAACTGAGGGAAATTAAAATTGATTGGGTAGTGTTTTAATCTCTCACAATTTTAGGTTTGGAAGACCTGAAGAGGCAACGGATTCATCTGCAGGAGGTGATTGGTAAGGAGGAAGCTGACAAACTGGTGGTGGAGAAGAACATGAAGTGTTTGCAGAATAAATTGAATTTGATTAATGCCAGTTTGGAGACTAACAAAATGCTCAGGGATAACTACGATAAGGCTATCAAAGATACTGAGCAGGGATTTAAAAAGGTTGATTAATTGCAATGTTTTGAGTAAGAAAAAATATGAACATTTTCAGTTGTAGATTTTGGAAACATCCCAAACATTGCTAAACTTGGCACAGCATGAGGCAAATAAGTTGGATGGTATAGTGACGAGGAAGAAAAAGTCCCAAACAATGTATGAATAACGTTTTAAGTATCTTGTAACTATTTTATTTATTAAAGAAATTTTAAATAATCAAATGTCTTGTTTAATGTTTGATTTATGACCAGATGAAATCTAGAGCAAGGTGTTCTAAAATTTCGCTGCAGTCAATAAAAGTTAAATCCATTTATTTACATGAGTATTTACAAATTGCTTCTAATGCTAAGCATTTCCTAGAGATTTCTGTTCGTTCCAAGCTTGCAGCATCTCGCCAGGTAAGAATCCGTGCGACGCGACAGTAAATCTGTAATCATCTTTGCTGTACGACTTCTTGTAGTAATGAAATTCGTCGGAATGGAAGGGCTCAATGTGCGTTTTCAACGCAAGCAATCCCAAGTAGATATCGTCAAATCGGAAGTGATGAGTGTAAAAACTCGCCAAGTACATGTCTATCATGGCGCTCCGCGAGAAGAGAACGGCTCCGGCCGTGACGTAAGGGGGCCATCTATCGTACGGGTACTCGTTGAGATTCACGAACCATTTGCTGAAAACGTGCCTGTGGGGCTTCGAGTTGAACACGAACCCTGTATACAATTTTACATCATCTGGAAGCTCCATGTCAATCTGCCTCTTCACTTTATTCAATTCCAAATAGGCAGGGTAATTTGCTGGGTTTCTCAAATACCTAAGTACGTTTTTCGTAGAAACGTAATAATCGTCGTCTGTCAGCATGAAGTATTTGGCCTTCTTGCAATTGTTATAGGCCCACTTTAAACCGATCATGGTTTTTATGGTATTATTGAAATATGAATCTGTAAAATTTGCTTGCAGCAGATCACCAAACTTTTTTTGTTCTTCATCCAACAGGCTTTGAATGTTCTTATTCTGATAACCCAGAAGGAAAACTCTGCGTATCTCCACATCAGAGAACCTCTTCTCAAAGCCCCAGCTCTCCCTGATGGCTATCCTCCTGTTGAAGTGCTCTGGTGCGGATTTCACCAAATACACGAGCCTCACTTCGTCGTTTCCCACACATTTCTTTGTTTGATTGTAGATGTAGGGATAGGGATAAAAATTGATTGGTTTCACCATCGGCTTTTCATCGTTCTTCAGCTGATCGATGAACTCCTCGAGGGGCCCATCGTACGGATACCGGAAGTTCTTGTGGAAGTCCTTCTCAAAGAAGAGAGTCGTCAGACCGAACAGCTTCGCAGCGAACAAAAGAACCAATGCTAAAAGGACGTACTTGATTTTTCTCTTTGCCGACGATGGCAGCATGAATACGTTATGTTGTTGCATCGTGCGCTTCATTGAAATCGTACTCAACGCACATTATTTCTGTGGAAATCTTACTTCCAAAAATCCTCTTTGTCTCTTTTCTTTCTTCTTGCCACTTCCTTCAACCAACTACGGTGTTTACCAAATCTTATCTGAAGATAGCTGCGAAACGTCAAAGGTTTTTTGAACTGTGCGCTGTTTGCCTATATGAGATTATTTCAAATCTTTAAAATTAAGTTTTACATTTTGGGATTCTTTCAAAAAATATATTAAATATAAATTTTTTGTACTTTTTATGTTAACTAATGACTAATTCCATTTAAAAAAATAGAGTTACCTAAAAAACAAGTATAACTCAAAATTTAACATTTTTTTTTCAATACAGGCAATACATATGAAAAATATAAATGCAAAGCGTCATCATATTACAATGTATTGAGGAAATGTCGATTTTTTTTCAGTCATCATTATCCACAATCATTACAGTTTAAACAAATTTATTAAAATTTGTTATTTTTCTTGTAGTCTTCTATATATTTTTTAGTCATATTCAAGTAGTGCAATTCCATATCATATTTATACAGAAGGTTTAAGTTCCCCGACAGTCGCAGCGATTCGAAGAAGGACAGGTCCGACCGGAAACTGAAAATAATATCATAAAGCAAGACCACTGAATCCTCGAAGAAAACGGTCTCGGACATCAAGTTCTAGAGATTTCAACATAACACTCAGATGAAATCCAAATAAAACTTTGAACGTAATCATCGTTATCCATATCAGCAAGATCCATCTCCGCGAAAACGTTTACCAATCCATCTATGGTCGAGCACAAATCCATAAGCACATCCTTCACGAAACTGTGCAGCATCTTGAGATCCAAACCAATCTTGCTGTACTTTTCGTATCCGTCCTCGTAACAATTTGTCAATTCCATTGTACAAAACATTTTTACGCGAGTCGCATCAATATCGCGCGGTTTCTCGTGTGAATCCAATATCCTCTCGGTTATCTTGATCAGGTATTTGCTCAGGTATTCAATATCCATTTGCAACATTAACGGTTAGAGCGAATTTGCCCAAAATTTCGGATTCGTGAAGGAGTCGTTCGCATTCTTGCACTATCATAGCCTTAATCAGACTCTCGCAATTTTCGTGTAACTGAAGCAAATTCAATTGTGAACAAAAACGAAACTATTTATTTAATTTCGCTTACTACTAAATACGCTTGTCTATTTTTCTGCAAACATTCATTATCAATCTCTTGCGAAATCAATACAACAGATTTCTTCAATGTTTCCAGTTTCTGCTCAAATGACTCCATCATAATAATATTTATAATTCGATAAATAAAAGACCGCGCACTATTCTACACGAAACTACACTGATGTTGCAGACTGTTTATTTAAATCCTATTGAAAAAAAAACAGTACATATTGATTTTGATAAAATTGCGATTTTTTAAATAATTTTATTTTCAGAATTATTTATAAACTAATATAATTGAAACTCCATTATTTGTCTAGTTATTATTGTTGCATTAAACAATATGTTGCTATTCGTTGTGTCAGTGTGAGCGTCGAATATTTGGAAATTGTATAGGTACGTTATAGTGTTGATAATGAAGTATCTTAATTAGTTAATTTATTGGTGATGTCTTGATCTTGAACGATAAAGAAAGCAGTGATTGTCCAGAATGAACGATCAATCAATGTTTGTGTTTGAACTCGGCGAGTTGAGGAAAAATGTAAATGATTTATGCGAATGTCCATTGAAATTGGACGATTCTCAAACGAAAGACGTGAGTAGAATTGATGTTTTTCTTTAAAAGGAATATGAAGATTGTATTTATTGATTTGCAGATGGTGCGCGAATGCGTTAATATTATAAAGCACGTTGAAATGCAGAAATGCAAAGATTTGAAGTGGACTGCGAAGATGTTTAAGAACATCGCCTCACACTTGGAGCAGTTCAAGAACTTCAGTTGTTCCAATCCCATTGTATCTGAAAATATTAAACACCGGATGGATTCGTGCATCGGGATGGATTACCTTCTGCCCAGTTTGAAAATTGATGTCGATAGTTTGGAGAATTTTTTGCGGAGCACTTCGAAAGAAGTATTGCATTTGCACGCCGGCATTAGGCACGAGACTGTGAGCTGGAAGAAACGGGAGTGTCTGGAGGATTTGAATAAATTGTACAAGATCGTCCATACGAAATACTGCAAAGTTAACTGCGGCCTACACGAGGTGCTTAAATACGTTAAGGAGTTGCTGCTAGAGCAGGCAAAAGCAATTTCCCAACTCGATATGGTGATGGATTACATGGACAATGTTAAGAGTTACATCGTTTTAGATGGAAGTTATTTGAAGGATTTCAGGGAATCCGTTGAGAATCCGAACCCGAGGATCGAGATGATCCTGCTTAGATCGCTGGAGATGACGAATTGCGATGATCGCCGCGAGTTTTGCTTCGAGGAATTGCACGAGGTGTGGATGGAATACGCCGATCTAGAGGAGAGTTTGAACGACTTGAAAGAGGTCATTTGTAATTTGCAAGAATCGCATGACTTGTTGCAGACTGTCGGAGAGTCTATCGCGAATTTTAGTCTTCTGTGCTCGTACGATTTACAATTGCACTCGATCGAATCACAAATTTCGATGAATTCAATGACTTTATGATTTAAAGTCAAGAAAATGAAGGCAATCGGATGTGAAATTTAATATCCGATGCAACAAACATTTTATATTTGTAAGATTAATATAAGTTTTCAATTTTGATACATGATTGATTATAATGATAATAATAAAAGTATATTATGTGTACGCTCACATCTTATTCCTTTATTGCTAAAATATTTTCAATGTGCCGCTGATAGAGTTCGATGTTTTCTATATCGAATTCACGACGTTTAGCCACCAAGATCATCGAATCCCTCAGGATCTCCTTAAGTTGCGAATCTTTCCTGTTCTTCTCGCCGAAAACTTTGGCGAGGTATGTCTCGTCATCGTCTTTGTCGTACACGGAGAGCTGATTCAAATTCAAAGTTGTTTTCCACAACTCCGCCTTCTCATCGTTCACCTTCTTCAGGTGAGCGTCTTAGTTCGCGTCGGCGACAGAATTGGTCGATGGATCCAATTCCTGTGTAACATCCATATCTTTAATTCAACTATCTCTCCAAATTTTACTTCTTTCTCGGTCTTATTTTTAATGAATTTTCAGCACGAACCTCGACCGCCTATGAAACTAACTATATATAAATACAGTGTCATCTTTTGGATTTTGAGTGCCTGTGCAGTGGGGGTCCGCAATGTATGGGTAAGGTACAATTTTAATACAACATTCCACAAAAAAAAATGTGGGTTGACATACAAATAATTGTGAGAGCAGGGTGGTGACTTCACAAGAAAAAAATTGTAAGAAAAAAACATTGTGTGCTAAGAAAAAAATATGAGTGAGGATATCTAACACGTTTGGGGAGGGGGCATAATCAACCTCCGCATAAATAGTATTTATGTGCTTATTAAGTTATCTGGACAAATATTTCCAAGATTGTATCCAAATTATTCAATAAATAATAATAAATACAATGATGAACAAAGCGACGAAGAAGAAAATCAAGCCATAGCTTGCAAAACATAGACCTGTTTCAGAAATAAATCGTCTACATTCTTTCCTTTTTGAAATCATATTTCAATAGAGTAATATTTTATTGATATTCGTTTTTCTATATAGTTATGTATGAAGTAAATTTTATTTTCTTACAGTTTTATATAATATTCAAGAATTTTATGAATGAAAATTTGAAAACAGGCTTTGTAGAAAAGATGTTTTTTGTACAAACCCTAAAAAATACGATACAATCTTCTTAAATATCACACGAGAGAGAAATTTAAAAAAATTCAATATCACACGTTTTTGTTATTTTTTTGCTAGCATTTTAAAATTGTTGAAACATAAATTCAAAGAATAAACTTCGTATTCATTTTAAAACTAAAATATTGTCAGAAGGCACAACATTATTTCTTCAGCTTTTTTTCAGGACCTTCTTAATTTTGCTTTCGATTGAGTGCAGCTTCATGTCGTTGTTGTAGAGGATTTCGAGCGCGTTGAACAATCGGAGAGATTCGAAGAACCAAAAGTCTCCGTGAAAGCTTAAAACGAAATCGTAGAGCTTCGATAAGCAGCGTCCAATCTGGACGCGTTCCTTCTTCAAATCAATTAACTCTTTTAAGCAAAATGATCTCCTCTCCAAGCAATTACCTTTATCCAGGGATCTCATTAAAATCAATTCAATCGTCGAATTCGGTTTCACGTTGAACGTCAAATACTCTTGCACGTAGCACTTGCTTTGCAGCATGCACTCATCGATGCGTCTGATGTAGTTGATGGCATTTTCGATTATGTCTATTGATCTTATCAACATTTGAAGCGACGTCTTCAGAGCGTACTGGATCTCATCCAGGTTATTATCTAACTGTCTGTATTTGATGTATCCCACATTGTAACAATATCTCAAATTCACTGTTGCGACCTTCTTCCACAGAGATTCATCTTTCGATCTAATGAATTTGTGCGTATCTGAAATATATTTGCTGATGTACAGTTGTCGTTGCCACAGGTACTCGATGTCCATCTTTAAGTTGGGTAACAAAGAGTCCATAATGTTGGTCGAATCCACAACTTTCTTCACGAATTTGTCCACCTCGATATTCTCTGAACATCTGAGATCCTTCATCTCGGATATTTTCGAAGCAAAATTCTCCAACACCTTCGAGTGCCTGTTCAGCAATCCGCACTGCCGAAATTCTATCTGTTCTATAAGGTTTTCGCAATCATACAACAACTATAACAAAGAAATAGTGATTATATCAATTGAGAAAATCCAACAAAAATACTTACATTTTCGGCAATTTCTTCATCGAAATTCTCTTGAGTTTCACATACAACCACTGGAAATGGTGTTGTTTGGCTTAAGTTAATGAGATTACACTTTATAGTTCTCAATTGTGGGATTAATGTATTTTCCATTTTTTTTAAATTTTTAATGTTATTAGTTTTGCAGATGAATAATTCAAATTATCAACACCTTCTTCTAATAGCTATAACATTCATCACATTAAATTATTTAAGTTGTTCAAAAAGTATTTATGTAAATAATTGTTACGGCTCGTCATAATGTAAAATCAGCTTAGTTTCACTGCAGGGGTCATTTTATTTATTAAACCAAAATTCCACTTGTTCAATGTTGTCCAATTATTCACATTGTTCACTTACTCTTATATTTCTTCCACTATGAAAATTGTGGAAGCATGCTATTTAGTGCGCGGTTGAATACAGTCAACGATTAACAAAATAAATAAATCAATAAAAAAAATCGACAAATCAATAGATAAAATAATATAAGTGATTGTACTCATCTGTATCTGTATACAACAATATTGATTATTGAAAACTAACTTAAGGTTCATATGAAAATAAATCAATAATTTATTATTTATTAATGTTCATCTCCCCTCGCAGTTCCGTATATCCGACGTCCCCCGACTCCATTTAAAAAATAAAGATTGATAGAAGTTGGGAGAGATATTTTTAAGAAACTAAATTGCTTCAAACTCTGCTATAGGTGTATTATTGAAAAAATGAATATATATAAAAGAGATTTATATCAATTTATTTATTGATATAAATCTCTTCCGGCCCTATTTCTACCCCTTTCAGATTTAACAGCACACATTTTTGTTGGTTTTTGGGAATTGAACCAACGACCTTTCGTATCAGATTTTCGTGATACTAAAGCCACGAAAAAAAGAATAGTTCCAGATGGATGTTACGAGTTTTAAATTTAAATTCAGTGATTTAGCTGTTCAAAGTTGGTATATTGGTTGGCATCATTTTTGCCGCTTAACTTAAAGAAATGTCAAATTATTTAAAAGGTTCTTGTTCAGCTTATAATAAACTTGTATTGGTGTAAAAATGGGAATTAAAGATCTCTGGACAATATTGACACCATTCTGTGAAAGAAAACCGCTTTACGAACTACAAGGAAAGAATGTTGCTGTTGATCTGTCAGGTTGGGTATGCCAGGCTCAGTGCATAGCTGATTATCAGGTGCAGCCTCGAATGTATCTTAGGTGAATAGTTAATTTCAATCTCATTCTGTAACTAAACAGTCTCATCTTTTAGAAATTTATATTTTCGAACATGCTATTTGCTTCTGCAAGAAGTCAATCCAGTGTTTGTGCTGGAAGGGAAAACCCCAACATTGAAGTACAAAACAATTGCAGCAAGGAATGCAATACAATTCAAGGGTGCAAAGCCCAGAGCTCCAGGTTCCTCATTGGAGAAAGGCCGCACAAGGTTTAATCATGTTCTGAAGCAATGTGAGGAAATGCTGAAGATTATGGGTTTGACCTGCATCACTGGGAAAGGTGAAGCTGAAGCAATGTGTGCTTATTTAAATGAAGCTGGGGTATATAGCTGTGCATACCTATATATTTTAAGTAATATTGTAATACCAGTACAGTTTTAGTTGGTGGATGGCTGTGTGAGCCAGGATTCAGATTGCTTTGCCTATGGCGCTAATGTGGTATACAGGAACTTTTCTATATCGCAGCAAGGCGTTGCAGCAGCTTCTGGTGGATCTATTGACGTATACGATATCAGATTGGCTACAAAAACCATCGGTGCGTTACTCTTAGATTGCAATATAAAATAATCATGAGATCCTTGTAGGGTTTGGCAGGAATAAAGTCATAAGTTTGGCTATACTCTGCGGATCAGATTACAACGAAGGCGTTTACGGTGTCGGCAAGGATTCAGCAATGAAATGGTTCGCCAACGTCACCGAAGATGAAATCCTGGAAAGATTGAGACTCTGGAAGAAACTTCCATGCCCCGATCCTAAAAAAATCTGCAGTAGGTGTGGCCACGACGGACCAACTGCATCACATAGTAAAAACGGATGTAGATTGTGTAAAACTAACAAAAGCTGCAATGTGTCGGAAAACTCTATTAAAAACGAGATTGCGATTCGCAGCAAAGCGATCCAATGCGAGGATTTTCCATATGAAGACATTGTTGATGAGTTTCTGCGTCGGAAGGACAATGTGGACAAGTTAGATGTTAAATGGTCGCAACCTGACATGAAAAAATTTATCGTAAGCCGTTCTTTGCTGTCCTATATTACAAGATACTACGATTTAGTTTTAGCAATTTACGACAAAGTTTCTTCAGTGGGAAGAATTGTATTCATTTGAAAAGTTTTTACCTATTTTAACACGTTGGATTTTGCTGAAGAATGTGGTGATTTTTCAGCCGCAGTCCATTAAGAAACGTAGAAACATCAAAGGTATTTTAGTTGAAAAATTATGATTAATAGTGATTAACTATGATTAATTTGCAAATTAATTTCTCTAGGTGTTGGAAGTTTCGAAATTAATTGGGATTGCGACAATTTAGTAAAATTGATACCCAAGGAGCAACTGGAGGGAGTCGATTTGATTAAATTGTGCTCAACCATTGAACCGGATGTATTGGTAGCCAGAAGGTTTCCGAACATGGTGGAGGAATTCGAAACTTCTAAGAAGAAACCGGTCAAGAGAAAAGCCAAAAAACCTGCGGCAAATACGTTGGACAAGTACCTGAATCTGGATGCTTCCTGTTTTGGAGACGAAGATGATGAATGCGATCTATCCCTAATCGTCGATGGAATCATTTCGAAAGGTTTGCCGGAAGTTGTTAAGGAGAAATTGAAAGAGATGAAAGAAGATAAAGAGCGCGTGGACAGCTTTTTTGTTGCGCCAAGCGACGATGCAGCTGCCGAAGACCTTTTCGAGGCTAGTTTTAATTTCATTACTGATGTTGGCGGTGATGATGATGATGATGATAAGGATGGAGATAGTGATGATAGTTTCGATGAACGTTACGTTCCATTACTGGAGCGATTGAAAAAGAACTAAGGTTTTATTATTCAATATATATATAAAAATATTTTTAATCTTATTGTACAATATTTACAGGTAATTCATTTTGTTGTATTTTTTTTGTTTCTCCCCTTGCGCCGGAGAGAACATAACAATAGTATATTCAAATATGTTAAAACATTTACAAAATTATATTTTTCCTTTTAAAAAATAATCAAACGTAATAGTACTAATATTGTTATTGGAAAGAATGAGGGGGTAGATAATGGATGATCACGATAGTTGAACATAGGCTATCAGTTCTCTAGAGGATCCGCGATGATAAGTTCGTCCGCTTCCGATGTGCTGATGGTGATCATCATCTTCTCCTCATTGCTAGAGTCAGATGATTGGGATTGCGTGGACGTTGCAGCCTCCTGTAACAAGAAAAAAACATCGGGGGTGTAGCCATTCTCAGATTACAAGAAAAACCTGCTGTAAGAGATTTCGTTTTTTGTTTGTTTGTTTTGTTTTTGTTTGTACCTCTGAATAATTAATTTGCGTGATGGCATATTTAACATTCGCTTTGCCATCGGACGCTATCCATATCTGCTGGGGCTTCTGTTCGACATGTTCCATTTCCTGCTGATCCACCGACCAACTGCCGCTAACGTCATCGTCAATCTGAATAGTTTCGCCCTTCATCTGCTGTTAGATTAAAGTTATAAAGTTAAAACACAAAGAGCGCACGTACTATAGCATCTATCGGCTGTAGCAATAGTGTCGGAAAGTCAATTTAAGTTATATTTATATATTTATAATGTATGTATCCTTTGCTACGCATTTGACTATACTTCACTGGAAACTATACAAACTAAAAGATATTGTCGATTTTTTAAATCAAGTGCTCCATACTGACATAACAAACAAAATCAAAACTTGTATAGTAGTAAATTGAGTTTCCGACGATGACAAAACCTGTTGCCAGTATGTTTCAGAGTCGTTTGTGCCTTGAAATCTCTTCGTGCGAGTAATGGAGAAAACATGAAACGTCCTGAAGCATACCGTTTGTTCGTAAGAGGACGTACCGTTATGCGCTGCTTCTGATGGGTCTTGATGTGCTTGGAAAGATGATCGCTGCGCATGAACTTCTTGCTGCATTCGGTGCACTGAAACCTTTTCTCGCCCGTATGCGTACGGCGATGCCTCTGCAGCTCGTCGGACCTTGTGAAACGCTTGCCGCAGAAGAGCCATGTGCAGACGAAGGGTCTTTCGCCAGTGTGCCATCGTAGATGCGCCCTTAGATGTGACGTCTTGCCGTAGACCTTGTTGCAGCCGGGTATGTGACAGATATGCTGCTTTTTCCGATCTGAATGACGTTCACCTTCTGAGCAGTTCGGACATGTGCACGCAACGCGCCGCACCCTCTGTTTGGGCAATCCGTCTTGCGAATTCTCTGACATTGGTATTGTCGTAGTTGTTGTGGTCTGATTATTCGCTGGTTCTGGAGCGATAGTCATGCTGGGGGCTGCGACGGTGGTTGTGGTAGCCGTAGCTGCCGGTTGTGGCTGTGCCTGCACTTGTGTTCCACCTATACTCTGCAGAATCTGCCATTTACTGGGATCCGTAGGATCTTGTTGGATGTGCTGCCCTACAAGCTGAGGCGCTGCTGTCGGCTGAGTAATCACTTGTACGTTTCCCAAACCTGAAGATAGCAATCAATTAATACCGCTTCTACTGAATTCATCATCTTTGCCGAATATTACCTGGGATATTCTGCATAGGTATCGTTTGGATATTGGGCATCTGAATGATGTTACCCACGTTGGTGCCACGAATTTGCTGGAGGTTGGCCGCAGGAATAACGGTGAACTGCTGCCCATTGGCACCAGTGAAGGTGAGCGGTTGAGCTGAGTTATCGGCCTGCACGGTTACAGAGGGTTGTGAAGTCGGCGTCTGCTGCTGGGGCTGAGATGCCGTTGCAATCTGCACCTGCTGCAGCTGCCCGTTGGGCGTGAGTATGTTGGCAAGCTGCGGCATGAGCTGCTGCGCCTGGATGATGTTCGGCACGGTGGTGGCGGCTGTCGTAAGCTGAACTGGGAAGTGAATAGTCTGGTAGATGGTCTGACCATTCGCCGACGAGATGGGCACTTGGACGGGGATAGTTTGCTGCATGGGAAACTGCACGACCTGGGGTAGCGAAGGGCGCACTGCCACGCTTTGTCCATTCGATAGTTGCACGGTCTGCAAGTTCTGCAAATTCGCTGGAAGAACATTGGGATTCCGGATGATCTGTCCAGGACTGAAGATCTGTTGATGCTGTTGTCCAGCTGAAAAATTATCATTTCCGTCAGTTAATATTTATATCATTGAGAATATAGAGCACTAAATTTCATCATTACGAAAATTATTCTCTAGTTAAGTTAATTACCAGCAATCGGTATGAATAGAGCCTCCTGGCCATCAACGGTAACGGTCTGCATCGGCTGCATAACATTATAAGCAAGGTTCTGGCCGGCAGCGTTCGTCGCAGCGCTAACCAGTTGCGCACCCTGCTGCTGCAGCAACTGTTGTGAAATCTGCTGCTGCAATCCGACGGGCACGCTGACCACCTGCTGGCCAGCGGCCACCGGGATATTCTTCACCGGGGTCGGAGTATTGCTCATGATCGAGTGTGACGTTTCAGTCCCCGTTGGCCCGATTTTACTGCAGGTTGCTGCTAGGAGTGCCAAAGGGCAGGGTTTCACGTCCTGAAACAGATTTTAGTTCAAATAAATTAGCAAACAAATAAGGTTTAAAAATAATAATCATGCAAAATTTTATATAGCTGAGATAGTCAAATTGTGTTGTTTAACTCTTTAATTAATTGTAATAGCATACATATGAAATTTGAACGTTTGAGTAATAGTTTCAAATTGAAGAAGATAGAAGCCGTCAATAGAAGCTATTGAATAAGTAAATAAACAACATAGATAAAAAGAATGTAGTTTAAAATGGCGGGAACGAACGTGCGTAAATGAAGTTGCATAATATGAACATCATTGCCTTTGATACGAAGAAAAACGATTTCACGGGAGAGAAATATGAACTGGTTTTTTTTGTCCTAAATTCTGAGAATTCAATTGAAAATTTTAGGGGCGTTCTCTCGGAGGTAACGGAAAGAAGGAAGGCCGAATACTTTTTTCAGGGAAAAAGGGTCGGGCCATAAATGTTCGGTAGTTTTAACTTGCCTTGCCTTGTGTCAATGTACAAAACTAATCATCAAATACACTCATTGGAGAACATATACCATAATAAATTACGCATTTTACTAGTTCATAGATTTGCCCATACATTCAATTTTATTATATACTTTGAATCTTGGACTTTAGTTACTTATCTGAGTTTCATCATGCATCCGTTTATTACAACCATACCAAGACGTGAAAATTCATATAACATTCACGAACAATAAAAATATGTATGTATGCTACAACTCTTGGTTCATAGGCAGAGTAAAATTTTAAAATATAAATACAGATGCAATAATCTCTTGGTCGATGGATATTTTGGAGGGAAATTATCGATATAGATGCCATCGATCTGAACCCCAGACGATCAAAAGAAATATTATAAGTTACACATCTGGATTGCAACGGATATAAGCAGCAAATTGTATTAAATATTGTAAATTAAACTTTGAAAACAAAAAAGCTAATTGGAAGGATACAAGTTCAATTGCGGACTTATTTCTTATTGAAAAACTGAAATAAGTATGATCATAGATAATGTGATTTAAATATGTTTCTTTTATTGTTGAACAAATGTAAGAGGGTATTGAAGTTATGCTCGAGTTGCAACTGAGAGACGCATTATGCACGCCCCTGGATTGCTGCGAGATGGAATGTTGAAGAAAAATAATAAAATAGAATAAGGCGCTGTTGTAAAAAATGAATATAATTGGAATTGAGGTTATGCTAGTAGTAATTAGACGAGAAATATTAAGAAGTAAGAGCGGACGGATCATCGGAGGAGGCCGTTATTTGCGAAAAGGGGGAGTGTGAGGGTGGAGGAGGGAACGTGCAATGCGTCCGTCTCCGATTTCCCGACCCGAAAGGCCGGAGGAGCCAAAGTTCGACCTCCTCTGGCCTACTGGGACACACGCAGACAGACACAAAGCAACACCCACAGACGCGTCACTTTAATGCCCGCCCTAAAACCAAAAACGCGCACATACATATATGTATATCGTAACCGCATGTGATCATCTTATTCGAATTGAAGGAGGTTTACTTTTGTAGTTATCCTACCTGGTGATTGTTATTGTTGTTGTTAGAGGTGTCGGTCACGGAGGTCGGTTCTATTTTGACGGTGGCCTCAGAATTCATACTGTTGTCGCCGTTTCCTCGGATCGCTTTCCGTTCCTGCTGTCGCTGATCTCAACATCGGCACTAACTCGCGCAATTATGGGCATTGTTACAGCAATAAATTGGGTTTCCTCTGGATTCGGTTTCTCCTCTCGGTTGCGCGCTTTTTTTTGCGTAATCGATGGTATATCGGTGGAATAAAATAATTCGGAGAAACAAAAGATATTGAGGGAGAGAGGTGGTGACGACGCTGGCGATGCTGTTTTGTTGTTGACGATGATCACTGGTGGGAAGACGCGATTTTGGGTTTTGGGGGCGGCGGAGGCGGCTGTGGGGCCGCGCGGGAGGTGGTTTTTCGAAAATAGTGGCCGCGTCGTAATAATTATTAAAACTGGGCGTGAAACTCTCGCTCACTCACTCTAACGCACGGTCGACGGCGGCGGACACTCGCGGCACACACGATGACGATGCTCAGACGGCGGGCAGGAGGGAGGTGTGGAGAACGGGGGGCGGACGGACGGCGCAGGGGCACACGCGCTCTCGTTTCAGCACTGTTAACAAAGGCGGCCACAGCCACGGCTCGCATCGATGGTGTATACACATATACTGCACGAATGCGGGGAGGCGAGAGAGACAGGCCGGGTCAAATAGCGCGGGCCACGCCAGGCCCCGGGACCCTCCCCTCCCCGGGCGTCGTCGTCGGCACAACGGCCCAACCCGACCGCAGCCGATTCTCGCCCTTACGCCCCTCCGCCATACAGATGAACGCCCAACGAACGACCCGGCACACAGCTGCGGCGCCCGTGACGTCACAACCCTCCTCTTCTCCTTCCTGCCCTCCTCAACCCTACCTACCTACCCGACATACAAACCTACCCACCAACCAACCTACCACATCCGCACGCATCCAGTTTAAAAGCAAACAAAATCTACACTTCCCCCGACAAACTATTAAAACTAACAACGAACGAGAATCTCATCTTTGGTATTCGATCACTTTATTAATTTATCGAGGAACAATGAAAATCAACAATACTTCCGGTTAGCAACGTACGTACCAACGTTGCAAAACATGTTCAGCTCTACACACACATCAATAAAAATATATATAACAAACAACTCAAAATATTGATTTATCTATTAACCTTTAAGAAAATAATGTAACCGCACCAGAGGTAAACAATAATTTCGTTTATATTAACGTTGCGAAATAAGTTTATTAATTACGTAGGCGTAGTTTATTATTCAAATAGTAAATGTTAATCATTGCATTATTTATTCAATCGAATACAACAAGAAGGTTCAAATGATTGCACTGTTTGCTTTTACCGTTCACTATCTTCTTTTTCAAAAAAATGTTGCTTTTTTAATTGAGTGTTAATTCAATGTACAAAGTACGTGAGTGTTCTCGATATAATACTGAATCAGTACTATTGATGCTATAACAACAAAAAATACTCGAAGGTGTGCGTGCAATATGAATTGGGATATGCATAGAGACGAATGGGTGGATTGGATTTGGGCTTCTCCGGATTTCGGGGTATTTTTGGGTTGAGCTAGAGGCTCGAACGCCGTTCCCCACGGGCAGGGGCTGGACGCAAATTGATTCCGCGGGGGTGGCTGACGGGTTACGCCCACCGCCTAGCAAACTTCCTACAACCGTCGAGCCTTCTCCTCTCTTCCTCCTCGCACACATACATTCACGGATGGAAGATATACGTGCACGACGCGTTACGTTCACTCGATCGTTCGTGTGCAATTCGGAAGGGAGAGACGCGCGGACGGTCGACGGTTCCCCCGAGTGCCGCAGCATTCTTCGAGCGGAATTATCTTCGAGTAAATTACTTGCGTAGAACCGACTCGTATTTTGTTGTTTTGTTGTTCCTATGGTTGTTGTTAACTAGCAGCTGAAATGCACAAGAAAAAGGGGAGGAGGGAGTCACACACTCTTTCCTCTCTCCCTAACCCCGCATCATTCACTGCAATCCTTTTCAGTGGAACTTCCATCACCAGTGGCGGAGTAACAGAATGTTCCCGCCACTGTATTCTTCGCTCCATTAATGAAAACTTTCGTTAGCTGGTTACTGTTAACGCAATTGATATGTGTAACTTACTATTTAATACTAAGCTTTTATTTATATAAATTTTAACTTACTATAACAAAAATAAATAATTATACTCGTTTGTACACTGAATCAATTAGATAATTCGTTTACTATTATTTCGAAATTAATATTGGATATTGTACTTCGACGAAATATTGAAAATCCTTAATAGTATTTTGAGTGTAGATGCAACAGTTTTAATGTATTCCTCATGGGCAGATGTTAATTATCGCACGTTTATGACTCAACACCTGTTGCAGACACAATCAAACTTATTATCAACATTTTCCAATAAAAGCAAGTTGTTTAAATGTTAATTTACAGCTGTCACAAAGGCTTGTTGCTGGTTTTCAAATTGATTAAAATTCGAAAATTTTGCATTTGTGCATAATTAACAGGCGTTTTGTTTTTTTTTAATAAATAAATATTATTTGCAAATGGGAAGCAGTTATTGAAGTGGAAGCCATCTTCCGAATAATCATTTAAAAATGTTATTGTACATTTTTTATGTTTATTTTTTCATAATAAATATTGTTTACTGTCAAATTTAATGAAACTTTCAGAAGTAAAACAAATTTGTAAATAATGACTTGATATTTTTATGTAACGATCGAATAATTGGATTTAAATAAACGATTAATCGAAGGAAATTGAACAACAATTTCTTTTCAAACGTTGGCTAATAAAATTTTAGCACCGGTTGTGATTACATGAAACAAGTTTAGACGGCAAAAATAACGTTCCTTCCTGTTTACATTTATAAATTATCGGTGGGTATACTTGTTCAGCACGCTAAGCAGAAAAGAAAATAATCGTACATATTCAAAAGAAATGAAAGGACTGTTGGTTTCGTATACCATATTACGATTGTTATGACTGCGTCAAGCTTTGAAGGTCTTGCTAAATTCGTGTTGTTGCAAACCAAAATTTAATTTAATGTAATTAAAAAAAAAACTTAAAATTGAATCAGTTATTTTCTATGTCAAACCCCAATATATATACATATAATATACTATATATATTGTATGTTTGACGCAACCTGAAATTTATTTGTTTATAAAGTCCTAACTTTCCAAGAAATCGTTAAATTTGCCCTACTCCATCAATAAAAATTTGCAGTTGCAGGACAATTGCTTGATTCGCTCTTTTGCTAAACAATTTTTGCGGAGGTTTATGTTATGCAACTAAACGCACATAAAAATAAGAACGTTTGAAAAATACAAGGTAATTTATTACGAATGAATACTGGCCCGGTTATACAAATTAAATGAAGTCTTTATTAAACACACTGCTCCGAAACAATAACACTTAAGAGTTAAACAAGAGTCTGGAAATGGCATACGTCAGTCAGGTCTCCTGATTCGTTAATTCGTCTTAATATCTTAAAAATCTACAATTATCTATACTTCGCGAATAAGCTATTCTGTACAAATCGCAACGCCTTGCAGATCTATTCTATATGTGTTGAACAAAAATTTAAAAAATAAAATAAAATTAGACGTGGGGAAAATCAATTCTATGTCAATATTATGTATGTAGTAGTATATAATATATAAACAGTACTTTTTCCCTGCTTTTTCACAGCAACGGAAAAAACAAAATTACCTAAACAATTAAAAATCGTATTTATACAAATCACCATAACCATATACGTACGCAGTTGTAATTACGATCGTTTGCCAAAGATATGCAAGAAAGAAATTCAATTTAATACCGACGCGCGTCGAACAAAGTCTTCCGGATTCTTGCATATATGTACTAAAACAAACGAAACTTTTTCCTTATTATTTCCGTTGGTATTAAGAAAATAGCGATGAGCAAAAAGAAAATAATATAATTATAATAATATTAATAATAATAATGATGTATAAATATGCAATATGAACGTGTGAACTATTACTATGCTGTGCCTTTGTTCTCTTCGTTGAGCAACACTGTGAGCTTATCGTAAGCGTACCGAATCTTATCATACAATACTGTTGTGCAGCCATTAGCCTCGATGGATTTAAACCTAAACGTACGGAAGGACTTGTCCACATCTATGTAACTTATCGCTGCCATCAGTGGACACATTATTATCTTCGTATGATCACTAAAGTTTATCTGTAAAGAAGAAAACAAAAATTATTACCATTTTGACAAAATGACACAATTAAATGCAATACAACATAATAAATCTGAAATACATTTTTCTGTATTTAAATTTTACAAATATTTGATGGATTGATTCGATACTTTAAGAATGTAATAAATTATCCAAAGTTTTAGTGTATATGTGTTTACCTGCACGGATCCGTTGTTCAGTTGCATTAAGACACCTGATGTGGACCGGCACCATTGGTGGAGATGAGGAATACGCGAGAGGTTGTCGTTTTCTCGGACGACCGAGGCTCCCGTCTTCATCAGATGCTCCCTCATGTATCTGTTGAAGTACGACAACAGTTTCATCTTCTTGTCGAGGGTCTTCGGATAATCACCTTTCGTCATGTAAGACTCTTCGCCGTCCTTATCAATGTAGTGGACGTTGCTAGGAACAAGAGAAGACGTGATATAATAACCTGCTGCTGCATTCAGAGTTTAGAGTGTGACTTACAATCCGTTGGGAAGGATGATGAGTTTGGTCGTGTCGTTGAACATAACACCGACACTTTCGTCGCACAGCTGATACCCGAAACCGTACTTGTCCGAGTAGTCGACCCATTTGGATACCCAGATCAGCGGCTGTGCGGCAGGATCGGACATCTCGTCACCAAAACGACACACTTTCTTCGTCGGCTGCGACTTGATCACCTCTGCGAGCATCCGCTTCAACGTCATGAAGTTGTCCTTGGCATCGAACGCCTTGATGTCCGAGGACTTCTGGTTCATCGCCGCCCCCGCCGCTATGGAATTTCGCGACATCTTCGCGGGCGAATCCACCATCATCTCGTCGCCGTTGTTCATCTCGGAGAGTGGTTTCCTTGTGCTCGTGTCCACGACCTGGTCGAATCTGGGTGCCATCGTCAGACAGCTCACCGGCAGCTTGGACGGCGTGTATCCAACAACTATGAACTCGTGCTCGAGCAGTTGCGAAATTTTCGGCCTGTACCTGGGCTCACCCTGCAACATCGTCACGATCATCTCCTTCGCCGAATTAGAAATTTTTGGTGGCAACCTAAAACACGTAAATAGCAATCAGTATACCGCAATCACAACTAATGAATAATAAATGGAATTGAACTCACTTGTATTCGCATTTCTTGATTTTCGAGTAAGTTTCCTTAAGACTGCTTGTCTCGAAGGGCGGCCGTCCGATCAGCAGCGTATACATAATGCATCCAATCGACCAAATGTCCACCTCGAAGGAATGCCCCTTCTTGTTGAGGATCTCCGGTGCGATGTAATTTGGCGTTCCGCAGAGCGTCTTCTTCCGCTCACCATCATACTCAATTTTAGCGGCTAACCCAAAGTCACCAATTTTCACTTGCAGGAAATCGTTCAAAAACAGATTACCCAACTTGAGATCGCGATGAATTATGTTGTTTATATGCAGATAGTGGACTCCACTCAATATTTGTTTCATATAATACCTAGTTTCAGGTTCAGTTATAATCTTTCTTCTCTTGTGCAGCTCCATCATACTCTACAAAAAATATACAAATAAAAATAACAAATAAGCAAATATTAAAAGAAACCAATGAACTTACTCTTCTCCTGCACAGCTCAAGCACTATGTAAATATTGTATTGATCCTCGAAGAAGTTGTGGAAGCCAACTACATGCTTGTGATTCAGCGACTGGTGGATCTTGATCTCCTGGGTCATCTTCTCCCGCTGGTGCTGCTTGACCATCAGCTTCTTGGACACAATTTTTCCTGCGAAAGCCACCTGCTTCACAGACTCTGTGATCTCGTAGCATTTTGCAAAGCCACCCTTAAATCAGAAAGCAACATACACACTGAAAACACGTTTCTTCACAGGGGTCCACATGCAACAGATGTTTCCACCATGTTTTGATGGCAATGCGGGCGGCGGGAAGCTATTTACGTTCTGTTTATTGGAAGAAAACGAACGATGCTTGCGAGCAGCAAGAAAAAAACACTACCAAAAACAGTTTTGAGGATGTATAGAATAAAACAACTAACCTTGCCAAAGAATCTGCCTTTCTGGTACCGAACTTTCAGGTTGTTGTCGTAAATGATATCGGGAATGATGTCTTGGACGGCTTCCTCTTTCGACATTTTGTAAGCGGGACTAAAACAACCTCGAATACACACAGAAAAACTGAATCACTATAAGCCCGGAGCCGATCTAGTATAACGTTTTTTGGCAGTTACAGAACTTTTTGAATGTTCGTAGCTAGACGCTCGCTGATAGGTCCATTACAAACAACGACACCAACGGACGAAAGAACGTTTACTTATGATACCGGCAGGCGGCTGAAGTTACAGGAATCTGCAAAAAGGAAAATCATAAATACACAATTTACTGTATTCAAAAAATATATTTGAAATACCCGTCTACCTGATATTTCTCAAAAGAATAACTTACTATGAAATGGCGGAAAAAACTAGGGTCAATAGATTTTTGCGAAAGTTTTCAATAATTATCTTTTAATTTTTATTTGATATTTGTACAACAATTACAAATACGTTAGCTTCATTTAATATTTTTTTTGTTATAATCAATTTGTTTTATTATGCTATTTTGTTGAGTTTGTGTTAGGTAATTTGTTGCAATAAATATATTTTTCCATTAAACCAAACATATTTAATTTTCATTTGGAGAAAATGAATATATTTACAAATTGGTGAAAAAGTTTCAATATATTTCAAAGACCATTTCAAAGTAACAATTCAAGTTTTATTGCGAGTGCATTTTATTGTAATAAAATTTATATTATTTTTTAAATAAAATACAATTTGTTTCAAGAAATTATTATTGTTTGAAGGTATTTTTGCTTAAATAGCAAAGTATGGCTTCGACCAGAAAACAGTTCATTATCATGAAAAATCAACTGATCAAGGAACTGCGTTCCGTGAGGAAATAAATCATAGGCATTTACGAAAAAATCTCTGGTGAGGATAATCCTTTGGAAGATTGCGCTGAAGATTTTGACGGAAATGTATCTTGAAACGTTTATTTACTTAGTAAAATTACTTAATTTTGAAAAGATTAAGATTGAAAAGTTAAAATCTATGAGATGATGGTAAGGTAGATAATTTTTTTGAGGAAGTTCTTGAATACCTAGCAAGTATATGGAACCCTTTAACGAGAACATGTTGTACATGAAGAATTGCTCGAGAATCGAAAGTGCGACCAAGAAGAAAAGAGCTTATATGCTCAGTTTGATGGATTGCTGGCAGCAAAAAATTCTCTAAACTTTACCCAGCTCTAAGGAAAATCTTGGACTTTGCGAGTTCCGAATTGGGGGATCAAGGCGATTCCATTACGGTAGTCTACACCATCGATGACGAGTGTTACATCGTTCATTATCTAGAGTCGTCCCTTAAGCTGTCACTTGACAGAAGACGGAACCAGTTGTTTATCATGAGGAAAACGTTGAAGTCGAAGCCTTGTTGATAAAAGCTGCACGATTTCCTAGATACAGAGATTTACACTTCTTCTAAGAGGTTAAACTCTAATTTTATGCGATTGAATGCAAGAGTCGCCAAGTCACGAGCGACACCCATAATAATGAGGCGGTTAATCAAGAATTTTACGTGTGCAAATAAGCGATATTTTAAAAGATAAAATAAAAGGTGATACCTAATTCTCAAATTTAGTTTTTCTTGTTGAACGATGGAACTAAGGTTGTTCCATAAAATTCCAAATTAAATGCGGCGTTAGAAATATACAAGAAATATCGTTTTAAAACTCGTTTTATTCATTATCAAAAAGGAGAAGGAAAAATCGAAATTATTTTTTTCTCTAAAGTAGGTAGTCCTACGGAAAATAATAATTTCAATTGTTTTTTTTACCAACAGCGACCATTAGACAAAAAAAAACAAAAAGCAAAACACAGCCTCCCTCGTGACTTCTTCGTTCCTTTTTAAATCTTCATTTATTATTATCATCATTATGTTCCTTTCGCTTCGAGAATAGCAAAAAGAATTGTAAACAATAATAGAAAGAAAAAGGTATTACATGTTCATAATAATCCGCAAACAAATATATATATACTTGTGTGTATATATATATATATAATAATTAGTATGATTCAATTACGCAAATATATATGTATATATTATGTCCCTATGTTTAGAAGAGCATTTTCGTGACTCCGAATTGTTTTACAAAAAAAAATGTTATAATTTTTTTCAAAACACAAATCGATTATAATATAATAGACGGAAAATATATATTTATGCTTCAGATTTACGCTATTTCTTAGCAAATGTCAAGTTAAGTTCGCATATCGTTCTCACGATTGTTATGAATATTTTTTTTTGCACCACAAACAAAATGTTACTTTCATTTAATCAACAATTTTATACACTATCTAAAATTATACAATTATTTATATATACTATATTTATTTATATATTTATATAAAGGAATAATCAGTTTCGACATTTGCTAAAAAAATATATATGAACGAATATCTATATCTATATATATGAATTTACTCGCTTCCAATTGAAAATTCAATCAATTTAAATTTCGTTTCATTTCCGAAGTCAACGCGATCCACTTCATCGTTTTGCAAAGTATAAGAGAGAAAAAAGGGTCAATTTTGTATATATATACATATATATATATAGTTAGATATGTTAAAACAAAAATTACATTCATCAGCAAATGTAAGTAATAATAATATCATTGTGACAAGACCATTATATTGATGGGTGTGTGTTGTTTAAACTCGCGAGCTCTTTTCCTCCAAAAGCGGCCAATGCGGGAAGAACCAACGAGGGAAAAAATCAAAATCAATATTAAGGTGGAGGAAGAAACGTATTTCATATTAATATTTTACAAATTGATTGTGATATCGAAAGGAAACAAACGAAAATAAAGTAATATCAATTCACGAATAAAATAAAAGTAAGTAGAGTATACTTTCAAAGGGGGAGGATCGGTGGGCGGTGCGATTAATAGTAACTTAAATTAAAAACTCAGTCTCAATATCACAACCAATAGGGGGCATACGTTTCTTCTTCCTTCCTATTTCCTTCGTTACAGTCCGAAACAATTAAAAGAAAAACACGATGAGTAACCGAAAAAAAACAACAACAGCTGAACGGAAAAATGCGTCGGGACTCGTACCGTTGAAAAAAATAATTAAAAATGCTTTTAAAATTGCTGCGTGTTAAACTACAAGTTTTTTTTTCATTGTCTTGTTTTTTTTATATCCCGATTGTTAATTTGTATTTATATAAATTATATATAGATATAGATATATAGATTGTTGTTGTTTTTTATTTGTTGTATATATATATATCGTATATATATATACGTATGTTATATTTTAATGCAGAGGTTGTTTGGATTCGGGCGAATAGCATCAAAACTCGAAGCCCTGGTTGGGTACATTCGTGCTTGGCGCGAATTGGAAACCAGCGTCGCCGACTGCAGGCGCCAGAGTCGGATCGTCTTCGGGGTCGCCGCTGAAGTACTGCTCGATGATGTCGTACGCCAGCTTATAGATGTCGAGGTTGTCATGATTCTGAAGGCTCTCGATCTTGTCCAAACCGTTGCACTCCTCGATCATGTTGGCCAACTGATCGGCTTGAGGTCCGGCCATCTTCAGCATGTTGTTGATGCCGTCGAGCACGACTTGTATGACCTGCGGATCCTTGCAGCTAAGCAACTCGCAAAAGGGTGGGATGACGCCGAACTGGATCAGCTTGACGACCTGTTCGCGATTGCCGCCAATAGTCAGATTGCTGATGGCCCATGCAGCCTCCTTCTGGGTTTGGAAGTCGCCCTTGGTCAGATTTTGAATGATGTTTGGCAGCAGTCCGGCGTCGATGACGGCCTGCACCTGCGATTGGTTGCCAGCTGTAATGTTGGAGAGGAACCATACAGCCTCCTTGCAGATTTTATCTTTTTGGTGGGTCAGAAGCGCGGGGAAGTGCGAGAGCGCATCGCAGTTGAGCACTACTTGCGTTTGCTCGTCCGTCCCAGTGACAATATTACCCACGGCCCGCAAGGAAGCCGTTTGCACTTTCACCTCCTTATGACTCAGCAACGGAATCAGCTTCGGCACGACTCCGCTATCTATAACCATTTGGATCTGTTCGTTACCTCCATCTGTGAGATAGCTCAAAGCCCAAACAGTGTCCACAAGAATATTGATATCAGCATGGTAGATTAACACGTTCAAAGCGGGAAGCAACTCTTGTATGGTGTTGATTGGTGGTGGTGGTTCCTTGTTCCTGCACAGGTTCACAATCACCCAGGTGATGTTCCTCAGGAATGAGATGGGTATATCCGGCTTAATGAAGGTGAGTAATGGGTCAACAACACCCAACTCAATGGCATAGTCTCGGAGGTGTGGGCCATCCCCAATGATGTTGCCCAAAGCCCAAACTGCTTGCTCACACACGTTCTGCTGCGGCGAATTCAGCAGGTCTAAAAACAACGGCACCGCACCCACTTGCACAACTTGATTTGTCTGGGCCGAAGTTCCTGACGCTATATTTGTGAGCGCCCAAGCCGCCTCAAATTGGAGCGGCGGATTATCGTGGCATTTCAAGCATTCAACCAGTATCGGTAGAATTCCGCTCGCTATTAACTGATCAATAGGCGGATTTCGATCTGACGAGAGCAGCTTCCTAGCGGACTGAACAGACATGAGCTGCACAGTTGGATCATCTTTAACACTGGCCTGCTTGACAATCTTAACAAGGTTTTCTGGCAACAGGGATCTTTCAATGTCATCTTCATCTGTAGAATCTGCAATTGGGACATTGCGTCTCTTCTGTAATGTTTCCTCTCTCTTGTTTTTCCTCAGCTCCACAGTCACCTCGTTCCTCCTTCTTCGCATCTCCTGCAATCAACATTTTGGTTTGTATAAAAATCACAACAATAGCACGTTTTCATGCCGATATTTAATATTTGACATGCGAATCATTTGACCTTATAACATATAGCACTCACACACATGCATACAGTAGACTCATGGAGTGCTAAAGCAAAAAAAAAATGAAGCGAGTAAAAAAGTATACCGCGTGCAGGATTGAGGCGGATCGCTACGCCCGACGACTGTACAAGCCGGGAAGACGTGTTTAATCTATGATACTTACATCCTGATCCTTGCCTTTGTTCTTGAAAACCTGCATCCGATTCTTGTAATGTGGTTCGGACGCCATTTTTTGGCCGATTGACAATACGCGTGACAGCCGCGAAATTATCCCCAAATGCCGGCAACACACACTATTTCCAACAGAAAACAACGAAAAAAAAAAACTATCAAGCAATTTCACCAAACTTTTTGTTCTTCTCGCGTTCTTCCCAAATAACGTATATTTTCTATCGCACTATAAAACGCACTCTGACTGCTCTGACATGGCCGGTCACCGAATTATCTCGAAAATAAAATAAAAGCGCACGTTGCCTTCTTACTCTCTCTTTTACTCTTACAGTCACTATACACACGCTGTATTATTTATTTTCCTCGATGATTCTATTGGATTCCATTTCACATTACCACCACCCCACGCTCAAAAAAATGCGTGAGTCACTTCTTCTTCCTCCACCACTAGTCGTAGGTTTTTACAGTGTTGTCGTACAGTCTAACGCACCAACTTCACATTGCACACACCGACCTCGACTTATAAAACAACATAAAGAAAAAGGATTGAATATTTTCAAATTACGGTTGCAAATCAGAATCGATACATTCTAAAATAACTTATAGTTGGAACATAAAAAAATGGTAAACAATTAAAATATTTTAATGGAAATCGCTATTTTTCAATTTTGTTTAATTGGAAAGGTCTGAAGTTTGTCATAAATACACCTACACATTTTTCCAACATTGCCAAACGTTTATTGTTTTCAATACATGACAAATAATATTTGTAATAGAAAATGCTTCATTATAACGCTTTTTTTTTTAAATTATGCAAATAATAACCATGAGCCCGAGATTTAGAAATCGTGTTTATATAAAACAAATATGTAGGTAATTGTTATATTGGTGGTTACATCAATTTCCTTAAAACCAGTGTTTCTCAAACTTATTGACCTATTTCTAATTGTAATATATATTAACGCGATATAGCAACGCGATTACTTAAAACTGTCAATAACTAATAACTAAACAGTGTTTATCAAAATTGTCAACCACTTTGCTGAACTTAATAAAGAGGTTGTAACAAGTATATTTTGCATACGTGGCAACGTGAACGAATATTAGCATTGGTGACAGTTACCACTAAATGATCACACTGTAATAAATTATTTACATAAATCTTATTAACTATAAAGTAATTAGAGGAAGGTAATTAAAAAAATCAGGTCATATGTGTTGTAATCAAATAGATGTTCAATTTAATGTGAATAAGTTTTATTCAAACGATTACAATGTTGTCTGAAATGCAAAAATGTGTTAGATAAGTTAATGTTCAAGTTTTGCAAATGGGCTGTTAATGGACGCGGCTGCTTTTTCAATTTTCTAGATATGTATATACAGTAAAACACTGATTATTCCCCATTCAGGGATGTTAAAGCTAAAATAAAGTATAATTTATTCTTTGGCTTATAAAACGTCTTTACTTGCCTTCAAGACGGTCCCGAACCACGGTAAATTGAGACCCGGATAATCGGCATTTTTCTGTATATTCAGGGGGCCCGAACCAAGACATTTTCTTATAGTATTTGAACTAGATAACTGTTTTTAGAATTTTTTTCCTATTACTTAATTTCTTGGAAACATTTCATTTTTATTTTTAAATTATTTTTAGAAATGTGGCAATGACTATTTTGCATTGTTTAATTAACATAATTAAATAGTTTAATACAGCTTAGGTTGGCATTAGTTGCAATCATTATATTTTATTATTAATAGTTACCGTGCTTCCACCTGATTTATTGATTTATTTATAGTGTGTATTGTCATTGTCGGATTCATTTACATGCAGTTTATGAAAAAGTTTGTTCTGAAGCAGCATATATGTGAAAGTTTTGTTCATTAAAGTTTGATTCTTCATGGTAAGTAAACTTGTCAAAAAGTTCTATTTCGTATCTAAGGTGCGCTTTTCAGCGATGCGTCGGTTGTATTGGTTCGTATGGGGAGAGCGACGAGACGTGGCAACGCCGCGTACGGTGTAATTTCGTGAGGGTCCAAAAATGACAAGCTCTTGCGAGTAGACCAACCGAAGCAGTCTCCGGCGTTTGGTTTGGAGTGTTAGCAAGGGTGGAAACGACACGGTGCCCCTATTTCCAGTCCAGGATTGGAGGTTCCGCTGTTATTCCTATTTGATTTTCGGTTTTGCCGTGCCGCCGGGAGTTGTGCCGCGGGGTGCGTCGAGGAGTTCGCTACCTCTGGATGGTTTCTGGGGCCGATGGGAAGACGATGTCCAGCCTGAAAATCGGTGAGTGAGTGGGATGAACGGCCGAGTGAAACTGTGGAAGGATGATGATGGGTTCACCTATTATCATCGTAAGGCCCTGGCTCCTTTCAAGACAAGGGCCGGTGTGTTTCCGTGGTGTTTGTATTATGCACGGCCAAAGGCATCGTATCAACCAGACGATGATTTCGGTGATGGCTACACGCACACATACGCGTAAGAGGGGACCCACCCCCTTCACGAAAATCGAGAAAGATACAATATGATCATGTATGATAATAACCGAACCAGAATCATCTGTTCTAAGAAGGACCAACGCTTGTGTAATCATAGCGTTTTCGTATCGTTCCTAGCAAACAAATGACAATAAAGTGAAACAACATTTATTTCTGTTGCAACAGAAACATCTGCCAAAATCAACAAAAAGGAATAATTCTCTACATGTTTCTTCTTTTTATTTTAGTTTCCTGAAATTACTCCAATGACAAATACACGTTGATGTATTTATATTTAGATAAATGGACTATTTTCGTTTCCAATTATACAAACAGCACAGCACTTCTTGACTTCCTTCGGCCCACTACAAAAAAACGAACAAACAAAATAATACCATTATTTTCTCATCCATTTCCGCGAATTGCGAATTAATTAAGAAATAATTAATACGCTTATATTTATATCTATCAATCCAAGCAAACGTTCCAGCGGGATTTCCATAATCTTATTCATCTTCATATTTATACGTAGATCAAACGCGCCAATATGGATACGGGTTATCTACATGGAAACAGCTAATTACACTGATCTAGTTACATCGGGTAACCGAAACAAAGCATTAGTCATGATTGAAATATTTTTTATTTCGCGCCGATATTCTCTTATTTAGTGTGTGTAACGATTCAATCACAACAACTGCTTGAGTTTTAGGATTGTATATGAATGTATGTATTTTGATGATTTGAATAAAAGCTTTTCCGGGCAAGAAGATGACCTTAACCGATAAAACACATAAAATCGTTTGCTTTTAATCTTACGAGATAAGGAATTTGTAGTAACTAATTCCGGGAATATCAATCGATAGTTTAAAAGTTATCCAATTTCTTGTCGCTATAATTTGCGATTAACTTTGTTAAGTTAATTAAAAATATTGTAACAGATACATTTAATTGTTAAACCGATAATAATATTTGTTATAATTAGAGAGCATCGGTGTTGATAATTTAATTTGCAGTCCAGCGCCCGCTCGATTGGCTGTTTACATGACTGTTTCGTTTTTGTTATTTGTTTAATTTTCTTTATGTTTTTAATGAGGAAGTCTCGCGAACGACGAATCTGTTTACATCAGATGTCATCACCGGTTATGTCACGTCTCGTTCCATAGGCATTTCTCCAACCAATTTCGAATTTCTTTTAATCATTCCCATCACCAACATAGTTAATGTATAATTCCCGCGATTCTTGTCTTTCCTGTGATTCTTATTGGAATGCAACTAAGAATAACAAATGCATATTTAAGAGGAAAACTGTTTACATATTTACTAATTAACAATTATGATATTTTTATATTCAATTAAATTGAAATATATCTCAGATTCTGTAAAGAAAAAAAAAGCATATTACGAATTTGTTTGCTGAAGGAAAGCTTGTGTCAGTGCTTCTTCTTATTACAACTTTATGTGTTACTTGACAATGTTTTGGAAATCTTCCAATCATGAATGAAACTATAACTTTATCTCTTCTTTTAGAAAGTTTTAGTTTGAATAATGTTTTGAGTGTGCCAATTAAGTGTGCACCAGTTGCCAGGAAATCAAATAAATAATGTGTAGAATTGCTTAAGTAGTATTAGACCAGTAGCATGACAAATGTAGTTTTATATCCTAAGATCAATATTTAAGGCTTTTTAATTTTTTTCTTCCAGGTGTCAAGAAATTAAATGATATTATTTTTTTCTTTTATTTGAATGAGATGTAATTGATACATTGCAATATTGCTTCAGTGCGTCTCTTAACTATTTACAATTCGAATTTATAAAGTCATTGTTTAAAGCGGCAATACTTGTAGCTTGTAGGTACCGTAACTTGTTTTGCGAGTACTTGTTCAAGTTATTTGGAAAATAGTGTGTGTAATCGCATATGTGTAGTTTTCATTTGTTGTTCAATGCGTACCTATATTATTATTTATTTATCTATTTTTATTTATAATTTATTTATTCTCTCTCTGTTGTAGTGTAGAGAGCATGATTGTCGGCTGCTAGTGCTTGCAAATCACAGCCCGCCGCGACCAACCCTTAACCCAGGTTCAAAGTGCACGGTGCGTCTAATATCGGGGTGGTCATGCTGGAGACGAGGTCGATGCGTGGAACACCAGAAGCGAGCGCTTGGCAAAACAAAGGCAACTTTACCGTCAAACCCCCGCCCCACCAGATGCCCATGGCAACGCCCGTCAGACATGGTACGTTCCTCGCGGCCTGTTAAATCTCGCTACCTTTACGCCACTTCGATATGGGAAATATGAAAATTCGTCCTCTCCGTTTTCTATTCTTTTTTTCCTTCGAGGATACCGCCTCTTCGTAGTCGCGTGCGCTGCAATAACATTTCATTTTAGAACTCGTCAAGAAGCGAAACAACGCAAACACAGTGCCGTTGGCATGGCTACACAATTGCAGAGCTTATCACCACAGAGGCTAAGGAATCGAAGCCTCTAGGTGATTCATGTAATTGCTGCAAGAGGTTTTCTTGCTATTGACCCATTTAAGCTCCATTATTGGCCTGTATCCATGATAGCTATTCAACTTGAACAAAGATACACCTTGAGATCGACTCCATCTCTTTGCTATATATTATGTAATAAAAGGAAACTATACTGCCATTTATTTAATAAAAGGTCAAAATAATGTAATTTGTAATCGTAGTAGGAAAAAATAATAGTAATTGACAAACTTTAAATTGTATAACATGAAAAATCAGAATGTAGTCCCAAATTTTATTGAAGCAATCTTTCAATCAGTTAAATAGTGTGCATGGATAGAGGCTAAAACTAGTTAGTTAAGCTACCAAATTTGTTTAATACGTTTGATCATCTGAACTTTTTGCAACTAACTAGATGTTCGTTTATGAATTAATTCGCGAGGCCCGGCAGGAACAAAGTTCGTTAGCGCCGGAGAGGTTTCGCGAAACCTGATTACGCCGATCGCTTTTAATTTGGCGTTGCGCCGTGCACCATCATCATTGCTGCCTTCTCGTTCAATTGTTTTTGCACACCTGAGTGGAGATGATAATTTTTTCTGTGATAAGAGCCGCGCATCGAGGTGCGTTAGTAATTACAGGATAACGATAAGTGTGCACGGTGTCGGTTGGGAAAAGAACAGGAATAGGGATAGGACAACAATAATGGAAATGTTTAACAGGCTGTTTCGCTTTTTCGCAGGCAAAACGAGCCAGGACGACGTGTGTTACGTGGTCGCCAAGTACGACTACGCGGCGCAGGGTGCTCAGGAGTTGGATCTACGCAAGAACGAGCGATACCAGCTGCTCGATGACTCCAAGCATTGGTGGAGGGTGCAGAATAGTCGCAGCCAATCCGGCTATGTTCCCAGCAACTATGTCAAAAAGGAGAAACCATCCCTCTTTGATAGTATCAAAAAGAAGGTGAGCATTGTAACCACTAATCACGATCATCATAGATCCACTATTTTTGAGCATCGTCATAAAATATTTATTATTCTAAAGATTAAGTGATAAAAAGTGGTATCTGCTTTACGCCGTTTATTCGACAGTATAATATGGCTAAATATGTTTTTGTCAACAAGTAAGTAATCTAAAAAGAGCATTTTAAGAATGCTCAGACATATTCATAGTCAAAAACCCGATATATACATAACGCACAAATTTATGATTCACATGTGCATTTCATATTGTGTCAATATTTGATATTGTGGTGATAGTGTGGTGCATTTATCATAGTTGATAATTTGTAGACAAATAGTAGTTTTAGATTCTTTATTTCTAATGCATGTATTAAATCCTTTATGTTTAATCAACAAATATGGAGTTTACATATTGTTAGTATTATCTTGAATTATAGAGCGTTAATGCTTTTTTCGTATGCGTTGATTTTATCGTTTTAAACTATGATCCATCATACGATGTGTTTCACGGTATTTATCTATAAACAATAATTGTACTGCTTATGTCACGTGTACGATTTTTTTGTTCGTTTACTGTTTTATTTCTAAAGTGCTAACTTACAAGTTAATAATTGTTGAATATAAGTTTACATACTATATATCAACGGTTTATGTTTATATTATTTCTAAAGATTGCTTAGGGTAAACATTCGCGCACAATTTTAAACTTTTGATGAGTAAAATCTGATATAAAAATGAAAATGCGCGTTTCACCTGTTTCGAAATAACAATAATAACATTGAGGCGCCACCTGTCGCAGGTTTAGCACCTTCGGTAACTGTACTTATTTTTCTCTGCGATATGAATATCGTATTCATTTACTTACTTTTATGGAATTGCTCCACGTTCTCTTCGCTCATTATCATAAATTGCGCATTCACAATTAGATCCAGTTTTAGAATTTCATGTTGTAGATTAGTGTGTAGTAGTATATATGTATATGTTGTATATATATATATATTGTTTTTTTCCGCTCTCGTTGTCCTGTTCGTTGCACGGACACATGATCGATTCATTTGTATTCCGCGACGGCGGTGGCGGAGTCGTCGTCGTTTTCAGTGTGTTTTCGCATGGTGATGATCGTCCGCTTTTGAAATTCCAGAGGTTTGAGACGATTTCGTGGTTGCAGGTAAAAAAAGGGTCCGGTTCGAAGACGTTGCCATCGAACAACTCTCCATCTCGTACCGTAGAATCTCCCAGCATGGCCAGGCGGTTGCCCGCCGATCCGTCCGAAGCCATCGGCCTCGCCGTCGTCAAATACAACTACGAAGCCCAGCAAGCTGACGAGCTGTCCTTAGTCAAAGGTTCAAGAATACTCATTTTGGAGAAGAGTAATGATGGTGAGTACTCTGTTGTTGTTGAGGAGTTACAAATCTGACGTTGGTCCTTATTTGCAGGTTGGTGGCGGGGACAGAGTGGTAACATGGCCGGATGGTTCCCATCGAATTACACCCAAGAGGATGGAAACGATGACGACACGCTTCACACGTACGCTATGGCCGAGAACGTACTTGACATCGTCGTCGCCCTCTACTCGTTCTCCTCGACGAGCGACCAGGAGTTGAGCTTCGAGAAGGGCGATCGACTCGAGATCCTGGAGAGACCGGCCAGCGATCCAGAATGGTACCGGGCCAGGAACGCCACCGGGTTGATCGGACTGGTGCCAAGAAACTACCTGCAGGAGCTGTCTGAGTACCTGACGCAGCCGTACACGGATCGGAGAACGGTCGAAAACGCAGTGCAGCAGCAGCAACAGCAGCAAGAAAGCGGAGAGAGGCCACATCTCATGAACAAACCCTGGTACTACGGCACTGTCACCCGCAACCAGTGCGACAGTTTACTCAACCAGCACGGCCACGATGGCGATTTTCTCATTAGAGTCAGCGAAACAAATGTAAGCATTGCTCGTCATTTTCTAAAATTAAATATTGTTTTATTAGTAATATTTGTTTTCGATTTGCAGATGGGTGATTATTCGGTGTCGCTGAAGGCGCCCGGACGCAACAAACACTTCCGGGTGCACGTTGAGGGCGCTCTTTATTGCATCGGGCAGAGGAAGTTCCACACACTGGACCAGCTGGTGGACCATTACCAGAGGGCGCCCATATACACTAACAAGCAGGGCGAGAAGCTATACCTGGTGCGGCCACTGCCAAAACCCGGAAATGGATAATCGGAAGGCGCGACGTAGCGAAGTGACGCGAGGCGACGGCGCAGTCCCTCCTCCACACCGCCCACCAAACAAAACATAAACAAAGCAAAATAAACACAATTTGGGCCGCGCGCGGTTTTAAGAGAAAAAGGCAGAACAAAATACGGAAATATTAGCTTGTGTATTTCATGATTTAGGGTACAACATTTTTTCAGTTTTATTTCTTTTTTGATACATACTATATACATATATATAATTTTTAACATTTTATATACAGGGTGTCCGCGCCTTTTCTGTGAATTTTTTCGCGTGGTTTTTCATCTTTTTATATATATATATATATTCTTTGTTGAATAACTAATTTATTTCTATTTCTTTTTATTTTTGTTATTTGTATTGAAATTCTGTGTGTGTACAAAATGATCCGGTGAAACGCTGCCATTACGTTTTAATTTCATCAATTTTAGTTTTTAAGTTCCTAACACTTTACTATGTAAATGCGAGATGTGAAGTGATTCGAGATATTTACACAGAGGAAAATATGTGCGCGTACGTTAGTGTGTGTGTGTCTGAGAGAGAGAGAGAGAGACAAAAAGAAAAAGGCAGCATCCTGTATATAAACAAATGTTTTTTTTGGCGCGCCCGCTCGAAATTCGCGTTAACTTATTTCATTTCGTTTTTCCTTTTAAATCGTATCTTTCATTCGGACAACCCGAGGGCGCGTCAAGAAGAGAGAGAGAAACGTTGAGAGAGCATGCAAGATCTGGTCATATATATATTATTTTTTAATTTTAGACTAATTAATAAATAAAATTAATGATTTTTTTTTATTTCCATTATTATTATTTTGTTATCTTCAAACGTTTTTGTTTTGTTTTTTATTTCCGGTCTCGTTTCCGGCTCAAAACGAACAATTTCGCATTTTTTTTCATTTACGAAAGAAACTATTAAGCGTACTCGTATAATTAAACTAGAATAAATTATATACATACAATATTGCTTTTTGGATATTACATAATAACGATATCCTATGAGACTGTGGTCGGAGGTTTGAGCTTTTGGATAAATCAATTACTAAGTGAATTGTGAATTGTCGGGCGAGAGAGCTGATAAATACAAATATATTTAAATATGTGAATGAAGGAGACAAAAGTTGTTTACTTAGCTGTATTAGCTGAAATATTCGAGTTGATGGAAGGAGGATAGAAGAGAAAAATTAAGTGAGTTGGCGGTTTTGGCGATCGGAACCGGAAGTGCGCCCATATCATAACGATAATTCTTTTTTCGTTTCGCTGCGCGACATTTTACTGTTTTGTTTCGTTCGACTGATACATGATTTTTTTGATACTGGCAACAAGAATTAAAAACTAATAGCAAATAAGTCCTGTAGTTGATCCACACTATATATACACACATATTTTCGAAGATGTACGAATCTTCCCGATTGATATTTATTATGTACATATATTTTTTTTTCTCTCATATTTTATACAAATACATTGTTTGTTAGTACAAATTTGCATCACGCAACGAATTGCAGCGGGATTAGGCAACTGTCTCTTAAGTTCTGTTAGTTTTTCTAGTTACTTCTTCAATAGACTTAAGTTTTTCTTTATATTTCCACCACTCCTTTTCTTTATACATATAAATACTTGTTTTCTTATTTATTTTGTTTGGCTGCAATGACGTATTTGATTTTTTTAATAAAAAATGTTTTTTTTTTCTGTACAAAATTTGATTAACGTTTGTTTCCTCTCTAAATCATGCATTTGTCTATATTGAGTTCAATATAGGTAAAATCAACCGCTTCTTTTACTTAGTTGCAGGGGCCACCCTGTAGATTCCTATAACTTTAGGTTGGTAGCTTTTCGTATTTCAATGAAGCTTTGCTATTAGGGTATTCGGAATTTAACCAATTACAGATTGGAAGGATAAATATGCTTTTCTATTGGTCGAATTATAAGGTCACACGAAGCCATCATGTAAACCTATTTAATGAATACAAATAATATTTATTCGAAATTAGTATAATCTTTAGTTTTGGTAAAATGTAAGGAAATAGGATTTTTCTTTTTATGAAAAAAATAATTTAAATTGATCGTAGTATGTATAAATTCTGTCATTTTGTGCGTGTGTTTTGTGAAATTTACATTTTTTTTGTTCGTCTTTTTTGGATAAGATGTCAGCGGGAAAGATGAAGTGGACGCCGGCGACGGTCACGAAGCCGAAGAACCAGATCATTTCGTCGGACGCTGTAGCAAACAACATCAAGACGTTTATCCCGAGTTTCGAGAAGGAACCCATTCCGAACATGATGGACCTCTTGTCCAACGAGTATTACAGGCAGTGGTTCGTGGAGAGAGGGCAGCACGAGAAGAAGTTCTATTCGAAAGGTGACCATCAAAATACGCAGGTGAAGAGGAAGAACGTACCGAGGCCGAGGCAGAAGATCAAGTGCGAGAAGCAGGTACCGATCATCGCTCTGAAGCAGTTCCAGAATATCCCCTCAAAAGTAGACTCAGGGAACGTCAAACGCTGCAGCAGTTCTGAATGATGTCGCGGAATTGCAAATCAATAAAAAAAAACTCGTTCCAACGGGATACTCGAAATAAATATACGTATATTGGTTGTATGTACAGATTTTGGTTTAGCACTAGCTCTGCGATTTCATTTGGTCCTATGAACGTGGAAGCCCTTCTCCTTGAGCTTCCTGTAGAGACTGATGTACTTTCCCGCCGCCGTCGCCCTAGGAACTATGAACTTCTCGCAGAAGTCGGTACGGTTGGCAGCGGCCGCGCTCAGGCTGCCATAGCTAAGGCATCTGAGGAAGGTAAGAACGAAGGAGTAACAGTTCATCGTGTCCTCGTCGTAGTTTTTGGCCAACCATCTGGGTTGCTTGCACACCTTCATCAGCACTTCATCCCAATGCTCTGTCCAGGAACTCGTTGCTGCATCAAGCAACAAACATTGATCCCATTGCGAATTTCTATGCCTTCTCAGCCCGTTCCTATCGAACTCTACTATAGTACCAGATGATGTTGTCACACCTATATGCAGATCCATCGAGTTGTAATAATCACTGCAAAAACCAACAAAAAAAAAACATAATACTCGTAATGTATTCAATACTAATTACTCACTGTAGGAAATCACCAGTCGTCGGTTTTATAATCACCGAGCAAGAGTGCTGTGACGCTCTCACGAACGGATAAGGAACTCTAAAACAAAATAAATGATCAACAACATTGTCAAAATAAACTTCATTTAAGTATCAACTTAAATGATTCTAAACCATTGTTACGAGTATGCAATAAAAGTATTTAAGAGAATTACATACCTAAATGGAAGTAGTGAGAAATCGGCCTTGGACAGGTCCGATCTGCAGGCTGGGCAGCTCTCCGGTAAGCTCAGACAGAAGATTTTCGGGCCGCAATGCTGGAAGCACACGATCCCTGGATCCATCTTCATTCTTGATTATATACCAATCGATACGATTGTAAACCTACAAAGAATACTAAAAATAATAATAAATCGTCGGGTTAAAAGAAGCGCCCCCGGGTGGACTCGAACCACCAACCTTTCGGTTAACAGCCGAACGCGCTAACCAATTGCGCCACGGAGGCTGATGAGATCATGTTTTCCGGTGTTAGGAACAAACGGAACGCGCCTGACACCTAACCCACTAAATCATCTTTTTTTCTGTTGTCCTTTAACCTTTCGACCTTGTTAACAGGCCTCCGTGGCGCAATTGGTTAGCGCGTTCGGCTGTTAACCGAAAGGTTGGTGGTTCGAGTCCACCCGGGGGCGCAAATGTTTTACATTTCGGATCAATTAGAGCAGTGGTCCCCAACCTCCGGTCCGCGGATGAAATGATATCGGACCGAGGAACATAAATTTTTCCATTTTATATTCTGAATCCATTTTTTTTCTGCAATTTTAGCATTATTAAGTTGCGTTTTTATATAAAAGGCCCAAGGTAAATACTATTTAATATTTAAAATCTCATTTTTTTAAATCCTTGTAGTGGTCAGAGGGATTAAAAATTTTGAGTTTAGTGGTCTGCGAGATTCAATATCCGTCAAAAAGGTTGGGGACCGCTGAATTAGAGCACGAAATTAAAAATGAATGGCACGCATCAAAAACAAAAAAAAACGAATAGCTTAAACTATGTAATATTGAAAGAGCAAATAAAATTCACTGTTTATATGTCCATGTAATATTTAGAAAGCGCAACAAACCATAAAAATAACAAACGTAGATATGTGTTTTTAGGACACCATCCTTAATAGGATTCTAAGTATTAGTTGGATGCAGCGCATCAATCGTAGAGGCCAATGTAAATATTTGTAAAGCTTAGTATGTGTTTATAAAAGGACTTGAATTCACGGTGGAGGTATATGTTTATATAATAAGGCGATTAAGAGACGCCGTGGATGTCTCTAGATCATTAATACACTATAATAACATTAATAGGTTGCATCAAAATGTCAAATAGAATAACAATTTATGCAAAGTGTAACAACCAATCAAAAATATTACAACTGGATGTTTGAAAGACAGGTGGTTTCCGTTTTGTAATTGAATAAAATAAACTTGCTTCGTGAATTCAACGGAACAAATATGTAATAAAGAATGTTATAAAATATAATTGGACATTGTTGTTTGTTACGACACATGATTCAGATGAAACTGAATAAAACATCTCCATGTGAAGATCCGGTTAGAGAAACGTCAAATTTTGTGTTGTGTCAGTGAAAAATCACTTACTGGCATTATAATATACTTGATAAAACTTTCAATTAATGAAATTGTCATAGACTACACGATTTGAAAAAAAAGTAATTAAAAAAAAGCAATTAATTCATGGATTCTGTAATGGTAGTAAATTCACAATTCATCGTAATCGGTTATTTCGTATACAATACTAAGCATATTTTTGTTGCATAAACTCGGTTACCCAGTGCACCGTTGACCAGAATATTATCTTAATCTCAAATACTTGTTTTTTTTTAAATATTTATATTGGAAAAGTATATCGTATTGTTAACGAGTTTTGTCACTGAATTTCATTCATAAACTGAGTCTCCGCGACGGTTGGAAATCTTACCGTTTTGTGTTGCGAGTCTTACTGTTTTTATTTTGTTTTGAAAATTCAAATGTCCGCAAAGTCACCTACCTTGCAACACACACGCATGCAACATTCCGTCTCACCTGGTCTCAGATGAAGTCGACTTCCTCGGGTCGCGAGCCTCAAGTGTTTTGAATCATTCAGGAAACAAACGAAACACGAGCAATACGATGAAGTAGAAGAAGAGCAGGTGGAGGTTATGGAGAAGGAGACGAAACGAACGAAAAATAGAAACAAAAACAAACGGAGACGAAAAAAAGAGAGAGTGCGAAGTGCTCGAACTGGTCGCACGCACACTAAAACCCGAGCATTTATAATTCGTGACTAATCCGAAGAACAAACGTAACACGATGTGTATGAAAGTGTGTGTATGTATGTGCACTTTCGAGGCCTTCGACGGTCCGAAAAGTACGCGCGGGAGCAAAGGAAACCACCGTTTGCGCCACGAATAACGGACTCCTCTTACGTACGTACTTAATTTCGTAACGAGCGAGCTGTGTTCGCCGCGCGGCGGTTGTTAGATCACTGGAACACCTTCCGAAAACTACCTCCTCGCCTCCATCGCGAAGAAGAAACACGCCCGACGGGGAGACAACTCTATATATTTCACGGAGAAAAGAGTAGCAGTAATCGGTGGCAACGTTTTGTCGTGTCCCGAGATTAAGAAATCTCTGGACACTGGAATATTTCGTAGTTATGTCGTTGTGGAGGCTTAGAGGGGTTTATGAATATTAAATGCAATAATTAGTTTTATTATATATATCGGAGTTTTTATTGAGAAGTGAACTATACAATAGTTGGTCTCAGGGGTTATCACTAAGAGTTACATTCTCCTCTTAAGTTAGTAATTAGGAAGACTGTGCTCTTCATTCAGCCCTTCAACTAAGACTTCCTCTCAGTTCGACCCTCTAGCTAAGACTAAATTATATAATACAAAAATGTGTTCATTTCAAAAAGGGGCTGCGTGGAAGGTAAGGAAGTGGAAAATACAACCGTTTCTTTATCTAATTTTTATGATCCTACCAAATATTTAGGGGCTGAAGAAGGCTGTAAAGTGGTGATACAATAGACGGAACTATAAAATTTAATGTGAAACCGTTCTTCGGAATATTCCACAAGTTATTCTAAATAATCACGTGCAAGTATCAGTTTTTTTTTTTTTTTTTTTTGGAAAAGTGAAATATGCTTTGTAATTATTAATAGGAAATTGGTAGACCTAACAAATATACATATTAGTTATACAATAGATGATAATAAAATGGTCGGCCACGACAGTTTAATACGAACCGAAAAGTTTGTTGATAACCCTTCGCGAAAACAAAGAAACAAATGATTATCGCTTTAGAAAATTATGTAATTCCGATCTATGGGACCGGTTTTTAATGCATTTCCATTTATGGAAACGCAAAGTAAAATACTAATTATTTTTCTCTACAAAGGAAACACCTTCAAATTTTCTACAACAATCCGTAACATAAAATAGAATGAATCAGTTTTAACAGAATTCCTAGAAACTTTATACAACAACATGAGAATGCCATAATCGCTATATAGAATTTATTGATTTGTACGTAAGTATTTTCTATTACACAACTTACGCACATGAATTATACAGAAGCAAATGAAACAAACAAATGCACGTCCTCCGTCGTTCATTGACCATTTTTGTGGTGTTTACATGGGTTTCCATGGAAACGGTATGGTGTATATCGCGTTGGCGTCTGGTGCTTATTTAATGTCCACCGATGGTGTTTTCTTGTTCTTCGTTGGAGATTCACGACGTTATTTCGTTATATAATTTCTTATTATTGTTAACGAAAGAGATGGGGCGATGCGAAGGGTGTTGCAAGTGAACGGATAAAGTAGAACCAGGAAAAAAATAATTAAAAAAAAAGCTGAGCGTAATACAATCAAAACTTTGATTGCGAGTCGAGGAGGATGAATCAATATTTGACGAAGAGGTTGGTGCTAATTAGAAATTATATAGACACACACATAATAAACACATTTTGTTTGCGTATTTTACATTGTAAAGAGCGTGTTGAAATATCATAATTAGGTTCTCATTAACGTTTATTTGTTGATTAATGAAAACTATTGTAATATCTGATTTTTGTTTAATTCCTCAACTCCTCCTTCATTTGCTGTTATTACGCTATAAACTATTTGTTTGGTATTGACAATATAAAATAAACAAACAATGCGGGTTTCTCTTTCTCTTTGATTCAAATGTAATTCGCATTGAAAGAATGTAAGGAATTGGGGCGAAGAGTAGACAATCGATATGTAGATTAGTGTGTTGCGAAGCAGAAACCGAAGAACCGTTTCGTCGGCGTGTACGAAAGAATGAATGAAACGAACAAAAAGAAAAAACAAAAAAGGAATAGAGAGAATTAAAAGTCCGTTCATCGAGCGTTGGGAAACGACGTTCCGGCCCGAAATGAGTGCGCGCCTCTCCATTCGCACACTTAGAAATCCTCAAAACGAATAAAACAAGAAGTAAATGGAGACAACGAAAAAAAAAGTTAAATGGAGAATGATGAAAATCGTGCGAAACGGTGGATCAGCGATCTCCCACACACACACGAACGGATCCAACCTTACTGCTTTTCACCATCTCGAAAACGTGTGCAATTATTGGCATACAGTAAACGAAAACGCACTTTCCCCAAACCAACGAGCGAGTTCGAAGTGATATTTAAATTATACATAGTTATAATATCAATCATGATAATAATTAAGAATGCATACATTATTTTTCAGTTTTAAATCTACAATGCTATTGCTTCTCACGAAAGTCCAATAAATAAATAATTCGCAACTGGGCCATTTAAAGATGCTGAGACTATTCGAGATATTCGCTATTATCTTATTGGTTAATACGAATTCGGCGTGGGCGGGGTTTGCGTGTCTAAGTAACCCTTGTTTGCATGGTGTCTGTTTGGACGATTTGAACTCGACGTACTCTTGTTATTGCGTGGATGGTTACACTGGGGTGCAATGCCAGACCAACTGGGATGAATGTTGGTCGAACCCGTGCCAAAACGGCGGAGCCTGTATCGACGGGATCGCCGCTTTCAACTGTTCCTGTCCTGAAGGATATGTTGGTAAATAAAACGTGATGATTTAGGTAATTGAAAGGAAATGAAACCATTGAAATTGCTTGCAGGAGAGGTTTGCGAGGAAGATTTCAACGAGTGCGAGAGTAATCCATGTATGAACAATGGTACTTGCCTGGATGCTCCCAACGGCTACAACTGCCTCTGCACCACCGGCTACACCGGAACGCATTGCGAAGTTGATGTTGCCGTATGCAACATCACGGAGGAAACCAGATGCAACAATGGGGGTGCATGCATCGAGGGTCCCGGTCTGACGTTCAGCTGCAAGTGTCAACCAGGTGAATGGATGAAACAATGCATTCTTTTCTCATTTTGTAATATTTTTCGACTTTTCAGGATGGGGCGGGTTCTTTTGCGACGTCGAAATCGACGAGTGCATGTCATCGCCCTGTCAGAATGGAGGAGTCTGTCTGGATCTACATGCTGAGTACAAATGCGCATGTCTCTTTGGTATAACTATTATGAAACTTTGGTAATAACTAGATCGTTATCATCAGTATTTTAGGATTTTCTGGGCGGAATTGCGAGGACGAGGTACTGGTGTGCGATGATAACGTTTGCGAGAACGATGCTCTCTGCTTAATGGAAGACGGGCATCCGGTTTGCTACTGTGTTCCTGATTACCATGGTGAGAGGTGTCAGTTCCAATACGATGAATGCCAATTGGGACCTAGGTGAGTGTTGTCATAAACGCTATATACTTAATTATCTTGATTATATTTTATAGATGTTTGAACGGTGGAACGTGCATCGACGGCATCGACAACTTCACCTGCTCCTGTCCTCCTGACCTGACTGGAATTCTATGCGAATGTCTGATTGTCGATGACCGCAGATTAGATTGCACGTACGTGGCTCCAACTCATACTTTTCCAGAAATCACTACCGAAGTAACAACTGCCAGTATTACCACTTTAAGTACCGAACCAATCACTTTGTTGGAAACGACTGAGAGCTTTACAGAAACTACTACCATGGAAATGACGTTGCCAATAATGGAAACTACTTCAGTTTATTCCACGATTGTACCAGAAACTACCACTACAGAAACGTCTGAAACTGACACCACAACAGAGCTTACAACTTTATTTTACACAGTCTCCAGAACTGAAATAATCACATCAACTACAACTGAAACAACCGAGTCTAGTACAACCGAAGAACATACCACCACCACTTGGACTACCCCAATAGACATCCCAGCTTCTAGAGAAACAACGACTGAAACGGATATTGAAACATCAGCAACTGAACTAACCACGCTTCTTTCATCATCATCAATAACGACTGAAGAAATCACGATCTTCCCCAGTACCGATTTTATTACAATGCCAACAGAAACTCTCCCTTTTACCGATTTTTTAACTACTTCCACAGAATACTCCACTCTCGAAAGCCGTGAATCCAATATTACAATCACGAACTTTTTCACAGAAACACCTAGCACACCGGATTTCGGTTCTGAAGAGGAAAACGTTACATCGGCAATTCCTCTCCCAGATTGCTCTTTGACAGGTAGCGATTGCTTGAATGGAGGCACCTGTGTTTTCATCGATAGAAGCCATAAATGCTTGTGCCCTTTCGATACGTCCGGAAACAGATGTGAAACACGTTTAGGTATAACCACAGCTGCATTCGGAGGAGAATCATACCTGGTGCATCGTCTGCAGGTGGAACAGATCACTTCGATTGATCTCAAGGCGAAGACTACTTCAAACAGCGGGCTTTTATTCCACGCTGTATTGGATCAGAACTACATGTCGATGTACGTGGAAACAGGATTTTTGAAGTTTAAGTTCTCTTGTGGATATCAGACAATGCTGCTCAGCGAACTTGGAAAACCAATCAATAATGGAAACGAAATGAGGATTAGCGCTGAGTAAAATTATTTTACTTTTATAGAAAACGAAATTATTATATAAAACTATTTTGTAGATTAACATTTTCTAAAGAGAATAACTTTTGCAACGCCACTATAAAATTGAACGATACTTTGAGCATGAGCGGTGATCAGGTTGCAGCTTCCGAATTCTTTGGCAGGAAAAGCGCTTGGTTGTATCTTGGCGGACTTCCAGGGGAAGCCAACGTTCCCGGTTTTATAGGGTGCATGTCCGATCTGACGGTATAATTTATAATTTAAAAGCGAAATCAAGGACAAACAATCATTTCGCTCGTTCGCAGATTTCCGGCAAGAAAATCAACATTTTCAAGGACGCCGAAGACGGGTATGGAGTAGCCGAATGTTCTTCGCTGGCTTGCCTTTCAAATCCTTGCAATAACGGAGGAAGTTGCGCAGCTTCCGGTGATGTTTGGTCTTGCAAATGCAGAAACGGGTAAGAAGACAAGCACAAAAACAACAATCGCTTTCTTTAGTAATAAGTGGTACCAAACATTTAAAAGCAAATTAAAATTATAATTAGTGCAGAATCAATAAAAAAAAATAATTTACAGATATTCCGGAAATACTTGCGAAGTTTCCGTGTGCGAAAACAGCCCTTGTCGTTTTGGCGGAACCTGTCTCCCCTACACCGGAAGCGGGTACATCTGCCTTTGTCCTTTTGGTAAACGCGGACACTTTTGTGAAAATGGTAATTTTGGAAAATCTGAAATATTTTTCATATGATCTTTAATATCTATTTCAGAGTTGCTGATCACAAAGCCGTACTTCTCTTCCTCGCTGCAAGGACTTTCTTCGTTCCTAGCCTACCCAATACCAAAAGGCAATTTTAATCGGATGGAAATCAAATTCAGGTTTGCCCCATCCACCTTGGATCAAATCGCCATTCTTATGTTCATCGGCCAAAAGGGCAGACACGATTTCCACTCGGACCACATGTCTGTGAGCTTTATAAAGGGATATGTCATGTTGACGTGGAACTTGGGCTCTGGGCCCAGGCGGATCTTCACCGCGAAACCCATCCCTCGCGGAAAAGAAAGCTATTTGGTGCACATTGGACGACTAGGTCGTAGGTCTTGGTTGTTCGTTGAACACCTGGGCAACGTGACCGGAAGATCTCCAGGAAATTTAGTACAACTGGATGTTGTGCCGTTGATCTACTTCGGAGGCCACAGCAGCGCCAACTTCACCACCTTACCGCACGACCTTCCGCTGCATTCCGGTTTCTCCGGGTGCATTTTCAACGCCGAATTCCGGTCGGGCAATGTAGTTCTACCTCTACAGGCCACAGCACAAACGTTCGGAAGAGCTGTGGGCCAATGCGGAACCACCGAATGTCACGAGAATATTTGCCAGAACGACGGTGCATGCATTCACCATGGAGGAACGTTTGCGTGTCTTTGTCAGGACGGGAAGTACGGTCCGCTCTGTTCAGCAACCTACAACCCGTGCGACAACTTCCGCAACGAGTGCGCTTCCGGTTCAACGTGCATTCCAGTAATAGGCGGATACGAATGCGATTGTCCCATCGGAAGGAGCGGAAAGCGATGCGAGAAAGAGGAAGGTTTGACCGACATAAACTTCTCCGGAAAGCGTTCTTACCTTCAACTGAATCCGCAATTGTTCGAAGCATTGAAATTCAATTTCGAATTCGAATTGCGACCGATGAGGAATCGTGGTTTAGTATTCTATATCGGTTCCGAAGACATGTTTCTATCTTTATCATTGATAAGCGGATTACTCGAATTGCGAATTTTGCCAGGGAGGAAGCGTGTGCATCAAAGCGGAATCCTCGTAATCAGGAGTAATAAGCTGATGGTTCTTGGAGAATGGCATACCATAAAAGTGGGACTGTACGGGAGAAAGATATATCTCTTTGTTAATAACGTTGTCAATACCGGTCTTCTGCAAGCTTCAGATTTGATCACGCTTTCGGACGAGAAAATCTTCGTCGGCGGATTGCCCGATCTATCGATTTTACCGAAAGAAGCAACGCCGTCTCTCCCGGAACCGTTCAGAGGATGTTTTCGCAAATTGATCGTGAATAACGCGCATATTTTACTGAACTCTCTGAGTATAGAGAGCGCCAGAAACATCGAAGACTGTGACGGGACGCCCTGCGGAGGCGATTATTGCGAGAATTCCGGTGTATGCTGGCTCGATCCCAATCTGCAACCGCACTGCAAATGCCAAGACCCATACCAAGGTGACAGATGCGAGGTATTGGAAGAATGCAAAGGTTCCCGAGGTTGTGGTCATAAAGGACGATGCGTCGGAGGTAAATGCGTCTGCAAGGTGGGATGGTTCGGGGCGTTCTGCGAGAGCGAAATCACCATCAATAAACCGAAATTCGATGGAAACGGTTACATTATGTTAAATAGGCGTACCAGGAAAAGGGGATTGGCGGATACTTTCAGGAGTTTATATTTGAAGTTTGCGAGCGTCGAAGACGAAGGACTACTGGTTTGGGTGGAAAATGTAAAAACTAAAATTCCTCGCATCCACGTTAAGATATTTACTACATTTATTACGATGGATCTGAGGATGATTGTTTATGTGTATATAAGGTTAATTTATTATTATTTTGTTTGTTTTTTCAGCATGTCAATAGCCTTGGGATCGGTATCAGACGCGGAAGACTGGTGATCTTCGAGGAATCCAATAAAACTTTAAACGAAAGTTCACGTAGGAAAGTTTCGGATGGTCTTTATCACACGGTGCGATTGACGCTCAAACCTTTCGAATTGTTGTTCGATGGGAAGGCGATGGATTACGTGTTCTTGGGAGACTTGTCTGCCAGCGATTTGTACGTCGGGGGATTCCCTGGCGATCGCAACATCACCATGGCCGGACTCACCGGTTGCGTGGCAGCATTCGGTAGCGATGGCAACAACCTGATTAACGACTTTAACAAATTCGATGGTGAAAACGTTTCGCAATGTGTGGTTTAAATACTTACTTAATAATAATATATATGTTTAAGAAGGAAGGACTTGTTAATGAAGTGAAGATTTCAACTGCAGCAACAAAATGCAAATATTTCACACATCTTTGACAACGACTTAAAAATAATACATTTAACTGCAATAATTAAGATATTAAATAGTTGTCTAATTTAGAAATATTAGTTTATTGTTGCTCCAGCATGAATAAATCTTTAATGCTATTAACTTAATAAGCGAACGAAAATTAAACACTGCCTTTGTAAAAATCTAGTCAATATTTTGTTAATGTGGTTGTTTGAATGTGCAATTTTTCTATTGAATTAAATATAAATTAGTAACAGTTTCATTCATATATATATATTTGATAAATGTTGTTGGTTACTTTAAACATAATAAAGACAGGTAAATATTGCATTGGAGCACACTCAAAAAATAATACTAATTAGAAAAAAAATATCAGTAACCTTTCTTGAGTAGCCTAGAAAAAAGAATTGGATAACAGTTAGTATTTAACGTAAATGTTTCTTGTTTTTATATTACAACTTTTTATTTGTTTTTAAGGAACATACATATGTTTTGTTACAAAAAGATAAACAGAAAAAAAAAACATCAATGAATACTGAAAGTTATGAAACATTGGTAGGTAAAAACAAATTATCGGCTTATTTTTCTTTTGACTATCCTTTTCTACGCTCTTTTTCAACTCTTGTTCTTCGAAAACGAACAAAAACAAACGTTAAATGCACTGCATATAATTGTTATTCCCAATTGTGTTTCTCCAAAGACAAATATATAAAAAAAATATTTCAAATTTTAAATAAAATGTATATACAATTTCCTTTTATCATTTCTTATGATCCACGGAGACAGAGAAAACATATTTACAATTTAACAATAAATTGATATTATCAAACTTGTCCATCACATTCAAAATAATCATAATAATAGTAATGTGTTTTTAGATATTTTTAATTAAATTAAATAAACAGTCTATGTATCTTCCATGGCTGGCAACCAGAATGCCATGTTCGTGCATGCGCTTGCCAACATCATGTATTTAGGATTAAACTGAACACATTGCACAGGACCAGGATGATCAGCGTTCAGAACGCAGACCTTGTAACCAGTGTCCGCGTTCCAAACGTGCACCCTCCCATCAGTTGACCCACTAAATATGAACTGTGAATCAGGTGAAAAGGATGCCTCTATGGGTATGCCCTTATTGTTCAGATGACCTGTGAATGTTTGCAGGGGTGTACCATGGAAGGCATCAATTAACCTAATGATGGATCCGTTTGTGCTAATAAGAATGGTCTTTCCATCTCTGGAAAACTTAAGTCCCGTCCAGTCACATTCCTTCTCCTGTGTTAATTTGAACGTAACAAAGGGCCCTTTATCAAAGGACCGCAAATCATACAGCTTGATACATTCAGAATTAACGCCAGCAGCAAAAATTAAACCTTCAGGATCATAAGCAGCCACAGGCCTACCAGTCAAGTGCATCAAACCTTGACAATTTGGAGACCTTAGATCCCAAAGCCTTAGCGTTTTATCCATAGAGCCTGAGAGGAATGTGTCTTCGACGGGGCTCAGGCATAGCGACACCACCTTCTTCGTGTGACCAGGAAAATATCGTATGTACTTGTTGTCGTGTAGTGACAAATAACGGATGGTGTCGTCGACTTTGGTGCTGCTGTGGATGGCTGTATTCTTTGCGTGCGTAAAATGGATTAAGTCGACGCCGTACTTCTTGCTGTTAACAGTTCGAGCTTGTGTGCCCTTCTCGCAATCGTAAATAACTATTTGGTCATCCTCGCTGCACGAAATAAGGGTTTCACCGGTTGGCGAAAAGTCGATGCTGTTGATCTTGTCGGTGTTCTCGCGGAACACCTTAGCAACTCGGAAGCTCCTCACCACGTGATCCACCAGTTTCATCTTCATATTCCTATCCTTTTCCACCCTTCAACAACCACCGGCGAAGCTCTTCTCTCCCGAACGCGGCGACAGTATTTATCCAGAAACTCACACAAACCGAACGGAAACACAAAAATCGTATCGATCCAATAACAATTAAATAAAATAAACCGACGCCAATTCTTCGGTAAAAACCTTTTTTTCACCCAAACAAAGAAAATGGCCGACCGTCAATCATTATACTCGGTGTACCAACGTCAAAAAGTGCAAACGAAAAATCTATACAAAACACAATTGCATACACTAATCCCTCTATTCGTTGCGTTATAATGATCTAACTAAACAATTAATAAAACTGATACTTGATCATCCATCATTTCTAAAATAACATGGATCCCCATTAATAACGTTTACCAACAGGACAGACTTTCTAACACATGGTACCAAATGACAACAGACGGTACTTAATTGAACTAAAATAATAAACAAAAAATCATTTTTCTTTCATTAGTAACAATTAGTAGTTTCTTTTCGTGTGTATTAAAAGCATGTAACACTTTTAACAAATAACCAAAAAAACTTTCTAAAGGACTGCAATAACAGAAATATACGCTCCTTGGCGCTTATAGATGGTAAAGTAGATTGCTATATTATTTAAATTTAAAATCTTTGAACAATGTTAGTCACCATTATATAAACAAATCTACAATTATCACATTGCAATCTAACTTTAAATTATTAAGTATTAATTGGTACTATTTATATAGTACTTTTAAAGTTTCATATAAAACCCATAATCTTCATTTTGTTCTAATAAATATATTTGATTAACGGTAAAATGGAACAGCGCAAAGTTTCATAACAAAATCTACATAAAGTCCCGTATTCGGCCGTTTGGTGCGCTAAAGAAACAAATAAAAGTATTTTATACATAACCTACATGTAAGTTGCAATTGGTTGCAATTGTTTATAAAGTTATCAAGTATGCCGTCCAGCTCGAGTTCTTCATCAAGTTCGGCTTCAAATTCAGATGAAGAAAATGAGGACTTCGGAAGACAATTGAAGTTATACAGAAAGAGTAATAATTATTTCGAATTGTACAGCGACGACGAGTTTTTCGCAAGTTTTAGATTATCAAAGACAGTCGTAAGGACTATATTGGACGATATTGAGCACCTCATAAAAGTTCCCAATCAAAGGTTGCGTATTTTAAATTATTTATTAAACCAAGTTATTAAAATGTATTTCAGGGGAGGATGCATAAAACCTATGCATCAACTGCTTTTGACGCTAAGATTCTATGCTTTGGGAAATGTGCTGAAAACAGTTGGAGATTTCATAGGAGTTTCCAAAGCTTCTGCCAGCAGAATAGTCTTAAGAGTCACAAATGCCATAGTATCTTTAAGAAGTAAATATATAAAGATGCCTGAGACTCAATTGGAAATGAAGCAAATAGCTGAGAATTTCCATAGAAGATCCAGAATTTCTAATGTCATTGGATCAATGGACTGCACATTCATTCGGATCCAATTTCCTGGTGTTGAGGATTCTGAGACATTTAGATGTAAAAAAGGTTACTTTGCACTGAAGGTACAAGGTGTATCTGATGAGAATTTAAAATTTAAAAACATTGTGGCACATTGTCCAGGTTCCACTGTTAACCAAAGTGTATTTGATAACAGCAAATTGAAAAGAGAATTTGAAAGTGGTAGGTATGGTCAATACATTTTAGTGGGAAATGCCAGTTATGAAAGTGAGAAATATCTGCTGGTGGAGCAGGTAGAGAGCCAGACTAAGGGTGAAAGTGCGTGCAAAGAGAGATTGAGTGAAATAAGGAATTTTGTGGAAAAAATGTTCAGTGAATGGAAAAAGCGATTTCCGATACTGTCTTCAGGCATACGTTTAGACATGGAAACAACTGTGTCTGTTATTGTTGCCACAGCAATCTTGCATAACATTGCCAAGGAGATGAAAGATGACTTGCCTGTTGATTGGTATCAAGGTGTTATTTTGGATGCTGATCAAATTAGACAAAAATTAATTGACGAGTGTTGATGAACACATCTTCAAATCATAATACATTTATTTTTGTATTAAATTATTAAGAGTTTTAGTTTTGTATATTTTTTTGTTTGTTAAATTCAATTAATTGTTAATTCTCATTAAGCAGGTGATTTTAGATGTTACGTTTAAAATAACATATGAAATTATAACCTAGAAATTATTTGAAACAAGTTTGGAACATGAGTGGTTGAAGTGTTTCTACATTTGCCTTTATTTCTAATTATTCATTATTTAATTTCATTGAAAAGGATTTTAATAATCTTGAAAGTTCGCTGTCTATAGGAGAGTGTTTTTATTCGATAAAAATATAAATATATACATTTTACATAACCTATAATCAATTTGAAATATGTGTGAGAAAAATGAAGAGTTTTACACGAAAGCGAAAGAGTATTGGGCCGAAATTCCAGCCACCGTGGATGGAATGTTGGGTGGTTATGGGCACGTATCACAAACGGATATTCAAGGCTCCAGACATTTCCTGAAGACAGTGTTCCAAGGCTCGGACAGCCCTGGCACAGAAACTGCTTTGGATTGCGGCGCCGGAATCGGAAGAATAACCAAGCACCTTCTATCAACGATATTCATGAAGGTGGATCTAGTGGAGCAAAATGCCGAATTCCTGGAGCAGGCAAAGGATTATCTGCAACCAGAGATCTTGAAGATTGGAGAATTTTATCCAATTAGTTTGCAATATTTTCAACCACAGGAGAACAAGTACGATGTGGTCTGGATGCAGTGGGTCTTGGGACATTTAACAGATGATCATTTAGTTGATTTCTTGATTACCTGCAAGAAATCTTTGAAGCCAAAAGGGGTTATTGTGATCAAGGAGAATCTTACTGCAAATGGTGAGGTGGAAGTGGATGAGTGTGATTCATCAGTGACAAGGCCATACAAAGCTTACATGGAAATATTTCAAAGGGCTGGAGTGAAGTGCTACAGGAAACAGAAGCAAGCTCACTTCCCAAAGGAACTGTTCACTGTGTACATGTTTGCCTTGCGACCAAATGCTAACTGTGATAATGATACTCAATAAATCTTTTATATTAAAAAGTCCAATATGAAATGTTTTATTTAAAAAATAGCTACATAGTATGCTGTACATAGTGGGTACAGCAACACTGTTTCACTCCAACTGAAAGGGGAAAAAAATGCAAATAATCAAAATTTTCTTGAATTAATGTTATTTTTTATTATTATTTCTTGATTGGTGATTGTCTGCTTAACAACTACGTTTGCAATAATCGCATAAAACTCCATTGTATACAATAATATTCAATCGCGATTAAAAATACTACAATCGGTATTTATATATAGTTCATGTATAATATCCATGGCTTGGACTCGAGTCCTTAAGGCAACAGGCGTTATCAATATTATATGTTTAATTTATTGTATTCCTTTTTTTCCGTTCAATTGCATTTCATAAAAATAAATAATAATTTGAAAATATGCCTAATAAGTAATAATATTTTATCTTGTAAAGTAATCATTATATTTATAAAATATGACTAGGACGTCCATTCCGCCGCAAGATTTTTAAACAAAAATTTTGTTATTGTGTTAACATTTGGTCCCATGCTACCACATGTCTGCGAACATAGCGTCCTCCTTCGCATATCATATACACCTAGGTTTTGTATCTTCGTTTCATGACAGGCGCGGCGCTACAGGTGACGAAGGATGTACCAAAAAAAAAAAACGTTTAAGGGTAATAGAATAATCTTTGGCCTTAACATTAAATCACTTAAGTATAAATATCAACAAAGACACTTGAGAGTCAGGCACTTTATATAAGTTATATTTAGTTAATATTTGTAGTGGTGCTAAATCGGGCAGCTTTTAAGCAAAAATTTCGATTATCCGTTTTCAATGGCAACCTGAGACGATGAACGAACGCACGAATGTTTCGCAAAAGAAGCGACCTAATTGCTCGCAAGATAAGCTGCCAAAATACGCAAGAGAGAGAGAGTGAGAATGGTCCCCGGATTCGTGTCCGTATGCGTGACTAATTGAAGAGCCAAAAAACGTTAATTTTGATGGTAGAGTATTTATATACGCTTCTAATTTCTCGCTTTACTTAATTGCAATTTTAGCATTTCACCGAAGTTATCCGTAAATCTTTAAATTTGCACAGTAATTTTCGACTCTTCAATTACATTAAACTTTTGTTTGATTTGTTTTTCAACCTTAATTTGGTCTCGTATTGAGTGCTTAAAAAGCTGTTTCTTATATTACATTAGTTTATATCTTCAATATATATGTATATATACACTTTTAGTTAATGTATATATATTATTTTGTTTCATTTAAATATATTTCTTTTTCTTAAAGCTTAATATCCCAGAGATTGAAGGCGTCTTTGCTTTTCAAATAAATTTTAGAAAACTAATTAAATAATAATAACAACAACAACGGAACAGTTGCGTTTACGATTGACGCAAAGTATAATTGAACATTGCAATAACGACGATCATCATCAACATTATTCAGCTCTGTAAAACACATGTTTATAAACATTTATGTACGCAAATGGAAACAACTGTTTCAAGTGTAAATGAATTTGTCCGGCGGATACGCAGGTAATAAATTAGAGATGCGTTCATCGGGTATTGCAATGTCAGATCGTAAGAAATGACAATAGCTGTTCCTGATTCCATGTATAAAAAGTAATTATATATATATATGTAAACTGTCATTGTAAAACAATTGATAAAAGCTATGCTTAAGTAAAAAAAATATGGCGATGTGTGTATCAATTGATTAATTGTAGTAAATTTGTGTGTGGTGTTTTCGGTGGTTGGTGTTGTGTATTGGTGGTGAGAGGGTATCACGTGCCCTTCTGAGCCCACTTGAGGTCGTCGTCGCGCGGTTTGCAGCCGGTTGTGTACTCGATCACGTACTCGAGGAAGCTCCAAAAGTGGAGCTTCTCCAGTGGCCAATTCAGCCAACCGGTGGTTATGCAGAAGTAGGTCTCATGAGGCGCGACGTGGTGAATCCTATGGTGACGTCGCGGCAGAATGACGTGGTGTTCCTGCAGCCAGACCACCCATCCGGGCAGCAGAAAGTATGTGTGCGACCACTTGTGAATCTGTAAAAAAAAACGATGATGACAGATGCCATGAAGTTGCCAAAGTCCAACCTGATTGGTCATGGCGACGAAGATGGCCAGCAGAAAGACGTAGCAGTTCCACGTGAATTTACCCTGCACCTCATCCTCGGAGAGTGTGAGGAAATCCCACAACATTCGGCCTAAAAACGGTATAGTCACGGTGAAGTTATCGCCGTTCGTCTCGATGAAATCGTGGCGCGTTATCGACGTGGGATCGATGTGGTGCTCGCGGAACGGCCTCAGAAAGTTCTGCAACAGTTTGATAACCAAAGTACCGATATGGTTGATTGCAATAGAAGTACCTTTCCGATGAGAGGCAGGTCGACGGATCCCCAGGTGTCCGCAGCCCAGTGCACGAAGCCCGAACCGAAATCTGCCGAAACGATGCCGAAGAGAGCAGCGGCGATGATGGCACTTGCATTCTGCCATCGAAACTTCAAAACCAGGTAAAAGAAGTTCGCCAACATCAGAGCGAGGCAGATGCAAACGCACACGCACTCTTGCAGCCGCTTACCTACAATAAAATAATAGTAAATAAAAATTAATTCACAATTATTAAATCATGAGAAAAAGCCAATCAATACAAATATTAAATACGCCCACAAGAAATGTACATTACCAGCTTATTAAATTATATCTGTATCATTTAAAGATAATAATAATAACATTAACAATAATCCTCACATAATTATATAATAATAATAATTTATTGGCCAAACATCAATACATAAGAAGAAAAAAAAGTACATTCTATACATAAATAAATTCTTTCATAAAATAAAAAATATATTAATAGGCTGGCCAAAGGGCCATATAATTATTATTTCCGAAATTCTATGAAATGCGCATTTTTTAAGCTCCGCCCATGGGTGGAGCTTACTTAACCGGATTTAATTACACCCAAAAAAATGTAAACAATTTATAATTATTATTTTGTTTGTCTTGTCTATCTCTGCCAATCCCTTATGGGATTTCATGTAATTCGGCCTGGGATTATGGCACGCCGCACCTCCAGTATTTGTAACATATTGCATGTTCCCATGGCATATAACCATGCCGCTCTGTGAGAAACCCGAAGATGTAGTGCATCAAGGACGATGAAATTATTTTTGCATCTATTATTCAACGAACAACCCATAAACAACAAAGATTCACATACACTTTTCAGTCTGTGGAAAAATATCAATTTTTTTTACGTCACTATATATAATTAACAAGTATAAGTTACTTGGAAAGTATTCCGTTGCGTATATTCTTAAAAAGTACACTAAATAGGGACCAAAATTAATCCATTGAAAGAAATACGCAAGGAACATGAACTAAATTAAATTAAAATCTATGGATTCGCCGAGCAGAATTTGATTCTAATCGCCATAGGAAATCTCTTGGGAACTTCGTGACAGCGACAAACAATTGAGAAAGAAATGAGAATTATAAATTTGGCTATAATTGATTGGCAGCAGAATATTAAATACATATTAGTGGTTTTCAGATCTAATTGAACATCGAATTCTACTTCAACTTTTTTCAAATTCGAGATGAAAAATGAAAAATTGTTAGTGAAAAATACACTTTACTATATACAAATTGTTTATCAAGTTCATTAATCGTATGCATTTGATTAATGAATGCTGGCAACTAAGTAAACAACTTTCGTGTATTGTTTCGCCTCGATATCAAAATCGATTAGTGATTATTGGATAATCACCGATAAAGTAGATGAAGTCGAGAACTTGGTCCTCTTGCGTCGTCTGATCTGGTTGTGAGGGAAACGCAATAAAGCAAAAAAACAAACAACCAACAAGAAAACGAAAGTAAGCGCAGATCGATTGCGATATCGTCGGGGGAGGAACAAGTTTGATGTTGTTGTTGTACACGAGTTTTTTAGTCCTGTTAATGGGCTAATTGTCGGGAAGGTGGGCGGAGCTCGGCGGTGCCTTCCCGTCACGCCCATCCTTGTCCCTAATTGGAAACAAAAGCGACGTGTGTGCGTAATCGAACGCACAAACAGTAATGTCGTGTGTGTGCTTTGATTGATTATTTAATTGGTATATAATTGTAAGGAATGAATAAATGTCTCTTAAATTATCTCACCTGTGCTGTAGAGGTTGGCCAACTCTTGTGCGCCCTTGTGTTGCGGACCCCATCTGGGTCCGGTCGGCACCCGCTCCTCCTCCTGCTGGCCGATGGTGCAATTGGCGTTCGGGTCATCCTCGAGCATCGAATTCTCGAGGATCTGTCTTTCGGTCTTCACCGGAGCAAGGATTTTCGTCGTCATCGTCGCGTCCAACGTCGATCCGACCATCAAGGCTTCCTTGACTCGCTGCGAGCAGGAAATTGATAACGGCATCGCCATAATCGCGTAATTCACAACCGATAAAAATCACAGATAAAAATATAACACAAATATATATATATATATTATTTGGATCCCCCCAAAATAAAAGAAGGAAACTAATCAAACAATTTGTTGATCAACTCTTTCTCTCCCAATCTCTCGAAAATTAGCGTATCTGTTAATGTTTATTTTTGGGGGATCCCCTCCTTTCAGGTCAACGCATCCTCCTCGGATTCCAGATCCTCTTCGACACACTATTTACTACGTTCTGTCATCTGTCACATAGGACAGGACAGGAGAGGACAGTTCTGCCCGCGCAACCAGACAGGAGCGAACTAAAACTGGCAGCGGTCGCGCCAGAAAAGGACGACGTCGTCGTCGTAGTTAATTCCTATTCTCTCGTTCATCCGTTTGCACACCTACTGCTCCCCTTTTCTATCTTTGCGCGTCGTTGTGTATCCTTGTTCCTTTTCTGCTATTGTTATAAAGCACACGCTCTCCGCGAGTTGCACGCCGCGACGCGCTTACGTCAGGTACGTATCCACCATCATCCGTTCGTCCTCTCTCATTAAAAATGCAAGCCGCGCAACCGACAGAAAATCAATTTTAAATGACTCACATTTAGTAATTCATCATCGCTCACTGTCGATACGGACGAAAAACGCGCACAAGAGGACGTTTCCGATGAGAACTTTCGGCTTGTTTTAGCACCTGCCCGTCCAATGCTTCTCTTCACCTCCTCATCAAACATTCAAAGCGCCCAACAAACACGTGCGCGAAATCCACCTCACACAATCTCATATTTTACAATCATTCAATTATTCACAACTCGTAACACAAAAAGATAATATTTCGATCAATCAATCAGCCATACATCGCTCGTCTTCAAACATTCATTCCTACATAAAATATACAAATATAAATCACGTAATTAAGTACTTAAAAACCTTCAAAATTGAACACAAGAATTTTGTGATTCCAATACAAACCGTTTTCTAGATGAAACAACGAAAGCCTCAAGATTGAACTATTTAACTAAGGAAAATGTGTAAATTGACTCCATAACTATAAGCAACTAAATTTTCTCTGATACGATGATCAATATTATATCAGTTATATCAATATTAAATCATTGAAACGTGCAACAACAAATTTAATCTGATTGTAGATGATTGAAAATGAATTACACGCAAATATTCATAATTTAATTATTTAATCATTTTTTTTTAACTTTGATTTATATCAATTTATTTATTGATATAAATCTCTTTGGCCCTATTTCAATCCCTTTCGGGTTTATCAGATTTTCGTTGTACAAGCGAAAAGAGTAACTTTGTGTGCTTGATTGCGCCAAATTAAATTCAGTGGATTTGGTTGCATATCAATTTGTTAACAAAATCTATAATTATATCCAGGAATTATGTTCGCAATCCCTATGGGTCTATATCGCAAAACCGACAACCGAAATACCGTCTATCGAAATCCCGACTATATCAAAATCTCGACAACAAAATCCCGACTATATCGAAAATTTGTATAATAACATTTTTAAATTATTTCGGAGCGTAATCACCTTGTTCTACACTTTTATTATTAATAAGAATAAATGATTATTAATTAATTTGATTTTGTTGACTACGCTCCGGAATAAATTAAAAATGTTATTGTAGACATTTTCGATACAGTCGAGATTTCGATATAGTCGGCATTTCAAACGTCGGGAATTTGATTCCTATATACTTCATGACTGATCAGTAATCAATTGATAAAAATTGAATCATTACGCTGCAACTTCAGTTTTATTTAGTAACCTAAAAAAGTGCTATTAAGGTAATCCAATTAGATTCATTTCTAAATGACGAATAAACACAAAATATGGTAATTGTTAATATATTTGTTTCTATAATCATCAATAACATTATTGTTTTTTTCGTTTAGCCTTGTGTCAGATTTCTTTTATCCAAATATTGGAGGAGTGGAAGAGCACATCTTCAATTTGGGCCAGTGCTTGATACAGAATGGTCACAAAGTCATAGTCATGACTCATAGTTATGGAGACAGAGTTGGAATTAGATATATGACAAATGGTTTGAAAGTTTATTATCTCCCAATTAGAGTATTCTACAACCAATGCATACTGCCAACAATGATCTGCAATTTACCATTGATCAGATATATACTAATCAGGGAGCAGATCAACATAATCCATGGACATTCCGCTTTCAGTGCTTTGGCCCATGAAGCTATGCTCATAGGAAAACTATTGAACCTCAAAGTTAGAAATTAATTACATTTTCCAATTAATGATGAACTGTTTCATGATGATAAAAATGTTGTAGACCGTTTTCACGGATCACAGTTTATTCGGATTCGCTGATACGAGTGCGGTGATAACGAACAAATTCCTACAGATCTCGCTTTGCAGCTGCAACCATTGCATATGCGTATCTCACACGGGTAAAGAGAATACAGTATTGAGGGCGAGAGTTTGTTCCAGCAGGGTTTCAGTCATTCCGAATGCCGTTGATACAGTGGCATTTACACCGGACGTCAGTAAAAGAGCAACAAGTAAAAGTAATTATGAACAAATCGAATTAATTGATGCCTAGTTAATGACATGTTTGATTTTAGTTACCATAGTTGTTGTTTCGCGATTGGTTTACAGGAAAGGGGTGGATCTGTTGGCGCAGATCATCGCCGAATTGTGTCCTAAATATCCAGAAGTCGAGTTTATCATTGGAGGAGATGGACCGAAGAGATGGTTAATCCTATAAAATTCACTTTCAAATCAATATTAAATATATCTTTTAAGGCTTTTGGAGGAAATCCGCGAAAAGAAATGCCTACAACATCGTGTTACGCTATTAGGCGAATTGGAACATTCGAAGGTGAAAAACGTTTTGAATCGGGGCCACATCTTTTTGAATACCTCATTGACCGAAGCCTATTGCATGGCCATTGTCGAAGCAGTCAGTTGCGGGTATTAAAAGATATTCAATTTAATAAATGTAATTGATTTATTTGACTTTTTAAGATTACAGGTGGTTTCCACAAGAGTTGGGGGCATCCCGGAAGTGCTACCGGACGACTTGATCTACTTGACGGAGCCCGCGGTGCCGGCTCTTCTGGAAGGTCTCGAGCTTGCAATGAAGAACTTGAAAGACGGAAATGTGGTTTGTCCGTACAGTTGCAACAATCGCATCAAGAGGTATTACAGTTGGAAGGCCGTGACGAAACGGACTGAGGTTGTTTATGATAGAATTTCTGGCGAAGAAAATAAGGAGTTGGGCGAGCTACTATTGATGTAAGTCTGATACAAGCTTGGGTATCATTAATGACTATTCCAAATTTTAGATACCTTACGACCGGTGTTTGGCCATTCTTGTTGGTGGTTTCCCTGTGCTATGTTATGCTATTTCTATTAGATTTGATAGTCCCGAGAAGGCTAATCGATTTAGCCAAAGATTATACATCTTATGATGATCCAAAGAAAAATAAATAAATATATACGAATCCGTACTAGAAGTGTTATGCAACCCAATATACCATGAATGTAGTTGGTAATAGTGTCGATGCCGTCGTCTGGTTGTATTCAGTTGTATTTTTTGCTTTAAGAAAGTTAACCGGCTTATTTGTGTTAATATTTTTATTGAAATAATAAGCGTTATAATGAGTGAATCGAAATTGTCTACGGCCGAAGCAGAGCTGTACGATAGACAGATTAGACTGTGGGGAATAGAATCGCAAGAAAAGCAAGTGTACATTCACGATTTAATCAAGTTTATTGTAAACTTTGTTTTTGTAGGTTAAGAGCGGCCAACGTACTCTTAATCAAAATCCGCGGTTTGGGTTCGGAAATCGCCAAAGACATCCTCCTCTGCGGCATCAATTCTCTCACTATCCTAGACGACGCCCTAGTCACTGAGGAAGAGATCTTCAAGAATTTTCTTCTGAGTCCTGAATCTGTGGGAAAGAACATCGCCGAAGCAGTATTAGAGAAGGCACAAGCCTTGAACCCCTTAGTTAAGATCACACCAGACAGCGAGAGCGTGGATAAAAAAAACGCAGAGTTCTTTGCCATATTTACAGTTGTCATTGCAACAGGCTTGAACAGTGTTCAAGTGTTAGAAATTTCCAAGTACTGCAGAGATGCTAAAGTTAAATTCATATGTGGTGATAACTTTGGCATGTTCGGTTACTCGTTCGCTGATTTCCAAACGCACGAATTCTTTGAGTAAGTTGTTGCCATGTTCGAATTACCTTTATTTGATTAAATTATTTTAGAGACAAAGTTCAGTTGACTGGAGGCCAAAAACGCGGAATCGACGGAAGAATCACAAAAGTTAAGTCAGAACGAACCGTAGTCAAAGTCTGTGGTAAAATGGAGTACGTCGATCTTTCCAAAGTCATCAAGCTGCCAGAAGCCCCAATGAAACCAAAGAGGAGGAACATTTACTATTATTTGATGTTGGCGCTCTTGCAGTTCCGGGATAAGTTCAATAGAGATCCGATGATGGAGAGCAAGGAGGAAGACGTTAAGGAGCTGAAGGCGATCAAGGATGATATTTTGAAGTTGTACCAAGTGAATCCGGATAAATTTAAGGAAGAAGTTTTCGATTTAATCTTTGGCGAAGTAGTGCCGGTATGCTCGATCGTAGGTGGGGTAATGGCGCAGGAAGCGATCAAGGCTGTATCAGGAAAGGAGGTGCCCATCAATAATGTATTTTTGTTGGATCCTTTCAACTACAGTGGCAGGGAAGAGAATGTGGTGTAAATAAATATTCTTATTCAATACTTTTTATATGGTACAATTTCTTGTCGGCCTCTCCTATTACGTTGGGGGCCCCGCTTAACGGATCCTTGCCATCGAAAGTCTTCGGAAACGCGATCACATCTCTAATACTTTTAGTGTGCAGAAGTAACGATAGGAGTCTATCCAGACCGATAGCTATACCACCATGAGGAGGACATCCCAACGATAACATATCCAACATGTGCATTAAACTGTCGGTTTTTATATCCAGAAGAGAAAGCAGTTCTTTTTGAAGATCCGCGTTGTGTACACGGATGGATCCTCCGGCTATCTCGTTTCCGTTCAATATCAAATCGTAACTTTGACTTCTCACCTACGTTTATATTGTACCGTTTCATTATTATTCTTATTATATCTAATGTACGATAATTACCTGCAAGGGGTTCGTTCGAATTAAATGTAAGTCTTCGTAATTCGGTGATGTGAATGGATGATGAACCGAACAAAGCTTCCCATCTTCCTCCTCGAAGAGAGGAAAGTCGACTATCCACATGAAGTGCATTCCAGCCTTTTTTATTTTATGTCCACACTCCTCCAAATGATCAACAAAATCCGTGCGTAATTTCCCTAACCTTTTCAACTGTAATTACATTATACAATACGGCTGTTACAAAATATAAGTAAGTATACTTACAGCATTATTTTTCTCACCAAAAACTAAGAACACGATCGAATCTTCCTTCAATTCACATTTATCGAAGATTTTTTCGCCGACTTCTCTAGTCAAAATTTTTGCGCAACTTTCAGCAAAATCGTCTTTGTATTTGATTTTTTTCATAATCATTTTCGTTCCCGGAAATTGATTAATATTCAACCTTTCTCTAACCGACTTCGTGAGGTTTCCCAGAGGCTTATGAAACACCAAGCAACCAGCATAAGCATCATTGGATTCCAGAAATTCCGTGCAATCGCGAATTTTAAAATCGTATCGTAAATCAGGCTTGTCCGTGCCGTAAATTTCGAACACTTCTTTGAAGCTTTTGCGATTGAAACGTCTCGGTATTGGATCCAGGAACGAAGGCCAAGAATACTGCAAAAGTTCTTCGGTAAGCTTCATTATGCCTTCCATCGATGTAAATGACATCTCAATATCCAACTGAGTGAACTCTGGTTGACGATCTGGTCTCGATGTTTCATCCCTATAGCATCTGGCTATCTGAAAATACCGATCGATTCCACCGGCCATAAGCATCTGCTTGAACTGCTGAGGACTTTGAACCAGCGAATAGAATTGACCGGGAAATCGAGTAGGAACAACAAATTCTTGAGCTCCCTAAAAAAATTCATTTACTGGAGAATGATTCCTCAATTACTAATCGAAACTTACTCCAGGTGTAGCCTTGAACAAAGTAGGTGTTTCGACGTCAACGAATCCGCAATCATCGACCAAAAACTCCCTCATATTCTTTAGCATCTTTGAACGCACCCGTAGATTTCTCTGCATTTCTGGAAACCTCATGTCCAAATATCTGTATTGCATGCGTAACGATTCTTTGGCCTTCTGGAATTCTCGTATGTTGAACGGCAATTGAGACTTGCATTCGTTGAGGACTTCCAAACTCTTCACGAGAACCTCAATTTCGCCCGTCGCTTGTTTCCTATTGATCATATCGGCCGGTCGCGCCACGACAGTACCTTCGATCTTGAGAATCGACTCGAACGGAATTTGAGCCAATTTCTTCGCCAGCTCTGACTGCAATATTACTGTTTAGCATTTTGCCAAGTTTTCAACACTTAGCAACTCACGTTATTTTCAATGAGAAATTGTGTTTGCCCGTAACCATCTCGCAATACCAGAAACTTTCCCATTCGATGAAACTCTAACCATCCACACATTGAAACCTAAAAAGAATATTCAGATTAAATTTAATTGTATATCTTTATAAATGCTGATAATTGGTAGAACAATAAAGTAGTAAATGCATAGGAATAATTGTGTTTTTAAAAATTCAATAAATCAAATTACATAAGTTTACATCATTACCCTTAATCCTATATGTTCAGTATTCAATTCACCACAGGTAAAGCTACGATTAGTGAATTTGTTGAATGCTGCAATATTAATTTCATGGTCACTATTATCATTCTCATCCACTAAGTAGACATTCTTTTGATCCTTTTGTAACAAACTATTGTTTGATGACACATATTTTCGAATATTGTAAATGACCTGGAATTAAAATTACGTTGAAAATGTCTGCTTTTTTTTTGTAATAATTTCATATACTTTATAAGATTTCAATAAATTAGTCTTTACTAATAAGCTTCTTAGAGGATTCATTTTTAAGGTTAACTTTTAACAGCAAGTTAAATCTTGTTTACTTTTTATTATGGGTGTTGCCAAATTGCTTTCATATTATTTGGGATACTTGTTAAATTTACTATTATATATCTCATATATTATTATGAATGATATTATTATTAAGTGCAGATAATTCTATGTATTTCTGATGATAATAAATATGCAGCATTGATTTGGGACAAACTGAATTAATTTGGCAATGCTGTTTATTTTGGCTGCATTAAATTGACATGAGTGCGCGTTCATGAGTCAGCTGCAGTTGTTATTGCCTTTTTACTGCGTAAATTATTAGGTAAAAACACTGTGTTTCAGCGATAAGTTTGCTTGGTTTGTGAATATTGTGAAAGATGGGAGCCGTTCTGGGCATTTGCTCTGCTGCTCAGGTAAACTTCGTTGGGTTAACATCGATAATTACTCAAGGATATTTATAAATCAATTCTTTTGTTTTTTTCCCTAGCTGGCTTGCTGCTGTGGAAGTGCAGCCTGCTCTTTGTGTTGCTCTGCATGTCCATCATGCAGGAACTCAACCTCCAGTCGAGTTATGTATGCTGTGATGCTGCTGCTGGGCACTATTGCAGCCTGCATCACTTTGTCACCAGGCCTTCATGATATTCTTCAAAAGGTAAAAATGTTCTCTTATCTTGAATTATGTACTTTAAAATTTGTTTTTAGGTACCATTTTGCAAAAATTCTTCAAGTCTGGTACCAGATGCTATTGTTTTTGACTGTGATGTTGCTGTGGGCTATTTAGCTGTGTATAGGATTTGTTTTGTACTTTGTTGTTTCTTTTTACTTATGGCACTTATGATGATTGGAGTAAAACGTTCCAAAGATCCAAGAGGCGGCATACAAAATGGGTATGTTAACCTTTTAATAAATGAAAGAACCAGAATACATGTCCCTGTTTTTATTTAGGTTTTGGGGCCTTAAGTATCTGTTGGTAATTGGCGGTATCATTGGAGCGTTTTTCATTCCGGAGGGGAACTTTGGACCAACATGGATGTATTTCGGTATGGTCGGAGGTTTTCTCTTCATCTTAATTCAATTGATTTTAATTGTCGACTTTGCTCATAACTGGGCGGAGGCCTGGGTTGGTAATTACGAAGAAACCGAATCGAAGGGCTGGTATGTGGCATTGCTGCTTTCCACTTTCTTCTGCTACGCTTTGACCATCACTGGAATCGTTCTTCTTTTCGTATTCTTCACGAAGGTAAACATTGTAAATATTTCCAATTCGCTCTAATTAAGGCTTTTTTTGATTCTAGTCGGACGATTGCAGCTTGAATAAGTTCTTTATATCATTCAATCTGATCCTGTGCGTGATAGTCAGCGTGGTCTCTGTATTACCAGGCGTTCAGGAGAAATTGCCGCGTTCCGGATTGTTGCAATCCTCCATCGTCTCACTCTACGTAACTTACTTGACCTGGTCAGCAGTTTCAAATTCTCCAGGTATACTTAATTCGTAATTTTGCATGAATGCAAGTGTTCTTTATGTTTAATTTTCCAGATTCCAATTGCAATCCTGGTTTGTTGGGCATCATTGGTTCTGGCAAGGAGGCCGACCCGACCCAGATGGGTTTCGATAAGGAAAGCATCATCGGCTTGATCATCTGGATGTGCTGCGTACTGTACTCGTCCTTGCGTTCAGCCAGCAAATCCTCGAGGATTACCATGAGCGAACACGTTTTAGCCCACGATAATGGAGCAGGTAATTTCTTACAATACCAAATATTCTTGCAGATTTTATTCTTGCTCTCGACGAAATGAAATACTCATAATTTATGTGATTTAATTCGTTTGATGTTTTGCGAATGCAGTGAAAGGCAGCGCTGATGCCAGCCTGGTAGGAAACGAAGGTATGATTATTTTTTGCTTTTAAGACATCTCGGCGCGAGTATAGTATCTAAACTACTTGTATATTGAATTGGATTCATCATGACTAATGTAAAAAATATTGATTATACAAGTGGTTAATGATAGTACCCTCGTGATAAGCTGCTTTGTGTAATTCACAATGTTGCGGCAAGTGCAAATAGACACAATGAATGCAACTGAAATGCGTTTATTTTAGTAATTTTTTATTTTTAGTAAAAAAATAAGATTAACTTAACTTGTTTCAACAGAGTGGACTAATTTGTAAGAGAATGAAATTAGATTTTGCTTTTTGTACATAGCTGATATCCATTCCCCTCGTTCATTTGTTTAGCTAAGATCACGAATTATCGAATAGTACGAAAGTTATGGGTATTTTGTTCGTGCATGTATGTTTTTTTTTTGCGTATTTTTATTTTGGCTTGTTTTCTCTTTCTCCACATTATCTGTGTGCATCTACTTTCGCATTTCGGTTGTTGGATCTAAAAAACATAGCAGAGATATTTTCTAAGTCCGGTTATGTGCCGATCTCACCAGGTGGAGATGGCGCCGTGCACGACGCTGAAAGCGGCAAGAAGGTCTGGGACAACGAAGAGGAAACTGTCGCCTACAGCTGGAGCTTTTTCCACATCGTCTTCGCCTTGGCCACCCTCTACATTATGATGACTCTGACAAACTGGTATAGGTTAGTTGAGGAATAATGAATCTGAAAAGATCATATCCGTTCATTGATTATCTAATTGTATTTTTTTTTGCTCAGACCGAATTCCTCGCTGAAGACATTGAACGCGAATATGGCTTCGATGTACGTAAAGGCAATTTCCAGCTGGCTATGTGTGGGGCTCTATGGATGGACATTGGTGGCCCCGATAGTACTCAGAGATCGCGAGTTTAACTAAGCTCGTAAGATTTAACTTATTCCGCTTCCTGTTATTTTTTCACTCTACTACTACTATTAGTCGTGATCGATTTTGTTTTAGGTATAATACGACGTCGTTCAAGCCAGAATAAATTTAGTTTGTGATCAATATAATAATAATGTAAACACATAATATATTGCTATATCTACATAAATACTTATGAAAGTAGTCTTTTAGTCGCGGTTTACGCTGGTTCTCGTTATATTGCAATTTAAGAAATACACATTATAGAAATGCAGACCATTCGTGGCTTGATGAAATCCAATATTAATTATATTTATTAGATTATAAGGAAGTTCGACACACTCGACTCAAGTATACATTTGTAAATTGTACTCGATCGATGCGTTATTTTTAGATACGAATTCAATAGATGTGAAACGGAAATCGTGGACTAAGAAATTAAAAAATATATATATATATAATATAGATTTACACGAAATCGATTTATTATTTTTTTCATTCATTTCTCCCACATTCTCCATCTTATTACTTTTGCTACTTTCATCAAATATTTTGTTTCAACATTGCATCTGACCATAAATGTGTTATAAATTGATTCTGATAACATTTCAGTTAAAAATTAGCAAAACGATACGGACAGATTGGTGAAACATCTTTTGTTAGCATTTTTAAATGGGAATTTAAAAATTTTCATTTTTTTTATATAACACAAAGAAATTTTACAGCATAAAAACTTGCAAAACAACATTGTAAATACATTTAAAGACTTGGAACGTACATTTTTCAAGAACATTCAAACAGCCTTTGAAACAACAGCCTTTTTTTTAAAGAGATTTATATCAATTTATTTATTGATATAAATCTCTCCGGCCCTATTTCTACCCCTTTCGGGTTTAACAGCCACCACAAATTTTTGTTGTTTTTTCGTAATTGAACCAACGACCTTTCGTATCAGATTTTCGTGATACAGGCGACCATAGCCACACGGCTACGGCCGCTCTAAGATTAATATTCTTTTAGTTCTAGAATTGGTCCATTCTAATTCAATTTTTATGAAAGTATTTCATGTTAAAATCAGGGAGATCCAACTTGCATGTTTCAAGACTTTAAAAGCGAAGACTTTGTTGCCAACTGTAAAATATTATACGCACGCGCACTCTGTCTATATATATATAAAAATAATCGGTGGCAATCGCAAGCCCGACCACCATAATCCGACTGTCAAAATATCGACTATATCGAAATCCCGACAGTGTCTTTATTATTATAATTTATACAATAACATTTTTATGGTAGTCGATTTTGATATAGTCGGGATTTTGATTGTTGGGATTATGGTAGTCGGGATTTCAATAGACGGTTGTCGGGCTTGCGATATAGACACAAAAATAATAATATATATAAAATTATTATGATTATTTATTTTATTTAAAATAAATATAAAAGTACAATACATTAGTAAAAGTCCTTTTGGTCCATTCTATATTTAGTCTATACCAGTGATTCCCAATGTGGTCTATATCGACCCCCAGGGTTCTCTGACAACCTGCAAGAGGTCTGCGTCTGCGAAAAAAAAATTTGGGGGTCCATGAAATGAAAATGGGGTCCACGATAGTGGATGTCAACATACACTGATAGTACTTATTTACTTACATTATACTATCTTATAATATAAAGACATACATTATTTATAAAAGTACCTATGAAGTAAAAAAAATTTATATATGTTTATAAAATTGTGTAAGTTGTAGAATGTAGGCATTCGCTTTGTGGTCGCAATACATTTTGAACTTATAAAAACCTTGTAAAAACCTTACAAAATTGACGCCAAATGTTGATAATTTAAATTATTAAAGCATCATTTACTTATTGCTTAGTTTATTTTTTGTTTATTTTATGTTACGTATATTATATATAACAGATACAAAATTTTATTTTGAGTAGTTTTAATTTAAATTCAATTAATAAATGTATAAAACTTAACATGTGTTTTTACTTTAAGTTTTTAACACTAAACTTCACTACAGTTAGAAATTTACAAAAAAATCAATATCAGGTAAGTAAGGGGTCTACCCAAAACCGAAAAACATGACAAGGGGTCTACGACACAAAAAAGATTGGGACCCTCTGGTCTATACAATCATAAAAATAAACATTAATTACAAACTCTCACAGTTCTTTTAATGCTCGTTGCTCTTGCTTCCAATGATCAAACAATGGAGAATCAACTGCTGGAAATCTTCTCATTGTAATACCATGATTCTCATTGGCATTACATCCTTGGACGCAGAATTTTCGAATCATACTAAAACAAATTGTATGTTAATTAAAGCAAATAGTTAAAGGAAAATGACTTATGAAAATGCTTATAATTCTCAGAATGAAACACAAGTTTTCTAACAAACTATAACACACTTTAGAGAACAAAATGACTTAAAACAAATTATATGTTAATTAAAGCAAACAGTTAAAATGTCACTGCCACTGCCTATTTATTTGATAATTATATTTTAGATATTATAATTTATGGATGAAAGAATTGGTTGTGGCCAGAAAAGTTTTAGAAAATTGTCTTTAAATGTACGTATTTCTACAATGTCAGGTATTTAATTTTGAATCTTAATGGCTGCGCCTAACTTTTCGATATATTGAGCGTTTCGGTACATCGAAAACGACCTTGGCCTCATTTAGTAACAGACCAAATCAAGCAACAAGCCCCTCATCTTCACTCTTCGGACGACCAACCCAACCATAGCTGCTATCAGTGTTGATTTGTTTTCGAACGTTTGCGATTGGCTGTACTGGGGATGTGCGCGGCGTATAAGCGCTGCGGCGTATAAGCTGAGGCGCGGGGTGAAACGAATTGTCATTCAATCGACTGACTTCGTGCAGTTAGGTTGTTCTTTTGCTGTGTTTTCATCATTTGGCAGACAGTATCTCAACAGTAGTGGATTTGAAGTTTCCTATCGAAGTGCAGATAAGTAGTAATCATGACGATTATCACGAAACCAATAACGGAGAAGAAAGAAGCGAAGCTTATCCTCCCTCTGGTCGAAAACGATCAGCTGGCCGCAAACGCTGTGAGTATTTATTATATTATGTATCCTTTATATTCCATTCACCTCCCACCCCCCTTCGATGTGCTTTTACCAACGCACGTAAACAAAACAAAAAAAAAATATCCACCAAAATGGCGCATTTATTTACGTCACGGCCAGGTAAATCGAATTTGCTGTGGATTGTGTGCACCCTTTCACCGTCGATACTCTCGCTTCCGCACAATGCGAAAACTACCCAGCCGCCTACAGCGGAACACCTCCCAGATTGTTTATGAACCGTTCCTTTTATCTACCATTTTCTTTTTATTTGGTCTTCATTTCCTGTATTTTATATAGTGTTTTGCACTGCTGTCAATGCTTGTGCAGAGATTAGTTGATAAGATATTATATGTGGCATGATTTCGCTTGCTTGCGGTTCTTACATATTTGCAATGGAGCGACCTCCATTCTGCAACAATAATAACATTATTCCCCCTTGCGGCTGCATTTCTAATTGGCCAATTACGTTCAATTCCTGCTTATTGATAACGACTGAAAATAGAATGGAAGTCCTCTCGAGCATAGCAGTTTTACTCGACGATAAATATACATACATTCAGCTAGATTTGTTTAATGCGTATTCTCTTTAAGGATTTATATGTTAATAGTCCGGAATTCCCCAAACATTGTCTCGTAATAAACGAAATGTCGTCCCATGATTTTATTTTATCTGTCGACCAAAATAAACGCTTCTAGGGGTAAACGATTTGGATATGCAGTACAGTAGTTTGAATTACTTGCGAACGTTGATCACTGTGTTTTAAATATTTTCAAACTATCAGAACTATTATGTTCAATATATAAATGGTGTAAACGCAAGTAAAGCAAGTAAATTGGTTCAGTTTAATGATGCCCACAATATGAGAGAGATAATAACAGGAAACAGATTCGCAAATCCAACGTTAGATTAATTATGCATAAATGTAGTCTAGAAATAATACATATTTGTTTTTTTTTTTTAAATTAATAACGTTGAAACATGGTTAACGAGTAATAATACTATTTAGGTTTTAAAATTATAAATATTTATAAATGATTCACGTTTCGCGTTATCGTTCTAGTAATGCGTTCATTTTTATGTTTGTCTTTATATTTGCTTTGATAATAATATTGCTCACATAGCAATCATAAATACTAAATGATGATCTAATGTTATTATATTTCTTTCAGTCTGCAGCAGAAGATGTGGAGTCACAGGGAAGCGATCAAGATCGCACTTTCATTATCCTGAAGGCCAGAGCCCATAGGATTCATGGTATTACCACATTGGTGATCGTTCTTATTGCGAGCATCGTGGCGGCCATCGGCGTCATGGGCGGTGCGTACTTGTACCGCCAATATTTGAGGTCGCAGGTGTTCAAAGGCTGGTGCACCATTCCGTACAAGCAGAACAGCGAGACGGCCGCCCTTATGCTCGACAACGATCTCAAGGATTACATGGACACCTACGATGAGGAGAGCTTCAAGGTCCCCAGCTATCTTTTCAAGGAGAAGTTCGAGGTCGACATGGACGACGAGTACGAGAAGATCGACGTGCCAGACTTCAAGGATGGCCGCGATGGGCGCTTCATCCACGACTTTAACACTAACACCACCGGAATCATTGACCGCACTGGTAACAGATGCTTCATCATGCCGCTCAACCGCAAGAACGTGCTGCCTCCTAAATCACTTCTCGACCTGATTCAGAAGATGTGGAAGGGTTACTACAAGGTCAACGTGGACATCGTCAAGGAGACCATGCGTGTGGTGACGCCGCCCATCTCGGACACCTCCAAAGTTGGGGAATATATATCGAAGGAGTGCTATGGTCTACCCATCTACAAGTTGGAACAATACGTTGGCGGAGGTACGTCAGAAATCGCAATCGGTCGAAAGTATTTTTTTTACAATTTTTTCTTTTCCTCTCACTTAGTGGTCAAACGCTCGGCGGATCTGCACGACGAGGCGAAATTCGCTCAATTCTCTGGCAACGGTATCATGGAGTTTGACATCATCAACTTCCACGAGGTCGAGGCTTACGAGAACAGCTTGAAGCAGTGAATCGACGGGACGCAGAAGAAAAGTAATTTTAGATATTAATATTTTTGAATTTCCATTACGAAACGTATATAGTTCTCTTCTTAAACATATTCAATTCACATCACTATAATGTATACAAAAATGTAACATATCCAAAACTGAAGGAAAAATATTCTACATTTGCATACATAGAATATGAACAAGATAATTAAGTTACTGTTAAAAAAAGAACGAATAAATAAATTATACGTGAAAATATTAGTAAAGTAGTTGGGCGACTAAACCTCGCCTACCCTTATCAAATAAATTATGCTACATTCATGAATTTTCTAAAAACTTTGAAACGATTGTCGATTCCGAAACGAAATTTTCTCGGCGAAACAAAAAGAAAACTAATTGCACTTGAATATAGAGTCAGAAGAAGGAATATGAGAAGGAGATATATCTATTGGTGATATTATTTTGTTTATTTTCTATTTTATTTCACATTTGGTGTGCAATATTTTTATCATTATTAATGTTCATTGTTCGAGGATCTTGAATATAATTATATTTAAATATCTTATAAATACAAATAAATGTAAACAAAAAAAATGAAAATCTTTATTTTTCTCATTTCAATCTAAGTAACTTGTTTTTGACTACTTCTACAATTCCGATATACTACGATATAATCATTATTTTCTCTATTGGTGTGTCTTGTCAAGAAGTCTGTTTATAATCGAAGGTAACCTAACGACGTTTTCGTCAGCTGATGTTACTTACAATCAGTCGAGCTCGTTGTCGGGGTCCACGGTGTCCTGTCTGAACATTTCCGTGTCCACCTGACTATCAGCATGGATCAGCTTGTTCGTTTTCCCGGGCTGCAAGTAAAAGATAATCAATATAACTGTGCGTTGGTGTGAGCGTAGGCGTTTGCAGATACTTTGGGATGCATCAGAACGAACGGCAACTCTGCGGACAACTCTCCTCCCAGCGCTCCCAAATATAGCTTGACTTTGACGGCGTACGAGATGATTATTCCGAAGGCGTCCTTCTGATCGGGCGACGCCAATCTGCAAAATCCATCAATTATATATCCATGGCAACGGTTGCTGGGCTGTATGATTACAGGGTCGTCGAGGCTAGATTGGTGTCAGCGTTCTTCAGTTGACCGTCGAGTGCAATTCCCCGACGATCCTTGTTTGAGGATAAGAGCGGCACCAAATAGACCACCTTCTGCAAACTAGACCCAGGTTGGATTGGACAGCCCTCCCTAATAAATCAAAATTGATATATTTTCTAAACTATACACGATCACAGAGGTATGTATTTGATTGAAGCAATTGTTGTTCATGTTACGCAAGTGTACATACTGCGTCTCCAGGCTAGCAACAGCCGTTCGGTATTGACCATTCTGGAAGAGCACCACATCCACTCCTTGCTGCACCATAGCCTTGATTTTCTTCACAATTTTATTACTGTTGTTCCGGATACAAATATTGATGGCGATTTTCTCCCCATGATGATACAACTGCGAATTGCAATATCTTGTTAGCATCCATCTTGCGGATTGCGTAACACAAGATAAATACCTGCTTGTCCAGCGTAACCTCCAGCTCCAATTCTCCGGGACTCAACATAAAGTCCTTCCTGACCACGGTGCACGGTTGACGACCTTGTTTGGAGGGAGCGTATTGTATCTTCCTCACCGTCATCGCTACCGTGCTTCTTGCATGACTGCGATCTGTATCGTTTTCTCCGGTGAATATTTTAACGAAGTAGTTGACACCGCAAGGCTGACCCTCGTCTTCCATACCTTATAAGTTAAGATAAGTCATTTAGCAGGGAGGACGAAATGTATCGAATAGTTTATAATCACCTGGCTGAAGAGTGACGGAAGCCGGAGCGCTGGGCGGGATGATAAAGGTGAACGGAAAGGCGTTCGGCCCCAGCTTCCTGATCAGTCGCTCCTGCATTTTACTGGTATTCGCCTTCTCCACCGGGTATAACTGTTCCGAAACCAAGAACAAGTCCTTCTGGAAGTTCAATCCCATGACTTCATCCTCCGCGCGACCGTAGCGAAAGCTGCACACAACCTGTCCGAAGACTTTCCTATCCTTGTAATCATTGTCGATCAAAATTACTCCATCTGAAATGTAAAAGCAAACGTGAAACAGTTTCCAAACAATCGGTTACCATACGTCATTATGAATATTCCTACCTATTGGTTCGACTCCGGAGATGTGATCCACGTAGTCCCTCTTGCCCAAATACATGGTGATCTTTCCATTGGGCGAGGATTTCTTGAATACTTTAAAGTTGAATACCATTTTTCTTCAAATTTGTTGACGATAAGAAATACTCGAGTGCGAGTCAGTCATCTGTTGAAACGACAGAAAAGCCGTTCGGTATTTATACGGGATTTGTAGCACTCCTCGGGTTTCCATTCTCTAATCGGATTGCGAAAACCGCGTACAGGGAAACAAATTCAATCCAATTTATAACGATCTCGGGCGAAGAGATGACGACGGTTTCGTCACAATAATACTTTGTGTAATGCGATTAATTATTCGCATTTATCTCGATATTAGATATTTCCATAATAAAATCTTTTCCTTTAAATCAAATGGTCTAATTATTTTCATAGCAAATTTCTTGTGTTTATTGTTTGTGTGTTGTAACATAGAGCATTGTTATTTTTTCATAGCCTATTGAATTTTGTATATGTAACAAATATGCAACTCAAATTACAAATAAACAAAATGTTATTTTTAAATTTGACGCTTTGTTTAAAAGTAGTTAAAATATTAATTTTAAATAGGATAAAGACTGTTACATAGTTACAAATATTTGCAACTACTGCTAACATAATTACGTCAGTGCATCATAAGCTGATATGAGTTCGGTAATTATTAGAAGGTAATTAGAAGTATAGAATAAATAAATTTTATTGCATTTATTTTTGTTTACAACTAAATGATTTCGATGACTCAACTTAAATTGTTATCAAACATTAGTCTTAATTACTAATAAAATGATGTAGTTTTCTCAACATCGATTCAGTTTCAATTAATTTACAATGTATTAACAAGAAAATATGATTTTTTATTTACGTTTAGGCCATTTTGGGTTTGTTTACCTCTGTGGCCCATGCTGACTGACCTACATCAACCTATTTCAGCGGGATTTTCAGGATATTCCTCAAACATGTCACATAGTTATTAGGTTCACCGCGATGCAGAAGGGTGGAGCTCGGCGCAACTTAAATTTGCATTTATTGATTAATATGTTATAATTAATAAATAACAAATTACAGCAAAGTTATTATAATGTTATTATCCTCGCTGATTATAATGTCGATTTTTCTATTTTGAACATTAATTATTTTTGTCTATCTTGAAATTACTGTTAAATCTTGAAAATAAATTTTAATGAAATCTATGTTTTGGGTGGATGAACAGCTGATCAAATACAATCAATAACGCGTTTATAACAACAATGTAATGTAGACATCGCTATCACTGATATCTATGCCGAGTCGGTATAAAGTTCGCTCCATACGATGATCGATTTGCGTGCAAAATTCGCGGTCCAATTAACTAAAAAAAATATATAATTACCGCTATCTGATTTTGAATTCTTTTGTTCCTGTATTAAACGTAACGCAATTGGTGCATTCTTAGCGCAAGCGCCGCCCAAATGACGTCAACGAAATTGTCCCCACTATCGTCGAGTTAGCACCGCGCGACCCGCTCTCAATGTAAAAAGTCTTTCTACAGTAAAGATGGCGGATGTGATAGAGGACATTGCCATGGAGTGCAGCGACAATGAGGAAATTCTACCAAAAACCAACTCCGAGTAAGTCTGACATTCATGTGATATTAATGTCCATACAGTTCGCAATCGAAAGCGCCCTTCGATGAGTCTGTATCACGCCCAGGTCTCTCATAATACCCGTTTTTTTTTGACCCCACACGAAACACAAAAAAACATAGGTGGGTTTATTTTAAGACTCTTTCTCGAATGTTCCACAACACAAATATTGATGTTTTATGCGCATGCAGCGAAATATTAAAACGCATTTCGAAATTACTTGGATGACATGGTGATCGGTGCTCTTTTCGTCAATTTGACAGCAAAGGTCCTCAACCCCTCCAGGGGTGTCTACTTTAATAGATCATTTTAGAAATGCATAGCATAATGAGTTAAACTTTTTTATGTTTAGTAAAATTAAGGAACATTTTTTAAGAAATTTACAATTAATATTGATAGATGTCAGAAAAATTAAGGTTAGATTTAATGAGATTAAATGAGAACTAGAATATTCTAGAAATATTTTTTATGAATGTGATTTTAGTAAATTTCAACTAACAAAAGTATGCTTATTAGCAATGAAAATGATGAAATAATTGTGTGAAAAAAAGATAAAATAGATCAAGTTGCTTTGTGTAAATTTTAAATGCGAAATTGTCAGTTCATGAAACAATCTGTCTCTCTCTACATATTCACTTTGTTTTTTTTTGTTCTTTCCTGTTATTGAAAGTTGTAATCTTCGCGTTCGAAGCGCGCAAAATGCAAGTGGTGGTTGGTTCAAACACATTTGGTCAGTCGTAGGTTTCCTGTTTATTTCATTCCGTCGATAATAAAAAGAATGTGATTTTATTTTCATTTGTATGATTATTTTTTTTCGTAGGCTGGCAGAACTCAAGAAGGAGAATGGCAACCAGCTGTACAAAATTAAGCAATACAAATCGGCGTTGCCGCTGTACACGGAGGCGATTGATCTATGCCCGAAGACCGCCTCCTACTATGGCAATCGATCCGCCTGCTATCTGATGTTGAACAAGTACCGCGAGGCCTTGGAGGACGCTCGTCGCGCCATCCAGCTGGACCCGACCTTCACCAAGGGTTACATCCGCGTGCTGAAGTGCGGCATCGCGCTGGGAGACATCACTACGGCCGAAGGAGCGTTGAAGAAAATCAACGAGAACGTGATCAACACTACAGTCGCCGCGGAGATGAGGCAGGTGGAGATCCTGAAGCAGTACGAAGGAGAGGCGTTGAAGGCTTCCGAGAAAATGGACTACAGGAAGATCGTTTACTGCATGGACAGATGCCTGGACCAATCGCCAACCTGCGCCAGATACAAGATCACCAAGGCCGAGTCCTTGGTGTTCCTCGGACGGTACGACGAAGCCCAGGAGATCGCCAACGGAGTTCTCCATCTGGACAAGGGTAACGCGGATGCCATCTTCGTGCGCGGCGTCTGCCTCTACTACGACGATAACATCGACAGCGCGTTTAATCATTTCATACAGGTTCTTCGTCTTGCACCCGATCATAACAAAGCTAAGGATATTTACAAACGTGCCAAGCTGCTGAAGAAGAAGAAGGAGGAGGGTAACGAGGCGTACAAGACGGGCAAACATTCTGAAGCGCACGCTCTTTACTCCGAAGCATTAACCATTGATCCGATGAACAAGAAAACCAACGCCAAATTGTACTTCAACAGAGCACTGGTGCTCACGAAACTTGGCAAGAACGCGGATGCCATCTCCGATTGCACGAACGCCCTCAAGCTGGACGAGAAGTATCTGAAGGCGCTGCTGAAGAGGGCCAAGTGTTACATGGATTCAGGCGACTATGAGGAGGCAGTGCGCGATTACGAGCAGGCTTGCAAGATGGAAAAGAGCAGGGAGAACAAGAGGCTTCTGCAGGACGCCAAGTTCGCGCTCAAAAAGTCCAAGAGGAAAGACTACTACAAAATCTTGGGAGTGGAGAAGAACGCCTCCGAGGATGAGATCAAGAAGGCTTACAGAAAAAGGGCACTGGTGCACCATCCGGATAGGCATGCTAGCGCCTCCGAAGCGGAGAAGAAGGAGCAAGAAAAGAAATTCAAAGAGCTGGGCGAGGCGTATAGTGTGCTTTCAGATCAGAAGAAGAAGGCTCGGTACGACAGTGGACAGGACTTGGACGACTACGCCGACGGTGCTGGTATGCACGACTTTGACGCCCAGCAGGTCTTCCAGACGTTCTTTACCAGTCGTGACTTCAACTTCGGAGGTGCACCTGGAGGTGGTGGCGGCGGCGGCTTCCCCGGGGGATTCTCTTTCCAGTTCGGTTAGACACGTACACACCCACAAAACTACCCACAAGTAAACCATCAAAAACAAACACTTGAATACAAGAAGTTCCCCCTCCCTCGTACTGTCGTGTTTACTACATTCCACAATCATACTGTTATGAATTCGGTAGTATTTTTCAAATAGCAAGAGGAGAGACGTACTTAGATCTTTTTTTACATTTCCCCTCTTCGGTTCATTTCGTAACGCATAAAATTTGAATAATTGTGATAAATTCTGTTCGACTTGACGACTACATTTTTTTTGGCTACTGTCTCTCGCCCTCGTAGTGATCGTTAGTAATACCGTCGTCGTTTGTTTTCCTTTAATTTATTATTATTTTTGCTCACTAATATGTAATACGTTTATTGAATAATAAAGTAAACATAATCTTAAACAGAACATTAGATAGTCTCGTGGACTAGAAGTAGATGGATTAAAATTTAGTCAAGCGCATAATGACGGTACATCGTTGTTGCTCCGCACTCTCCTTCACGCTCATTAGCAAGCAAAGCAATTTAATCTGCCACGTCTCCTTCCTTTTTTGTTAAATAGATATATATATATATATACTCGTTTATGTTTCGTATATATATATCTCATTGAATATATCGAATAGCAACAAAAAATATTATAAATATATATATATATTAATAAATTTAGTGAAATCGACGATAGTTGTTTTCGTCCTTCGTGCGGTGACAGCACCAGCACTTGTAGATAAAATTTCCGGTTAACCGCATTTTTCAAGTTTCCTTTTGTTCACATCACCAATAACGTAGACAGCTTGTGTTACTATCAGAAAACAATTGATTATAATAAAATAATTTATTTTAATTCGTTCAGCAACAAATAATTGTAGTACGTATAAAGAAATAAACATAAAGCCTTGGTTCGACTTAAAGCTAAATAATCATTGACATTTTCACATTGCTTTGCTTTCAAAATTACAACTTGGATCAAAAATAGTGTTGTATTATGATTTCAGCATTAATAACAGAATGAAATTTTATAATTTGTATACAAAAGAGATTCCGTCGACATTTATTGTAGGAATTTGTGGTTATAATGCACCAGACCGCAGATCTCGAATAGCAAATCTAATTTTAACATTGCACATTTTATCATAAAATTGGTCAATCAAAATTGCAACTTTGGTGTGGATTTACAAATTTGATTATTAGAAGCATAGCCAAGAACGCTATGTAGCGAACACGGAAAGGTCACTTAACAGTAATCTTTGACCAAATTCTACTGTTTTAATTTGGTTAATTCAGCCAATAGGGTGTTGAAACATATAAATTTTGCAAGACACTGTCTAAATCGAATTTTCAGGTTCGCTGTTCTTGATGCTAGTGAGTTTTCTTGTGCGTAGAAAGCGGACCCGTCTGTGAAAAGGATTTGTTGCATATGTTACAGGTATATGGTTTTTCGCCAGTGTGAATTCGCAGGTGAACCTTAAGCGTCGATGCCTGATAGAAGCCTTTGTAGCAAATGTAGCATATATGATTTCTATCGCCTGCAACAAGAAGTAAAGATATTTAATGATTCCTGCTGTCCAAAGAATTGATATAGTAAATACCTGTATGGGTTTTGATGTGTATCCGAAGATCCTCGGATCGTGGAAAGGCTTTAGGACACATGCTGCAATTGTACGGTTTTTCCCCGGTATGAATCCGAATGTGTTTTTTCAGCTGAGAAGAACTGACGCAGCCGCGGCCACAGATATTGCAAACGTATGGTTTTTCGCCACTATGGGACCTGGTATGGACTGTTAGCCTGGAAGGATCCGGGAATCCCTTTCCGCAAACGCTGCAGATATACGGCCTCTCGCCTGAAACCAATTGAAATGCATTTTTCCATGTCAATCATAATCAGTTGTTACCTGTGTGCGTTCTCTTGTGAATCACCAGATTGCTCTGCGTGGTGAAACCTTTGCCGCAGTACGAGCATATGTGATCTTTAACCCCTGTGTGCGTCTTCATATGCATAGTTAACGATCCTGATCCGCTCAATCTAGAAGATACAAAATTAATAAGCATTTCGAAAATGTTTTCAAATATAATCTATACCTTTTACCGCAAATAGTGCATTCGTGTGTTTTGATGCCGCTGTGCGTTTTGCTGTGAGCTGTGAGACTGGTGTACCTGGAGAAGGCTTTATTGCAGACGGAGCAGATAAAGTTCTTCTCGTTGGCGTGCGCCCTCATGTGTTCCACCAGCCGGAATGATTGCGCGAAACTTTTAGCGCACAGTTTACAATTGAAGGGCTTCTCTCCAGTGTGTGTCCTGAGGTGTCGAGTCAGATCGTCGGACCTGGAGAATCCCTTTCCACATTCGTTGCATAGGTGTCGCTTGGCGCTTTCGTGGATCTTGAAATGTAAATCATTTAGAACTTTACAAACGTTCGGTATGCAGATCGATACTCACTTTTGAATGTCGACACAGCGTGCTCGCGCTGGCGAATGCCTGGTTGCACACCTTGCAGATGTGCTGAGACGGCTTCGGATGCGTCCTCTGATGCACCTTCAGATCAAAGACGCTAGCGAAGCACAGGGTGCACTCCTCGCATGGGTAAATCGGCTGCTCAGTCTCGTCCTCTTTCTTGTTACTATTATCACAAACTCCTGCATCAGGTTCATCCACATCACCTTCTTCTTCCTCATCATCATTTTTCTCCTGATTAACTTCCCCACTATCAAAATCAATAGTTTCATTAACTGCATTAATCTGAGCCTGCTTAAGATCTAAATCACTTTTTAACAAATCGTCCTCGTCAATGATCGGCACCTCGATCTTCTCCACATCTTCTTCAATCACTTTTATTGATTCAACAGGTTGCTTAAGTTCTTCCAAATAGGTCACATTGTTTTTACCAAAAAGCTGCCTTAAAGTAGCATCAGATCTCTCGCACAGTTGCTTAAAAGAAAATGCTCTGGTGATGTAGTGCACACATTGTAGACAGACCTGGCTTGGCAGGCCATCCCCTTCAATTACCTGCATCATATAGTCCAATCAATTTCAAAAAATAATATTGATGTGGATCAACTTACCTGGATCGAGGTGCAAGACATGAGCATAACTTGCAATCGGACAGTTTCTCCCTGGCTCTCGTCCATGGAGAAGACGGATCGCATGTGTTGGTCATCCAGGAGACAAGTGCGGCATATTTTCTCCGTTTGCAGAGTCTCGAATGCCATTGTTTCCAATAAGAAAATCGTATTCTCACAACCCCATTATTTACAAACATACATATTGATCAACGTTGCCAACGTACGAAAACCATAAAAAGAATCAACGACAAACGATATTTAAACTGCAAACACTTCGAATGTAAAATCAAATAATTCAAATTATAAATAAATGCATTTATTCATAGCAATGACAAAGAATGTTAATTTTTAGATTTAATTAAAATTAAAGCGAAAACGTCAAGTTGACAGGTGCAGGACAGGTGTTTTTCAGCGCGAATTCTAAAAATATTCAGGTATTGTTGACCAGCAAGTCTGAAACCGTTTCTAACACCAAATTCGTTGCGGCTTCAGCGACACTCTGCACAGTTTTATTCTTGCAGACTATGTCCTCTTGCAATCTGGTGTTTGCATTCAGACAGTTTGTCAGTTCTTCAAGGCCATTGCTATCAATAATCAAACTTTGGAATTTCTCCAGCTTCTCACAGCATTCACCAATTAGATTTTCAAAACGCTTATAATCCTCATCACTGTTTAACACTTCAATATTCTTTAGATAGAGTTTATTATGCTCTGAAGTTAACAGCTGCACCAGGGATTCACTTTGGGTTTTTGTAGTTACATTAAGACTGTCCTCGTTTCCTTGCAGCTCAGCCTCCATCTCATTGATGTCCCTCTCCAAATCTATGATGTTTTGTTTTTCTTCCAGCTCTGCTTTCAGGGAGATCTCCTCTTTCTTGTACTTTTCTAGCGAACTCCTATACATCTCCAGCTGATCATTGCACTTGATCTTGTGCTCCTCAATGGATTTACTCAGAATTTGTTTCTTGAGGAGGTCCTGCAGGTAGGTGTTGTAGGCAAACTCCAGCTCAAGATCAGTGTCATCCTCAGGGATTGCCATGGAGGGCAGCATCTTTGGTGTGCAGATTGTGGAGTTCAGATTGGTCCTGCATCTACTGCTAGGCCCAATTGATTGCAGTGTACCATTCATATTGGGCCTTCTCCCCGAACCGGGTGTTGAACTCTTGATCCCGCTAATCTTTGAACTCGGCGTCGGACGTTTCTGACTCATTTTGGCACAATTAATGATAATATAAGAAAATCACGTGTTGCTTATGTTATGAATTGCTCTGAGCTTGTCTGAGCGTCTGAGCCGCAAGAAAATTCAAAACAAAAAATAACAGAATATTCGCAGTTTCACCAACACAAGGGAAATAAATACTTTTATAATTAACACATAAAATTGCATAAAATGCTAATCAAAATATCATTAATTACAACGAAAATGATTTGTTTTGACCATATTTATTTCGTACGTCGGGGTTTTGACACAGTCGGGATTTCGAACGTCGGGATTTCAATAGACGGTCTTTCGGTTGTCGGGCTTGCGATATAGACCCATAATTTCTATATTTATGTTTAATCATATTTATATTTGAAGTAAATATAATTTATTTATAACGATTCAGTAACAATGTGTGGTTTAAAGCTAACTTTTGCGAGACTTTATTGAATTCAAAAACTTTAGATTAAATGACATTTCTTGTTAATTTATTTCCATGGCATACCTAATATATAAATAATTTAACATAACAATGTGCACTTTAAACTATTTTTCTTCATTTTTTTATTTGTAGAAAGTAGCGCTTATATTGAATTGAAACAAGAAGAGCTCGTAGGTGACTATAGTGCCGGCAATCTGGAATAAAGAGAGATTATTTACAATCATATATATCGATGAGTATTAACAATTAACTGACAGTAAAAATCAGTCCTCTGGTTATATAGAACAGCCTGTATCCGGTGAGAGCAATAGGATCGTGGCATATCTGTATCATTAACCTTTCCACCTACGGAAACGTAAAACTTTACATTTAGTTCTGATCAAAAAATAGGATAATACTTCGACTGAGTAAATTTCCGATGGCACTAGCGTCAAATATTGCAGAGGCTGCTTGCTTTCTTCGTTTACTTTAGCCGCAAACAACGCTACAGCAACCGTTCTCAAGAGCAGCAATCCAAACGATAGAAAGAAGTACAGACTTTCAACTCCATTGTGCTTCTGGCTATAATCAATTGATATTTTACACGGTTAATTCGTTTTTAGTGCTTCCAAAAATCAGCCTAAGTCTAATATTGCTTAAGTAGCAGAAGAAGGAATAATTTGTACTGCAATAACTAAGCATATTAATTGGTACTTACTGAAGGCTTTGGAATAGTTGCACTAAAATGTAGTAGAGATTAATTGAGAAACTTAGGAGCACGATGCTGGAAATGCAGGACTCGAGCTTTCTGAAAAGTTTTGTCACCTCGTTGTAGTCCTCTCTAATGCTTTTCCAAAATACTTCTTGGCCAGTCTGAGCAGATATTGCATGATATATAAAATGTTACTTATTTTATTGTACATATTTAACTTACATTCCAATCTGTGGCGATTTTGATACGCCTGGTGATCTGACTATACCTTTCCGAGAGTGCACCGCTCAGTATCATTATGAACAGATCCATGAAATTCCAGATGAACATGCAGACAAAATTGGCGGCCTGCAAAACAAAGCTTACCATTGTTATACTCGATTTTAGATGGAACAAAAACGAAACAAACCAGGAGAAACACTGCGAAGGTCGTGCTGTATCCCGTATACTGCAGAACGAAGCTGTACATGGTTTCGGTCATCTCCTTCAATGGACTCTGACCCTTCTCCAACGTCTCGCAAATGGCGTAAAATGAACTCCAAACAGAGAAGGAATATTCAACTAAAAAACAGTGTGTAGTTGATGATTAATTAATATAGTTTTCAAATACTTAGGCTGGCCAGGACGATGAAAACGATCTGGATGTTAATCGTTCTGGATAAACGTTTGGGGTATCCGTATTTGCGCATGGAAGTTTCAAGTTCACACCAAGCCTTCATCAAGGAAGGCCACCTGAGCGCTAACTTGAAGAACATCAGATGAATGAGCAAACCGGGGACATATATCATCGTCACATCTAAAATGAGTTTTAAGTGTATCTGCAGCAATTAATTTGAGTTCACATGTACTTACTCAAACTTCTGAAATCGATGCCATCGTTGATCATATCGAATACGCTCATCGTGGCCATGAAAATGTGCATTGCAAAAATCGTGCAGGAAAAAAACACCTTGAATGATGCCAACTTGAAGCTCAGATTATCTCCGCTAGATCTCATTACACCTTGGAAAGGTAAAATGCCGAAGAATTGCGATAAGAGCAGAATCCACCGAAAGCTGATTTGTAAATTCTCTGTGGTATTCTCGTGAATCATTAAGCTGACGCGAGTGCGTTTCCGGATTCCTGAGAAAATCCTCTTGTATATCTCGAGATCCATTATCTCTTTTTTGGGTTTGTTGCTATCGATATTAACGGGTACTTATCATTTCAGAATTGTTCTTCTCTATTGCGGTTAGGTGCGAAAGGCATTTATTTACTATTGCCTGCGATTGAAAGCTCGAGATAACAACAATAACAGCGACGGCAGGGCAGCAGCAACGCCAATATTAAATAATAATGATTGTGTAAGCGTTTGTTGTGTTAATCGTCCGATAAAAGGGGCTTTACTTAGAGTCCAAATGCGTTGTGCTGAATTGGATTAAGACCAGCTCGTACGTAACAATAGCACCTGCAATCTAATCGGAAACATGATCAGTGGGGAAGGGGATTCAGAGCCGACAATAAATTATGCAATCCATAATTACGTTCAGGATTAGGCCCTTGGTTACTTTGAACATCTTCCAGCCGGTCAGCGCTGCATTATTCGAGCTCACCTGTTGCAAGAATCTTCTCACCTGCAGTTGAATGGATTTCAATGAATATTTACTCACCGATCTCGTATACAAACCTCATTATTGTAGCAACTAGATGGGACAGAATTCAGAATATTCATGGGTTCTTTGCTTTCGTCGTTGATCCAAGCTGCGTACAGTGAAACCGTCACCGATCGAATGATCAAATATGCGAATGAAAAGTAAAAATACACTCTCTCGACTGTGTCCGTTATTTTCCTACATAATAATATTGAAAAAAAAAAACATTAAAGCATTTAAATCAAATTTTAGAGTAAACCTGAGGCTGTTGAAAAGTTGTACTATGATGAAGAATAGATTGGTTGTAAAGGAATTTAGTACCAGATACATCAAGCAGTCGTCTAGGCTGGAGCACAGCTTACATAGAGCATCGTAATCTTCGCGCATTTCCATCCAATACCTTAGTGTTGGATTGTTGCTGTGTTTCCGAAGCCTAGAAGCAACCTGTCGAAACCTGAGAGCTAGAATAGAGCTCAGCAGGATGATAAATATATCATTGAAATTCCAAGAGAATGTACTTAAAATGCTGCAAATCTAAGAAGGAAAAACAATGGAATTTTTGTTTGTTACGGAATTAGCACCATTTTGCGTTACTTGAATTAAACTTCCGGTTAGGTGGTTTATCGTTATGGTCTCTGCGATTTGCGGATAAACGGTGGAGTAGTAGTTTTGAAACGTCAAGGTTAAATTCTTGTGTTTGATCGAGTGCACGTGATGTGCCAGCGACAAGGAATATTCAGCTATTCACGAAATATTTCTTGTGTTTACTCCATTTTGCCTGATAATTTGACTTACCTGTGGCTAACGTTAAGAATGTTATCATTGTTAGTTTGATACGCAAGTCCAGATTTTTTAGGAATCCGTACTTGTAGGCCATCGAGGCATCGACTCTGCTCCATTTTGTTATTAGCTTGGGCCAGTTTCTGGCTAGATGCAGAAAGAGGATCGAAGTGACGATTGAACTCACGTAAAATATGTCTTCCACTATTCAAATAAACCAAGACAGGTATTTCATGAATATTTAAAATGGTTCGACTGACGTACCAATTTGAGGAAAATCTGTGTCGTACGTAATTGAATGGTAAAAGGCGACGGATAGTATGAAGGATGTGATTAGGATATTGGAGAGGCTGTAAAGTACTTTTGCAGATAGACATCTGAAACGTAGATTGGTGTTTCGAATGACGCCGCTAATGGGAATCAAGGAGAATATGTTGGCTACGATCAACACCCCTCTCAGGGATTGTTGGATGTTGCTCGCCCTCGACTGGGTGCCTTTGCTTACAAGCATTTGCCACTTCTTAACTTAAACAAGTCCAACTGATGGATGGTTGTGCTTCGATTGTACAAACAAACGGATTGCGTTTTATTTGTACATACATACACAAACACATATAGGCAGAGAGTGCGGCACGTTTTTTTTTATCTTCATCTATACGACGTGAAAGTCTAATGCAATTAATCAAATATTCATCTGCATGTTTACTCATTTTTATTATCCGTTTGATGGCAATCATAAATAACAACAGCAAAAGGATTTAATCGAGGGCGCAAATGTCCGTCGGATTCTCCGCTTCCGCCCTCAGCAACTGCTCGTTGAACTGAATCAGAACCAATTCGTAAGTCACAATCGCACCGGCTATCTATCCCATTCATATTTCGAATCAACAAAGAAACAAAAATAATATTAATTAATTTAATCAATTTCTATAATTGAACTCACGCTTAGAATAAGACCTCGCGTCACGCTGAAAAAATTCCGTCCAGTTATCGCGATAGAATTGAAGCTGATCTGCTGGATGAATCTGCGAATCTGATCTTCATTTAATTAACAAGCGAAACCTTTGTCCATATCTTACTTCCAAGTTGTAAACATGAGATGGCACTGAGCTTAGGATAGAGATCGGTTTTTTGCTCTCGTCGTTGACCGAAGCGGCGTAGATGGACACAAAGATGGTTCGCATGATGAGGAAGCCAAAGGAGAAGAAAAAGTAGAACTTATCGAGGTTGGTCTTCATCGGTCTGCGAGATTTCTAGGTTAATCGATCGACGGTCATTTAGTTTTTTCTTTGTTTAGATACCGTAAGCTGTTGAAAAGTTGGATCAGTATGAAGAACAGATTGCTGCCGAAGGACATCAAAACTACGTAGGATATGGCGTTGTCCAGGCACTTGCACAGTCTGCAAAGCTTGTTGTAATCTTCGCGAAGTATTTTCCATGATCTCTCGTAAATTATCTACAATGAATACCATACGTATAGTAATGGTAAACACCCGGCGTATCCACATTTTTATAGTAAACTTCAAATTAAATATACCTATCCCTCGTTTTACACGGTACTTTCTTTACACGGTTTCGTAGTTTTAGATTAAAAAAGTTACAGTTTAGATTTATACGCTTTTCTCAGGAACCTATCTACCGTATAAATCGGGGGATAGATCTATTTTATATTATACAGCTTACGAAAAACATATTTTTTGATATTGATTGAAATCTAAATATTTTAATATTCATTCGATTTTTACTTAGTATTAAGTAAACGATTAATTTAATACCATTAGTTACATAAAGCTAACCAATTGTTATATAAAACATAAATTAACTTCTGGTATGTAAACTCTATTTACATCATAATGGTTTATTTTTCAATTAGTGCATTAGGCCAGGATAGCGCGTACCTAGTCCCGACACACAAAAATTCCGCGCCCTTGCAATTATCCCTAATATCAGATACATTAGGGATAATTGCAAGCGTTCGATAATCCGAAGTGTAATGGTAAAGCCTCACCCTGGAGGAAATACCTTAATTATCACTGTCCAAAAGTACTCTTTCACCGAAACGTACTGCTGTGTTGTACGCAATAGCTTTTGTATAAGATTTAACTTCTAAGCGCGGCATGGCCCTTGGACAAACGCAACATTATATTATTCGTTACACAACATTGATTTACCTTATAATTCTAAATATCAAACTAAACCTGTAGTGAGTAATAAATTTAGTGATTTCTATTCAAAAGGAGCTGTGTTCACTTTCTAGACTTATTAAAATTTAAACTTATGTACAGTGAATGTACACGCATGCTGTAAACATTCAAAATATTCGAAGCTATAATTATAAACAAATAAAAGTTCGTAGCGATTTAAACATTTGATGTGCTTCTGTAAAGTTATCATTACTATTACTTTAGATTCGGCCATGACTTCCAACTTGTCCGTGATCTGTTTGAATCTTAAAGCCAGTGCTGAACTGAGGATCATGATGATTAAGTCGACGTAGCTCCAGGCAATGGCGGAGAACACGTCGATGATCTTAAATTAAAAAATGCTTTTAGATTATTGCAGATTGTACGATTTTTGGTAGCACCTGCAGGAAAACGGCGATCCAGATGGAATAGCTGAAGACTTCGAAAACATAAGGAAACATAACAATTGTATAGAAATGTTTGATTGTATCGTGCTCGGCGCAACGTTCAGAAACTGTAAATCTGGTGATTTGGAAAACGATGTATTGAGCTGAAAAATGTTAGTAACATTTTATTTTCATCTCATATTTTATCAATAATAATGTTCTTACCTGTTGTAAAGGTAAGCAGCGTGATCGAAAGGATTCGTATCTTATTGGTGATCTTTATGCTTCCGTACGTTTTGAAATGCCTCTCGATGGCCATCCATTCGCGCATCAGCCTAGGCCAATGTTTGGCAAGGTACAGAAACGATAGGGTTATGCAAATCTTGCAGAAATGAAAAACGAAAACGCCTGTATTTCGAATACAGTTACTACCATATATATTTATTCTTAATAGATTTAATGAATACATTAAGAACTAACTTACTGGCTATGTAAAGATCTGTTCCGATACGGACCATCTCGTAGAAGACGGTGAAAATGATGAACAAATTTCCTAAGACAGCGATTAAACTGTATATGGTCTTCCAATTCGTCCAAGAAAACTCCAAATCGCAGGGATTGCATTTGTAGATGCCGGTGATAGGAAATAGTGCGAAGATTTGGCCAAACGTTATCACGCCCGATAAACTCCAGTGCAAACTCTCCATCATCCTTCGACTAATAATAATAGTACACTAACAGTAACTTACATTTAGAACGCAAAGAGCTTCCGCTATCAATAATTTATTACGGGCACTCAGCCTGAAGTTTTTTAATAATACGCTACTATCGATGAACGCAGAAAAAAAGATAAACATTCATCGATTAAAGCACTCTATTTTCGATATGTATATTTGTTATAGGCGGCAATAACATAATCATCATCAATGCACGTAGAATTGAAGCAGGACTAGCTCGTACGTAACTATGGCACCGGCAATCTGCAATGATATTAATTAGTACAGCTAATCGTTAATTCAGAGGAGTAAGTACACTTAGAATCAGCGATTTCTTCAGTTTGAAAAATCCGTTGCCGGTGAGACAACTCGGTTCTATTTGGATTTGCATTGATAGTCGATCGATCTGTAAAAATTAATTTATTTGAGTTTTACAATTTGCTTCTGCAAATGGTGAATGGAAATTACTTCCGTGTTGTAAGCTCGAGCGGAAATTCGCGAAAGAATTTTTCCGGATTCGGAGCTCTCGCAATAAATTTTGTCGGCGAAAAGGACCACCAAAGTAGTTCTAATCAGAAGAAAACCGAATGAATATATGAAGTAAACTCGATGAAAGATTCCTCCATCTAACGGTCTAAATGTTACAAAAACACCAACAAAAAATATAGTTTTTTTTTCTTCAATTTTATGCATAATGCTCACTTCAGCGTATTATGAAGTTGTACCAGAATATGGATCATGTTATCTGCAAACGAGATTAGTATCAATCCGGTCAAAGCGGAATCCATTTTCTTAGTCAGCAAGTACAGATTATTATAATTAATCCGAATTTGCATCCAATATTGGGAATCATTGATGTGCTACAATCATAAATAGTAAAATAAAACAATTCATTTTAAATTGGTATAAAGAACATGAATATTATGAAGTGTAAAATTTGTTTGCCCCGTTACACCGTAGACCATGACACTTTTTTAATTTTTGGTAGCACTGCACGGTAGAACCACAACTGATTTTTTAAAGCATCATAGACCATCAGAGATTTTTGTAATTTTAGATAGAACCGTACATCACGACTGACTTGATATTTTTATTGCACTCTACACCACAATAGACTTTTATAATTTTAGACAGAACCATAGACCATGACAGAGTTAAAATTTTTGATAACACGACGTTGACCACGACGGACTTTTGTAATTTTCGGTAGCATCTAATTCAATAAAAATGTAATTGAAACCTTTGTTGTAAGAATTCTTCGCTTCACTTGCGCAAACCTAGCTGCCAGTGCGTAACTAATAATCATTAAGAAGAAATCCAAGTAGTTGAAACAAAAGGCGCTGAAAATGTTAGATATCTAAAAAGATAATACGTATACGTTATTATTTATATCTACATAGTGCGTATATTAATATACCTGCGAAATTATGGCTGCAGTTACTGTGAAAGGAATTAATTGGAAAATATAGTCATTGCGCAAGGAGTCATGACCCTTTTTCGAAATGGTGTACATCAAAAAGAAAATTTGCTCCACTAAACAAAAACACAAACTTTAAGATTATTCTTTTAAAAACTTATTTTTGTTATTTTACTCGCAGTTCCAATGAGAATTGCAATCGTGATCAGATTGATGTCGCGTTTGAGGTGAACGGGGAATCCATAAATTCCTGCCATCGATCGATCGACTTTCAGCCAGAGCGGTGAGATCTTCTTCGGCCAAATTATCGATAACCTCAAGAAAACGCAGCTTGTTGCAAGGCAACCGAAACCGAATTTTAACGATACTTGAATGCAATTATTATTATAGTATTAGTACTTTAGAAATATATTATAGAAAAAAATCGCTCACCGACGGTATGCAAAGAAAAGTTGTTTGATGATACTTTTATTAAGTATAAACATAATTTAATTAAGATTTGTGTCAGGTTAATTATGCAATGAACATATTTAAATTTCCCAAATCTGTTGATTGGCATAAGCCCGAAAATCTGCGCTAGCAACAGTGGAAACTGCAATGCTTTCTTTGTCGTCTTCATTTTTACTCTGCTAAATACTTCATCATATCGACAAATGGCCCAAAATGTAATTAAAGAAAGCTCTGATTAAAATCAAATTATCGTCATCTGATATGTTTGTATTGAATGACTTTCTTATTAATGAGAAACAATGACTAGAATAATTTATAATATAATATACATAAATTACTTGCATTTATAAACATTTCTATACTTCTTCGTTAATTTGATTTTTTTTTGAAAATTTCAAAATATTTCAAATCTTATTGGGTGAAGGTGCCATCGATAAATTTATTTGGTAACCTGAAGGTATAATGTATTAACATTATTTATAATATAAATGATGTTAATACATTATTATATAAATTGTATGTAATAGATTTCAATGAATCATTAATAACTTCTGTTCATCAATTACGTTGGTAGTCGTGCAAAAATCAAACAAATCAAATCGAAAAAAAAGTAAACAAAGTGGAGGTTTCTGCTAACAGCAGTATTGTAATTATATCTTTATTAAAGATATTCTATATTATAGAACTCGTAATCATATGAGACATACTTATGGGGAAGTAGGTATCCTTTTTTTGAAAGAAAATTATACTTTAAACAATAGCTTCAATTTAGTGAAGCAACAGTAAGTATCGATGGACGAGCAATTTCAGAGGTTATGTTTTTCTTAATCCTACATCTAGACATTCCGAGTGGCGGAAAACCGCTAAAAAAGAACGGAGGCGGTGGTGCAGACGGCAAAAGGCGGCCGAAAAGCAAAAGGTCGAAGATGAAGGTTTGTTTCTATAAGAAAAACAAAATATGAGACATAATGTATTGTATTTGTTATGCATATAGTATTGTGGGATATGGTTTGAAAATATTTTGTGTGTTCAGAATGTAAGCGTAGGGAAAATTCTCCTTCATATAAGAAATGGCTTGAGGAGCAGGAGCAGATTGAGGAGTTTGCCAGCAACGAGGAATCCAGGTTAGCTGAAGTTGCTGATGCTGAGTACCTGGAGAGAGAGAGGGAGGCTTGCAGACATTGGCAGGAGTTGCAGATTAAGATAAGAGCAGCTAAGGAGGAGAGGGCTAAGCAGAATGCAAAGATCAAGGAAGAATGGGAGAGAGATCAGCAGAAGCTGAGAGAGCTGAAGGAGGAGAAGGATAGGTTTGAAGAGGAAAAGAGATTAAAGTTTGAGAGGCTACAAGAAAGCATCGAGGAGTTCATCAATAGCGAGGCGGAGATGCCCGAGGAACTGAACGAAGTACTCCAGAGCAATCCGATGAAACCAGTGTGTCCGTTCTTCAAGAAAACAGCAGCATGCAGATTCAGCGACAACTGTTCGAGAAACCACATCAGACCAACGGTCAGCAACATTCTAATCATGAGGAATTTTTATTCGCACTACAGCCTCGACTTGACCAGCGAGAACGAGCACGGAAGCGATTCCATCCTGGAATTCGAAACACAAGAAACCTACGATCATTTCAAGGAGTTCTTCTACGACATACTTTCCGAATTAGAGAAGCTGGGAAGACTTAAACAGATTAAGGTGTGCTGCAACAAAGAACCCCATCTGCGTGGTAATGTTTACGTTGAATTCGCGAAAGCAAGGGAAGCCGTCAAAGCTTATAGGAATCTGCAAGGCAGGTTTTACGCCGGGAAACAAATCGCGGTGGAATTCTGCGAGATCGAATCGTGGAAATCGGCAATATGCGGGCTTTTCTTTAAACAGAGGTGTCCCAAAGGAAGCGGGTGCAACTTTCTGCACGTCTTTAGAAATCCTGGAAACATGTTTTTTGCTGCCAGCTGGGAAGAGCCTCGTTCGCCGAATCGCAAGAAAGTCCAGGATAGGTATGCGATGAAATGTTTGAATTAAATGTGATAGCAATAATACTTTTGGGGGGATTTCAGCGACAAACGAGAGTGGAGATGGTCAGAGTCTCCGGAGCGACCTCTTCGACAGGAAGATAAGTCCAAGGTAGATGCAGTGCCGAATGGGTCCAAAGAGAAGTACGATCGCAGGAGGAAACGCAGCAGGTCCAGGACGAAGTCGCGGAGGCGTAGCAGGTCAAGGCACGTGAAGAACCACAGACACAGATCAAGGAGGAGTCGATCATAAATAATGTAATCAAAAGAAAAGTATATATTTGTTCACTACATGTCTATTTTATGTGTAAAAAGAAAACTGAAAGTATTAAATGACTATTATCTGAAATAAAAAAGAAATTGAACCCTTATTCTTATAAACAAATAATCTGTAGCTTCTTTTAGGAAATGCATCGCTAATTCGAAATGATTTAATCCTACAGAATAATTGCGTAACAACAAAATATGTAAATTCAAAGAATAAACGAAAATATATAAATATTTAACAAACGAAATATAAGATCAACTAATTCCGCACGTCAGAGTTGATTATGGTGGGAGTAGGTGAACAATTACGCTCTCACGCATTCACGATTCCATTCATTGAGCGGTCGACTGTTGTGCGGGTCACTGTATACCATCACCGTCAACACACTTCAATTCTAATCCGAAATACTAAGGAATCTAAGTACCTTTCAGCGTTTACTCCGGGAAGTCCAAGCGCTGGTGGAATGGGAGAGAGAGATTGGAGACCCTTTGTATACGGAGGATTGGCTTCCTGTGTAGCGGAGTTCGGTAAGATCTACTAACCTCAAAAATATAGAAGAAGGAAGGAACGAAATAATGTGCAAAAGCAATTTCTCGCACCCCACATTAAAGAAACCCCATCACATATTTGAATGCAACTTTAGTTGATGTGATCGCGTAAACATTGGAATGTGCAATTTTTCTGCAAAGAAAAATGATGAAATTTGCTAAAGTGTTGGGACGGCTGAGTAGTTTGTACGTTAAAAATAACATTGTTTTTGTAAAGTTTCCCAATTACATAAGTCCAATTGTATTTTGGTGACGCTAAAAATCATGTTTTTATTTCAATGAACTTTGATTTAACAAATTAATTATTCTGTTAATACAATAATGCAGATTGAAGTAAGTGTAAAAGTTATTTCATTGCAGGCACCTTTCCTATTGATCTTACAAAGACTCGACTTCAGGTCCAAGGGCAGAAACTTGACAAGGCACATGCAAAGCTCAAATATCGTGGAATGGTAGATTGCTTCCTGCAGGTCACTCGACAGGAAGGATTCCATGCTTTATATTCAGGGTAATTGAATTCATCATTGTCTGTTGAACTGTTAAATTTAGTTCTTATTGGATCTCAACAATTTGACTAAATCAATATGTTGCTATGGTTAATTGAATTAATTCATCATTGTCTGTTGAACTGTCAAATTGAGTTCTTATTGGATCTCAACAATTTAACTATCTAAAATCAATATGTTGCTATGATTAAGATAAGCTAATCTTAACTAATGGGAATAATGCATTTTGTTTGATAGTATTTGGCCAGCTGTTTTGAGGCAAGCTACATATGGGACAATAAAATTCGGTACTTATTACTCGTTGAAGGAGATCCTGATTCAGAAGAATTACGGCAAAGAGAGCGTAGGACTGAATGTGTGTTGTGCAGTGACGGCCGGTGCCGTCAGCAGTGCCATCGCCAATCCAACTGATGTTCTGAAGGTGCGGATGCAAATCGGAGGAACTCACACCAACATTGGATTAGTGGCGTGTTTTAAGAATGTGTACATGCAGGAAGGCATTTCCGGTCTTTGGAGGGTAAGTTTTAGACCACCAACATTTTGATTTCTATTGGCCTACTTGACTTTTATAGCTTATATTTTGAATTACACTATATCATTTAGATATTTATTCAGGTCAACCATTCATGAAAATATTGCAGGTTTAATAAAAGAGGAGAAAAACTTGTTCCCATTTTTGTGATATATATTGGAATTTCAATTGATTTGCTCAAGGTCCCTTATTCTTATACTGTTGACATTTGGGTTAAAACCCTGATAACGAATTGTCCTTAGTCCTTATTTTAACCGATAACTCGTCGAGAATGCAAGTCATATAATTTATGACAAACATGTATTATTAAACTTTTATATTTGTCAAAAGTTTAAAATTATGTAAAACCTGTTATAAGTAAATGAAATACTCGGTTCTAAAAAGCATAATATATATTTGATAGAAAAAAATGTTTTCATTTATTTGTTCACAGGGTGTGAGTCCGACTGCACAAAGGGCGGCTGTGATAGCGGCGGTAGAATTACCGGTGTACGACTTCTGCAAGAGTCATCTTATGACTGCGTTTGGAGATAAAGTCACCAATCATTTTATGTAAGTTCCATCAAATCGAAAGAAATAGAAAATTAACGAATAGTAACAATCACATTTTCATCTTTCAGATCAAGTGTGATAGCTAGTTTAGGTAGTGCAATTGCTTCGACGCCGATTGATGTGGTCCGGGTAAGATATTATATAATTTTAATAATTTCAGTTTTGCGCAAAGAATAGCGATAGTTACCAATTATATTAGCACGTGTTCGTAATTTGCGCGATAAACTTATCTGTGAACCGAACGTTTTCACTTTTAATGCAAGTCAAATAATACAGCAAAAAAGAAAATTTAAATAGCAACTAGTAAAAATTTAAACGGAATTTAAATTAATTTAATGAAATATATGGCGTAGTTGTAATTGTTTATGTGTGTGTGGATTTTGTAGACCCGACTTATGAACCAAATACATATAAAGCCGTCATCATCGGATGGTATCATATCGACGCCAAGCCATATCTATAAGGGGACGATAGACTGCTTCCTGCGTACATTTAAGAACGAGGGTTTCTGGGCATTTTACAAAGGTTTTATACCGACCTGGGTGCGCATGGGTCCATGGAACATCATCTTTTTCATCACCTACGAGCAGCTGAAGAAGGTGTACTAACGGCGTAACCAGCGATCTACTCGAGAATCTCGCATTTATTGAAACTCCTGATTTCTCTGAAGATGACTCATCATCGTTATAACCACACAGATGATAGCTCTTGAAGCTACCACTACAGCAAGAACACTCTTCGATAGTATTATTTTACTCGTTTCCGCTTTTTAAGGAGCATTTTTAATTTATTTATATTCGTATATATATAAATATTTTTAGTGTGAATGTACTTTTATCTATTCGTAACGAATGTAAATCAAGTTTGTATATATATAAGATTTATATATTATAATAAGAACTAAAGTTTAACAGAATATAGATACCGCCACGAGTTAAAGGATATAAAGCCAAGCAGTGTCAACCAATTTTGGGACGAAAATAAACAGTATACAGGATTAGTCAGATGCATGGCATACTTTATCAACACGTAACAACACTCTTAATTTTGGACACTATTAAAAGAAACAGGAAAATGAAGTAAACGAAAATAAAATACGTATGCGCTTAAAGAAAACTTATGATTTAAGATTTGCTTTATTTATATTCCTTGCAATAAATAAACGTATTAACATTTATTTTGAAACTTAAGACCAAACCACAATTATGCGATATTTAGGAAACGATAAGTATTCTAATCCACGCGTGTGACTAATCCTGAATGTACGGAATTGTTCATTACGCTGGGGGATTATCGAAGTAGTCTACGAAGACGCCGGCGGGCGAGGATGGCGTGTTGTTGCTACTAGCGACGGAAGGACGGGCTAGTTGCAATCTCAACGACACAGTCTCGGATGGGTTGTTGGTGATGCCTTTATTCAAAACCGGCCCAGGAACCTTCCGCTGACCACTCTCCCTTTGCAGTAGCTCTAGTAGACTGCAACTCGGCAACCAAGATTTCTCCCTGAAAATCAACAATGGTGAGTTTAAAAATATACGATGAGAGGTTTAACTCATATTCAACTTACTTATAAGCAGTAGCCACTACGTTCCTGTTGGGTTCCTTATCGTACGCGGCACTATCGACGCCGAAGTGTTCGCAGTACTCGTGCACGAACTGCCTCTTTTCCCTATTCATGCACTCAAACGAGTGCGACCTATTCTTCTGTTTACTCTGCTTTGCCAGTTGAACCAGTTCCGTCAACTTATCGTGAATATGCTGACAAAATCGAGAATCCTTCTTCGCCCAACCCTTCATAAAATCTGTGTACCGCGGCGTCAGCTTCGAGCTCAAATCGGGATTGCGGATCTGCAGGCCGATTGCCATACGTCTATTTCGTTCGACTAATCTGCATTCGTCGTTGCAGTCCAATAGCTTATGCGCGCCCTTCTTCTGCTTGTTCACGATATCCGAGATGTCCACCGATTGTCCCCGTTGAATTTCTGCCATTTTCGAGGCCATCTGCGAGGTGGCTATTTTCTGGTACTCGCTTGCCACTTCCAAGCAGCTTCTCGTGGCTGTACGCAATCCGCATTGGCACGTCACCGTTACGTTCTGCTTGCAAGGAACTGAAGGACACGGTGAGTCATGACACGGCTGATTGCAGTGATGCTCACAATTGGGACGCGATTTTTTACATTTTTGACCGCATGGCGTAGGGCACTGATCGCTGTGGCATATCTGGATACACTTGTGACGACGGCACGGTAATTCCTTGTTGCAAGGCATGCCACAACTGAAATCCTTCTGGTAGCACGGTATTGTCTGTCGCATCTCGTGCTTACCGTGACAATACTTGGATGTGAAGACGGTGCAGGGAGGACACGCCCCGGTGTGGCAATTATGCGTGGCGGGGTGCCCACAATCCTTGGACCTGGAGCAAGGTTGGCTGCATGGAGGAGGACGAGTGCCGCAAGCCACAGGAGGATAAAGCACGGTAAATCCGCACTCGCAGTAATGCTCTTCGAAACTTGTTCTCCAGCAGGGAGGGCATCTACCGCGATGACAACTTTCCTCGCATCTATGTTGTCCGCAGGAAAGAATCCTGTTGCACGGCAGAGGACAGATATGTTCGATCTCGATGCAGCAAAACTGGTTGCACTTGTGCTTGCAGCACAACCTCTGTTTGGTACACTTCTTCTGGCACCTGGCGTCGTCCGCTTTGGTAGTCAAATCCTTGCAAGGTAGTTCTCTGTCCATATGGCCGCAGCGACATCGCACCAAAGTACTCAGCGTGCAAGTGACGCAATCACCCTCGTGGCATTTGTCTTGACACAGATGCGGACGGCTGGGTTGTCCGCATTTCCTAGGTCTTCCACAGATTTTATCGCAACAAGGGATAGGATCCAGGCACGATTTTCGTTCCTCATTCAGCATTGTCGCTCCGCAGGGACAACTCTTCACGATTCTCGGATCTAATTCGCAAGACTCGCAATCGCCCTCGTGGCACAACCTCTCGCAGCTGTGATTGCCGCATCCTAATTTTTTACCGCAAACATCTCCACACTTGTACATGTGAACGCCCTGAACCTTTTCAGTGCATTTGACCTTCCTTCCAACCTTCCCGCAATAGCATTCCTGTCGCACCCAATCCTTGCAAGGCTCGCAATCGCTGATATGACATGGCTTGGTGCATTTGTGCGCACTGCAATTCAACGTTTTGTCACAGATGCCTTGGCAGGTGATCTCCAGGTCCGAGCTGCATTTCACAGTAGGTTTGGTTGCGCCACATCCGCATAGTTTTCCAATCATAATGTTGCAATCTGGACATGGACCAGGATGGCACAGCAGGGTGCATCGATGTTCGCAGCCTCGCCCTTTGCGACCGCAAACCTCCCCACAGCTGTGCGGAAGACCGCCAGGCTCCAGTTTGGGTTCCACAAATTTCCCACAATAGCACCTGTATTCATGCGGCACCTCGATGCAAACATTTTGACAGGCCGGACATCTCCAACCTTCTTCCAATCTGGATGCCTTCGCCCATTTGATGACGCAACTCAGATGTAGGATATGGAAACACTGTTTGCAGGACCAAATTCTGTCCGTATGTCTTAACCGTTCACAGCAGACCAAACATTCCAAAGTTCTATGTGTTACCATGTGCTCCAATCTTTCGCGCTGCGATCCAGCGTCAACTGAAATACAATAATTTTTATAAAATTGTAAGAAATTATACTTTCAAAATGTAATATAACAATATTAAATTGATTATCACTACATATCCAAATATATATACATACCCTTCTTCTGGTTTTGCTTAGGTGGCTTCCTCTCTCTATCTTTTTCCTTCTGCCTCCAGTTATCATTCCTTTGATTGCTCTTCTTACTATAGTCCTCCTTATAATATCCATTCTTATTACCCCTGTATCCGTTCCCTCTGTATCCCCTATTATCTCCATTATTATACTTCTGAGGATTTCCTTTCGCATTATTTATTTCCACCCTCTCAGAATCAGTTTCCACATGTTCATTATGCTGTTTCTTCTTGCCATAATTGTTACTGTAATACCTTTTAAATTTACCATTCTCAACCTTCCCATTATAAGTTTTCTTGATGGCTCCATTGCTGCCATTGTTCCTTGGATAGTAGGAAGCTCCTGGCTTGAATTCTGCAGCTGTTGCATGTAAATTGGTGTGACTTATATCTATTGGCAGTCTGGATTCATCATGATTATTTCCCTGAGAGTTATTGTTTCCTGATCTTTCTCCACCACTATAGTCATAATGGTTGCGGTTACTGTGACCTCGATTGTTGGCAAAATAAACTTGATGCTGACTTCGACTAACATTGCCTCCTCCACGACTGGGGCCACCATTGTCCTGGTCCCAATGGGACATCACAAACTATCCTATAACAATTGACATCAGTATTTATAGAAAATAATCTATAGAAATACTGAGCATAAAGTGATTCACTATTGTGCAATTGTAGTGAACTCAAAAGTGGCGCAATATTGCTTTAATTATCAATGGCAAGATAAAGGAAGTGATTGGGAATGAATGCAAAAAAAAAAACATTAAACCGGTACCGAGAGAAAACGGTAATCGATAAATAGGTTATTTTATAACGACGAACCTAACATATGGGCGACTTACCGAAGGCCTGCTTTCTGGATGCTTATTGTGAAATGTACACTCCCAAAATCGTATAACAATAACATCAAAATATGGATAATAAAAAGACGTTACGCCAACCTTGCTCTCTCCCTAGACACTTTTGACACTTGTCAAAAAACAGATACCAATATCGAAAAAATTAAGTTTGAATACAAAAAAAAATAGAAAAAGCCCAAATATTAGCCATGTATGTCAGACCAAACGAAGCAGGAAATGGCAGGAATGCTTTACTTCGAATTGCTCAATAGGACAGTAAAGAGCACCCCATGCTTCACAGAATTAGGTATCTATAAAAAAACGTCAAGTCTCCGCACTATCAAGAATACGTTCTGGGCATTCCTTATCCCCATCTCATCTATATAGAGTGGGACTATCTGAGTTGGACCTTTGTTCTTGTGGAGCCATAGGTACAATTAAATATATCCTCTTTGAGTGCCCTAACAACGCTGTGGCGACGAAGACTCTACTTTGTATCATTTCAAAACACCAACAGTTGCCCACTTCTGTCGAAACCCTTATAGCTGGAACCCTGGCTCGAAATGTTTATGTATCAATTTAGGCCACATACACCCTGTGACAGCAGGTCAAGGTGGGAATTTTTCGCCCTCGATTTACTGGTTGTGCAGAGGTTTCGACCTGACACTCACCACTTTGCCTAATTATTGTAGATAGTAAATGATCCTACCGATATGTTATGTGACTGGCAAACGGGTCGACAGGACCCAGCTAAATATGAAGGGGTTTCCAGAAGGAAACTCATTACTCGAAGAAGAAGTAGCCATGTATTTATGAATAGCGATTGTTTTGATTTTTAAATATTTTAGAAAATTCTACTCAGTCATTAGTTTTATTTTCTTCTTCTTTTATTAACCTCCACTCCCTTCACTTAGCTTGTGTCAAGCACAATTTCGTCAGCTACCGCCCCGTGGTTATATGCAGATATGTATTATAACTGATTATAACAGTAGATAGGACCGCAACCAGATAGACAGCGTAGGGGATAAGTCTTGCAACCAAATATACCGAGATAACGTTATATCAAAATTTTGGATCTTGTTAACAATGGCTTTACAGCTTATTAAGTGGGATGGCATAAAGCCACTAAGTTTCTCCCTAGCGAGGAATTCTGTTTGGAGGAATAGAAACAAACACAAGGAGGACTTACTTGTTCTCAATCGGGGAGATTGAGGTTAACTCCACGACTGTACGCGATATACTTCTAATTTTATTTTAAATCAGTATTTGTACTTTTCTCATTGGCCATTACTATAGAACTCCAACGAGTTTAACCAATAGGAAACACAATAGACCAATTAAATGCTTAGGTCTACGCTTTTTAGATAATAATAATAAAAAATAAAGTAAAGTATTTTTTATTAATGTCCGCTTGATCGTCTATGTACATTTAACGTATCAGATCTAGCGAAAGCCTTGGGACACGAAGGACACCCATAGGGCGTCTCACCAGTATGAGTACGCATGTGAACTTTGAGCATGGTAGATGTGGTAAAGGATCGCTCACAAGTCGAGCAAGTGTAAGGTTTTTCCCCTGTGTGCGTTCTCATATGTATCGTCAACCGCGTATTCAATGTAAACGCTTTATTGCAGATAACGCACACAAATGGTTTATCGCCAGTATGAATCTTGATATGCGTCTGTAGATGGGCTGACTGCGTGAAACCCTGTAGAAAGTCCAATTCGATTCAGTTAAAATTATCAATGTTTACTTACCTTATGGCATATGAAGCACTCGTAGGGTCTTTCTCTATTGTGTGTTAGAACATGTTTGCTTAAGGAATAGTTATTGGTAAACTTCTTGTCGCAGTAAGCGCAAGCAAAAAGTTTCTCGCCATGCGTTACCAGATGATTCTTCAGCGATTTACTGTGGGCGAACGTCTTGTTGCACGCCGTGCACGCGTAAACCTAAAGCGATAGTTAGTCTTGAGGTATATTAACAATAATCAAATTAAAGCAATTTTCTTATTAAATTTTCTGCTCATAGAATGAAGGAAAATATATTTTTTACCCTTTCACCGGTGTGCGATACAATATGTTCATTCAGATGCGAGCTCTGGGTGAAGGCTTTTGGACATTTCGGGCAAGAGAATGGTCTTTCGTCGCTGTGTATTCGGTTGTGTCTCTTGAAATCCGCAGATCGGACGAAAGATTTGCCGCAAATCGCACATAGGAATGGTTTATCGCCGGTGTGGGCGTACCTATGAGCATCTAGACCGCCCTTTTGAGTGAATGTCTTGAAACAAACGTCGCATTCGAAAGGTTTTTCGCCCGTGTGCACCCGCATATGCTCTTCCAACTGCTGTGGCTCATTGAAACTCTGACCGCAAATACTAAAACTCCAAATCCATGATTAAGTCTATATTGAAAATTACCGATTACCTGCAGAAATGCTTTCGTTCATCCTCGTGATTCTTCATATGTTTAGATAAAGTGTCCGTAGCGATAAATCTCTTCTTGCAAATCGTGCATTCGTAAGGTTTAAACCCAGAGTGCGTTCTCATGTGCGTCATTAAAACACCATACCTCACGAACGACTTTCCGCACTTTTGGCATTCGTAATTCTTTGCGCCGATATGAGACCTCTCATGCTCTGACAAATGGAATTTCTGTTTGAAACCTCTATTACAAAATTTGCACAAATAAGGTCTTTCATCTGTATGAGTCCTGTTGTGCCTAACCAAATCAACAGACCTAACAAAACATTTTCCTAAAATTCCATAATAAAATCATGTATACATGGAAACTTTGTATTACCACAGTAACTGCATAAAAACTCCTTCTCTTCATTGTGCAGCTTCTTATGTAGAATCAGCCCAGTCTTCTGCCTGTACTTCTTATCACATAATTCACAATCAAACGTTTTTGTCTTATCTTCATCTCCATCTGATTCAGCCTCTTCTTCACTTGAAAATACCTCATCCTTGTTACCACACTCAGTATCCAGGTAAGCCCTCAGAGTTGAATCAACTTGTTCACTCTTAATCTTAAACTTGTATGCAACTGATATTTGATCTATACAATAGTTGCAAATATTCAATGGTAGGTTTGCATCAGTCTCTTCAATCTGAATCAAGCAATTTCAAGTTTTATTTTTTCTCAAAATAGTCTCTAATTTACTTACTTGAATGGAAGTACATGAATTTAACATTTGCGCTAAAGTAACACCAACCATTACTGAATCATTGATGCTTCTGTATTCCAAAGGTTTCGTCAGACAAGTGCGACAAATCTCGGTGAAATTTAAAGGAAGTACTTCCATTTCCCCGTCAAATTTTCCAATAAGAAAATGCTTTGCTTATCTTTGACGTTTAATATTTTCTCAAAGTTATGCAACCAGACATTCCGGTGTAGACAAGTGTTCAAGTTTTGAGTTCATAAAGTACGCATGTGCAAAAGTAAACCATGAACATATTAAGATTTCTCAAACACTAGACTGCACTAGACTGGGCAGAGGGAAGAAGCAGATGATGAAAAAAAAAATTTAAATGTGTATCTTGTATATATGTGTTTATAATATTACTATAGAATATGAAACATTATTAATAAAAAAGTTATTATTTGCTTAATTAAAGTCCATTTTTTTAACGCTGAACACTCCTGAAAGCAGTCTCGCGTTTTGGTTTTCCAAGAAGTTTTTCTTATCGGAATAATAGATATATGGTAGTCGCAGAATCCAATAGGCGGCTTGGGTTAATGTGGATGGACCATCTAAAGTGGGTACAAAAATTGGAGCTCCAGCTGCCGGTTGCACCTATATCAAGAAGTGTTAAACATGAAGAATTATAATATTTTGTTCGGCTTACCCTTGGGTTAAGCTTCACATTGACAGCTGCTTTTGGAGTAACAACATGGATCCTCATTAATTGGGCAATCATATTTTTAACGCCTCTGGTACACAAGCAAGGAAAATACATGGGCATATCAGATTCCGCAACTTTCTGACCCTTGTCTTTAACTATGCTTCCTGGCGCTGCTTTGAGAATCTTATCAGGGGCAGCCAGCATGAACCTATGTCCTCTGGGACATTCGTACTCGAAACCGATGAATAGTTTCACTGCAAATTGAGGAACCCATTTCGTTGGTTTCACTTCGCGCCTCTTGTTGGACCATTTGGTCTGGTCCAATTGCTCCTCTAGCGTCACCGGATGCATAGCCTTACTGTAAACCAGGACGTCCCATGGTAAAAGGTAATTTGTCGTTGCCCAGAATCCAGGGTAGTAGTTATCCGAAAGACCCAAATTGTGGCTGTACAGAGAGCTTGGCCCCAAACATACAAGCGACCAACTGGAATACTCTGGTAGAAGATTACGAGGAGATACTGTTGTCAACATGCCTGGCAAGTACTCTGTGGTACTTTGTTTTACCAACATCTTGCCATCGGTTGCTTCAGAGTTGTTATCGGACAAGGTCTCTTCAGAATCCAGAACAGCAACTTTGTAATCACTACCAGAAGGTTTAAAAATAGGAAATGGTAGTCTTTCACTCTTCAAGCATCCGCACTCCTTCGACAATACATAATAGAATGTGTAATTTGCGTCTTTAGCATTATATGGATCGTCCCTGGATCCTTGTTTGCGTCCGCAATCGCAAACCGCCACGTACTTGACACCACTGCTATGCTCCACATCTTCGCCGTGCTCCTTCCGTTGCGTGCATGGATTTCCGGTCAGCGAAAGCTTCTCACAAAGCTGTTTACCATTCTTCCAGAATGCCACGCATTCCGCCTCGAGTTGTTTACTAAACTTGTGGAACATTGGGCCTCTAGCTTGAGCGCCAAAAAGTGCCATGGCGAAGCCCAATCGGGTTTCGTGGACGGTCGATGTGTACCGCCCCGTTAACGCCTCCTGATACCTGGCTACAGCCAATGGCAGCACCTTCAGACACCTTTGCTCAGAAAATCTGGTCTCTGTGCTCAGTTCTGAAATACTTCCCAGTTTTTCCATCACTCCGTGGATCGCCTTCGATGCTTTAACCCATTCCAGCAAACTCGGTAACTGTCGCATAAAACACAATATTATATAAGTCATATAAATTCGTGCTCTAATATATGATATTAACAACCTCGAAATGGGCTTGGACATCTTCAAAACCCTTGCTCCTTGCCTGCTTGATGTGTTTCCTTAAAAAGTTCTGAAAGTTGCGAGGATTATCTGATTGGCTGCAATATGGAGCTTGGATCTGTATCGCTCCGTCCGGTTGACACCCCTTGACTAATCCTCTGACGGCTTCGCCCAATCGATCAGGTGGACCATCTGATGAAACGAACACAAATTCTTCGTTCAAAGGTATTGCAAATAAAGACCAGGCCCTGACAAAGGAACTATTTTTTAATATTATTTATGAAGCCCAATTGTCTGTACTCACTTATTGTACGAAATAATTCTCGTTTTCCTCAATATATAATAAATCCTATCTTCAATATTGTGTTCGTATTTCTTTATATTGGTGACCGACTTCGGGCATCTCTCAAAGTAAAATATAACTCGAGGTGTTGCCGGTCTTCCTGCTATGATCCAATTCTCTCCCAGACACGCGACTTCTCTCAACGCCGATGATATATTCTCTAGCAACTTCTGATCCATAGATTCCATTGCTTTGAAATATTGAATGTAATTCGTGTCAAATGTATAACTGGGCTGTGAAATGATCACTATGTGACTTATATAAAATAATGTGAACATAGTCTTAGCATAGGAACTCTTGACTTGATCAAAAATAGTGAGAAAATCATTGCTCATGTCACACTTCTCCTCCAAAGATGAGTAATTTTTGATAAAGTTGTCAGTGTCCAGTAGGCTATGTACATGCAAATATATGATTTGATGCTTCTCATCATAATAGCCTTCAATTGTACACTAAAAAATATATTATATATTTTATATATTATAAATTGTAGTAAACAAAACCTCATTGGTCCTTTTATCTGGGGATGTAAACATACGACCTAAGGCTTTCAATTTCAGACCCTTTGAGTTGTATGCGGTTTTCCCAATGATGGAAACAACAACAATTTTCTCATTCTGCTCAGTGGATGCATTCTCCCTACAAATCAATTATTATTTAAAGATGTGCTTCTCTCGACGTCCCGCCTAACTTACAATAAAAAATCACAATCGGGAAATAAGAAACTTTCTTTCATCTTCATCAATATTGATTAATTTCTAGGTTAAATGTTTGTTTTTCTTTACAATATAAAAATGATACAAACTAGATGCAAAATTAGGCAACCAAACCCTCGTATATGAAAAAATTTAAATACACTTATGTTGGTGAGACTGTTTGTTGATATTTTATATCTTGGATAAATGTTAACAAACGTACAGAAAGCCTTTTAATCGTTATTAAACTGAAAAGTGCCCTTATTAGCATAATTTTCGTTTTTGTTACTAAAAGGTATATGTCATTTTATAAAATCGTTCTCAATACTGCTCAATACGTTCGTAAAGTTCGCTTGTATATAATCCATATAACCTCACTTTTGTTGATAGTTTTTTTTGTAGCAATGGGGAGCGGTGATAAGAAGCGACGTTCCAGGAGCCGGGAACGAAGCGACAAGGATAAACGCTCCAAAAGGTCTAGGTCTCATAGTAGGGATAGATTGCATAAGAGGCATAGGTCTCGATCCAAGGAGAGGGATCCGAAAGCATATGATAGAGGTAAAGCAGAAAATAAAAGGTTTGATGAAAGAGATAAGAAAGATGAGAAGCACAGAAAGGATAGACTTTCCGAAGCTGAGGAGAAAATTGATGAAAAAGATTTAAAAATTAGGGACGAGTCTAAGAAAGAACCACTGTCTTTGGAAGAGCTTCTAACTAAAAAGAAGGCTGAGGAAGCTGCAAAGAGCAAGGTATGTTGGATCTTATTGCATAATTAAAATTTCAAATTTGATAATTGTTTTGTTTTTAGCCTGTGTTTCTAACTAAAGAACAAAGAGCTGCAGAAGCAATTAAGAGGAGACAGGAGGAGGTGGATCGCATTCGGAAACAACAGGATGCTGAGCGCAAAATAATTGAATATGCCAAGAGTAGCAGAACACAGCCTGAGGTCCCTCATAAGGAAGATCGTGAGTATCGACGCAGGGATAGAGAGCTCAAAGAGGAAGATAAACAGAAGGATAAGGACAAGGAACGCGAGACGGATGCTATAAAGGAACGCTATTTGGGTCTCATAAAGAAGAAACGGCGAGTAAGACGGTTGAATGATAGGAAATTTGTGTTCGATTGGGACGCAGGAGAAGATACCTCAACTGATTACAACAATTTGTACAAGGACAGGCACCAAGTGCAATTCTTTGGTAGAGGCAACTTGGCCGGCATAGATATAAAGGCACAGAAGAGAGATCAAAGTAAATTCTACGGTGAGTTGCTTGAGAAGCGCAGAACGGAAGCGGAAAAAGCTCAGGAGAAGGTGCGATTGAAGAAGGTCAGACGAAAGGAGGAGAAACAGTTGTGGGACGATCGTCATTGGTCGGAGAAGGAGTGCGGCGAGATGACCGAAAGGGATTGGAGAATTTTTAGGGAAGATTACAACATCACCATTAAGGGTGGCAAAATACCAGAGCCGATTAGAAATTGGAAGGAGTCTGGAATACAGAAGGAACTTTTGGAAATTATTGATAAAGTTGGTTACAAGGATCCAACGCCAATTCAGAGACAGGCCATTCCAATTGGTATGCAGAATAGGGATATTATTGGTGTTGCCGAAACTGGTTCCGGTAAAACGTTGGCCTTCCTCATTCCGTTACTATCGTGGATTCAGTCGTTGCCTAAGATTGAGAGAAACGAAGATGCTGATCAAGGACCGTACGCTATAATCTTGGCGCCAACTCGTGAGTTGGCGCAGCAGATCGAAGAGGAGACAGTCAAGTTCGGTCAACCATTGGGAATACGAACTGTCGTCGTAGTGGGTGGCTTAAGTAGGGAGGAGCAAGGTTTCAGGCTGAGAATGGGATGCGAAATTGTCATTGCGACTCCCGGTCGTCTTATCGACGTCTTGGAAAATCGTTATTTAGTCCTAAATCAGTGTACCTATATTGTATTGGACGAAGCCGATCGTATGATAGATTTAGGTTTCGAGCCTGACGTGCAGAGAATCCTTGAGTATATGCCTGTCACTAACCTGAAGCCCGATACAGAGGAGGCTGAAGATAGCAAACTGTTGTTGGCAAATTACAACAGCAAGAAGAAGTACCGGCAAACTGTGATGTTTACGGCAACTATGCCGCCGGCTGTGGAACGGTTGGCTAGAACCTATTTGAGAAGACCTGCGGTAGTGTACATTGGAAGCATCGGTAAACCTGTGGAGAGAGTGGAACAAATCGTTCACATCGTTGGCGAAGGAGACAAGAGGAAGAAGTTGATGGAGTATCTGTCGAGAGGAGTGGAACCGCCTGTGATTATCTTCGTGAACCAGAAGAAAGGAGCCGACGTTTTGGCTAAAGGCCTCGAGAAGCTCGGATACAACGCTTGCACATTGCACGGTGGTAAAGGACAAGAACAAAGAGAGTACGCCTTGGCCAGTCTTAAATCTGGTGCCAAGGATATTTTGGTCGCGACAGATGTCGCCGGAAGAGGTATCGATATTAAGGATGTATCTATGGTCATCAACTACGATATGGCCAAAACTATCGAAGGTAACGTAAATTTTATAGTTAAATTTTTGTGTTTATTTACATTTTGATAACTCTTTTCAGATTACACCCATCGTATTGGCCGTACTGGTCGTGCCGGAAAGACCGGTATTGCGGTCAGTTTTTGCACAAACGATGATTCTGCTCTGTTCTATGATCTGAAGCAAATGTTGCTCAGCTCACCGGTGTCCAATTGTCCGCCAGAGTTGATGAACCACTCGGAGTGCCAGATCAGGCCTAATCAACCCAAGCGCAGGAGGGATGAAATGATTTTCGCTTAGATTTTAAAAGAATATATATTAAAATAATAATTATACTAGACAGTTATCAATTGACCAGAACACAAAGAGCATGGATGGAACGTCTCCGATACGTCCGACGGCTGTACCAGATTGCTGCTCTTGATCTCCGAAAGCAGAGTGATTATCTCCTTCGCCGTCTCCTCACCCTTTTCTACCACTTCGACCACATCCTCGTGCTGTTGTGCGATCGGTGCATGCTCTGCACACTCTTTACCGGCCTCGACCACATGCACGCTTTTCTTAGCCATGAAATCTTTCACCAAATCGTTGAGTTTGTTCAACTGTTGCTTGACGTCCGCTCGGTCTTTGGCCAACTGCTTCAACTGCTCCTCCTTTTCATGAGCGCGCTGCTTGAGTACGCCCCTCTGGTGTTGGTAGAGGGCGATGTACTCGCCGATCGTATCCGTTTCGCCCTGCAACTGCATCACCAGATGCTCCAACATCTGCTTTTCATCCTGCAGATTAGCAATGTCTTTCATCGTGTTCATGAACTTCGTCTCCAATTGCCTCATGGCCATCTCTTTGTTATCGGAATGTTCCAGCATATGATGTTCTCCACCGTTAACCACCTGCGGCAGCATCTTCACATCCAACCTCTGCTTCAACGAAAAAATCTCGTTTTGCAGTACATCTTCGTTGGCTTTCAACTTGGCCACTTGCTGTAGGGCTTCGTGCAGGTCGTTGTTGAGGGCTTGCGAACTGTGCTCGTGCGCCTCGTAGTGCCTGAGCCGATCGTTCAGTTGACTCTGATCGATCACTTGTTTCGATAGATTCGTGGAGCTTTCGCGAATCTCCGTAAGCTCCTTATCTTTAATCTTGACAGCATCAACGAGTGTTTGGATTTGATGCTCGTATTGTTGCATCCTCTCGTCCAGCTCTTTCTCCTTGTACACTTCGCTGGTCAGTTTATCAACCAGCTCTGCTTTATCGTTGGTCATCTTGATGAAGGCATCTTGCATTTCCTCCAACTGCTGCTTCAGCTGAGTGTTCTGTTGAACGGCTCTGGATGCGGCCACTTTGTCGCTTTCGATTGCAGCCAACAAACGCGAGCTGTCCGTTTGATTACCACGCAACCTCTCCAAATTCTTCTCCAGCTCGCTGATAACCTCCTTCTTGTTTTCGCTCTCCCTGAAGAATTCGTCACGCTCTATTTTCAAATCGTCGAACTTCTCCTGCAGCTTACCATGCTCCAATTGCAACTCCTTTAGACTTGCCCTCGTCTCATCAGCTTCTTCGTCTGCCACCACCTTCGGAGCGGTCTTTATGTTAACGTGCTCACTCTGTAAGGTTTGCAATCTCTTCTCCAGTTCTCCAATGTGCCTGATCAGCTCTTGCTCGCGCTTCGATAGATTCTCATTCTCGTAAGTCACCGTTTCCAATTTGGTAGCCAAATTACTAACGTTTGTGTTCAATTGCTGCACATACTGCTGGTAGTGATTACTGGCCTGATCCCTTTCGTTCACAGCCGCCGTCACGGCATTGTTCAATTCGCCGATCTGTTTCTCGAGAGACATCTTCTCTTGAACCAAACCCTCGATCCTCGCATCATCTCGGCTCACCTCGCCATTCGTCAACTGTTGGATCTTCACCTGCGCCAACTCTAATTGATTCGAAACATCTTTATTTGCCACCAGCAGATTATGATTGTCCTCATCCAGCTTCTTCAACTTCTCTCGCAGCTCGGCCACATCCTGCACGGCTTCCGCGTGCTCTTCCTTCAATGCACCCAACTCTACGTGCAGTTTTTCTTGAACCGCAGAAAAATCGGAATCCAGTTTACTGTATTTACTCCTCTCCTCGCGGAAATGATTCAATTCTTTCTCGAGCTCCGCCACACGTGACCTCGACGTCTTCAGTCGTGCGTTCAGCTCTTCAAAATCTCCCAACTTCTGCTTAGCTTCCATCTGACTTTGGGTCAATGCCGCCGACAATTCCGTCTTTTCCCCAACCAGGATGCCCACTGTCTGCATGTGACATTGCAGCTGCTCCTGCAGGATACCAATCTCCCTCTGCGTTTCATTCCTATTCTCTACACCAGAGTTCTCCACCTCCTTTTCTAAATTTGCTATTTTCGCTCTGCATTCCAGCAACTCTACCTGCGTCTGTTCATTCTTCAACTTCTCAGCTTCATAGAGCGATGCCAACTCCAAATTTCTTTTCTCCAAATCGCTAAAATTGTCCTGACTATCGTACGTGGGCTCTATGAGATTATTGATTTGCGCCGAAAGTTGCCGCAGGTTCTCGACCGGCGACGAAATCTCAGTTTTATCGGAATCAGTGAGACCTGTGCTTTGTTCCTGACCGAAATCAAAAATCTCATTCGGATTGATCTCAGGGTCCTCAATGGCAACAGCATTTACATCTTCACTAATCTTATTGGTATCACTCTGATTCTGCTGTTGAGTCACTTGATCAAAGAAGCTTACTGTGGAATCAGCAGTATCACTTGTAAAGAATGTAGGTTGGTCATAGAACATTTGCGGATCTTGAAAATATGTCTGCAATTGGGGCTCTGTTGAGGTCAGTAAGGTGCTATTTGCTGTGAGCAATCCATTCTGTTCTGATGCAGTCTCACTGGAAGCCACACTCTCTGCTGGTGATTTGCTCCCTTGGCTCACTACCTCTTTTTGCTTCTTCTCCTGCTGGTAGCCCTTCAGCTGGAAAGAAAAAGTTGTTGTGATTTTTTGATGATGTGGCCCACATATGGCAACAGCTTAAGCTAAGCACTTTATTGCAATAACTCTATGGCCAGTTCATTGCTGATGCTGTTTAATGTTATTATAATAATTAAATTACCTTTTTCCTAGCTGCAGCCAGCTTCTGAAGCTTCACCAAATCTGCCATGGTTTTGTTATTTTAAATGTCATCAATGACAGTTGCTCGCCAATTATGATCAATTTGTAGATGGTTGCATATCTTTATATGGGAAAGAAAACACTTCAAATTATGGCCAAATTATGTAAATAACTTGAATATATTTTAAATTTTGAAAACAATTAAAAAAGTAATTGCCGTGTATATATATTAATAATTAAAATTGATTGTTTAACAAGTTGCATAAGTATATATATTATACTAATGTCAAAATAATACTTCGGACCACTTACTCTTTCAAAGAGTTTGTTTAAACCAGTTTGAACCAGTTTGAACTACTATCTCTATCAACTAAGAAATCTATAGATGCCCACTTATTTTTATGTAAATAAGGTTTGGTTTTGTAATAGCGAGGTTAGATCATAAAATTGAAGGAATCAAGGTTAGGTGACAAATTGGATAAACTGAACGGGATAATCAATATAGAAGTAATGGAATCTGGGATCTTGTGATAAATGAACTATTTAAGATATTTTCTGACAAAGATATTAAATTCTTTTTAATATTCGCTAATATTCACAAAAATATCCAATTACCACCAATAATAATGCCCTTTCCTTTAACAGATTTGTGCTTATCTTTATATTTCTGTTTGTTATTATTGCTATAAAACTTGTATTCCCCAATGAAAAATCAAACCGTTTAAAACACCTAACGAATAATACGAAACATTTAAATTTAAACTGGACACACCTCAGTTACATTCCTCATTTAATATCCTTATGCTTATGAATTGAGGAATAAATATTCAATTGATGTGCTTAATTTCGTTTCTCTTGTCCATACAGCCTCAGTAAATTAATCTTATCCAACAATAGTAAAATAGGTTTTCTCCTATAATTTCTTAATATCTTTAAAAATCGTCCATACTTCTATCATGGTAATAATAAAATAGTTACTTCTTTTTTACGTTTGTTTCATCCCATTGAACATTTTTTCCTTGCTGACAGTCATGTCTCCAATATATTTTTAATATGCAATTGATATTCACATCAGACTTCACAAGAAAAATAAAATCATAAATAACAGTTTGAAATAGGGAAAAAAATAAATAAATAAAGATTTATTGTAAAATTATAATCAACAAAAGAAAATCAGTCAGGTCAATAAATAAATTATGAAGTTAATAAATAATAAATAAAAGAGATCAGTCCAAGAATTGCAATTGGAATGCATTTCCTAAATAAACGTTTGATTGTAAAATACTATAAGGAAAACATTAAAGTAATAATAATATCGCTAAATTCAAGGAAAAACTAACGCTATGTACAAAATGACTCGGGTTTGGACACACTTTGGAAAATTACAAACATATACTTAAAAAATAATTGGAAAATGAATTCGGTCAATGAGGATGGCGCAATATCAGAGTATTACAAATTGCCTATTCATCCGTTTCGTAACTTAAAGACTAAATAGGAAAGAAATAAGTTAAATAGGTTAAGCCACTCGGTATTTCACAAATCTTTGGTTTTCATTCCTCCACACAAATATTCTGAAACTCTTCCCGGAAGTCACTAAATTGTTTAAAGGGTTCCAATCGCCCGCGCACAATTCTGTTTCACTATTACAGTCGTTGAATTAAAATATATTATTATTATCACATGGCAAACCTGACATTCGTGTACGAAAAGCCATCGTCATCTAATTTACTCTCTTCATAATAATATAGTCTCCATGAGGCAGGTTCTGAGATGCACACAGTGTTTGTACACTTTTGTTAGCCATCTAGTGGAGGCCCCAGATAAACCATTGATACCTCTGTGTTGCCATATACTGCTGATACTGTTGGATACAGCTTCTTGTCGGGAAGTCCTACAAATGCAATATTAAAATTAAATTCTAATATTAATTTGTAATCTACATTAACAAACCTCTGAATGCAATACCTAGAAACTCATAGTTCTTCTCAAAGGACAGTGTGTTGTCATCACAATCCAATATAACCCTAATACGTTCACCAACCTGATAACAAAAACCCTAATTACAGATTGTTCTCAATACACATTTAACCTCTGTTCTCACTTGGTATTTTGGTGCATTGTTCAATAATGGATAGTTGCCTTGGGTGTCCCCATTGTGGAGTAAATGATTGTCCACCAAATTCCAGCCCCAGCTCTGCTCATCTGAGCCAAGCAGTGCCACATAACCATGACACTGCAGAGCTGCATCCTTGGTTGCTATACCAATAACTGCAACGGTTCCCAATGGGCCTTCCCATATGACCTCCCAGGCATGTCTGCCATGTCTAAATCCAATCTTCCCCCTTGAGGCATCAGTGCTCTGTGCTACCGGGTTCCTGTGAAGGGTGAAGCCGTTAGGCTTGATGTAAACGTTCCTGCTACAGTCATTCGGGTTCCAGGAGTGATGAAACGCTCGCAACTTGGCTTTGTATGTGGGCACAGAGGAGAGTAGGTCAGATTTTAGGGCCTCTTCCGCCAACCTCCGGATGCAGTGCAACCGCCAAACGTCGTTATTCTCGTCGTTCAAGTATTGGTACCATTTTTTGCACACTAGAGAACAGTTGCGCAAATCGTGCAGATTCAGATACGAAAATATCACCTCCAGAACGTTGTTTTCAAATTGCGCTGCATCCATTTTCACCCACAACTGCACCCACGGACATGACAGATGTCAACACAAACACTCCCACCACACTCCACCATTGACAGACATAAACAATCACTAACACCAACATCGTAAGATCATATTGTTCCAGTTGGATTCGCATAAAAATAAATTACAAGAAATTTATATTTGCAACATTTCATAAAACAATTGCAAATTTAAAGAAATAAGACTTTTTCATTGATTCCATTTAATGTAAACGATTATTCTCATGTTGGTGGAAAAAGTTTTAGGTTGGCCAGCCATATTGTTTTGACTTCAGCGTACAACAACACTTATCAGCTGTTCACAAAAATATTGTCGGTCATTTATTTGCAAATTTCATATTTTGTCAATTATTGCTATCAACAATCAAAATGAAACCAGCAATTGTAGCCGATGAGATGTTCCCAGAAGGCGCAGGTCCTTACATGGACCTCGAAGAGGTAAATTCTTTATTAGTATAAACAATTAAAGTTCACTCTTTTAACAATAAAATATTCCTTTATTATTTAGAGTTAGTTTCGATCCAAACAATTCGATTACTGTTACATAATTTAATTGAAAACAGCAATTTTTACCATTTTCAGTGACATAACCTATAACATTAAGTACACTTTTAATAAATTTGTAATGTTTTTTTTCTTGAAATTTCACTGCATAGTACTTGTAGTATAAAACCAAGAGTAATATTGAATATTAATAATATTTATTTTCTAGGCTGGAGGTTCTACAGGTCTCTTGATGGATCTAGCAGCCAATGAAAAAGCTGTCCATTTAGATTTTTTTAATGGTATGCAAATTTTTCTATACCGAAATTATGTGGATAAATGTATTGTCCAATATCACCTCGAATTTTTTTTTTCAGATTTCGATGATTTGTACGATGATGATGACCTGCAATAAACGGAAAGTAATGAAGCATTTCGAATTTTTGGAAATATTATTTATTGAAATAACTGTAATGCATATTATTATCGATCTTAACGTCTACATTTAGATTACATTGTTTCACTTTTTTTCAGTTACATATTTCTTTTGTTTTGTCTCTCTCCCGTCGCACATCCTAGAAAAAGAATAAACGAAACAAATGAATACTCTAAAAAGAAAAAAAAATCACAGAGTGAGTAGATTTTTGCCTGTCTTGTACTAAACGTTAGTATTATTAGATTCATTTTTTCCCTTATACAATTATTATAATTATTATCTGGATGGTGTGGGATTGTACCTCATATACATTACATACAATTACAAGTTTTACTTGTTCTTCCTCGTCATGGACATGTTTGTTTCTCTTATTTATTTATTTTTCTGCTTGGACAAATATTTATTGTTTGCCTATACATAAAAATACGTCAAACGAAGGAGTTCGAGCCAAAGTGACCTATTCAAAAATATGTTTTCCTTTTCTTCTTTCTCTCTCTCGTTTTTCTTGGTCCTAATGCGAACTCAAATAAAAAAAATCGACAACCTTCGACCGCGACTGAAAAAAAAAGAAAAGCATCTAAGAGTTTCCTAAATCGTTCATCGCGATCGTAGATTTAATTTTTTAAGCACTTGATATATCACCTTTATAATTTCTTGAGGAAAATGAAAAACTTTCCAAAAAATAAAACGTTATTTACACAAATGGTACAAGGTATATTTACATAATATATATTTTCTCTTCTTTTGTTTCTTCGTTCGTTACTATGACACATCTTTTTCTAAGCGCATTTGATTGGGGGGGATTACTTTTCTGAGCAACCAGTTTCTTCCTCATTTCCTCTACACTCATGGTCAACACAAGAACAGTTTAACATATACGATTCATATTACATAATCGAGTAATTTCGGAGATATTTGATATTGAGCAACGACACGATTCAATTCATTATTACATGATAATTTGATGGTAAAGAAGAATCGATATTGTTTTGCGTTTGCAAAAATAATGAGTAAAGCTGAGAAAGCAAAAGGGTGTTGTATCAGTGTATGTTATACATTGCGCGAAGGATTAAAATTAATAACAGTATAATATATATATAAATTAAATATATATAATCAAAAAAAAAAGAAAGAAAACAAAATGAGGATTACTTCTAGGAAGAAATCTATTATATAGAGTTAAAGGGAAATATTAAAAATATACAACGAGCATATATGTATAATATATATATATAGAGGGCCTATATAGAATAAAATAAAACGTATTTACAAGGAGAAAAAAAAACGACTTTTAATACTAAATAAAACTAAAAAAAACTTTTTTTTTTGATATATCGCTATGGAGGGCGTTATCGATTTTGGAAAGGGAGAAACACTTTTGTACATAATTTGTTTTGCAACCTATTTCTCTCTTTCCTACACTTTCTCCCATGGCTACAACTTACCGACCAAACAGAAACAACTTTTCGCAAAAATTCACGATGAAAACAACAATAATTAAAAAAAGAGAAAACAATTCGAAAATGAAAGAAGATAATAGCAATATGCAATATACGAAGAGAAGAAAAAAAGTAACTACTTATACACTGTTTTCACTTATCTTCTTTTCGTCGCGCGCGCTTTTTTTTTTATATATATATATATGGGTATGTGTGTTTGTGTTATATATCTATATATAAAATAAAACTTTCACTGCTGGGGGTAGTCATCGGAGGAACTTTCCGAATCGTCGTCGGAGAAGTCGCCGGCGTTCGGGGAGAGGGGATCACACGAAGAGGATTGGCGGGAATTGTCCTCGTCCAGCGTGGTTTCCAATAGGTCATCACTGAAGGAATTGCTCGGCCCCGCCTCCCTATCGCCCTTGATATCGTTCCCGTTGTTCTGCTCTGCGATTTCTAAAGGAAGAAACGACAATCAATTAAATTATATAATTATAATTAAGCGTTGCACTCACGATTCACGTAATCTTGGAGGGACTGCGGCACTAGATTCTTAAATTTCTCTAGATCCTCTTCGCTGCACTTCCCTTCGTCTAGACCTAATAAACAAAATATGGTTTATCGTTTGGTTGATCAATTTACACGTTCAATTTACCTTTCAGCATGCCGATTTGCTTCAGGACCTCCTGGTCGTCATGAATCTCGAATTTGTCGTTGAAATGGAACAGGTATTCCATTCTGAAAATGTTTTCGAGTCATTATTTTAAAACGGTTCTTCCGCCTGCTTATTTGTTGACATTGACTTACTTGTCGTGGGAGATGCTGCAATCGATGACAGTGTTCTTGTTGGTGCTGACGACTATGAAAGGCATCTGGATGCAGGAGTTGCTCGCTGGGCGACCCTGGAAGTTCTCCTGGTCATTGTTGCGCTGCGCCAGATTCTTGAACGATATGAGGTTCATGATCAGTTCATCCAGGTTCTTCTGCTTCTCCTTGATGCTCTGCAACTTCTTCTGCTTCTCCTTCTCCAGCTGTATACACTCCTGCACCGAATTGGATGGCAGACCGATCCAGTGGATGTCCTTCTTCTTCTTGGAGATGATGTTCATGGCCATGAGGACGTTGAGCGCATCGTAGACTCTCCGTCGGATGTTTTTCTGGTCGTACTGCTCCGTCAGGCTGTCGTTCGCAGAGTTTGTAAACTCGGCGACGAGTTCGTCGGCCACCTCGTTATAAGAGGTGGAGCCCTTCTTGCGCACCTTCTCGCACACCTTCATGCTGAAGTGTCGGAGCCCTTTGCTCACTTTTCCCGACGTTTTCCTCCGTTTTGTCTCCGGCGTAAAGTCCAGATCTTCGGTTGCCAACCGTCTGCGGGGCTTCGTGTCCAGGATCGACGGCGTCGTGTGATAACTGTTGAGAGACGAGGGACTGGTCATCGTCAGAGGCATCGTCTCCTGCTTTATGCTAATCGTTTGGGGAGCCTGGATCTGGATCTTTTGCGGGGTATTTATGAACTTCAAATTTTGCTATAAAAAAGATATTCGTCAACATATGATACAGAAACAAGAGCTAAAACACAACTTACCACTTGTTGTGAGGTTAAACGTATTTTCTTCTTGATAATTTGACCATCAGTGGTTACAGTACCTCGAATCGGTACAGTTTCTAAACACAAGAAACAAATCAATATAGATACACATCACTACGCCGAACGCAAAAGCTAAGTGAAATAATAATGTATGTATGGCGAATTCAACTCACTGGGCACAAACTTTGTGGTCTTGATTATTTGTCCTGGAGTTATCGTCGATGCTGTGAACGTCTGAAACAAAAGAAAAAGGCAAACACCATTAGTATTTATCATCCGCAATAATATTTACAACAAATTCAACTTATCATTCAGATGTTCCAATTTTTAATATGCTCTAATTCATATAACCAATTGAAATCATCTCAAAATAGATAGAAATTTATGTATACAATCTTCTTCTATAATTTATAGAATTAGGTATTATCATCTCCATTCAAATTTAATCTTCAATTGATTTCAAAATTAATTTCCCACTCAACACTTTTTTAAATTAGGATTATCTACTGAAATATACTGAAATTTACGAAACAAAAAAAGTACACATTTTAAAATAGTTGATTTTTTTCTGTGATTCAATTCGATGTTGTTGTTGGAAGTATTAAATTTTCACATTAGATTTTGAAATGGTTTCAAATTATTTTTTTTTTAATTGATCAATAAAGAAAAATATCTGCATTATACAAGAAATTAAGCTTTCTTTTGTAAGATGAAGAAGGCTGTGCAGCAGAAATGTTGAATGTGTCTTTCAACGCCCCCCAAGAGTCCGACCGGTTTTTACTTTGGTACAACATAGTTGGTGTGTGCGTTTGTACGGCCTGAACAACGCCGAGACAAAGTAAATACAACAACAAAAAATATACGAGAAAGAAAAAAAAACGAAAAAAGAAAAATGCGGAGTTCAACTAAAAGAAGAACCGGCACAGTAAAATATTGAAGGACGGACTTCCACCCTGTCCGTCCTTCAATGTGTATGGTATTAGTTACTAGTTGAACGACATCATCTTCGGCAAAAAGAAATTCACATTCGCGAAACGTATCAAACGATCATCGATTATTCGGTATTTCGATCACGGTAGACACACAAACGTATTTCCTGTTTGAAGATGTCCACTTCCATTGTTGCTTTTTAATATTATCAAAAGGATATTTTTCCAATTGTAATTTGATACATTCATCTTCTAAGTCAGTGCTACCCAATCGGAGTACTGCGAAAGAACTGTGTGTAGTGTCGCGAAATTTGTAACAATATGTAAAATATTAGAAGGGAAAGGAAGTCACTCTCAGTGGGAGACATGAAAAATTCAATTCATCATAATTCATGTTTATGAGGTGTGACGTGCAAAAATTTGGGAAGCGCTGCTCAAAAAGATAACATAAATGAACATCCTTTTCACATTATGAATGAAAAAAAATACACAAAGTTCATATATATGACGAATTCGATTGCTCGATGAAAATTTCCACCCTACACGATTTTCATATTGCACTGGGAAATATTTTTTACGTTATACGAAAATAGTTTGAAGTGAACAAATATTTAATCCAATCACTGCATCGTCACAGTGATCGAATTACATTAGATTTTTTCTTCTTTTTAAATCGATAACTCCGAAACTAATAGCAATTGCCACGTAATCGTCGCAAATCCAATTATGCAATAAACAAAACCTTGGACGCAAATCTCGGCATCGCAGATTATTTGAGCGGCTCGGAAACTATTAATAACCACGACCAAACTTGACGAAGTCGAATTTCCTGCGACCTCATTAATCCACACACACGCACTCATCCACATTTCGAAGAAAAAAAAAAGAAAGATGAGGAAAAAAGAACATGGTCTATTGAATTGCTCGAAGAATATAGAAAAAAAAGAATCATAAGCAATTTACGGTGACTCATGCACCGTTCACTTTAACCAACATCATTTAGAAAAAGGTTACTTCCTATGGTTCTTCTTTTCCGTTTCATATCGCATTTCATGATTTAACAAATCTTGCAAATATATATGGATAACGTACAAAGCGAGCAAACATTGTTTGCGAATGATTGCTAACGATCCGAGCTTCAAAAGTAATTTGCGAATGTTTATTATCAAGTGGAAACAGATAATAAAAAATATTTCCATGAAAACATCCGTTAACTCAAAAGAACTATTTAATTTAAAATTGAGTGATACTTATTAAATTTCCTCCATTTTCCAAGCACATAATTACTTTAACTAAATTAAACTAAGAAAGAATAGAATATGAAACTCGTATTATTTTTTTTTTACTTTCGAAATTTTGTTGGTGTCTAAAAATAGGTAAACGTATCCAAGTTTCAAGCAAATCAAAACACATACAAGAAAGAAGAAGCAGTTTACGTTGAATATAAAACTTAATTCACCAAGTGGTGATTGATAAAATTTGAAACAATTCTAATTGCATGTTCACTGCGGAAATGGAAATATATATTTAATAGTGTAGCTCAGGGTTTCCTAAACTATGTTCCGCGGAACGTTAATAGGTGTTCCGTGAAAACCTGGAATAAAAAATTTCAGGATTTACGAAGTGTTCCGCTGCAGGAAAGTTTTCTAAACCCTGATGTAGCTAATGATTATTATGTTTGTTGAAACACCATCTTCGACATAAATCCTAGACGGCTCGGAATTTTGTTTGAACTGTGCGTGGAGCAAGAAACTTGTTTATTTCGAAACCGAGTAGGAGAGCAACCAAAAATAGATGAAAAACAAAAGAAATGATAGAAAATGTGGAAAATTGGTAAGTCGATGCTTCTCCTTTGGTTGGGTATGTCGGTGTGCAGCGATGGAGAGAGTACGAAGTGTTGGCGTGAACGCGTGGGTGTTCGAAATATTGAATTTCCGGCCCCGCCAACAACTACCTGTTGATGGCATGCATCGCCTCTCCGCAGATTGAACTCGCACAGAGGTAGGAAGGAAATCAAAGATCGACGAAGAAGAGGATTTTTTCGTTTGCATTTTGTGCATGTCTCCAACAAAACAAAGTGCACATTACCCGACATTACGAAACTCTGGATGTAAGCAATTACATTCCCGCTGGAGAACACTAATAATAATAGCGTCGATTTGTGCCCCATTCGCTGCTTCCCCATCTCTCCCACGACTCTTCTTTTTTTCATCATCTGCCAGAACCCGGAGATGAGGCAAATGTCGCTCGTCGTCTGTTCTCCGAAGCAGAGTTATTTCTGTTTACGGCTTGGTGGATCTTGCACGTTGCCATTGCAACGGCACGTGTGTGCACTAAACAGAGAAGGAGCGAAACGCGCTTATCTGCCCGTGCCTCGCAATAACCGAATAAAATAAAAATAAAAGTACTACTATGAAAAGTATTGCTAATTAACAATAAATAAATAAAAACACAAAGAAAATAATCTAGTCTCACCTGGGTCGCATCCTGTACACCGGTAGCGGTGGATTTGTAGATCTTCATCGGAGACCCGGAGATCCCGGACATAAGACCACTGATGGATTTACCAGCGGACTGGACCACCTTGATCATCTGTCCTGAAATGCGAACAAATAAAATCTCTTTTCAGTCAACAAATATGAAATCTATTTAAAACAAAAATTCTGATTTCGCAAATCATCTCGTTTTGTCCACCATATTCGCTCACACGGAGATTTGTTCCCTGCGTTTCCGTTGAATTAAGATTTATAGTTTTCTAAATTTTGTGACAAATATTCAATAAGTTTTTATGTGATCATATCATATATTTTTCTTTGACAAACGTTTCTATAGATTGGAATGAATGATTCATTACTCATATATTATATTAATAGTACAGAGTAAGCTCGTGAAAACATTGTTAAGTTTTCAGTTATAACTTTTGTTTTGCTTTTGATAGAACTAAGCTATAGCTAATTTATATTTATTCCAAAGATTGTCCATGCAATAATGGAAAGACGAAAAATGTATGGTGTGACAAATCAATGAATATTGTATGTTCTTTTGTGAGTTTTCGTCGGTTGACCCTCAAAAAAGCAAGGTAGTCGTGCAAGGTTGGTGTACCAATAAAGTTTCTTTTCAGTGGATTTGAGAACAGTAAAAACGAAAGGTAGAACTGAGGCTATGTTTTATTCTGTTTGTTTGAAAGGTTGTTTCCTGCAGTGAAGCATGAATGATGTGTGATGAGAAATCAATGGGGAAGGAAGGTTTTTAGTAGGTTTTTTGTGGATTGTCAAGATAGGAAGAAAGTCGTGGATATGAACGTGCTTTTCCAAAAGGGGAAGGTCGACGATCGTGAAGCAGGGTGTGCGTGGAATCCCCCGGAGCGCAGTTGTTTTTGCGGGGAGACTACTGTTCTTTCTTAGCAGTCGATGAACGGATGAAACGGATCACAAATTTAAAGGGAACAAACATTGAAACGTATATGCATGCGATGCAATGTGCGTTCTCTCTCTGGGGTCTTTCGGAACTCACCGTTGGCGTCGTGCAGGATGAACGTGTTGTTAGGCTGGGCCATCTTGACCCGCAGGTCGTGGACTTTCAGACAGATCCGGACAGACCCGGTGCGTAACTGCAGTCAAGGGGGGCGGCTCTCGTGCGATCCGCCGTCCCGTGGACCGCGAAAAAATCTCGCTATACGGCTGTATGACCAAAATGGCGACGACGGACGGCCGACATTTCACAGACGATTACCGTCGACCCGGGTCACCACATTTTCGCGTAGAACGTGCGCCCACTTTCCAGGAACCCTGACCAGTCAGTCCCTGCGAATATCCGGCGATTCCGCTTCTTCCCTATTCCTACACAGTTCTCCAAAGACGGGCTTCCCCGTGCAACATACGATCAGACTGGCTTTGGCGGCGGGTACAAAGCACACACGCTGATTGGTCGATCGCCGCTCACGTGGGCACAGCCGCTGTTAGTTCCGCCAATGGCCGCGCGCGCGCGCCCTCTTCGCCAAACACTCGCAACTTTCCCGCCACCCAAATCTTTGACACTTCCCGACCCAACCTAAAAAATGAACTTCGCTTCCGCTCCTTTTTTGCAGTCACCAATATTCGAATACGCACAACAAAGAGTCAGGAATCACAACAATCACTTGACGTCGTCCCAAAAACTGCGGAAACTAAGAGGAAACCATTACCGCAGTAGACACAAATTACGCGATACCTACACAGTTTTGCCAACAGCAGATTCGACTAAACTCCCCCAAGAAAAACATATGATTGTGATTCTTACACATCACCTGTTGTATTCTTAACAATATTCACTTAAATTCAACAAAGACTAGACTGTATCTAATAATTAGAAGTAATCCGGACTAGACGCATCTGGCATGTACATAATTATAGAACGTTAAATTGAAATTCAATTTTATAATTAATTGCAAGAACACATTGTAATACAAGTTATTATAATTTTCTTCCTTTTTTTTTTCCATCATATCATATTTAGAAAAAAATAAATTCATTTGAAAAGTTCAGAACGATATAAAGGAAAATAAATGTAAAATTATAGACATAAAAATATTTTTTCAACAAATTATGGTTGGCAACGATTTTCATAATAAAATTCAAACGTCATGATAATTCTTATAGGTTAGACTATCATATGTTTTTGACGTTTTCCAAATGTCAAACTATCTGAAACAAGGAATTATATCAACGAAGACACCGTGATCGAAAGGATTTCTTTTTTTTATTGATTCTTAATTAATGGTATTTTATGAAACAATTAAAAAAATCATTAAACGGAATTATGTATTAATAACTGTTATAAAAAACAAAAACATAGAGCAACAAGACATTCATATTGTGTATTTTATATTTAGACTTTGAATATATTAACCATTTACATTTTTTTGTCATCTTTGTTCGCTGTCATCAATTTGTAAAAACAAAACATGTATTGTGTCCAACCATTATTGTAGTATATAAACAAACTATGTACGTTTCTTTACATAAACATATATAAAAAGTATGAGACATTCACAAAAACCCTGGATCGATAAAATATAAACAATTGCAGTCAGCTGTAAACCTACTTTACCGTACAAAATTTAATAATTGAGAAGAGAAGACAACTATAAAAGTGTTTATCTTATATATTATTAACCGGTTGAAACCGATTATGCTCGTTAAGCTGTATTTATAAATTAGTGTACTTCATTAATGCTTTATAGTTAAAATTGAATATTACTTACCTTGCAATAAATAATATTTTTTGATACACTTAATAAATTGAAACCACGTTGACTAAACATTGTTACTTACCATAAAATGCCAACTGTAGATTTTCAGTTAACAAAGGCTCAATAACCATACATATAATCTGCAATGCTAATTCTGACGTTAAGAAACAGCAAATGTATTCGACATGAGGGAGTCAATTGTGACTGCTTTATTTTCTTAAAATCTTATAATACAAGTCTAAACTAAAGTTATCTCGGACGATTCGCGTTCTTTGGGAGTGAGGGGTGCTTGCATGTGAACTTTTCCTAACGTGTCGTATATACTGGCATATCTTGTCGTTATCTTTTTTTTATTACTACAGTCGTGGCTAAGTACTCGAGTACCGTACTTTATCTAAAATATTCGATATCGTTCGCAGCAAACAAGAAAAAAATAATAAAATAAAACCTTCTCGCGACGGTTCATATTTCATAAATATCACAACTTGCCTTAAGACTAAATACTGCTATTACTATTAAATAAATCACAATATGGCGTCGAAAAAATATATATGTATGTGGTGAGGTGTAAAGAGGATGAGATTCGAATTGATTTAGTGCCTTTCTTTCGAAATTCGAGAAAATTAATTTCATTTTTTCTTCATCAATGTGCGATTACTTGTTTAATGTGGACGCAAAAGTTTTTTTTTCGTGTTTCGCTCATTATTTTGAACGAGATTATCGTGCATCATGCGCACGCATCTGCTTATATCTAATCGTGTCTTTTTTCTTCTTTCATACTTTTTCTCTCGTTATATGTAAGTATACATATATATATATATGTGTGTGTGTCTAATTAAAGCACGACAGATTCTTCATCGGAATGTAGTCCTCTTCGCGTTTGGACTGCGTAAACCTGCATAAAGAAAATGTCTTACAACAAAAAAAAAAAACAAAGAAAAATATAAAAGAAGAAAAAACAAACACTCATGTGTCGTATTACAGACGAGACAAACACACGCACACTTTACGGCTAGAAAGAGTGCAATTCATTGTTAATCACATTGGAGACAAGGGGGTGGCACGGATCGCGAGAAAACAAGTATTTCCTCATTTGGGACAGGTTAAGAGACGCATTAGATTGCCAATAGATGTAAGTCGATTCACGGTATAGTTACAACCGCCGACAGAGTGGTAATTAAGCTATTCACCAAATACATAAGTGACTTGGATTCAAAATTACATCTTCAATGAAAAAAAAAAAACGAAAACATTGTTAATAATTATGCACGAAAATAATACTGTAACTTCCAAAATCGACAAAGACTTATTGACAACTCCAAAATGGAAACATTAAAAACAAAATAGATCAACTTATTTGTATATTATAAGATACCTTTATTAGAGCTAAATATTTTCGATTCAAAACTTATACACCAATTCTATTCACAGCCTCCATTTCCTTGGGCATTCATTTCATTTGTTTTCCAGTTAAATTCATTCATGTTTATTTTAACATTATTATTTTTGCAATTACACCGGCCGAACGGAGAGAATTGCGCGCAATTCGTCGGTGCGAAACAGATTAGTTTTTTTTTCGGTTGTCATGGTTATTATCATCAGAGATCTGAGAATTGCGAGCACCGTTCGTTGCTAAGGCTGATCTCTTACGGACATACGATTTTAAAAGAAAGTTTAAAATTAAAATAAGAACGCAAAAGAACAGAGAAAGATAAGTCTATTAATATCTATATACCATAGAGGAAATCCTTCCGAGAAATTGCGGTATTATTAGAGTAATATTATATATTTATATGTATATAGCACTTTAAATCTACGCATAACTAAAACAAACAAAAAGAACCTAAGCTATTATATATAGAAAATTAACTGAAAAATATTTAGTTCAATGTTATAAAAAAAATAATTTCGAAAATAAAATATGTAATCTTCCAAATATATATATATATAACTATATTATTCTGTCTTTAATAACTATTTATATATATTTTTTAAGTTAAATTGGTTACAATCTTTCGATTACAACTAAATTCCATACGATCCAACAGAGTTCGCTCTCTAACTTTGTCATACATTTTAACGCACAGTTAATAAATATGTGAAAATCGTTCGTAATGTTTTCCCCGATTATTAACTCGACCGCAAAAATAATATACAAAGAATGTAAAAAAAATTGAAGTAAAATTGAAGTGGACAGATAAAGGTGATACAGAAACACACCTCTCACCGGGAAACCGAAAAAATCGAGACACTCAAACCGTTTGCATTTTTTTAAGATCTACAAGAAGAGAAAAACAATATTCATTAATTATCACTAGTAAAATAAAGAAACAAACACAGTTATCGTGAAATCATAATCATTAAAAAAAATAACAAAATAATAAACATCACAATTAGCACCGCAAATCCTTAAACCAATGTTTCAAATTAAAGAGATAGAGAGAAAAAAAAAACAAGTTTTCTTTACATAACCCAAAACAAATGTATAATAAGAGAACAAAAACAGCGTTTTTTTTGTTTGCATTGTTTGGCTAGACAAAAACACAATTTAAAAATTGATAAACATAAAGGGTTGCAATCTCTTTGTCTTTCTTTGCAAAGAAATTGCAACCTACCTTAGTTATATATTCGAGAGTAGAGAGAATTATGATTTTAACTTGAGAGTTCAGTGTACGGTACCTGGGATGCGGATAACAAATAATTACATTTCTTTTGCTTTTTGTTTTGACATTCAGTACTCATATTCTCTCTAGCCGTGAAGTGTTGTGTTCGGGACTCACATTGAGAGGTATCCTCTGGCCTGGGAACGTCTCCTTCCCCAAAGGTAACCGCCCAGGACTAGAATAATCAGAGCAGCGAGGGCGCATCCGGCTGCGATCGGAACGATATCCGGAGTCAACGAGCGACAATTGATGGCTGTGCAGAATAATTCGTAATGTAAAGAGTTGCTTGAATGTGAATCGATCAATAATTACCTTCTTGGAATCCTGACGCGCTGCTGTTATAGAAGGCCTGCAGATGCAGGAAACTGACTTTTAATTCGGCTCCAGAAACTTTAGAACTGTTCAAATTCAAGGCTTGCACCTCATCACATCTATAAGACTTGCTTTCAGTGCTGTTGAAAACCTTGGACATGTAATTAAGCTGAATGATCTCATTGGCTAGTGGGACAAAGATAAAGTTATAATATTAAATTACATGTTAACAATTATTTTATGTGCAATATGATATGTGCAAGAAATTATCATTCATAAACTTACCAGTAGCATTTGGGAAATTCACTGAATCTGTCACAATGGATGCATCAAATAGACTCAGACCATAGGAGGTGTTGTCTTTCTTGAAGAAGAACTTTACAGAGTTCTTCTCCCATTGCAGGATCATAATCTGAACATCATTACCACAGCTTCCACTCGACTCTGCTGTTTTGGGCAGGTAAACTTTGGCAGTCAAATTCTTGTTATCCTTGGTGGTGTAGGGCACATCCAGCTCTAATGCCATGCTAGCCACAATGCAGGAAACATTTGTAGCCTCTGTGTAGTTCACCCTCCACATACCTTCCTCAGGTTTATCAGGTTTTGGTTTAGCTGTTGTGGTGATGGGTGCAATAGTTGTTGTGGTTATTGGTTCTGGGGTGGTAGTAGTTGTTGTGATAGGTTCTGGAGTGGTAGTAGTTGTTGTGGTGGTGGTTGGTTCTGGGGTGGTTGTAGTTGTTGTGGTGATAGGTTTTGGGGTGGTAGTAGTTGTTGTGGTGGTGATTGGTTCTGGGGTGGTCGTAGTTGGTTTTGGAGTGGAAGTAGTTGTTGTGGATGTGGTAGTTGTAGTTATGTTGGAAGGTGCTATGGTTATTGGGGAATTAGTTGGTTCATCATTTTTGGCAGGCTGATCCACAGCTTGACCTAGAAAAAAAAAGATCTGCATTCAAAACAACAAGTTTGGCAATGATATGCATAATTTGCGTACAATCAGCGATCAATATGGCGCAATAATGGTTGTTTACAATTGCTTTATTTATTCTCGTTTAAAACAAAGGAAGCAGGAAAAAAAATTCCGCCCACCACTAGATCACATTAATGCAAACGTTAGATAAATAGGTATCAGAGTCAACGGAGAAAGAAGAGGGAGGGCATAATGTTTTTATTTTCAAATGACGCAATTGATTCTAGAAACAATAAAATGGATGCCCCGCCGTGCATTGCGTTATACAACGCGATGGAGAATACCCAGTTTCCAGAAGCCAATATTGAGTGTCTTCGCAGTAACATATGATCAAGAGACGTGGTACGGGGTGCAAAACTAAAGAGCATCCGGTTTGCGCCGCGCTCACGTCACGACATTTTATGCAGCGATGACAAAAGAATAACGGCAAAATACTCACCATTTGCCAACGAAACCATTAAGACCATTGCGGCCAAAACGCAAAGACTCCTTTTTCCAGCCATGATTCGCAGAATCCTCTTCTGGTAAACTTCTTCGAATGTGTGACACAGCTTCTTGCGTATTTACGCCTGGAACTTAGTTGCAGCTTCAACTAACACAGATCGACTGCCAACTGACAACTGTCTTTGTTTTTTTTCCTATGTCTGGCTCGACCGTTGGCAGTGGTGGGGTGAGAAGCGGCGTTGCCGATTTACCGGAAAAGTTTGAACAAATATTGAAGTATACAAATCTCTGTTGATTCGGTTAATCTCTGCCGTCGCTCTCTATTTAAACAACTGCACATGAAAAAGAAGTGCTTCTATGAGTAATGCGGTTTATTCATTCGTACTCTCTGAGATCACCGTTGTTATCGGTGATCACGAGTTGCGCGGCGTTGCCGAATTTTATATTTTGTTTACTACTTTTGCTAAGAGGAAGAGGGAGTAATATTTAACCCTTGGCCGACCTAATCTAAATGGGACACTTTGTAGGTTTTATTTGATAATTAAATTTTTCAATCAGGTTAATTTTAAAGCTTTGTCTTGTTCTGTCACTTATTTACTGGTAAACATGATCATTACGTAATTTATCAAGATTATTTAATTACATTTTGACGATCTAACGTTGTGTTTATAAAATGTTTCTCTTATTTCTTAATTTTAACTTAATACTATTTATTTATATGAATAATAATAATAACATATAATGCAACAAATCTTCATACTACAAACTCAACAAAATTAAAATAATTTGATCTGCTGCATTAAGCCTAGAAATGCAATTTTTGATTTTTTTGTTTAACTTACTACATCTAAATGATTTAATAATTTTACTATTTCTCGAAATGTAGATACATTTTTATGTTTCATATTTTTTTCTCGCTCCTGCTTCTTCCCTCTGCAAGAGCCTCTACCAATTTTTTTTTATATAAATCTCGTTATTGCTTAGATCCGACGTAGACTCCATCTTTGTACCAAACTTACCAAGTGGAGAAACTTAGTAACATAATATGCCAGTATTTACATACATTCATACTGTTCATTAAATCGCAATCGCTTGCTCGTATCAAGATACAAATCGGTGGCAATCGCAAGCCCGACAACCGAAATACCGTCAATCAAATTCCCGACGTTTGAAGTGCCGACTGTATCGAAATCCCGACAACCATAATCCATATCATAATGGTTGTCGGGCTTGCGATATAGACCCATACAAATATATGTATATATATTTACATCATGTGCTCGTAATTTATATACTACAAGTATTTTGTGTTGCCTATAATAAATGGACAAAATATGATTTCCTACAATATTTTGAATCTGCGTTCGAGGCAGGAGATTCGAGGTGGCGAGCGAATACAAGGGGTCGTTCTTTTATGGATTCAACAAGACAGTCAAGAGGCACCCATGGTTTTTGAAGATGGGATTCAGCAAGAAATCGGAGATTGCAGTGCTCAGTCGTTTGAGATCGGGACACACGCTGGCCCCGGTGCATTTGGTCAGAGTCGGGTGGCAGGACTCGGATAGATGCAGCTGTGGATCCGTGGGCTCGCTGGATCACTTATTTTTTTTTGCGAGCAATATCAACCAGCCACCGAAGTTCTATGCAGAGAATTAATAAGCAACAAGGTCCCGCTACCGACATCAGTTCGGGCGCTGATTAGCTCCGAAAACGAAACAGTATATAAGTGTCTTTTAAAATTTATTAAGAGTTCAAAAGTAGCGCTGTAGACCACCAAATACACGTATAGTCTCCTAATGACAAAATCAATCAACAATATCCATCCGAGGTCTTTTCTAACACCGGTGTACTGAATCGCTGAGATCCCGATTCGAAAGTTGTTAATTAGTGTAGTCGTTCCACATGTATTTTCCCCATGACCCCAGTAACTTAGACCAGTGTATCCCAAATTAATAAAAACCGTGGCTGGCGAAATTGTGCAAGACGTGCAAGCCAAGTGAAGTGTGGAGAGGAAAAGAAGAAGAAGAATATTTTGAATGAAATAGGAAATAATTCTTGTTATTGAGTCTACACGTCGGAACAAAACTCGATCGTAATGTGAGGAGTATTTTTTATATAAAACATGATTGAATTGCGATCGCCGCATTTGAACGCTTTTACAATAATAACGTGCAAATAAATTTTATAGTTTATATTGAGATGTGTAATTTAGGGAAGTAAGGTTCATGGCGGTTCTAAGAAATGTTTAAACGAATTCGAATTTAACGCATTCGATCATCTCCTGATCAGTGTAATCCGTGATGTCGCTGCCTAACAATGTTAGCATATCGAAGTATTTGTATTTCCTTCTATTCGTTGCCGGATTTATGCACGGACGTTATACCAGGGTTCCGCTTTTTCGAAGCCCCCCTGCGAATAAAAAATAAAAATATACACAATTAAGCAAAACTTTGGTTTAGGGCCCCCAAGCAATGTTGGTCTAGGCACCCAAAAAGGTGTTAGCTCCCAAATAGTTACTAATAATACCAGAAATACAAAAAAAATAATAGAAATGCTGTTTATTGTGCGTAATGTGGACGTATCTCTATATATTTTTAATTCTATCTGAACAATACGGACATACGGCGAGTATTTCTTCCATATCCTTTTCACAGGAGACTTCGCTTAAGCAAAATTGCATGCAAGGCCACAGTGATGGAGCAATCATCGAATCTTAGTAATCGAGGCGCCACTTGTCTTTTTCAAACATACTGTAAAATATTTGACATTAGTGCTGTAGAGGCGCCACTTGTGTTAGTGAAATTGAGTGAAATACGTCACAACATAATAATAATGAATATATAGCAGTTTCGCAAAAGCAGTGAGCTTGAAAAATTTTCGTCCGCGAAGGACGTTGAACAACTCAATGGAAAAAATAACAGTTAGTTAGTCTTGGATTTGACAACGTAAATAAGAAAGATTGCAAAATATTATAAACAAAAAAAAAAGACTACAGGCAACATAGAAATATGTTAAATAAACAATTAATGTATATAATTTCTTTATTTTAATAAAAAAAAAAAGAGAACAATGCTGTGAATGTGAGAATCCAGGTTTCCCTCGTCCTGGCGACAAAGGGAGAGCATTCATATTAGATAGACGAACGAACATGCGAAATCGAACAACAGATAACAAACAGGGAACAACTTCATCTTTCTTTTCTCTTTCCTAGCTCGCCCCTAACGATCTTTCGTCATCATCACCATCAATATTTACATAACTCAATAAAAACAAATGCTTCCTCGAGAAGTGCAATCGGCTTTAACCCTATCACAACATGTAATAATAATAATAATAAATATATATAGTGTTTATTCTTTCAATATATTCAACGAACGATTACTTTCTCTTCTCGTTTATTATATAATAATAATTATTATTTTCTCTTTAACTTTATTCTCATTTAAAATTTACCATTAACAATTATAGTTTTACGATGTTGGCGATGTTGGGTGGTGGTGGGATTTTCTACATTTACTCTCTCTCATTAGGCGTCGCATCAATTTTTTTCTTATGTGTGTGACCGCGTGTGTGTGTCTTTGTTTATTTGTTTATATGAGATTCAAGTTTCACTGTGTGTGTGTGCGCGTGTGTGTGTGTATGAACGTGTGTGTATGTGTATAATGTCACATGTCAAATGTTATTACAAAAGAGTGAAACAATACACTAACATGTTAAAAATCGAACGCGCGCGCGTTATTTTTCTCTTCGAGCTGCAAGTTGTTTATCTCAAAAAATAACCGAGAGTAACGAAAACTAAAGAATAAAGTTATTAGCACTATTTAATCGTCTCGCATTATTATTATGTATTATTTTTTTATACACCGGATTCAAGCGATATTTAATTCTGCTTCTCCATACTCATGCGTTAATTAACTATTTCCCGGGGAAACGATTCACCTAAAAATTCATCTAAAACGTGGCAGATTCATCTTATTACACTTTTTTTGTTTTCTTTACATCATTATATCAATATCATTATCATTATTAATATTATTTAAAGAATTCAAACTGCTAAAATTCTGTGTTTCGACTAACTTTACTTTATTACTTCATCTTCATGGTTGTCTTTAATCTACCTAACTAGGACCGTCACGCGATTTTTTTTTTGGATTTTTATCGATAATATCGTATTAATGTTTTCTTTAATATACATATTTTCTCGTTTTTTTTGTTTTTTTTTTGTCATTACACGCCTACGAAAATAAATAAATAATTAAATGAAAACCGAAAAAGGAAACGGGAAACTGTTTGCTTATAAGTCCGCTTATTGTTACTTTTTTTTTCTACTTCTTATTATTCCTGGTTATCAGCTTTGGTGGTATTTTTATTTATTTATTTATTTTTGTTGTTGTATATTGATGGCAGTTGTTAAAGCCTCAGGATGATGGGCCGAAACTCCTTAGTCGACCATAAGCTCGAAGTGGACGGATCCTCTTCTGTCTACACGGTCGTGATGGATGTTGAGGGCCCAGGCTTTACATTCTATGTTGATGAGCACTCCCCCTATAATGCAACAACGATATCATATTTTGTACCTATACGTCAAATGAGATTGACAATTTATAATGAAAGTGTTAAAAATGACAGATATCAAACACCGATATTTATTATTGTCAACGATATTGTACATATTTCTGTATTCGAATGATCGCACTTACTGGCTGGTTTCTCGAAGTAGACAGCAACCAATGGACTAATGTATCCGTCTTGGTTCTGGAACGGGAAATATTGACCGGCAAATCCTGGTGCGGGGAAGAACTGAATGGCGCCGATGTTTTCGATGTCAGCGGGATTTTCGCCTTCGCAGGTCACCCAAACCATCTTGTTCTAAACATAAAGCAGAAGGAATTAATAATATGAAATATATTGATATTAACTTCATATTTACTTCTGGCGTTCCCTCAAGAGATTTGATCTTATCTTGGAGGTGATTTGGCATGTTGTTCGGCAGGTTGGTGTTATTGAAGAATTCTGGATGCCAACCGTAGATCTTGAAAAAAAAAAGAATTTATTATGTTCTCCTTTTAAATTCAATTAATCATACCTTGTTCAGTTTGAGGAATATGCAAGGACCGCCCGAACTAGAGTTGTAGTTGTATCCATCCTTAGCCAAGCAAGGTTGCCACTTATTATCCAGCTTGACATCGCACACCTTACCGGGGGTGGGTTTCACACCCTGCTGGCAATCTTCGATGTTACCTGGATGAGGGTTATTATCCTTGTTGTATACTGCAACACAAGTAAAGATTATTTTTATACTTGTTACTTATTTGAATTTGACAAATTGACAGTTGATAACAGTCAAATTGACAATTATCAAATATCTATAAAGTGGATTTAATAGTATGAAATTAAAATTACATTCGAGGAATCTGGACAGCTCCTCCTGCCAGTATAGTACGTTTCCCTTGTCATTGGATTTGTACCAGATCAATGTGCTCTCGACGTTACTGTCTGGTGGCATTGGCCTGAAGCCCAGACCAGGATTGCTGCCAATAAGCGACTCGTCCAGTAACCATTTCGGTTTCTTCGCATCCAGAGTTTGATAAAAGACGGTTAACATAGCAGCAAAAAAACCAATCAGTGCCGCATAGAAAATTGCATAGAACAACAAGATTTTAGCTGCAAAAAAGAAAGTAACAGTAATTATTAAAGAATGGCATTAGGGCATAACATACAAAATCATACAAATATGTATATTTATAAACTTTTGGGTTTACTTTTAAAATATTTAAAGTTGGTACGAAAGTGTAAATTTTGTTGTCTATGGGGAATTAAACACTAATTACGTCAATATTTCTGTAAGTTGGTATTATTTATTTGTAAGTTATTATATATTATATAAGATCATTCTAATTGTTTATTTTATTTGTACATCAGACGATGTTTTATTATTATGCTCTACTATAACTTTTGACAACAGTTAATATAGAATGAAAATTAAATAAAAACTAATTTATAATGGTAAATGTATATATATATGTTATAAATTTAATCGGGAGCTTGTATGTAAAGAAAGCAAAATGTTGTCAGAATGTAGAAAAAGTTTCATGTTGGCAACAGTCGTAAATCGTTGTGAGACCAGATGTGGTTGCATAATGTATAAGTTTCTAGGGGTGAAATCGAATCCAAGGAAATTGAATTTCTCGCTCGCTCAGCGAAAAAGGTCCGCAATATATCCCAATTAGAGTTGACGTATATGGCCGAACCTTAAGGTTGCGTAGAGATGGATGCTAGCCAGGTAAAGACGATTTCATTCCTTTCCTCTTTTATTTATTCGTTTAGGTCATGCAAGCAAATCGCTTATTTATAGGCTTAGTTTTCGTTTATTCTTCTTTTCGGAAGGACGAAGAGGACAATGTGTAGGAGTGGGAGGAATGTGTAGGATACGGAAGAACGGAAGTCACGATTGCGTAACGCGAGGAGGGGTAAGTAGGTCACTTGGATATTCTGCTGAAGCGTCGCGACGCCGCAGAGGAACAGGAAATTATGTGGAGCGCGCGCCTGAAAAACCAGATCAATAGTATATATATATACACACACACACAAACAAGTTCGTTTGTGGTATGAGAAGTAGAAGAAAACGCAGACGTAGAATGAAAGGGAGAGATTTTCTAAAAACGGGGGTTGGAAATGTTGAGCGGAGAATAATAAAAAGAAAAGTAGCACGAGACACTGAAATCTGTTCCATTACGGATCGATGGCTTTAGGCGTGGCTTCGCTGATTCCACCAATCCCAATTTGGCGCATCAGGGAACATAGGCGTAGACAAACGAGTTCGTGCGTTTCTATTGGTCAGAAAAGCAAAAAAAAATAATCTAACTATTCAGGTTTCAAAGTTTATTGACATTTACACGGTAAATCCATATTCCATTTCAAAGTATAATCTTCTTATGGAGTTGAAATTACTAAATGTGTTATAGGTAAATTTACTTATTTTAGACATTTAATATTTATACTACCATTACGACTATGTTTATTTATTGATTTATGTATTTAGAAACTCATTTTATAGCTGTCATACTTGACAGTTTGTGGATAACTTATATAACCTATGAATTGTCAAAAATTTGCTATAGAAGCAATTACGATTATTTAGGAGCGTGTGGATTTTAGGTAATTATTAGAAGTGTTGAAAAAGGGGGTGGAGCCAAAGCGCGAATCGATGATTTCGATTGGCTAAATTTGATAAAAGTGACGTTTACAGACCATCAGAAATAGTTATCCATACAGACAAAAACAAAACTAAAAGTAACAATTTCAACTATTATTATAGAATTTAATAATAATGGTTATGAAAACGAATAACTGCAAAATTACATTTTGACAGATTAAATATACGGAGTTGAGGCAACAAACAAATTGTTATCAAGCTATCGCGAACGCAGGAAATGACCGTCGCGTTTCTTGTATACTCACTCACTTCTGTACACGAATTTCCTATATAGTTCACTGGACATTTTCGTTCGAGGAAGCTTAGACCAACTTTTAAAAATATATAAATTTAACGTAAACCAATTTTCCACCGTCCACTATTAGATTCTCGACAATCTGCATGCGTGACCTCAGTCAAAATTTTGATAATGCTTACAAAAAATCGGGATCAAACAAAACAACATAAATACAAAAAATTTCGAGATAAGCGATTCATCTAAAATTATAATACGAAATAGCAAAAACAGATGTCGTCAACTCTCACGCAAATATGGCATCTGTCAAATGGGATACTTTCATCAATTCATGCATCAAAGTTGCTATCAAACAGAAACAATTTCAATCCATGCGGATTAACAAAATTAATTAACTCTGATAATGATCATATTATTTTTTATCTCTCTGTCTTTATCTTCTTCTTTGTATTAGACAGTGCGAACGCAGCTTAATTAATTAAGACCAGTTACAGAATTGTTTTGCGTGCGTTTCCAATTGATCTCGTTAACTTCTTAAATACCATGCTATTATACAAATTGCTGAGCTCAATTCCGATACGAAAAACAAACACACACAAAACGAAATATTTTACAAGCGTAAAATCCAACATTCTGCGAAATGCTCACGATTACATAAAAAAGATATTTAATTTTTCTAGCATCAGTTCCGATAGCAACATAAATCAGTTAATGATTTAATCACATCTTATCTTGTGATTGGATATATTCGGATATTTTTGAAACATCAAATTCGACGAACGAACTTTGGTTTTCGTTGAGAGAAATATAAAAGAAAACGGTTACGCTTGAAAAGAAATATAATAAAGCATGCGCTATCGGTTAACAGGAAAATTTCATACTTGGCGGTTTCCTGTTTTCTGATTTCGATAAAATTACTTATCTAGAAAGACCAGAAATATAAACTTAATCGAATATGTTTTGTTAGAAATGGTAAATAAGTTTGAATACGTTCAAAATATCAAAAAGAATATGATGCTCCACCCTAATATTGATCCAATTAAATGATCCAAGTGAAGTCTCAACGTCTGCGCAATTTCCACAGTTTTCTATATAATGTATTGTATTAAATTTCATTAATAATGTTTAACGTTCAAAATATATAATATATCGATTCCAATATTATTTACTATGAAGTTAAGGAATATTTCACTTTCCGATCTATAATATTTTATAATTTAAAAGTAATGTGTGTGATGTCAAAAGTACAATAAGTTTCTAAGTAAAAAAATCAAATATTAGGGAGTATTATTGTTTTTTCATTAAGCATCAATAAATATATTTGTTATTTAAATCAATAATCATTTCAGAATAATATTTAATTTAAATTCTGTACCAACATTTAAAACTATATTTTATGTTTGATATTTCTGAAAAAAAAAACAGAATCGAAATGCAATGAATTGTAATTTATAAAATACATTTTGTTGTACATCAACTTTTAACATTAACTATTTAAATATTTTTATAATATAATATATTTGATGTACAAAATTATAACGTGAAAGTAAATTGGAATTGAATTATAAAAGCAATAACTTTTATTTAAAGATTATTTAATTAATTGAATTGTCATTCGATACCAACTTAAAAAATCAAGTTTAAATGTAACGAATTAAATATGATCATGAAAAGAACGAAATGTATACCGTTTCATTCGTTTAACATTAATTTTAAAATTAATATATTCAGAAGAATGCGCATTTCGAATCGATTATTGAAACTTGCAGATTTTGGAGCGAAAGGTCAAGGGGTTTGAGCGATTCCCAAACGGGAACCAACCTCACACCCCTTTCCGGTTTCGCATGGCCGCCACCCACTTTACGTTCGTTCCAATCGATCGGGTTGGGCGCCGTTGCAAACCACCTCCAGCCAATCGATATGGTCATTTCCATAAAATTACAACGTTTCGTTGAAATTACTTCTATAAATTTGATATGATTCGATAATGAACTACTTGCGAATGATATAAAATTGGGATTTAATAATTCTTGGGTGTTGGTGCGACTGCGCGATGACATTTGGCATTTCGGAAAAATCGAGCGACCGCCGCCGCCCAATCGATTGGACTGCAATTTTGGAAATCGATAAAAAAAGGGTTGTTTCCTTTTCTTTCGGCTCTAATTTCTTCATTCTCATTCTCTCTTACTCTCTTCCATACATACTTTCTTTCTTTCTCTTGTTTCTTTTTACTCACCCCAACTGGAGCCGGTCCTGCCTAGAAACTGGGAAGTCTCAGAGTTCCACAGGAAAGTGCTGAAGCTCTCCCATTTGCCTAGTTTCGGGGGCCTGGTGTAATATTCTGACTTCTTCTCGGACATTTCGGTTGGTTTCTTTACTTAATTTCTGATTGAAATTATGTATTGAAACTTCGAGGTTTCACCGCCGAAGACTCTCAAAAAAGGGTTGGTCCTCTCTTGTTCTTCGGTCTTCTGGTTCTGCTGCTCTCCTCAACGGCGGCGGCAGTTTTGTGTGTTACTATTAGGTGTGCGTGTGACCCACTCGCGAACCCTCTCTGAATGGAAAGGGAGGCAGCGGCAACTTCTTCACTTCCAACCCCCGGGGGTGGCGATTCCGGCACTTGCGCAAAGTTCGCGCGATTATCGATCTTCCTGTGTATCCCTGCGAGCCTCGCTCTTCCCGTTTGCGCGCGCGATTCCACCGCAAAACGAACACAGGGAATGGATCTGGCGCGCGCCCGTCGCCGCCACCGCCGATGCTGTCGCCATCTATCAACGATTCGAACGAACCCGACACTCTGAAACATCTGGACGAACTGATGATATCCAATCGGGTCTATATCGAAATCCCGACAATCGAAATCCCGACAGTGTCTTTTATTATTATAATTTCTACAATAACATTTATAAATTATTGTACTATATTTTAATAGGAACGACCGATACTGAAAAAAATATTTTTCGATGGCTCTTTTGCCCGATTATTAATTGTTGTTATTTATTCTTAATAACAATAAATAATATTAATTATTATTGTTTTTTAGTGTTGACTTATTCATTATAAAACTTAAGAATAAGAAATATTCTATAATAAAATTAGTTTATGTTATTAACAATAAATAACAACAATTAATAATCTTATTAAGTTTTAGATTGTCGGGATTTCGATAGACGGGATTTCGGTTGTCGGGCTTGCGATTGCCACCGATCCAATCAATGTCTGGTGTGGCTCGTCCCGGCGTTCCCACATATCTCTCCACAGCTTCGTACCACATTTTTAAATTATCTTCATATATACATGTATTTAATTTATCATTCAATCACTTGTTAATTGATTATTTAAAGTGCTTTTGTATATTTATATTATTTTTTACTTTTTGCTATTGTTTTCTTTTTTTGACAGGCGAGGTTAAGTAAAATCAAATCAATAATTGATATAATATATACAAAGGTACAAACATTTATTCTTTGAGTATTTTTCATTTCATTTAATAAATTTTTATTTAGTTATAATAATAAATATTCGGGCAGAAAGACTTATGGTCAATTGGTCTATAGCCTTTTGAAACAGTTTTATTTTTGTTATTATGTTAATTTCATATTTTGGTAATTTGTTGCAATAAATATTATTATTATTATTTATTATTAATAAATATTTTTTTTTTAATTCCTCACAACAAAAAAAAATACAGCAGCAATCGAGGACTAATCGATTATTGTTGTATACTTTAACATCCAATTTATAATACGAATATTGATTACTCAAGCAAATATTTTTTGCTAAGTATCTAACAGAATTAAGTTGAAAATTTGTTTATTTATAGGTAGTGTTAATAGTGATTTGTGGAATATATAAGTATATTTAATTTTCTTATTTGAAGGACAACTTAGGCGTTTGATCTAAAAATACGATATTTCGGTATAGGCAACACAAAATGTCTCATTCAATAAATGCGAGTCGTATAAGTTGTCGACATGTTTCGTAACACTATTCCAATTGTATGCAACATGGTATACATCGGTGGTTGTATTTGAAATAAGTTTGATGACTGATTTTTGTATTATAGTTACAAAAGATGCTGGTTTAAATTAAATAAATAAATACGAAAAATTATGACAAATTATAATTTCAAAATTTTAAATCGAATAGAATATTTTTCGAATATTTATAATTAATATAAAACAACGATGTAATTATAATAATATATAAATATACAAAGTTATATTGGATAATATTATGTCAGGTTGGATTAGATTTTATTAGGTTTGAAAAACGATGACTAATTTGTATTGGTTAAAATAAAATGACAACATCTCACTCAATAAGATTGTAGTATGACATGTAGATGGCGCCTCTATCGCCAAATGATATTTAGGAAATACCAACCTTCAGAGGACGCCTCTCAAAATTTCATGGCAATCTGACGATTAGTTCACAAGTTACAGTGGTTTTGGTGACGCTACTTTTGAAATTTTCAAAATAATGGAAAAATCTGAATTTCGTGTGTTGATAAAACATTGCTTTTTAGTTTCAAATGTTTTTATTCATATATAAAGTGGTTTACATGTTTGAATTTTGCATAGTATTCATACTGCTTAAGCATAAGCTCTTTCAGCATGACATTGCTTTTTGATGAAAAAATATACCGTTCAAGCAAAGCAATGGCTTTATAAGTAATATGAGGACTCTTCTCCGTTGAGATAATTGGCAGAGAAGTGGTTTTAAACGCGGTCGTACAGGCACAAATGATGCTGAAAGCTCTGCTCGCCCAAATTAGACAATTGTTGCAGAAAACATAAAAAAGTCCACAAAATGGTTTTAGCTGAACGTAAATTGAAGTTGCGAGAGATAGCTGACACCCTGAAGATATCAGTAGTGTATTCACTATTTTGCATGAACATTTGATCATCAGAAACCTCTGTTCGAAATGAGTACCGCATTCAAGCTTAAAGTGGACCAAAAACAACAACGAGTTGGTGATTCCGAGCGCTGTTTGGAACTGTTCAAGCAAGATAAAAAGGATTTTTTCATGCGGTATATCTGGATCCTCCACTATACTCCAGAGTGAAATAGGTCGTTAGCTGAGTAGACAGCAAAGGGTGAAAGCCTTCTAAAGCAGCCAAAAACGCAAATGTCAGCTGGTAAGGTTTTGGCCTCCGTATTTTGGGATGCGCACGGAATTTTATGCGCACGGATTACCTTGAGAAAGGAAAACCAATTCAATTTTCAATTTAAAAATTCTTTATTCAGTGTAGATGCATATACAATGGTGTTATTATTAAGGGGTGGCGTAGAAGGAAAACCATCTATAGCGAATATTATATGGCGTTATGGGTGCGTTTGAAGGAAGAATTCGTATTAGTCATCCTACGAACTTATTGACTGAGGTGTTAATAGTATTGGATTATATAAAATTTGCTTTTTTCTAATCTGTATTATTTAAATGTTTCAATGTATTTAAATATCTTGATAACGGTGACTATTTATTTTGTATTTGCGGTGAGACCTTAAACATGAATTAATCAAATTAAGCTCACAAAAAATGCTTATAAATTCCTCTAAATTAAATAATTTTATGTAGACGGCGAGAGGAAACTTTATTCAATTGTAAAACAACGAAGGAAATGTAAATTACTCTTAGAATTTGGTAATATTTTAATTCTCTGACAGAAAAATTGAAGGGCATTTTGGGTGTTTTGATTGTTGATAGATGTAATTTTTATCAAATACATCTATAATGTTAGAGCTTTGATGAAGAACAAAAATATATATTTATATATAAAAGAAGCATAGGAAAACGGGCATTGGTGAAGCACGTACGTAAGGCATGCGTTTACGAATTATATAATGCCTAATGTTTCAATTAAGCCCCGTCATTTGCGCTGAGTGTGAGGATGTCGAAAATCGCTAATTTCCGGCGGCCCCAAAATCCTCCTCCACCTCCAAACGACGCATGCAGGCGTCCGCGATTCTCCACGGGCTCCGCTCACTTCGGTCCTCCTTCTTCTTGCAAACGCAGAGAACGCGAGAACCACCGCAGAAGATTCTGATTAACCGACTCTCCGAAGATCTTGTAAAGAACGTAAGAGAGCAACAAGTCAGAATCGTCGAAGATGCCGACGTCGAATTCGAATTCCAGTAACGTGAAAATCCGACAGCCGTCGCTCTCCCTCAGCAAGCAGGAGGATCTGCTCAACGTCCAGACTTCATACTACTTCAAACCAGAAGACATGAAGCTCACAGATAAGCAGAAGTTCCAGAAGTTAATCTGGGATCCGGAGCACAAGCAGTTTTTGGGCAGAAACGCTACCAGTTGGTGTAAGTTATTTAACTGAATAAAAAAAAATCAAGGTCAAATTTTTGAAAAAAAAAAACGAGTTACTTTTTTCAATTTACCAACTAATCAAAGTGAAAAACAAATCTCTTAAAATAAGAAATGACATGTAGAGGTTACAAAAAGAGATTAAAAGACCTTAAAATTTCATTAATTTCACCTTAAATCAAACGAATATTGTGGACAAAAAGATTTAAAGCTCTTTATTTATATGTAGCAGTTAAATTTTAAGGAACTAACCTTAATATTTTGACATTTAATATGTCAATGTAAGGTGCTGTATTTTTTGTCCATAAGACGCACCGCTTATTTGCTTAAAAATCAGTCAAAAATTTAGTATTATGGTCCTTTATATATTTTATTTTTCTAAAAATTGTCTCATAAAATCTTATAGTCATAAGTACACCTTGTTTTTCAAAAATATGTTAGTTTTTAATTGTTATATTATTGAATAATGTAGCAATATGTAAAGTTTTATGTAAAGTTAGAAAAAGCGTTCTCTTGTTTAAAAGTAAGTAAGATCATTGTAACGTTTTTCAAAAAGTAAGAGTGAGGTGGTATGAGATCGAAAAACGAATTTAAAGAAAAATGAATCAGAAGATACTCTCGTAATCCGAGTGTCGTTACGTCCGAGTTAAACGTCAATTAAGAAGTGCTTAAAGTGGCTTAAAGTTAAGTAGGTGGTGACGGTCAAAGGGTGTCCGTCCACTTTGGCAACAGCGCGATGGACGGACCCCGCCTACCTTCAAGCATAGGTAACCATAGAGAGAGAGTTCACAGGTGGCAACCGAACCAAGCCAAACAAACACACGAGCACCATCATATTCCGTCCAACCATTCAACCGTCCATTTGTTTGGTAGTTAGTTAGTTAGTTACATGTAGTTTCGAGTGAAGCGTACGATAAAATAAAGAAACAAATGCTTCGTTAACATTCCTCAAGAAGAAAGATTCATCATGACCGCATCACCGAAGCACCAGATGAGCGAGAAAGAAAGGTACGCGAATTTCCTGTACAACAAAGAGGACGGCACCTATTTGGGCCGCAGCAAGGAGGGCTGGGGTAAGGAAAAAACACATCATACCGTGCGTCGATGTAAACAATGGCAAAACGTAACGGTCAACAAACGCAGGTTGTGATGCATTTGTTATTTTTTACGAGAGTTTATGGAAAACAAATGCTTCCTTGATTAATTCTGTGACAAAGTAATTGAATTAAAAACACACATATACACGGAACGTCGTTATTGCTGAGTCATCGCGCAAGAATCTAATATTCAACAGAAGACTTACCGCATTACGCATCTCAGACAACTGAATATACGCATGTCGAACAGATATACGAACAGAAAAGCTTTTATTAATCGAAAAAAATAACCAAATAAATTTTATATAATTCTAGATGGTTAATTTGTTTTTTTTTTATTATATCAGCATTTTAAATTAAGTTGGCATTAATTACGTGTTTTTGAAATACCAAGATTTTATTCAACAAAATATTATATTTCTGACAAGTTTTTTAAAGCATTTTGTTTATATATAATTGTTAAATAGGTTATGTTTAAAAAAATGACAAAAGATATAAATAAGCGAGTTGTATTAAAATTATTATTTCAAATTAAATTGTAATTGGAAATTAAGTTGGTAATTGTGATTTAATTAAATGCTTTAGAAACTATCAAAGTTATACTTGTTTATTGTTTAAATTGTTTTTGTTAAGTGTAAATTTTAAATCGATTGTTAAACTTTTTCGTTTGCATCTGATTTTCATTTTAAGAGATATTTATTTTGGTAATTTAGATAATTTGATACAAACAATGATAAAATATGTTCTTTACTTTGTTTCAGCCAAAATATGTCTGTTTTACCTGGTGTTCTATGGCATGTTGGCGGCCTTGGTAGCAATATGCATGTGGGTGTTCTTCCAAACTCTGGACCCGAGGATACCGAAATGGCAGATGGACAGCTCCATCATAGGCACGAATCCAGGGTTGGGTTTCAGACCGATGCCCACCGCCGACAACGCCGAATCCACGCTGATCTGGTTCGAGGGATCTAACAAGACCAACTTCAACAAATGGGTTAATAACTTGAGCGCATTCCTCGACAGTAAATACAACATTAAATTAAAAAAAAAAGATAATTAAATGATTTTAATTGCAGAGTATTATACGCCCGGTAAGACTGAGAAAGGAACGGCTTCGATCCGTAAGTGCAGCTACAACCAGCCGCCCAAGAGGGGTCAAGTTTGCGATTTTGACGTGCGGCTGTGGGGCGAGTGCAGCCCTGACAAATTCTTCAATTACCATAGGAACGCTCCTTGCATCTTCCTCAAGCTGAACAGGATCTACGGATGGGTCCCGGAGTATTATAACGACATCCACGATCTTCCAGAAAACATGCCGGATGATCTCAAGAAGCACATTGCCAGCGTCAAACCGGAAGAGGTAATTCAAATCAGTGATTAGTTCAAATGACATTTTAAAGTGCCCTCTAACGGTGAATTAATAAACTGTTTTTAATTTTTTAGAGAAATACTATTTGGATTAGCTGCGAAGGTGAAAACCCCGCCGACATCGAGTATTTGGGTCCAATTAGCTACCATCCGCAGGTACAAGGTTTCCCCGGTTACTACTATCCGTACGAGAACTCGGAAGGCTACTTGAGCCCTCTGGTTGCCGTGCAGTTTTTGAGGCCAGTTTGTAAGAAGTTGTCCGCGCTGAATTCTCAGCAAGATTCTGATTGTGTTTTGTTTTCCAGCTGGTATCGTCATTAATATTGAATGCAAGGCTTGGGCCAAGAACATCAAGCACAGTAGAGCCGACAGGACCGGATCCGTTCACTTCGAGCTTCTGATCGATTAGACACATCTAAATATTATTAAACGAAGAAGAAGAAAAAAAAACAGTTTTAATTTTTAATTCATAAGCAAAAGGAGGAAGCGCGACTCGTACAGTTGGTTGCAGTACCACCAAAGACACCGTGGTTCACGATGATTTTAATTTTTACCTTTTTATTCGTATGTACATATATTTGTTTCACATTTTATATATATATATTTCTACAATCATACCTATTTTGTTGAGCTTTTCATCTGTAATGAGAAAAATAGAAAATAATATATATTACTATGTTAATAAATTATTTCCTGTAGCATTTTTCGTATTTTTCCAAATTAATACCAAGCAAATTCTAAGCAGACACCATCTTTTTTCGTCGGTGAATATTGATGTTGGTCAACATCTTAATAAAGCTGTTTCGTTCCAGGAATGGAAATCGGGTTACTGTGGAATGTTGTCTTTTGTTGTCTGATTAGGGTTGTAAATAAATCAATCCAACGGGTTTTAATTGTAATTTATTCTTAATATTAGTTAAACTAGCAAAACGATACCAACAGCAAAGAAAACAAACAAAGTAAGGTTGACATCAGCAGATCTGTAGCTATACTTATCCTCCAATTCGTTCAGATCGCTCCTCGTCTACGCCGTGGGCGTTCAAGACAAGAACTAAATAAATTATAACCAACAGCAAAGACCTGTTGGTTTGCTTTATTATATCAACTAATAAGATATAGTTATTCCTTTAACGATACGACTAAGACTATAGTTGTTCCTTTAACGTTATTACTAAGACTATAAAATTTAGTCATTGCACTCGATGGAATCTATTTATGAAGGATATGTTTCAATCGGCCATTGCCATAGATGGTATGCACCATTAGTGGTTGGTCACTACAATGCAATTGTTGTTGATATCTGTCACTGTGGTATGTTAACAGTTGATATTCGAGTCGCGTATGTAATTGCTAATTGTCAGATTTGACGTTTGGAAGTTGGTCGATGGGAAGACCACGGAGCGGAAGGAGAAATAGGTCGCGTCATGCAGGTTGCAGGAGATGCTGCAGCAAAGAATGCTGCGGCAGTTGCTGTCGATACCTTTATAACCCGAAGCAGCATACCTTCTGCACGAGAACCTGCGGCAGCTGGTGTGAGTGCAAGGCAGAAGCGAAGAAACTAGAGAGAATAGGTTTTTCTACTTTCAGGTAAAATTTTGACTTATTATATAGGCTTTATAATCTGCATCACCGCGATCTTCCTGCTCATGATCTACCTGGAAACGGATTCCAAAGGAGAAATGATTAATCCAAACGTCTTCAAGATCAAACTTCTCGACGTCGGAATTCCAGGTAAGAAGAAACGAATGCGAAGAGAAACAACGCACTCTTTATTCACCAATAAAGCATTTCAAGTGATGTTGCTAGTAATGTCTGTGATTGATATAGTGAATTTTATTTAGAATTTAGAAAATAAACGTCATTTTAAATAATTTGAAAAACTACTTAATAAACATATCAATTTATAATCAATAAAATCCATTGAGTAACGAAAATGTTAAATATTGCGTTCTAATATACCTATCGATTTTTTTCTTTTTATCAAAATAAACAAATTAAAGAATTAAATTAAGTTATGAAAATGTTGGATATTATAATTTCAGAAAATTTGGAAATATTTCTAAAAATTACCTAATAAACCAATTAACCTATTCTGATCATTATTATAATTATTAACGAAGAAATGTTACTTCAAAAAAATGTCATATCATTTCGTAAAATGAATTAAAATAAACAATGTAAATAAATAAATAAATAAAACTACACTAATTGAAAAGTTTTTCTATTTGGTTATATGTTTTCTTATAAGATATTATTTACATACATTAAGTAATGCGATTTGATAAGAATTCTGCTTGAAATAAAAACGTTGATGAAATTGCTATTTATTTGTAAGAAAACGCAGAAATTGATGTTTTTATTTCGCTTTGCAGGTGGCTCCCTTTTGCCGTCCTCCGCTAACAATTTATCGCTGCCACTGATCTGGTTAACTAAGAGCAGCAAAGGACCGAGCTCGAACACGTACATACACAAGATACAGACATTTTTGAAAAGTATTTTTTGATGAACATGTCTCAACGTTTTTGCATCTTTAAAGTTGATTTTTTTATCGCAGCGCAAAACGAGAAATGCAAGGAGCTGGAGAAGACCGGAATGAGGAAATGCCCTTTCAACCTAACGGAACTCGGACCGTGCGCCGAGCCGCAATTCGGTTATGATAACAAGAAACCCTGCATATACCTCAAGCTGAACAGGGTATATAATATACAAAATCAACAATTAAATTTACTCGAAACGCAATTAATACCTTATTTACTAAATCTAATTAATATTAGATTAAATGAAAACCATCTAAGAATTGTGATTGTTAACCCCTTAACCCATTGAAGGATCAGAAATTCCTAAATTTCTAGACCCAAGTGGGACAGATAACTTCGTCCACTCAATCAACATCGGATATTCATCTTGATGGATTCAACATTAATATCTTCTACTGCCCTATCAAATTTATCACTTTCCTGGACATTTTCCATAAAATTATAATAATGCACCACTAGGCATGTTCAAAAGGTGGTAAAAAGAGGTCCTACCGCCCCTCAAAGAGTTAAATGTTTATGACGTATATATTCGTCTTGGTCTATTGTATTGTGTAGCGCTTATAACGCTTATTCGCATAATTCATTTACTTGATTATGTCGAATATATACGTGTAATCCTTCCTAGTAATATAGGTGTGCATTCCAAGTTTCAACTTGTTTAGGCGCCGTACTATTACGATGTAGAAAATAACGTGAACTTCATTATATTTCAGTTCAATACGATAACTTGGTATCATTATTGAAAGTATTGAAATATACAAAAATACGTGGCCAGTAGGGCATACAATTCGTCAAACCGCTTAAAGTAATAGAAAAACTTTCATTTTCATTTTTTCTTTAGTTGTTGTCTTGGACGCCCACCGCGTACACGAAAAGCGATCTGAACAAATTGGAGGAGAAGTATAGGCGTAAGGTTGACATCAGCAGATCTGTAAGGTTTCCTTTCTGTGTTGTTGGTGTCGTTTTCTTTTACATTTTGCTTCATTCATTAGGTGATTTGGGTGCATTGCGAAGGTGAAAGCACCTACGACGAAGAGCATCTGGGCACTATCAAGTACCATCCGGAAGCCGCTTTTCACGAAAAGTACTTTCCCTTCGAGCAGGCCGTCTCCTTGAATCCGGTCATCGCCATTCAATTGGGAAACGTCCAATGTACGTTTGGTCTAACAAGAAAATCCAATACACAAAGTAATTATTAATTGCAGCCGGATACATCTTGCACATCAGATGCACCCTGTTTTCCAAAAACTTTCCGTATTCAGGTAACAGCGTGTTGAAGACGTTCGTCCTCGTCGATTGATAATATACCCTCAACTTAATTTAAGCAATCTTTAATCCACTAAGTTCTCAATTGTTATTGGTTTTCGTTATATCGCAAGAGAAAAGAAATAAATAGATCTCAGAATACAATAAAATATTTAATTCACTTTATTACGATATACTAATTGTTTGCATTGTAATATTTTGTACACTAGCAGTGGAGGAAGGAAAGGGAGGAGCACACACACACTTAAAGCACATCTCTTAACAAATCACAATCAATTAACGATCTGCTTCGTACGCACACATTTTCTTTAGTTGCTAATTGGAATTTGTAACAAATTATTATATTATTTAATTAATACCTAAGTTTATCTCTTGATGGGTTTCTTGTTGCTGTTCCTTTAATGATAATCTCAAGGAAAATAAAATATACAAAACGATAAAAATAATGGTCAAAATAATAATAGTAATGGAAGGAGATGGGTTTTGTTTTTCGGGGTTGGGATGCTCATTTTATATTTTTGGCCTAATACAAAAATAACGTTTTTAAAACAACAATAATAATAATAATAGCTAACAGAAACGATTTCTCTTTTGTTAATAATACTAAAAACGTTCCGATTGTCGTCATTTTTTTGGAATTAAAAAAAAAAATGAAAGAGAAGACAAACTTCCCTCAATGCAGATGGGTTTTGTTTTCCGTCGGGTCGCATTCCTTTGTTCTTCTTAAATAAACCTTAAATTACTAACTAGTAATAATAATAATAGAATTTCGCTACTGATACATGACATTTAACATAAAAGTTTAAAAAGCATGTTATAAATAATATATTGTGTGCACATGTATATATATATTTATATCATGGTTTTATTTTTTTGAGGGAGGATATGATTATGGTCGTCATCATCACGCGTCCATCATGATCTCGAAGTGGACAGAACCTTCGCGTTGCTGGTTTCCACCCCTGTAGTTAATGTTTTTGGCCCACGCTCTGCATTCGATGTTGATGACAACGTTCGCTAGAAACATAAGCAAACACACATTAATTACTAAGCACAACAACAATTACGTCGAATCTATCAAGCAAAAATGACCAGAAAACAAATAAACGGAAGTGACAGAATAATTGGAATGAATTGCGAGTTGGCCATGGCGACAGGAAATTAATAATTAAAAGCGACCATTAGTCAGGTCCGTGTTCCTTTTTCACTTTACATAATCGAATCGTTTGCAGGCGAAACGTTCGTTTTCCATCAATTACCGAATGCTATTACGTAACTCGTTCAAATTAAAACGTCAATTTTGACAATTTTTTATGACTTACGTTTCGGGGTGACGATTTTGACGGCGACCAGAGGACTCAGGTACGCCTTGTCATTGGTGTAGGGATAATAGAATCCGGGGAAGCCCAGGTACGGAAGGTATTCAAACTTGCTGACGTGCTCCTTATCGGCGGGATGTTCTCCCGCGCAGGTCACCCAGATCTGGTCCCTTTCCTCCGGCTGTCCAAAAATGATTATCATTATTATTATTCGATCCAATTAATTTGATTTAATTTGCTTACCTTCTTGCTCTTGATGGTATCCACTAGCTGCTTGGGCATATCGCTGGGCAAATCGTTAATGTCATTGTAGAATTCCGGTACCCAGTTGATGATCTGCAAAAATAGAGCGAAACATAAATAAATAGCTACTCTAAATCCTTCCTAAAGGTCTTCTTACCCTGTTGAGCTTTAGAAAGATACATGGCGAAGTCGAAGAGTATCCGAAACTGTGCGCTGGTCCGCAAGATTGGAACTTGTTCATGTCGACGTCGCAAACTCGGCCTTTCTTGGCGGGTTGATCGAAATCGCACGACATCTTATTGCTGCCTGTTCCATTCCGCAGGTAGGCTGAAAATAAAAAGTTCAAAATTTGTTTACAAATTGGAGATAATTATTTAACTCACGTTCCAAGAAATCTTCCGTCAATTTAACCCATTTCTCGATGCTGCTCTTGTTCTTCGGGTTGTACCAGATCAGTGATCCTTCCTCGGTGCGATCGGCGATTGGTCTGAAACCGAGACCCGGATTTTTTCCGATCAAACCGTTGTCCAATTGCCATTTGGGCTCTTTGTCGTTCAACGTTGAAAGCATTGCCTGCATGCAGATGGCGAACAGACATGCCAGGACGATGTAGAAGAGTGCGTAAAAGGTTAAAATTTGAGCTGAAATTGAAAAAAAAATAGTAAGGTGAAAATCTTGTTAAAACAAAAAAAAAGTTAGGTTGTGTTAGATTCAACTTGAAATTAGTTAGTTTTTTTTTGTTTTTGGCTCAAACGGTTACGTTTTTCATTTATTATCAAATGTTGATAATTATCTAATTTTTTTTTCAAACAATTTTATTATTTATCAATAGTTTTTCCTAAATCAACATTTTGAAGGTGTACCACAATTGACATGACAGCTTTCTATCATATTGAAACTGAATATTGTAGCAAGTAAATGTTATTTCACATAAATAAAGTTGAAACTAATTTTGTCTTTATACTGGCATATTAAATGGAAAACATATGAAGGTTAATTTATGTAACATCGTTAAATAATTGATTCATTGCTGCACAACAATTGTTTATTTATAATTATTTTTAGCGCAAATGCGCGTATTGCATTACACATCTGTTATTAACAGTTACAAACTATAAAGTTTCACTTCTAAACGTTTAACGAATCAATTTAACAAAATAAAATCATTACCAGTACGACCATATTTCTTTTAATGGTTCCGATAATGAGCGTGTTCGGTTATAAATCCCGGCAGACGTAAAATTATCGTAACTGGATTTTCCCGAGGGAAAAACCAGTTCGTAGCCTGTCTTCGCGCCGAAAGCACCGGTTAAAAAAAATGAAATAACATCTTTCACTTTTCTTCTTCGACTTCTTCACCATCTAATTTTAATTAAACTAAGAGGAAAGTGTATTGATTTATCATCCATCAAATTGACGTGTGCGTGTGTTTATGCACAAACATACACAAAAAGAATGTGCACAAACACAAAACAAGGGTGCGTTTCGTTTGTTTACGGAGGGACAATGGAAAAGCGCGGCAGGAAATTGGAATTTCTGGTATCGGCGAACGATTATGTAACAAAAGGACATCGGAGACGGCCGACTTGTTTGCGCTTCTATTTTGTTTGGTTCAGCTGTTGTTATTTTTATTATTATGATTTTCGCATTGCCGCGGCCGAAGGTTGAACGAGTAATTAGATAACGAATATATATATTCAATTTCATTACATATTTACTCTATCTTGCCGCCTACAGAGCCGTATATGTTTTTTTTACGTTGTTTAATAGTTATTAATCGATACCAGCGGCGCCACGTCCCTCCATTTGTAACCAATCTTCTAAAATAACAAAGAAATAACGGATGCTCACTCAAAGCAATATCCAGAGTGCCGCATTTGTTTCCAATTTCATGGCACAGCGGAATCCATTTACGGTAGCGATGACAACGTGTTCAAAGATAAACAGTCTCATTATAACATGTAACGTACAGAAAGGGAAAAACACATATAATGGATCAATTGCCGTACTTTAATTACTTTATATTTGTTTGTTTGTTATGTTTACTCATGCGTCAAATACTATTTTTTTGTTATATTTCCATAGATTTTTTATATATAACTCGCATAACTTTTTTAAAAATGTGTTCCATAAAGTATTAGCAATCCCATCTAAGAACAATCTCTCACCCGAGTTGCCTAAGTTTTGAATAATTGATATAACATACAATTCTAATAAATTGCTTGCATTAACGATCACCTATCCAGGTTGCTTAACTTTTATAATATAACTACAGCAGAGATTAACAATTTTATGAATACAATTAAAGATAAACTATGCTTAGAGATAAAGTGCCATTATAAATATAGATTAATGTGGAAATGTTATATTGAGGTTACGTTCATCTGTCATTGAATAAACAAGTTGTTTCTATCCAGTGCGAAGGTTGACCGTGTCGCAAATTGCGTTTTTTTTCTTCTTCTTTCAAATATAAATATATATATATATATATTCCATGTTTCTTTAAAATTTCGCTTCGCTTCATGAAATTCAATGCTAACTAATACAATTATATCGGTTTCCTTGAAGACCCAATCTCCATGATTGCATTCGCATATGAACCACTTTCTAAACAATAATATCCAATGAAAATCGTTAACGAAATCCTTGTTTTCTTTTAAATCGTAACGTATCTCGATTGTTAAGCACAATGTCGCCCCCTTTTTTTTGTTGGATCGTCAACCCTTCGTCATTCAAGTTTGCCTTGAATTCTTCAATGAAAAAAGTCCTTTGTTGAATGTGGGACAACTGTTGCGCTCAAATCCCGGATAAAAGCGTTATATAATCTTCGTTCAAAGCAACGATTACCTGCGAGTATTTTTTTACACTGAAGTGCACCTATTCAAGTGATCTTATTTATTGTTTGTTCAACTCTTTGAAGTACCTGAAATTCGTAAATTTCTAGACCCAACACATTTCTAGACAACTGAATCAGACAACTTCATCTACTGAATCAACATTAGTTTGGACTATCAAAATTCATATCTTGACATACCAACCTAATTAAATGGTAATTCCTCTTTCCTGAAGATTTTCTTGAAAATTATAATAATGTCCCATTAAGCATGTTCAAAAGGTGATACAATGCGTGTCCCACCACCTTACAAAGTGGTGTTGATTTTAATAATAGGGAAGTTATCAATGAATCATAAATCTCCAAAACTGATGACGTGTTGACAGTTGACGTTCTTTGCTGTCAAATTGATAAGCGAGAGTTTCGAAACGGTTGCATTCGCAATTGATTTCGTTAAACTAACTAACGATGACCTTGGACGGACGTGCCGCTCCATACGAATGCAACCAAAAAGGTGCAAAGTGAAAACCGAAAAAATCACTCAAATTAAGTACCGTCGCCTTTTGTTTACCGTTTCGGGAGGAGTTGCGCAATATCAGCTAAGTTAGGTTCATCGTATTTGTTTACCTGTTAAATATTTCTCTATCTCTCTCTGATTTCTATCCGTACGTTACGTACAAATCCTGTTTAAGATGGAGAATCTGTATTCAATTCCTCCATCCTTGTTTATCTCATATTTAAATGCAGGTGCGATCGTTTTTCACTCCAGTTACAGCCGGTTTCGTCTCGATATTTACCTACTCTTTTTCTTCTCTATATTTATTTTACTTCTTTCCGCCTGTCGGTTCGAAAACGTCTTTTACGTAATCCGAGCATCATGATTTATTGGTAATAATATCTAAACGTTGAAACTATGACAACGAAACGAATCGATACGAAAACGCCACCTCGTATCGCAAGGTATTTAACAGTTGTCAGCGTTTTGCGCGCGAGTTGACACCCAATCGCGAATTGCGTAATTGAACGTAATTTCAATTACGGTCGCACTTTGTTTGCCTGCTAAGTTATTTGGAAATTAAAACGTGCTTATAAAATGAATTGCATTTTAATTTTGAGCAATTGTTTTCCACCAGTCAAATTTTTAAAATTCTAACCTACATTTATCAACGAAACGAAATTTGACATATGAGAAGTCAAGGTTATAATTTAGTAATGGAAATTATAATCTATGCTAGACATGTTTAGAAATTCAATTGCATTCCACTTTCTTGTATTGTCCATGTCGAAAGATTTAAAGATAACGCTTCTAACCTCTAATTTTGATTATATACACATTTATTTAATACATTTAAAGAAGTCAAGGTTAAAATTCAGTCGATGTTGGCACTTTTGCAATTAATGAAGTAGATGAAATCTTACTTATAAAATGAATGTCTTTGTACTTATTACTCCATTTAAATTCATTTCTTTAATGTCCTCTGGGATAGTAGATAGTCATTCCGACCGTTAAATATTTGTTGATATATCGTCGACATGACGTACGAGACGTCAAGGTTAAGATTGAAATATATATTTCATCTAGGCAATTTTTTTGTTAATGAATAGAGCAGATTGAAAATATTTAAAAAAAAAACATCAAATGAAAGACTATCGAAGTGTATACACTTTTAAAATTAGCTTCAGTTTTCATTGGCTTGAAAATAAAATACTTTTGACCCATTTCCACCTCTTGACGACTTTAAAGCCGTACGACATTTATTAATACATATTTCTCTCCTTGAAATTCGCAACAATATTACCAGTATTTTCTCATTATATGTAAGAAATTTCCAATTAAATATAAAAAAACCATATTGCTCAATATCATATAAATTGTCAATTTTAAGAAACTTTTAAATCATCCTATTAAGTAATATCTAAATTCAATTAATTTCTTTTGTCTGCAAATATCAATATTTCTCTACTGAAATATTGAATTATTATGCAAAATAATTATCACTTATAATTGACAGGTACTTTTTTTAGTAACTTATAATTAACGAGAACTTAGTTTTAACACAACAAATTGATAATTTGTGAAAACCACGAATGAAGATTATAATCGATTAAATATAATTAAAAAAAATAATAAAATCAAGAATTCGTTTTTTTATTTGTTTAGAAACATTTTTTTACATTTCATGATAGAAATAGAGATTGTTATAGAAAAGTTTTAAATATTTGACAGCTGTCACCGTGTCAAGGGTTGACCTCAAGAAGTAAACAATTTGCAAGGGCGTATTTCAAATGAAGGTCCAATTTCAAATGTTTTCCATTTCAAATTTTGTTCAATTTGTAATCACCAATTATTAAAATTGTTTTTAATTGTAATTATTGAAATCTTTGATTTTCAAGCAAAACATTAATAAACTGTTATCGAGAGTTAATTTGGTTGCCTAGGGTACAGCAATTACATTGCGTTTTTATTCATTCTCTTGCAAAAAAAAAATTGCTAAGTTGACTTAAGTCTTAATGTTGAATGAATAAATAAATAAAGCGTTGGCGTGGAAAATTTTTCGTTTTATCGCTCGTATCGTAAAACTTTACGACCGTGGATTTTAACCGCCGCGACGGGATGGATTCATGTGCCGAGTTTTTTCCAATTTATTTTATTTCTGCTTTAAATTTCTTTTCGGGCGCATTGCGTAACATTTCCAAATGTGCACTTTTTTTTTAAATAAATAATAAGAAATTATAAGTCTCAAAGAAACTCACCCCAGCTTTTGGCGTTCCTTCCAAGGATGGTTCCGTTCTTGGAGTCGTAAAGGGCGCTCCTGAAGGTTTCCCAACCGCTCCTCTGCGGCGGCTTCATGTAAGGGAACTCGTACATCCCGTTCTCACTCTCCTTGCCTCTCATAGCCATGGTTTATTAGAGGTTTTTTTTTTCTATTATCCTCTTGTCCTGAAAGTAATAGAAAACTTTTTGAAGTATTCTATTCACTGTTGCTCGAACGTTTGATGCGGATGGGGTTGGGGATTCGAAAAAAGTGTGTGGTGCTTAAATTTAGACTTGTTGATGGCGCGAAGAGGTGGAGAGAGGAACGCGGTGTTGTTTCGCGCGCTGCTCGCTCTGATATAATAACTTGGCCGAGCGGACAAGTCCTGCGAGCGAGCGAGGCGAGCGTTCCGAGCAAGCCGAGCGAGCGTGTTGTTTTTTGTATCTCTTTTATTTGTTTCTTTTCTCTTTTGTTTTTTTCCGACTTGGTGCAAAGCCAACTCGACCGGCCACTGTGCAACCTCGCCTGAAGCTGCGTACGTACGTTCGAACATACGCACGCACGCACACTCCCTACCTTCTTTTACCTTTTCGTTCCTCAAATTCTTCTGCTCTCGGAACTGACGCCGCTCGTTACACCAGACGCACGATAACTACAAGCAATCAAGTGTATATTCTGTATCTCGTACGCTTATTTCTAGGCTAGTTTTACTGCTGATAAGATAACGGCGCAAATGATCTTTGCTTAATGCTTCGTATTCGAAAGTGGAAAAAAAAATCACATGCATACGTAATTCTACGTAAAATCTCATTTCAACAACGATTTTCCCATCTCAGAAGATCTCTATCGATCTTATCCGAACCATCGCACAAATCACAAATTCCGATAGAAGTTTTTTTTGTTAATATATATTTAATTGGCGTTTCTAATTAACAATACTTTTCATTGTTTATCAGATTTATTCGATAAATAATTTGCATGGTTTGCATTACGACTTGATAACTTTATTATATAACACAAACTAAACGTCCACAAACATCACATTTATATGACTAATTACGCAATTGTTTTTCCATTTTATTTGCACTTGTTTTTTATAAATTACAATACATTTTCTTTAATTTTTCTTCTCAAATATCAATAATTCAATAGATTATTATTACTATTTCTACTACTACTGTTACAATTTATGTTTTTTTATGCAATATTTTACAGAATGAGTTTACCAAATGTATTTTCCTGAAGCAATTACTTCCATATTATGTGAAACATGTGAATTATTCAGTAATTTAAAATAATTCTTTTTTATTATGAATGTATCAACAAAATTTAATTGATATTCATCTTTTTTTTCATTCAAAGTAAAAGACATAAAATACAAATTTATTAGTTGACATTGTTAACCTTATAAATTCAAGATAATTTTGCATTTATAAAAAAAATTATAGTTAAGCACTTTAATAGAAGACTGATACAAACTGTTAAGCGACAATTTTTATAAATTTTGGAGAAAAATGATTTTCAGTGTATTGATTATAACGAAAATTAATTGTATTGTGCAATAAATATTAAGGTATCAGAGAAAATTTCACAATAAATTATTTAGTAAGATTATTTTGTAATTAAAAGAAATCATTTTTTTAAACTTTCACGCTTTTGCGGAATTCCGAGAAGCATAAACGGTTCCACCTTAGTTTCGGCATTAATTTGTTTATTTTTTTTTTACTCCCGGTCTTTTTATTTTTCCTTTACATTATTTCAATTTTTTGTTCGTTTCGTACATGTGTAAAGCTCGAATTTTGGGTCATGGTCGTAAAACGAATAGAGACTAAAAAAGAAGAAAAAAAAGTATACACACACGATCTGTTTTAAAGCCAAGGCCTCCTGGACGCACAAGAAGTCGCGCGTCTCGAATGCTAATTTTTCAAATTTGCCGCATTTTTTTTGGTCCTCGACGATCCTACAAGTAAACTCGCTAATGCATTTGTTTATTTGATCTGTCAATTATCCGCGAGCGGTGTAATCAGTTCGTGCACACTTTCAATCATTATTATCCATTTTTTTATTCTTTTGCTCAATTCTAATTCTCACCTTGAATTAATTATAATAATTTTATGCGCAAACAGCTCTTCGCTCCTTCATCATTCTTTTTCTGGGTGCTAATTACAAAAGACACTGAGACGTAGCGCGAATTATTTCCTAGGTTCGTTATTGACGTCTTCAATCCTTTTCATCTATTGACGTTTCAATAGTAAAAAAATGATTTTCGTTTGAACGCTAAACGTCTCTCAGCAAATTCCCGCATATTTACAGCTTTATCGGAGAAACACAAGGCAATAAGTTATCGTTCTTATTTACATTCACTGTAAATATTTATTCAGCAGAATACTGTTTGCGTAAAAAAAAATTATAATAATTATCGTTCACTCGACAAAACGTTCCGATCCATTAAACAAAGCGAAATTTTCAGTAATTTAATTATATTTTTATTTTGTAGTTTCAAAATTTCTTATAGATGGCGTACATTCATTTCATTGAAATTCATCAATAATATTTTCTTAATTATTTAAATATTGGCTACAACAATAATAATTTATGAAATTGGAAAATTCGCTGAAAACATCATAAAAAAATAATAGTTGGTCAAAATGTTTGGTTTTGTTAAGAGGAAATGAGCGTTTTCGATCGATCCGGAATGAGATTTCTCGGATAAAAATCTGCTAGCTAGCACCGCTCGCGCTTTATAAATACACCAAATGTACGTCAAGAGGATGAAGGACTATTTTTGAAAACGTTTAGCTCGGATATCTAAAAATACGCCGACCATACCATACAGCATGGCATTCTTCCTTCTGCGTAATGTTTTCGCCAAGATATTAAGCTTAAGGTTGGTAGTTCTGATTGAGCCATCGGTTGGCAATGCTATTTGTGCTGTGCGCGCGTTATTTGCAATTTGTAATTGCCACCTCAACAGCATACTAGTTTCGAGGTTGTCGGTGAGTCGGTGATTGCATAATTCACGTGTTAAATGTCATATTAATAGTGTAGATCAGCGTTTCTTAAAGCCTTTGGTCCGAACTTAAAAATTTGAAACGACAATCCGAGAATGGGTATGTGAAGAAAAACATCTCGGATTTATCTGTCATCAATTTTTCTGCGACCTTCATTTTGAGAATCGCTGGTGTATATGATAAATAAATAACAGTTAATTTTTGACAGGTTTCAAACGTCATTTACTTCCATTATATAAATGTCATAAAAAATTGTCAACTGTCAAATTGTGAATTTCACTCATGATTATTAGTAATTAAATGTTTGAATATTTATGAAAACACTTATTGAGTATTCCGAAAAAAACCTGATTGAGTAAACTTTCCGAGTTTCACGTTTACCTGGAATTGCCGAGGTTGCACAACAAAGTTGGTGATAACTGCAGGTTCTTCCACTCCTTCTATCCTTCTCTCTTTCGCACTCTTCAAAAGAACGGGAGGAAAGATCGACGTTAATCGTCTCGAGAGTCGTTTCCAGCGAAATGTAAATGTATTCCTCTCATATTAAATGATACCCGTGTTTTATGCGCGACGTTCGTGAATAATAATAGAAGCAAACAGCGCCGCGATTATCGTTTGCATATATACATAAGGCGATTCTTCGTAATTGCCATCGCCTCGAAAGGAAACTTCCATCAAAACGCGCTGATCCGAAATATTAATCGAGTAAACAACTTCTTTTGTTTCTACTTTTCATTATAATCCGAGATGGCGCTGATGGTTAACAGCTTTAGTTATATACAACCGCCGCTATTGAAATGCGTTGCATAACATCGGAATTCCTGTGAATAATTCAAACGATATTTGGCGACATTTTCTGCAATTGAACTAATCCGAACGCGATCTTATCTGCTGATAGCATCTAATCTAATTATATTGGGTCGTTCGGTGCGTTATCGCAGCAAAATCAATATTATCGTGTTATGATTGTTTTTGTTTAAATATTCAATGATGCCGTCAAAACGGAAATTACTTAATTAGTAGACTGATCTGGAATTTCGGTAGAAATAGTTTTTCATAGTTAAAAAAAAATTACAAGACTTGAAAGAACCGAGATAAATAGATGACGCACGACTTAAAATTTTATATTTAGATAAATTTCTCGAATAATTTCTGTTGTATACAAATAATTATGTCTATTACAATACCAAGTTAGTGAGTTATGAAATAAACTCATACCAAAATTTAACATAGACCAAATTTTAAAAAAGAATGCAGTGTTTGATGGCAGAAATAGAACCGTCATCATTGAAATAAATAATTATAGTTATTGATTCGAAGATAAATTTGAGAAAAATAGATTTTAAAATAATACCTGTTATTAAAAATGAGTCTTCTTAGGACTGGTAATATAAAAACCGGTTAAAATGAGTAGGTAAATAAAATACTACAAATGATACGTAACACATAAATCACCGAACCGCAAGACGCAGACACATCGTAACATCGATGCAAAGCCGAGCCCGAGAGACTGAGAGCATTGCAATTCTTTTGTATGCAAAAATTATCCGTCGACAAATCGTACCGAGAAAGAGATGTATATAGAATTTTAAATTTAAAACAAAAAAGTAACAGCAACAAATAAATCAAGCAAAGGTTTTTCAATGTTTTTGTCTTGCGTGCATTAAAAAAAAACGTCACCAGATAAAAATAGAGTTTTAAAAATATAAATATGAAATTCTTTCGTCCTCCGTAAAACCTGTATGTGTAACGTACAAGTTATTGCTAAAAGGAAAAACGCGTCGTGTAAGTTAAATTAATGCTGCTGTATATTATGCAACCAACTTTACTTTCTTGTGTCGTAACGACTATCATGTAAATTAAGTAACAACTACTAATAATAATTGATATTTTATTATATTAAACTTCTTTCGTTTAATTTGTAGTTAGTTCAACCAATCAGGTATGATTTTGGAATGGGTGTTGTCTTATTTGTATGAAACTTTTGATTGGTTCTGTTTACTTATTTTTATTGACCATTTTTATTATACGACTGTGAATATGCAAACAATAAAAAAAATGAAAGAAGCGATAAGACGGAAGATGCAAATAAAAACCACTAGTTTTTATTGGTTTACAGCTTGGCTTTATTTATTTATTTATTACCCAGATGACATTAAATCGCAAAAAGGGATCGAATATTGGAAGAAGCAAATAGTAAGACAACCAATAAAAACTAATTTTCAATCGACCAATGCGGATCCTAAATGTTTTCTATTGGTTGAACATGTTGACTTATTACAATATCTCAATAAATCAACGATTTCAATAATCTGCTACTAGTAAATATACTAGGATACAATGTAGATGTAGGTGAATGTTGAGGATTCCTGCAGCAGATTGCGAGCGTAGAGATTACATTTTAGCGATACAAAGTGACCAACTGCGAAACGGACAACAAATAAATTGCGAATCAATTGTTATTTAAAATTGCCCACTCTGCAGATTTTCCAATTGGATTGCCAGGACCGGATTCAGGTTCGGTCTGTCCTCGCGAAACTTGTAAGGAAAGTACTCGTCCTTGAATCCTCGAGTCGGGTAGTATTTTATGTGACCGATATGCTCATCGTCGTAACTGGTGGAACCGCTGCAGTGTACCCAAACCGTCTTACTTGTGCAAAGTAACAACAGTTACATAATCAAAAAGTTTCATAATATTTTTTTACCTCACGGGATTTGTTGATGTTCATCCTTAAATCTTTAGGATAATCGCTTGGGACTGTAAAATATTCCATCGGTTCCCAATCTTTGTACTAAATAAAAATAATTTAAAAAAAATATGTAATTGTAAATATAATTTACCTTGTTCAGTTTCAGGAAGATGCAAGGCTTCTTCGATGCGTAACCGAAATCAGAGGCGGCGCAAGGTCCGAAATCTGCAGTTTTGAAGATGCAATTGCTTTTGGGGAATTTCTTGCATTGTTGCTCGTTTTCTAGTATTCAAATTTCACAAACATCATTCCAAATAATCTTTAGTATTGGTTTACCTTTCAAGAATTCTTTGATGTTCTTGATGTACCCCGAAACTCGTCGATTTTCCGAGCTATCCTCCCCTTTCAACGTGTACCAGATTAGAGGTTCCGGAAGTTCTCTGTTGACTTTCAATGGAACTACGTTGACAGCTAGATCTCATTGTTTAAAACAAAATAGCGTAAACGTTGCATTTGTTAATACTTAATTTATCGGAACTTTCGAAATAGGCTTTGCTCGACGCCGGCGTTCCAATGAGATCCATCAAGAACATGATCAAATACAGAAGTCCGGTGAAAACTCCGATTGCCAAGATCAAGAAAAGGAGATATTGATACATTATCCTCACTGCAGACGAACAACGCAACGAATAAATTGTTTAATAATGTATGTATGTTAACTTACACCAATTCCTTTTCGTCCTGTTGCATATCGTGCGATTCTCCTTGTCATACAGGAATTTTTTGAAGCGCTGGCATCGCCGCAATCTACCACCCATTTAATAAATACGTTAAAAATATTAATAAAGCTCTAGAATAGATAAATAAATAATCTAAAGAAAAGTCAAATTAAATTGACACCAACTTTGTCAAATTTGACAATTAATTAAATTCGCATGTTTTATTTTAACAAAAGTTAAATAAACCTAAAAACAAAATATACTATTTGTATTATATTGAGTTGTATTTACTTACTTTTATTAGTCAGATTTATTGTACAGGCAAACAAAGAAGATTTATGGTAATAAAAAAGAAAGGGACTTCATAAAACCAGCTACTGAAGAAACTAGTTTTTGGTTTACAGCAGAGGTTCTCAAACTTTTTTTGTGCCCCTTGCCTTGTTTTTCGGTTTTGGGTAGACCCCCTACTTACCTGATATTGATTTTTTGTAAATTTATTATTTATATTGGGACATCTTTATAATTATTAAGATCTTTGCTCTGAGACTGCGCGTCTGCTTGTAACAAGATGATACTGGCATATCATTATGTGCAGGTTTTTACAAGTTCAAAATGCATTGTGACCACAAATCGAATGCCTACATCCTACAACTTACAGAATTTTATAAACATATATAATACATTTTTTACTTCATAGGTACTTTTATAAATAATAAATAGGTACTATCAGTGTATGTGAGATCAACTATCGTGGACCCACATTTTCATATCATGGACCCCCAAATTTTTTTCCGCTGTCGTAGACCCCTTGCAGGTTGTCATAGACCCCTGGGGGTCGATATAGACCACTTTGGGAATCACTGGTTTACAGCTAAGATTTATTTATATACTGTTTTTAAATGAGATGGTATCGCAAAAAGCTGGAACATTTATTGGTGACATCAAACAGCAAGCGAACCAATAAAAAGAGGATAATCAAACGACCAATTACTAAAATAAATTTATTCTATTGGTTTAAAACTTTGGGTTATTGGAATACCTTAATAAATAAACATGTTTTCTTGTTTTCAAGAAGATCAAATTAGTTAGTAACAATTAATTAATATTAAATTCTAATTTTAAATATATTTACTCAATGTTATAAACATAAACATGTTTCTATATCTTTTCTACTAAAATGTATTTAATTTATATGATTTTAATGAGAATAATTATTTTTTGTAATAATTTATTTTATTTCTTTATCTCACTCCATCTAGCGGTAGTGTCGTTACTGTTAATTATTTTGTAAATGATAATGTTGGTAGTTTTACTCTTTTATTTATAGTTTGTTGTTATTGTAATGATTTTAGTAAATGGTGTTGCTGTCGCCGTTAGATGGCTACGAGAATGAAGATTAGAGATAGATGTAGAAATTATATTTTTTAAGTTGGTAAAGTATTTAAATAATTCGTTATATGATTGTTAAGTTTAATTTTTGTACGAATTTAATTTGTGATGGAAGTTGCATAAAAATACTAATTTTTGTTTTTGATGTTTTCTTTCTGTATCACAAAATCCGATACAAATGTGGTAAATTCGGCACTCTGGCTAAATAAAAAATATCCAATAAAGTAGGTAGTCGATCATTTGGTGGCAGAAATAGGGCCGTAAAATTGAATTTATAAAATTATGTAAGCAGGGTAGCATACGTTCGGTCGGGGATGCAATGTGTTTACATAACACATAAAACATTGCGGCTGCAACTGTGACAGTTGCAAGCGGCGCAAGTGGGCATCCTCTTCCTTCGGAAGTGTCTTCGGAGGATCCCGTGAGGACAAATGTGACAATTGTGGTTGAGATCGCAACGCACGTGACACGGTGCACTCACGCATCACAAGTGCGACCGATTTGCCGCGAGATCGAGCGTGAGTGGAAGCGAGAGAGGATTGTGATCGTTGGGAGTGTCACAATAGTACACGAAAATTTTGGTTGGCATCGGTCTGTTGGAGCGAGAGGGAAGATCTTCCGTGCGTCAGAGTGAGAGAGATAAGAAGAGGGAAAGAGAGAGGACACGACGGCCGTCGCGAGTCGACGCAGACTTTTTTCCCACATCACATTTCCCTTGCACCGGGTTTGAGGAGACATAGAGATATCCTGCCAGTCCTCAGTTTTACGTGCGGAGTGTCCCAGAGAGTGCGTGTACCGTCCCATCCTGCACGGTTCTGCAAAACAGGAAACTTCCGGAAGCACCGTGTCGCAAAACAAAACGCGATCGGTAAATGTAGAGGAGGCAGCGAGTAAAAGCAAAAAATCGAGGGAGGAGATCCGGTGGTTACTCCTGTGCGCTGTTGTTGTTTATTTTCTCTCTCTCTCTCTATCATCCTTTGATTCGCATTCTCAACCCGTTGTTGACAATCCGAGTATCATCATTACCATTAAGCAGAGAAGCAAATGTCTTCGGGGATGTATGGTGGTGGATGCTGAGCACCGCAATTGAGGAGACGTCTGACAATCGTAAGTCCGCTCCCCGCCCTTCCCTTTCGCAGCAGCGAATTATCTCATTACCCGGCCAATTTCCCAATTTACTCCAGTTTACGAGGACCCCAGAGGTCAGATGTATTCCAACTCGATCAGCTGTTATTGACACCCCGTGTCTAATACACCTCTCTCCATCAACCCAATCATTATCATAAACAACCTTATACACATGATCATCATCTTGTATGCATACTCACACTGTAGGCTTGTAAATGTAATATTGATTGCACCACACCTTATCATCATGATCAACATCATCATCGCGCATCTGTTCAAACAACACATCTCTTCTCATACTATTCCACCAAATTCAATCGAGCCCTTTTTTCCTATTTGATTTTTTGAGGTTATGCTCTCTCCCCAGAGAGCACAGCCAACCATAGAAATAACAAAAAAAGTTAATATAAAAATTCCGTTTTACTTCTTTTTCTCTCCTTTATTTGTATTGTCAAGACTACCACTAATCAGCAACACCCGGAAACGCGCGGAGATAACAGCTCCGATTACTTCTGCGCGCAATCACACACTTAAAAATATGCAATCGAACTAGTTTCCGAGACTATTCATTTGTTTGTTTTAATATATATATATATTGTTTTTCTACATACTTCCAGTAACTGCAGACTATATGGGATATTCCTCATTTCAATTACGAGTTAATCTTTGCTTTCCAAAAACGATAAATATTTATAGATATTTTTATCAAAATTTTAATTATTAATTAACAGTGTGAAATCAACTACGAATTTGATAAAATTATAATATCATTAGGTTTATTTTTTTGTAAAAAAATTGATATTAATTTTTTAAATTTTATTTTAGTAGTGTTTGCATTTTGATTTATTAATTTACTATGATTTTGTTCTCTTACTATTCTCTTACTAAAATCTATATTGATATTTGAGTGTCTAGTAGTTTTCATTGATTTTAAGATCAATATATTTGAGCAATTTCAATGCTCGGTCATTTTCTATAATTTTCAAAGCTTTTTGTAAATTAATTTTTCTTCAGCTTATATTGATTTTATGTCAAATTCGATACACTTCTCGTGCACGAAAATTTATTTATCAATAAGCAATGCATTTTATTAATGGACGTTTCACGGAAACTTCGTTCAATTGTTTCGTACATCCTTTGTTTCAAAGAGTAATTATTCCATGATTTTAGTTTCGATTTTCTACTTAAGATTTCCGCACTGATGTTTTTGCTGTTTTACATACTCACTGTTTACTTTGTTTTTCTACATCCTTTTGTTTCAGAGCGTAACAAATTTTTGCTTTTAATCCAATTTGTTTAAATATAAAGAGGTTTCCTGTTTTGAGAACATTAATCATAGATTTTAGTAATCTTGCATCAATATTAATTTAGATCTATTTTTTATGAGTATTTACTAAAATTTTCTGAAATGTCTGTAAAAAACGTATCAAACAGTGGCGGATCTGTAACGGCTCAAATACAAATTTGTTTAGGGCCCTCAAATACTAAAACTGGTGTCTAGTACCCACGACTTTCTTAATGTGGCCCTCGTAGAACCGACACTCGCCACTCCCCGTTATCAATTTTTTAAAATTGTTATTTAGAGCTGTATGATTTTCTCTAATTCAAATCAACAGGGGAAATCAAAATTGAAGTTACACCTCGCTACTTAAAAAAGGGCTCAAAGATTTGAAGTTCCGCCACTGGTATCATATGAGCGATTACTTTTGACTTCAAATGTATATGATAATTGCAATAATATTTTTAAAATGTTCTCAATGACTAAACAAAAATAATTTTCTTCTTGTTCATCGCGCGAATGAGTAAACGGTTTCCGTTGCGTGCCTGCGAATTGTTCTCGGAAGAAAAAATACATTTTGCAATAGTTGGCAATGAAAAGAAGCGTGGAACAAATCTCGGATCTCTAGATGCATTTTGTATTTGGTGTTTGCGGGTTCTCCGCGTGATTCATCCTATCGGATCAGCAGAAATTTCATCTTTTCACGGTCGTGACGTCACCCCTCTCACTCTCTTCACTACTACTACTACTATTCGTTCACGTGACTAAAGCGCATTTATTTCGCTTTTCGTTCATTCACGATTCGATTCATTCACTATGTCATTACGACACTTCCACTGTTAATTGTTTGCAATTGTTACATTTTTCGGTTTTTACAAGATTTATTAAAACAATTATAATAAGTATGTAATTTTACATCTTGCATAGTAATTTGGTTATTAAAAATAAGACCCGAAACAAAAATACACTAATCCCTCGCTTTACGCGATAGATAGGATTATGAGAAAAACGTGTAAATCCAATAAACTACCGTGCAAAACGAAACCGTGTAAAATGAGTGATATGTGTGTATTAATCGTAAAGACTATGGAAATATGGAGTAATTTTAATTATTTACGAAATATTTCTAATTTTATATAATTTTTTATAAAAAGTAATGCGTAAATCGGGCTTTCCATTTGACAATTGTAAATGAGACTAAAGTGAATTAAACTGTAATCGATAAACGCTTAAATAGCAACAACAACAAAATATAATATGCTTGCTGTGAAATGAAAATTACATGTTTTCGAGTTTGTAAGACAACTACGTTGCATGCTCTTGATAATCGATAGAAAAAAATAGAAAAAGAAAACACGTAATTACATTGTCTCCGCATACATTGACATTGTAATCTGTCACTGTCCAACTTATAAATAAACGTCAGATGATTGATTTGAATTATGAATAGTTAATGCTATGCATTTATTGTTTTATAGTAATATAATAGATGGAGATAAACAAAATTACATATATTTACAAAAAAAAAAACTATGAATCAACGCATATTTGATTTATTCAAATAATTTATCACAGCGTAACCGATTCTTTATTACGAATCAAATTTAGATGTAGCTGTCATTTTATGTACACCTATACCTCATTATACAAAATTTCACTACAAGGCCATTTTTTTAATGACACTTCTTATACGGCCAAAAATGCTTTAGTTTACATTCTTATAGGAAACAAAAACAAGCTTTACGGTCAACTTTTCGGGAACGTATCCGGCTGTAAAGCGAGGTATGACTGTATTTTGTTTTCTATGAATTTTATAATATCCAAAAATCACATAAAAAACATAATTATATTACAGATATTTCGTTCGGTTACTAAATTAACTTAATTTTAACGTCTTTCTTGTTTTTTTTTTTGTAAATTTTGACATTTTATGAATGCATCAAACAGTTTTAAACATTTTATTTCCCGAAAATCGTGTCTGTCGATTGTGTTATATTTAAATTTATTTAATGAACCGAGATTACATTTACATATTTAGAAGATCTATTAATTAAATTTTTTATTAAATCTCATTGAAATATATTTATTATTAATTTATTTTATTTATTAAATTATATAATTATAAATTTGTTAATTATAAATTTTTTTTCAAATTCGATTCTGATCAATGATGTTTAGAATATTTAAACATTTTGGTAATTGAATTGATAGCTGCTTTTTTTATATTTGTTTTTCAAAACATAGATAATTCGAATATTTATCGTCGTGTCGTAAATAAATCAATGTTACAATTCGAAATCGTTGTATCTTAGAGAACGGATGATAAGTCGAGCATTCGGCATTGATATCTAGATTATCATTATCATCCTGATCGCAGTCGCTATTTGATTAATGCGATATTAACGAGCATTTAAGAAAATAATAATATAATACACAGTTACTTCACTTTTCGTTAGATAATGTTGTTTCGTTACGTAATGAAAATAGTTTCATTAATTAATCGATGGTCCGATTAATTCTATTTATTTCTAATTTACACTTTTCGAAAACTATTTTTTTTATTTTTTGTCTAGTTGCCATGATTAATATAACTTGTAGTTTAATGCAAAATGAATTATTCTTGTTCATGGAATAATTTGATGAGAGAGACAGCTTATTACAGTTAAGCAATGTTTGTTTCTGGATTGATGATCGCTACTGTATCTCGAAAATAGAGAACGATGTTAATCTATAACAGCAGTGGGCAAATGCGGCTCCGAAAGTCGCATGCTGCTCCCATTAAAATTTTATTTTTATTATATTTGAAATAATTAATTTATTTTTTTCATAATTATATTTTTAATATGTGTTCTTATAGTTACATATAAATTAAAATATGCAATTACAATAAACAACAAAAATTGAATTTGTGTATTTACGTGACGCTCTTCATAAAATATAAAAAAAACTGGTCTACAAGTTTCGTTTTCAATTAACTCTAATTCGAATCTCAGTCTGCTTCAGTTGCTGCTCCTTTTTCTTCTTCATCTTCTTTCTGTTTGCGTTCGCTGCGTTCAAGGTGTCGTAAAAACCTGTTCTCCTTTTTTATTATTATTTATATTATTTCGTTTTCGATAATTTCGTGATTTGCCTTGAACTGACCTGAGCCAACGCGGCCGTTCTTGACTCGCAGCACAGAAGAAATAGAATAAGACACCGCATCTACAAAAGCAACAAAAAAAAAATACGCCTAATTTTAGATTTTTTTTTTATTTTAGCAACCTGTGCTCTTGGAATTCCGTTTAGTCATCCACACGCTGCGTGCTTTATTATTACTAAGGAATTCCGCTTGTTTTCTTTTTTTTCTCTCATTTGTTTGTTCGTTTTCTTTTGCGAATCTTTGAGATTTGAGCAAGACGTGGGAAGTACACATTCCAGAAGAATTTTTATGAAATTTACGCCTTTCTTGAGTGGAAAATGTGCGTCTTTAATAGCTCTCCAAAAAAACATGTGTTGCTTTTATGAGGGGAAAAACATTAAACTTAGGTGCAAACAAAATTTTTGACAGTTAAATAATAATTGGATAGGTCTATTACAAATAGATTGACACTATTAAATCAATTCCCGTCATTTGCAGTCACGAAATTGAATTCTTTAAGTTAGTTTTTGTTTTAAATTTTAAATCATTAAATTAATGATTTTAATTTTTGATCTCGTTGTTTTCACCAGTAAATTATTTCGTTTTTCCGTTCGTCTGCAGTCGACCGATAAAATCAATGATCCTTATTTTTATGAAAGTGCATTCAATTTATAAACGATAAAAAAAATTGACTGTCAGACGACGAACTCTACGATGAAGTACGGTCAATGTTCCAGATAATTCCCATCTCCATCACATTCCCTCTTCATGTTAATATCTTCCATATTTAATTAATTAATACATTTTTAGTATTTTTATTATTATTAAATAGAATAACAATTATTGCAATTCGTGTGTTGCGTGTTAAGTTTCGTACAAATTCTATTTCTATATCACGAATACATTTAAACGTATACACACAATATTTGCGTAATCTCGGTACATTATTATCGCGAGGCGTTATCACTACACTTATCATCATCATCATCGCGCACATATTGACTGATACGCAAATTGCGCTCGTACGGTACGCAGCGATAAGGGCCCATCATCAAGGGAACTAAAACAACAACAAATGGAATAACGAGAGTGAAAGAGAGAAGAAATAATAAAACTCCAACATAACATAACAAGATATGAAGAGAGCGGTCTATTTTTTTTTGGTTATTATTTTGTTTTCATATTGTCGATGTTCATATTTCATTTTTGTTTGTTTGACATATGCTTCTCTTTGACGTTAATTCATATTTTCCGTTATTGTTTCGATTTGTTCCTTTTTTTGTTCTATTTTCTGGAGTGGTTGTAGTAACTAGATTTCCCAATTAGCACGTGTTTTAGCACTTCGATTTAGATCACTCGCTTTTGTTCATTTATTTTTTAATTAATCATTGACACAGATACAATTTTATATTTATCATTTTTTTATGTAATATTTAATTTTCGTTTAAAAAAGGTAAAAAAATAGAGAAACGTATACACCAACGAAATGATCTTTAATTAAAAACTCTACAGCTAATTAGGAATGAGTATTTTGTAACAATTGAACTTGTTAATTGTGTTCTTATCTGCGTTTAATTACGGAACGATTGTATTCCGGATGTTTGTTTTGTTGTTTGACACTTTTTTGCGTCAGAAGAAAACAAAAATGTAATTATAGAAAGTGAGTCCGAGAATTACAAAAAATCACACACACACGCATCTATTTTGGTTTTAACGCCAGGCCTTATCTGTTCTGTAATGCGATTCAAATGTGTATCTGGATGTTTCTCGATACGCCGTTTCCAAAAACCAGTCGTCACATGACTTGACTCACGTACAGATTTTTGGAAATTTTCCGTACTTTTGACATTTTTTTTTTATAATTTATCTATTTGTAAATTTATTAGAAATTGTTAAAAATTAGCAGATGTTATCTGAAAAATCATTTTTGTATCAACTATCAAAATATACATAATTGCTTAACTTTCTTTTTTTTAATTGAAATTTTGCATGCTAAGAATGATCACATTAATTAATTTAATATTAAACATTTAAGCGAATTACTGTCTTTAAACGTATCCAAGATTGCGGTAATTAGTGTATGTGGAAAATGCACAAATTCGCGCGCAGCACGTGCCTCTGAGCCGGTTTCAAGTTTGCCGCGAATTCCCCTTCCCGCGTCACCACCTTGTAGTTACGTCACCGACAGAATCACGTGTTACGTGTTCCGGCACGCTTGCGATCGCAGGTGGTCCTGGACGCACCGCAGAATTGTTTGTTTTACACACTTTCGGTAATTTCGTTTTGTGAATTTATTTTCCAAACAAATCAAGGATCCGATTGTGACAACGATCTTCTTCCTCCCTCTTCCTCGATCATCATCGTACGAAACAACACACATGGGATCATCCATTGCGAAACAAATATTTGCCAACCATAGTCACGGTAATATAACAATTAACGGTTGCCATTAATGCCTGTTGCCGTCTATTCGCTAATTTCTTGAGTCTACATCGTTCCTCTCTCTCTATTTTTGTTGTTGTTTTTTTGTTGCTAATACTGCCGTTGGCCACCGTTTAACGTCAATTTAATCCGAGCGTTTGTTTTACTATGTAGTATTTTTTGTTTCATAAATGATAATTATGATAGGGTATGGTGTGGACGATGTAGTGTTGTGTAAGCGGTGGATCGCGCACCGACCCAAACTTTCCTCGTTTTCTTGTCCGTTATGCAATCGGCAGTCTAAAAATAGCGGCAGAATGTTTGAGAAGAAGAGGTATTTATCCGCGAATTGGCAACGTTTCTTTTTCATATAATATATATATAGTGAATATTACGGGCGTGGTTTTTTGTATAAATGGGCGTGGCGTTTTCTAACCGAATTAATTTGGCAACGTTTGCTTAAAAGTTTGGTCGATTTAATAAGCGTATTCAATTGTCATTGGTTTATATTTTGTTTTGTGATTGGATGTAATTGTATATTGTGAAGGTATTTTTTAATTGTTTTAATGTTTATTTTTGCATTGTATGACGGAATTGAGTTTAAAACTAAGCACCTCCCCTTTATGGGCGTGCCGCGGTAGTTAAGAATACGCAATACATTATAATGGAAGGAGTTCATCGTATATTATTCAATACTAATAAACTGACTTTTTTTTAAATTTAATTACATGTTTTCAAAGTCTTGAGATTTTTAAAGTCTTTGTTGTGGGAGTGTTTTGGTAATGTGGTTGTAATCTTTTTAAATTCCTTACTAGTTGTGGGTGTATCCGTATAGAAGGATGCGCAATCCACATTTGTGGGAAGAGTTTATACCTTAGTTATTTTTTAAAAGCTTGTATTGGATATTGATATTTTGTTTCTTTTCAGGTATAATGATGTTCCAGGATTTGACATAGACTGTATTGCGCAGCTCGTTTGGGAACGGAGGAGAGAGTTGTTGAGAGTTTGTATAAATTCGTTGGTTTCCAAAGGGAAACGCAAGAGGACAATCGTCCTCACGCACTTTCTCACCTACACTCTCCCTTTTGGTTGGTCGGTTCTTGGGATTGAAACGGTCGGAGATGCCGTCGGTGTTGGGATCAGCCGCGTTGTCCACGTCATCGGCGTTTTCGGTGCACGTCGACCAGGCGGCAATCGCGCGGATATGCGCGACTGGGACGACAGCAGCAGCTGCCGCCGTCGGTGGTGGCGCCTGCTCCCCCACGCACAACAAGCCTCTGAAGACGGCGCAAGAGGTGACCGGATTGCTGCAGGCCGGACGACGGCAGGACGTGAAGAACATCCTCAGGACGAACGGATGGGCGTGCGATAGTCCGGTGAGGCCGGAACTTTGGCCCGCCCTCTGCGAGCAGCACTCCAATGGCAAGAAGGTGGATGCGGTTGCACCTGCTACACCATCGACAACTGCCGCCGCCTCCGAGACGATGGATGGCTTCTACTGGGATATGGTGTCCCAGGTGTTCGGCTGCACCGATCTGCCTGACCGTAGCATCAGCCTACCCCCGTTCGTGGAGCCCGGCCACTGCCAGAGTTACTTCCTGACGAACAGGGGGCGGGCTGTCGCCGATAGGGTCGTCTCTGTCCTGGGTTACGCCTGTCCCGACATCGTCTACAGCCCAGGAATCTACCCAATTTGCGCGATTCTCCTGCACTACATGACAGGTATGTCTATTATTTGTAATATATTTTCAACTATCAAAATTGTTAGAATCATCCACATTAACAAATTGGAACTACTTTGTGGATACATCTTATATTATTTATTTTCTCCAATGCAGTTTTGAAATTTTGGGAGGCAATTGTTGATTTTTTTTTATCAAACTTGACACATAACAATATTGTAATTTTTATTAAACTCTTTGAGGGCAGTGGGACACGCATTGTACCATCTTTTCAATATGCCTAGTGGAGCATTATTACAATATTCTAGAAAGTATCCAAGAAAAAAATATTATATATTGAAGATTTTTTGAAGAATCTATTTAAATAGTTTATACAAAATTTCAAAAAAGTACAACAATATAACTTTTCTTAGAACATTTTTAAAGAAATGGAAATCCCAATTAGGATCTGCAACAAGTCACATAATATTCTCCCCAGATTTTGTTCTCTCTTTTCAATGTGATTTTTTTAACGTTGTTTCCGTTTCGATACGATTGCTTTGGCACGTAATGCACGAGCTCATCGTGCGCGTCGCAATAAGCAGTGTACTAATAATAATAATATTTGGAAACTCACAAAATTAGTGAGAGGACGCAAAAGAACAATGCCCCGTCCCGGAATCACCCGACACGTATTCCCTTTCCTTCCTTTGATCTCTAAAAGCAAACAGCAATGCATGTGTGTTCGAATAGTTTTTATATATCAAATTTTGTTTGCCATGCATTCTAAGTATTTTATTTTTTTCGTTGGGAGGGCGAAACGAAATTTTAACGCAATTAAAGCGCCTCCGCGAATTGGTTTTTAGAGTGGAAATAATAAAAAATACATACTCATAAACGAGCACGCATTTATGTTTAACCGAAAAACCGACCGCTCTGACGTATGTGCGATAAAAATTATTTTTCTAAGTTTCGTACTTCGTTAGGTGCAATTCATTCTTCGCATTCATTTCTTTGTTCGTTATAAACATCCATAATATTCATCTATTTTTATTCAAGAATAATCGAGGGTCCAAGTGGATCATTTATGCTGTGATTCATTGCGCTCCGTGGACAATTTCCAACTGCAACTTGGATGTAGGTTTTTCTAACGTAAGACGAACGTCCTTGGATTTACAATTTTACTTAATTTATCATACATACATGCATAAAAGAAAGAAAGATAGAAGATAATTTAAATAATCTAATTTCATTTAAAATTTCGGAGGCATTATTTGCTAAATTTAAGTTATTGTAAAATTAGTTATTAAAAATAATTGGTAAAAAGAAGAAAGTCTCATCTTTCATCTATAGAATTTTAACGACGCATTGTTTGAAACAAAACTTTACTAATAAGTGCAACTGTTACATTTCCTTTCCTTTTTGGTGAACGCTTCATTTTTATTTTTGCTCAGTTAATTTATGTAATCGATGTTTCTTATATTCAGATCAATTGAATTATGTTAGTTTTATAATGGAATTGTATAATATTCCATTTTGACGTGTTCTAATAAAATGAAATAAGTTTAAAATTTCAGTCTATGCATTTTATTATTTGTGTACAACTGTATTTTTCGACATTTCATATGTCAAAGTCATTAATGTCATTAATTTTGTCCAATCATAAACACGTTAAGCTTGCTGAGAGAATTCTGTTTCGTGGACGCCTATGGACTGAGTGAAACCCTTAAATATTTTTGAATAATTTTTAAACAGTTCATAACGAATCTGAAAAATGTGTATTGCATAAATTATGTCACAATAGCATAAATTATGCTTCAAGAAATATTAAAATATTTCTAAGAAATGTATTGGCCTTTAAAGTTTGTAATTGACATAAAATCAAAATCAGTGGCGTTCATAGCTACTAAAGTATTATACATAATTTATGACGTGTAATCGTATATTTGTTGAGTCTATTATCGAAATATCTAGTTTATCTAGTAAATATTTTCAATCAAAATTTTGTTTGTTATATTTTTTACTTTTCTTATGTTATTGTATTAATGCTACTGACTGACAGTAGTTAGGTTAGACTTATGTGTTGCTCTTACAATTTTCTTAAGTTTCTTGTAAAATCCATGCGTTTAATACTACCTCGGTTTAAATGCAGTAAATTCAACGCATGCAACAAGGTTAATCGATTTTCAGGGGGAAAAAATAACGTCGTAAATATAAAAAAATCGATCAGTTACCATTTTTATATCAACATTCTCCATTTATTTAGTGAATTCACTGTAATAATGTAACTCATGTAAAATAAACATTTGCAAGAGACGTGCGGATAACAAGAGACTATGTGTCCTTCGAAGTGTCATTAGGTTCGACTCTCGGTTGCGTGTCGCTACGCATTTTAAATATTTGTTTATGTAATTAATTAACAAATTGCGGTGAGAATGAATCATTTTCCCTGATAAAACGTTTCATCGGAACAAAAGCTGCAGACGCAGGAAAACAAATATGAGAGGATGTCAGCGAACTCACTTTCAACGAACAGTTTCATAAATCAAATTTTACTATGAAGAAATGATTTCATTTACATATTTGTAAAATTTAAAATTATTAGAATTATAATTTAGAATTAAGTATTCGATTATCATAGATTACCACAGTAGATCTTAATAATTTTTTTTTATATATTGGGTGAAGTAAAAAGTTCTGAGCGTTTTGTCTCATATATCGAGACAATAAGGTGCCGGTCCGATTTGACGATTTTTATTATTTTATCAACATTTTTGACGACCAGAACGTGTCTCATCTTCGACGTCCATATTACAAGAATGGAAGCGTTGGAATAAATACTGCTGTTGCATTCGATACTGTTTTGGATACATAAATAACACATTTTTGTTTGGCCGCCTGCTCCGCTTTTCCACTTGGTCGTAGTGGTACAGAAGAATGTATAGAATGTTCTCTTTTTTACCTCCATTTTGGAACGCTCTAACACACAATTCACTAAACACAAAACTGTCAAAGAACTTTTATGTCGCAGTATAGAATGACAAGATGCAATGTATACATCGTGAGATATAACACACTAAAGCCATGTAACAAAAAAGGCTCTGAACTTTTTACTTCACCTAATATAATGAAAGCAATCTTTTTAAATAGATATTAATTTTTTATAGGAAGTAGGTAAAACTTTATGTAAAGGTATTATACAAATTATTTATTATAGACGATTTATTTTTTAAATGTTTTGATTGTATCTGTTTCTTTCGAGAGTATGGTGTATGTTCGAATTGAAATTTTACTCTAAAGTCTAAAAATAGGTGTATTTTAAATATAGGCAAACACATATAGATGAAAAAAAAAATGAAAATTCATGTGCGTAACGAGGTAACAACGATAAACATGGAAACGAAGAATTGTTGAATCGATTTGATTCGTGGAAGAGCGGAAACCTCGAAGGAAGGAGGGTGGTGAGTTCCATAGAAATCCTCGTTTCTGTGGATCGATGTCTCAGCAATTACCGATGAAAGCCAATTACCGTAAAAAGGAAGGACAATAAACCACCCTAATTTTAGTGTCGCTTTTACTGTGAGTATGGATGGGTTGGGTTTTTGTATTAATACAAATTCCAATTGGATTCCTATAAAATATTGCTTGACGCCAGTAGATCACTTACTTATTGCCTCCGGCCGCCGAAAATTCCGTTCGACCAAAGGATTTATAAATATAAAAACCGCGCGCATTATTTACATTATATCAAAAATAAGTGCCTCGCAAAAAAAAATATACACGCATAAATGCGTAATGCTTTTGTAAATAAACAGAGGCGATGGATAAAAGCATGAAGAGGATAACGCGAAAAAATGGATTCGGTTTTATTCCGTTCGAAGGTTCTCGACTCGGTCTTATTTATTTGTATAAGTAGATTTTAGTTAATTTAAATTAGAAATTATGAATTATGAATATTTTCGTATTGTAAGTGATACAAAATATGAATGTATTCGACATTACACAATATTGCAATTTTTTCAACGTTTATGATTTCATAAGTGAATTCATGTTTTACGATTTCCATTTTCTAAAATTACATTTTAAAATGTATTATTTAACGATCACTTTTTACTGCAAATTAAATCTTTTGTCAAAATGGGTCACAGTTGTTTTATTATTAAATTGAGTGTGCATAAGAAAATGTATTATTATTATTTTAAGTTGCTATTAACCTAAATTTTGATGGGCGAGCGAATCCAGTCCTGAAAAGATCCGCACTTTTCATTTACACGAGACGAGACTGAAAAATATGAAAACTTCTAACCATTTTCAATTATCTTTTTAATATTGTAAATAAATTATGAAACAGCTGAAAGATTTAGTTCGATAGCCAATGCATTTTCTGGCAAATTTATTCAAAATTATTTAAAGAACGTAAAAAGCAACATTAGTTTTTTTTTTTAATTTTTCGTCAATAGGGTAATTTTACGACCCTGTTTTGATGAAACTTAATCCTATCGTAAAACAGGTGCTGCTTGTAGATACAAAGTAAATGTTATTCATTTAAATATTTAACTGGATTGACGTTTTTGTCAAAGTGAAATATAGATTGTGTTATGTAAATCGAATTGTATATTTTTTTTATTGGTTGAGGAATCGTCCAAAAAGATCTAAATAGAGTGTAAACTAGTGGTTTTCAAACTTTTTGTTACTACGCCTCACAAAATAAATATAATTTTGGCGCCTCCCCTTGTTTAAATTTATATTAAGTCATACTTCTAAAACTTTTCATGAGCTCACACATCCGAAATGTTTCTTTCATAGTTAAATCAATGATCAACATAAATTTGGAAACCTCTGGTCTGATGAAGAAATTACCGGTTTGATAATATACAGAATATTGTGTGAATATAGTAAATTTCCTTTTCGTAATCGCAACGGCAAATTGAAAAATATGTCGAGTGCACGCGAGTGTTTTTCAAGTGCACGGAATTACACTTTTGGCCGGGGCAACTGTGCCACGGCCGTAAATCAAGGGAAGGAGGGGAAACGCAAACCGAAACCATCCAACCAACCAACAAAAAAAACACGAAAACCATTAAGGAAAGGAATGAAGGAATATCATCGTCGTGAGTCGTCCTAACAACGGGATTTCTCCGGAAAAAAAATCACCTCCTGTTTTTCGTTTCGCGTGCCAAAAATTGTCGTCCGAATGCGTGCGGGGATCTCTCCTGATGAATATCGACGACGATGAGACCAATAAATACCGAGAACACGCGGTGATTCAATGCGATAAGAAGGCCGATTTGGCAGCAGGACAAGAAATGCGCCACGTGCCATCCGGGAAGGAAAAGTGTGGAGAGCGACAGGAAAAAAAAAGGAGATATATAAATGTGTGTATGTGTATAAAGATATATAGTGTATTGTTGGCCCTAAAAATAGTCGTTTCATTAATAAATTTTACATCGGTGAGAGAGAAGAGAGGCCACGGCGGAGAAACAAATGCCGAAAAATAAACAGACATCTGTTCGAAGTGAGCGGATTTAGAGAAATACGGTACTAATGCGTGATATTAGTACCATATTTCTCCAGCATTAGCATGGAAATGAAACAGTTTTAATAATAACCTGAAGTCATTATGCAACCAAACAATACGGCGATTTTCGCTACATCTGTCAAAACTAAATTTAAAGTTAGGTTGAGGAAGTGTCAATGGTTGCTAGCAATCGAAATTCCGACAACCATAATCAAGACATAATTGTTATTATTTATAACAATAAATTAATTTTGTCAAAATTATGGTTGTTGGTGTTGTGATACGTGATTACGAATATCGGGAATTTAATTGTCGAGATTTCAATATAGACTAGATTTTAAGCCATAGAAATAATTTTTTTCACCATTAAAATGAAATCGTAATTTGCATTAACTACAATACAAATGTTTCTTTTCTGGTAAATGCTTAAAATATTAAAGAAATGTTTAACTTGTGGTTACGCCATCTATCCGATATTAAGGAACTAATCTATAGTTCGATAATCGTTTATAATATATAGGAGGCTGTTGATCGACAGTTTCACACCAAAAGTACGAAATTATGTGAATAATGCTCGAAGCGCGAGTAGGAAGAAAGAGAAGAATGGATTAAACCGAAATAAAAATGAAACACGTAAATGTAGCGTAAGTGTGTATAATAAATTTTAATGTGCGAAATTTATCAATTTAACCGAGGGGCCAATTACGTTGGCCACTTAAGCTGTTTAAAGGCAATTTCGAATTTGCATTACGGCGGAGCGGACATCTTGTGTAATCCACCTCCTCCTTCTTCTCATCATGCTCATCATGTTCTTCCCATCGCGTAATTGCACATCGTCCGTATCCTTTATTTATTTTTTGCACTCTTCTTTACCCATCTTAATGAAACGCACTCATTTGCGACGCGAATTAAAGCGAATATGCGAAATTCGATACGTGGTCGTCTGAACGCCTGCCGCTTCTACTAATCTCCACTTATTTGCATAATAACAAGCACACTTTGCACTCCATTGTTGTTCGACGATGTTGATGTTGTTGTTGTTTGTGACGTTAATGCGGGAAATTATATTTGAAAGAGAAGAGAGAGAGAGAAAAAAAAACGGTTACGGAATTTCTCTAATTACGTCGTCCTCTTCCAATTCACAGAGGAATTATGAGCGACACGCATATTATATCAAATGGTTACAGCATTCCTGGTGAAAATTACTTATGGGCAGCATAAACTGGGGTGAAAATAGCGAAACGCCATCTAGGTTTTGTACATTAAAATAATGAATTGTCAAGAATCGTAAACGTCAAATTTATCGTATTTATTTGTTATCTGGGTTTCATATATTATAATAAATTATTATCAAAAAATTATATACGTCAAGCTTGACTTATTCATAACATTAGTACTAATACGTACATTAAAATAGTGAAATGTCAACAAAAATAAACGTCAAATTTATCGTATTTATAACTCTTAGCAATACGCCATGTTACATGTAAACATTAAATGTTAAACTTTCAGAAGGACTATTTTGTTTGCTTCAATCGTCGCATTCATCACGAAAATTAGAACATTAATATGATTCGCTATAAATTTGTCGTGTTTTGCAGATGTTTTGCCAATGTTTTTCTCGTTTTCGCATTGGCAAAAGTCTTTTCGCGCAATTTGTCCACCGCATATTTATGTTTTTCGTCTCTTGCGGCACAGAAGTTTCGGCCAAAGAAATCCACGAATGGAGCGAAGATTTGCAACGACGCAACAGCGATTTTTTATCCGATGCTTTTGGATCGCGGCCAAAGGCGGCGTCGGCACGTGATACCGCACCCGATTATTTTCTTTTTTTTTACTCTCATTCCTTCTTTCACTCAATATGCTTTTTTCTCTGTGCCTTCAATCGAAGGCTTCAATAACAGGATGCGAACGTATCGTAAATCGACTCCAGTTTTTTGTTTTCTCTTCGTGTTTTTTTCTTCTATTCTTTTTCATCTTCTTGTTTTGTTTTTTACGTTTATTGAAATCGTTCCAAGTGGGATGAAGGAGTAGAGAGAAAGGGTGGGGACGTAAAAAAAGAATAAAATATTAAACGCAAAAATAAATAAATCGCAGGTGCCTCGCGAAAGATCGCCGCATCTTCTAAATTTAGTTTTCAAGTGCTATTTGAACTTATTTTCGCGTAGATTTATTTGATTTTTCCTCTCCTATTTACATCGCCGCCTTCTCTTTTATCTCTCCACCCGAAAGGAATCTCTCTTTCATATGTGTATATACATTCTCTCTTTTTCTCTCTTTATTATTCTCTTGTCGTGTTTATTTCTTTACGCCGGTCGTTTTTCTCAATGAAATTTCATTTAGCCTACGCTTTTGACACTTGACATCTGGACGTCTTGACAGTTCGTTTGAAACTCATCCAATCGTTACGTGATCGTGCTCACACATCACTTTCTCAAAATTCTGATTATTGACATTATTTTTTACACTCTACATATTAATACTTCAATATATATATATATATATTACGATTTACAAAGCAATGCTAAACTTAATTATCTACTTCAATTATTAATTGTTTTTAGTCAGAAACGATTAAAGATGCTTACTTTAATAGTAAGAATTTAATAGAATACATACAAGTGTTGCAGTTTGGGCAGATTATTGATAGTTGCATGTCTCTTCAAAATTGTTTAATCCGAAGAACATATGCTAAATATTAAATGACTATTTTTAAATAATTTATATGTTATATTTATAAATTTCATTTTTTTTATAATTTCAGAGGAGCAATGCTATCATTGCATGTCGAATTTGGTATCGTCTAAGGAGAAAATGTTTATTACTCAGACGAAGCAATTGTACGAAGTTACATGGAAGACTGTGATGCAGATTTGTAAGAAGCATGTGGTGAGTTTTTACTTTTATTTATTTTTTTTATTTTCCAACCAATTTTTGAACAAAAACAAATTACAAGGGATCCTCAGGTTGTGAGGCAACAAGTGTTGACGACAATCGTCATTCTATTGCAATTATCAATAATAGAAAAAGTTTTTAATGCTGTCAGATTTAATTCGAATTTGTTTGTTAGATTGCGCCACCTGTATCATGTTTTTAAAGTAAAAAGTAAAAATAACAATAATGAACGAATTGGAGATTTTGTGGAATTTATTTTAAAGTTATGTAAACGTTATTCGCGTCGTGGAAACTGACCTGGCCGAAATTCGCGTGATTCACACTTGCGTTTCTGATATTTTGTAAACACTTAATTCAATTCGCGCTATCTCACCAAATCCAAATGAAATCACGAGCTTTTCGAAACGTGTCAATCAGAGTCGGCGAGAATGAAACAAAAAACAAAGTAAAAGAACACTTGTCTTCTCTTCCAACGAATTAACAAATTATCTTTAAAATCGTTGCTAATTTCTCTCTTATCTCTCCAATTTAGATCAATTCAATTGTTTGTCCTACTTTTTTTTGTCTCGTTTTATTTGAAGTGTGCTTGTTGCTTTTCGTCTCCATAAAATTTTACGACCTGTTAATGCGACGTAGGATGTAATAACCAAAACGAAAGCCTCAGGGCCTCTCGCGTTTTTTTTTTATTTCGTTTTGTTTTTATATTTGTACATTAGGGTTTGTTGAAAACCGCAGAAGTTCTCATTTCATAATTTTAAAAAACAATTAAAAGAACTTCTGCGAAAACGTCTTACGCTCTAAACCGGAAGTTAGTGGGTTTTGGTTATAGCGATGATACGCTCGCATATCACGTGCCAAGTGGGTTGCCGAAATTATACTTCATTATATTTAATGATTTCGGCATGTTTGCGTCTCATTTATGCACATTCCTTCGTTATCTAGAAAGACAAATTGCATAATCACATGTTTTGAACATTGTTTACGTTTAATGTTCATTATTTTGTTAATAAAATTTACAGCAAATTTTTATTTTTTTAATCATACGACATTAAATGAATGTCGTTCATTTGTGTGCAAAGAAAAGGATTACAAAGAAATAATTCCTTTTGATAAATGTAAGATTTATATCGGGAATTGGTGATAGGTCAAGTGGATCACGTGACCGTTGCACAGGACTCCACCTCCTCGTCCTTCCGATTGGTTGATTGTTTCAGGGGTGTAAACATATCAACAGCGACATTAGCAACAATAGCGGTAACAAAAAAAAAAGAGGTTACGCTTTTGACGTTTAGCGTTCTTTGACAGTATATTCAATAAGAAGTGTTGTTTGTAAACGGCAATAAGATCATCAACAAAAACAATTGTGCTTGCGTGTACGGACTGGGCACAATTCGTTTTCGCTTTTATCTCGTTCGGATAGCTAGGCTCGGTGAACCGAGTCGAGTGAGCCGGGGTCAAATCCCAATTCACTGCTTCCAGATTATTATTTTATTAATATTAATAGAAGGCTCCGCTCCATTCCGTTCCGTTCCTTTCTCGTTCATTTCCTTTTGTTGCTGCTGACTTGATTTAATTAACGTCGTTTTGCTTCTTTGTTCGCAGAAGGCAGCTGCTGTCCACCTCCAACGACACTGCCCCAGCTCTCGGGTGGAACGCATCTACATGGACTGGATCTGGTGGGTCCTACAGGAGCTGCCCTTCACGCACCTGGTTAGGGTGATGGACTGTTTTTTCCACGAAGGTATTAAGGTAACTGCAAAAACGACGACAACGAAAGATGTTTTGAATGAAGGATATAAAGACGAATATGGAAAAAGCGAAAAAAAAATGAGCGAGGGTTCTTGCATGATTTATTCATCGGCGGCGATTTGAATAGTTTATGAGGGGTAGAGACGTCCGCGTTTGCCGTCCAATCGATTTTCTTATAAGGGATCGTTCAATAATGCAGGCGCGCCTCGAGCGGCCAATGATTGCTTGCAACAAGTTGAAACGTTGACTATAGTCGTTTTTATATATAAATCAGGTGCTGTTCACGTTACTATTTGGCACCGCTCCAATCGCATTGTTATTTTTTGATTAATTACCTATTTTTTGCTCCTCAGTGGGCGTGTAAACCTGAAACTCCTCCCACACATTATTTAGTTTTACTGCATTGGTACATCTGATACCTCAATTACATTATGCATTAATTCATTTCATAATTCAAAATTTAGGTAGTTATGTAGAATACTTAAACAGATATCATTTTTAATAATAATAATAATATTTATTGTAGCAGAACAAAATGCAAACTCAATACAATAATACAAATATAATAAATCAAGAAAAAAAGTCAACTGCTTCATAGGTCAATCATTTTTATTAGAATTACTTAATAATCTTTATTAAAAGAACGCGTTGTAAAAATGGTAATATAAAAAGTGTGTGGAACATTCGTGGTCCGCCTTATCTCCATCTCTCTGGAAGGTTATTAAACTATTGTATAATGAGTTCGATTTATGCTAATGAATTTATCTGGAGAGCGTCGTGTGTTTGGAATCTAACGATGTTTGTTTCATCGAAGATCAATAAATACAAATGCTTTTATCGCTGCAAAGCTAAACGTTCTCGATTCTGAATTTACTTTGCCATTTAGAGAAATACTAATAATTTGCTTTGCTTTTCGATCATCCAATAGAAAATATATTTTGGATTCAGATTTTTATTATTTACTTTACTTATAAAACATTGGGTGTAATTATAATATCGTGCGGATATTCAGTACAAAAAAATATTATGTAAATTCAATTAAACGTATATCGTCGTCCCTTAAAAGATGTTTCATTGTATTTAGTCGTCGGAAAGGAGGATGAAACATAAAATTAATATAATTTTTATTTAATAATGCTATAAATAATAACTGCATCATCGAAATTTAGTTACCCGTTTTAAAAATCGAAGATATTCATGACCACGCCTATCATTGCCGGAAACACGCCCTTCATCATCGTAAACGCCCATCGATATTTTAAAATGCGCTTTTGTTTTACTATTAACATTTTTTATAAGAATCTGCTATTTGTATGTAATGGATTTAAACGGTCAGTATTTGTTAATAATACCTGCCTGAAGTTAATAACAAACGGTGCATCTCGGTGTTAGTGTTCGCGGTGGACTCTATTAATAAGCCGCGATGGATATATTTGTATTTTGCCGTTGTTTTGTTGGCTCGTAGCTCCCGTGACCGTCAATAGACGGTGCCAAAAACTCCAAATTATATTATCAAAACAAGAAAAAAGATGAGAAAAAGCGGCGCAGACCGAGACGAGGAGAGGCGATAAAAAATGCGTATATAAATATTCGCCGATCCGCTAATTGGGTGAACCAATTTACATTTTGAATTATGCGGGAAACGCAATGCGCGAATAGTCAAAAAATGCGCTATTTTTACTCCTATCGTTATCACATTTTTTTTTAAGTTTGACGCTGCTGGTGGTTGCGAGTCGTCAACTTTCGGTCGTTATTCATTCATTTAATTTTATTTAATTACAACTAATCATTCATTTGGGTTCATTTATAAATCATGCAAATATGAAACAGCAATTTAAAAAAAGGTCGAAGTGCTGATTTTGTTTAATGTTGTTTTAGTATTGTTTACTTGTTTCACTTGTATGTCATTAAATGTTGCGTGTTTTGCAAGTATCAACCGGTGCTGCTTATAAGCAGGATTGGTTGCGTTTAAAAAATGTTAATTTATTTCTTATAAATTTTAAAATGTTAAATTGCCACAATACATCAAGTTTCAATATTTTTTATTGTAAGATAAGCCTTAATGACAAGCTATTGATGTTGCTGCACTGTTTCTCTCCCTGTTGAGATCTGCTTAGAATGCTAGAAAACTATTTGTGTTTTAGGTATTATATAGAGTAGCGATGGCCATCCTCGTCCTATTCCACAAGCACACGTCGACGAACGGTTTCGATTGGACGTCGTACATCCAGAAAAACGGCATCGACGATGCACTGAACAAGTTTTGCAGAGAAATGACATTGGCCACTATACCCCCAAGCAAGGTAATCTATAATTCTTCGACGTTTTCACCTTTTTCCTTCGAATTTCTAACTTTTTTTTTCTTCGAATGCAGATTTTGAAGGTAGCTTTCGGAATTCGTGGTCTGAGTTCTGCGTACATTTCGCGGGTGTTCATTCGGACGGAGATGGTGGTGAAGAGTAAATCTGTGATAAATGGACCGAGGCAGTTGGTGAAGTCCCGGTCCACTGAGAATCTGCCGAACAGCCAGAGTCAGAACAACATACAAATGGTCTCGCACACACTCACCATTCGCGAGGTAAGAAAGGAATTCGAAAGACACAAACACGCACTTTTTACAATTATCAAAAGATAACCAAAACAAAATAAGAATCCCCCCCTCGTCCACACGGACGTTAGTGATTTAACCGAAAGAGATTGCACTATTTCTACGTGTATATACATTTTTATTTTATCTTTTTAGATTTTATATGTACATATTTTTTTTTAATCGTTTCTCCCCTATTTTATTTTTTTTCTATACATAGTAGATCTGTTTTTTATTTTGGGTGGAGGTTTTTCTCATTTTTTTCTATATCTTTTTTAGTGTTTTAACATGATACCTCTGTTTTGCAGTTCTTTTACTATTTAATCAAAGCGGTGATTGGATTTTTTTTTACTTTTTCCTCTCCTTACAATTTGTTTTCAAAAGAAAATCATCACCGCAAACTATACCGTTTTTGCTCGTAACTCGCAGATATACCTATCAAACGTTAACTGACACGCTCGTTAAATGAAACGTAAAGTGGTTCGATTTTCGAACAACAGACGGCGTTTCTCTATTAAATGTCAAATTACGTTTAAATGGGCAATTTACTTATTTTTACTTTTCAAACGCAATTTTAATTATTTTTATATAAGTTGTTATTTTTTCTGTTATTGTTAAGATGAAGCTTTTTCAGTTGACCTTTGAATTTTCAGAGAATTTCGGAAGAGACGTACAATGAAATGGTATCGTATATATTGGTTTTATACTTTTAGATTTTATGCATCTGATTTGGAATCATACTTTTTTTTATTTGTTCGTTTGGAATGCCAGAGATTTCGGATGATCTCGACCAAAAATTAAAAAAACAAAAAAATGTTACTCACAAAAACCAATAATAATCTCACTCTCATCAGCCTCTTTATGTCTCTCTGTGCGTTTGTATGCATCAACCTGCAAATATAATCTATATATATATATATTTACATACCATCTCTTCGTCTCATTTTCATCTCTATTTTTTTTTACTATTTCGCGTATCACAGTAATCGCCGCGAAGGAACGGCTTTTGTTTTGTCTGCGCGTTTCCGTCTCCCTGAAAAATCGATCGATTCGGTTGTTATTTTTGTTTGCTTCGTGCATCGTTTAATTCGTTTCTTTTTTTGTTTGTTACTTCTTCGCGTTTCGTCCTTTTTGGCCGCTGGTGCGAACCATCATAATTACCGTGTTTAAAATCCGTCCACTTGGCACGCATCGAGGAACGTACGGATCTTGGCTAAAAATTTAAGGCGCAACGTAAACAACTCCATTTTTTATATAGTTTTTTTTTTCTCTTGCTTGTAAACACGATTCGCGGTACGCGAATTATTAACAGATGGCGTTGTTCTATCGGATCGATTCGTTTTGCAGGGACGGAACCCTTAACCTACTCCCATATTAACTCATCTGTTTGTTTGTTTGTCTTGTTTCCAACTAACTGGATCATATTTAAACTTATACTCTCATCGCTGCTTTATTATTTACATATATTTTTTTCTTGTTTCACGCCCAGCTTTTCTTTCACCTTGCGTTTGTGAGGAGAGAAGGTGGCGTTGACGGCGGCGGCAGCAAGAATATCGATTTTACCATTCTCCTCCCCTTTCTTTCGTGCTCCCCTTGATTACAATCGATTCGTACAATGAACTTAATCCACCTATGTTTCTTTTGTTTTCGTTCTCGTTATCTATTTCTTTTTTTTATTATTTCTATATGTGCGTTTTGTTTTTAATTATATTTTTCAAAATAGTGGCAATGATCTTCTTCCCCCGTAAAACAAAAAACAGAAAAAAATCCATTTTTTTGGCATTAACACCGAAATTTTCTTTGTTCTGTTTCTTTTCTTTTTCCTGCTGCGGTTTCTCTTGTTACCCTTATCACAATGTAGGGTGCGCACTCTCCAGGGCCCCGGATGATCGCAGTCGGCGGTTATCCCGTGCAAAATGTTAATTCTCACATCCTGAGCCACCAAGACGTAAGTTGGATGTGTTGTGTGTACTGAATTTATCTGGGACCTCTTGCGATGAAATTCTTCCAACTACGACGACAACATTTAGTTTTTATTAGCACTCGTTATTATTGCCGTACATTTGTCCCTTTTGTTTCCATCGCTCTTTTTTTAGGATCGTTGGTAGGCAACTCTTTTCAGTACGAGGTTTAAGAAGTTGCCTAATTAGAGCTGTATGTGCGCAAGTCAAAACATGATCGGAATTTGCATACTATACAAATTTACAAGAATATCACTCATTTAACATGCTCTTTTGGTTGTATAACTTTGGTAAAACTTTTTTTCAATTGACAAGTGTCAAAATTTTGTTATTTCGTTTAAAAATTTACCGTCATTCTCAAGTCTTCCAAATCCTATGCAATCCCAATCCTAATCCCAATAATTGTAATTTCTCTTTTTTTTTCTCCCGTTTATTTGTTTATAGGACGTGTTGTATCATCGCCTTTGTAAATACCTGCCGTATCCTAACACCATGTTCCGCGACAGGAGCAGAAACAAAAGGGACAAACATACGGTCAGCATGGATAGCTTTAATTAATTCTTTAATTACATCCACCACAAAAGCCGTTGTCCGAATGGTACATTTACTCACCCCATATACAGTATGGACAACGTGTAACTACGGTTGCTTACACTAGATTTAATGCTTGCTTATCATCAGACGATGTAAATAAATATAATTTTTTCGTTGCCGTTGCATGTGGAATTATTACATTTTCTCAAATATTTACATAGATGTAGATTAGATTTGAGTATGTTATTTACATTGCGTTAATCCGCATTTAATCGTAAGAATAAGTAGAAAAATTGTATTAAAAGTTGTTGTAGTAGTAGTGATTATTGTAAAAAAAAAATGTATTAGTAGATGTAATATGGGTGGGATTTGTGTTTATCTCGGATGTTTTTCGAGTTGTCTTCCCGTTGCGTCGAAGGTGATGTATTATCAGGCGTGTCTGGAATGTGCTGAAAGAAGAAAACAAGCGCACGAAAAAAATAATTAAAGAAACAAATGAAATCGAAAATGGAAATCAGTCGATATGTAGCTGCTCGCCGCTTAGTTTTGTTGTCTATTTCTGTACATTTTGGTATTCCAATTCTCCTCACGATCGTTGTCTTGCTCTCTACTACTTATTATTTTAGCATTTTTATTTCCTTTTTTATTATCATTATTATTGTGCTGCCTGCATGAAACGGATATTTTCATCGAAATGTTTTTTTTATATATGTATATAAATCCTTTCTCTCTCTCTGTCGTCTGTGTCTGTCTATATCTTCGTTGGCACAAACATCTTAAACTGTATATTATTAATAATGATTTTGTTGTTGTCTGCGTCCTGTCTTGTCTTGTGCTAGTTACGTAACTGTTTTTTTGTGGATAAGGGTGTGCGAGAGTACGAGAAAACAGAAAGTATATTTATAAGCATAAACATTTTTTTTTTGTTCTGCTCTCTCCTGTAAATTAATTGATGAGTAATGTTTCTGTCGGCGTGCGATATTTTATGCGCGAAGATGAGGTGAGGTGTTAATAAATATTAACATTGCCGACTTCTTTCTAAACCAAATGAATCACCTACTCGTTGATCTGCCTCATCAACTTTAGCCCACATATTTTATCGTGAAAAATTACAATGTTGATCTGATTTACGACGATTTAATGAATACTTTCTGGTTTCTCTCGCTTCGATTATCCAATCGGACGTCTCTTGTGCCCTCTACGTTTCACGTTGTGTGCATTTTGGTTTTACTATATTACTTTAAACATAGTTTTTCTAATGTTAATTTGATGTTTGCTCTTGCCTTTGGCGTGACGTGCAGCTGTTGACTCTGTGGTCCTGGCTGCCTGTGAGGATCACCATGTATCAACCCATCCTCCTTTACACCACCGAAGAGCACGGATGCTCTCTGACAACGTTCTACGTTAGAGTGGAACAGCACGAACCGACGCTCCTCATGATTAAAACCTGCAACAACGAGGTAAGTTTTGTATTTGTTAGTTTGAAACCACTGGTATAACAGATATTACTATTATCACGACACCTGGTGTACGTAAACCGAAGTAATGCAATTTGGGGGCATCGGTATAAAAATAAATAAATATGTAAATTGACGTTCACCAAGACTGTAAGTAAGTGAGAGGAGTGGGCCATGTACTTTTAAATGCGTGACGCGCGCTCATTTTTTTTTTATAGACCATTACGATCACCAAAATATAACGATAATTGACGAAAATGGAACTGCTGTCCAGTGTATCTTGCATATTTGTATCATGGTAGCTGTACATAAATTAATATATGATATGATTGCCTAACCTAATCAATCTGCTCTCGCTCTTTATAAATATTGAAATACATTTAAAAGATGAACGTTTCATGAATCACCGAGTATATGCACGTATTTAATATCATATTTTTTAATACTATTCCAACTATATGTATAATTGCATAATCATTTTATTTTCACTCATAAAATAATAATATTCTCTGATAGAGCGACTGTTATTATGTGTTTTTTATAGAAGAAAATACTTTAAAATCATTGATTCCCAAACTGTGCAATAAGAGCGCCGCGAAAATTGAAGAAAAACTACTATTAACATAATGTTCATCTTGAGATAGACCAATGTTTTGATTTTGGGCACCGCGGAAAAAATCTGATATATTAAGGACGCCGCAAACCAAAAAAGTTTGGTCACCCCAGTTTATGAATATTTTACGAATCACTATGTATACATACAGTAAAACCTCGACTTACGCGGTTAATTCGTTTCAAAAGTTTCAGAGTTAGACGAAAACGACGTAAGTCTAAAAAAGTTTGCTCAACTGCGTATGTATGAAATTTTGTAAGTCGAGGACATTATTGATTTTAAGTTGTTCAACGTTATACCATATTGGTTTAATTATCCAATATGATATTTATGATAGCAATTATATAGAGTGATCTGTAAAAAGTGACAATGACGGTTATATCGCGAATCACCCTGTAGATACATATATTTGAAATCACAAATATATGTATATTGTTTCAATTAGTATAATTGAAAAATATTTATATTTTTAAAATTTGATAAAACTACACATTTTTTTAATCATTACATTATTTTCATTATCTATTGATGCTTTCGATATTTTTTGACCTGATATTCGTATCAGTTTTTTACACATAAATATTTTAACTATGTTTTGTATCAAGTTATAAAGGTTGTAATGATATATTCAATTGTAGGTGTTTGGGGCGTATTGTTCTTCTAAATGGGGAGAGAGGAATATGAAAGACGACAGGGGCAACAGACAGGCGTACTTCGGTACGGGGGAGACGTTCCTGTTTTCCCTGTATCCAGACCGCGCGAAGTACCCTTGGGTCGGCATAGAGGGCGACAAGAATTTGGGCCACGGATCCGAGCTGTTCATGGCCGCCGACTCGCGGATGATTACCATTGGCGGCGGGTAATTAAACGAACGCGAACGATGCACAAGTTCTTTTGTTTTATGCTCTGTATTTTTATTTTTTGTCGTTTCAGAGAGGGACAGGCAATCTGGATGGACGAGAACATCCGATACGGCAAGACGGACCACTGCCAGACCTTCAACAATCCTCCTCTGTGTCCGAGCGGTGACTTCGAGATCCGTGTTCTTGAGGTCTACGGATTCTCGACGGAGCATTGAGGAGGACACTGATGGAAGGGGACGACGCCCAACAGAAACAAGTGCAACAATAACAACAACAACGACTGTCTTCATATTACCTGTCGTCTTCTCTGAGCAAACGAACCAAAAAAAAAAACATAAGAACAACGCAATCCATAGGTATCTATCTACGAGAAGGAAAAATAATTATAATTAATCAAAAAAAATACATATATATATATATATAAACTCCCATTTACCCTCAAAAAAATGAGAGACCGAAACATTTTCAAAAATTATACTCAAGCCGATCCGGAATTATAAGATGACTAGAGCCTCCCACTTCACAAAATCCATCATTTTATTTATTTTACTCTATTTTTTTCCGTTTTGTATGTTTCATTTTACATTTTAAGTTTCCGCAATATTTTGTCATTATTATTATCATTATTTTTCTCTCCATCTCAATTTTTACTTAGTCTTCAGGAGATTCACATATTTTTTTTAATTTATTTTTCCATTCCACGCCATCTCTTGTCTCACGATCATTATCCCAGTTTGCAACTAATTTATTTTTTTTGTTGTGCTTTCGTTTTCTTTTTCAAATGACAAACACGCTACTAGATTCTAGTCGATCGCGAAACTACTTTTAGTTTATATTCTTCTTATATATTTTTTTTCTTCTGCAAATAGCTCACTTAAACTGGGAATTAGCGTTAAGTTTAATCACACCACTTGCAAATTTTGCAATTTGACATGCGGCAAAAGTGTAGTCGATCGATGCAAAAAATTAGTTCATTTGAATTATTTTTTATATACATATGATTCTTGCAATGATGAAATGAAATGAGTTAGTAGTAAAGACTACGAAAACTTCCGCCACAAAGAGATGAGCACATTCCTCGTTAATGTCAGAGGAAACCAATTGTTCGTTTTAGTTTCGTGTACATATTTAATAATACTACCAATGTTTGTTCTTCTTTTCGTTTGTTTTTTTGTTAATATATATGTTATTCATATATTTACGAACTTTGCTGTGTAGTAGTTTTGATAGATTGCAAACACGAACATATCGCAAGAGGCGGCAAATTATAAAAAAATAAGTATTTCAGATTCAAGTTTTTTCTTCATCTTACGAATTAGTTTTAAACGCACAGCTTTCTGTCCACGTGAACTGTCCTTGTGTGCGCACTATATCCTCATCTCATCCTAAACAAAACAAAAATAAATCGTTCGCCCTTTCCGTCAAGTCATGTATAAAAATTAAAAACAATTGACAAACGGAGATGCTTTACAAGTTGTTAACAAATCTAGTTGTTTCTGAGCTTGAATAGAACTTCGACTTAGCAATTCATCCTCCAATTCATACGATATAATATAGATATTTATATACGATTTTCGTTTGTTCTTTTCTTTCTTTTTCGCGCGCCGGGAAAGAAAAACTTTGTTATGTATTTTTAAACAAAAAAAAACCTAATTTATTACTTTTGTTTCCATTTTTTTTATATTATGATCATCGTGCATCATCGTATACTTATTTGTTGTTTATTTTTACTTCAATCTTTTGTTTGTTTATTATTATTACTATATTTTTTTTTTGTTTGCTTTCCATCTGTTGAATTCTAGTTTAACTATTGGTGAGCAATAACCAATGTGATACGAAAATACGTTTTGTGTATAGACGGCCACGGTACAATTGTTCTCTTTTCTTTTTTCAATTGTTTCTCATCATTTTTCGCGAGCTTTCTTTGTTTTCTCGATGATGATATTGATCATCATATAATAATCATCATCGACACTATTAATATTATTATTATTATTTGTGGCTAATGAAAACCCGAAATTGATGATTATTACATTTCGCCGTGGCTATTTATTATTACAATATTATATAATATTACAAGAAGAAAATTATACATTAATGAAAACTTTTTATTATTATTATTATATATATATTAAAACAAAAAAAATATATAATGAATATTATAAGAATGTGTATAAATGTAGGATGATATGTATATTATTATTATATAATTATTATTGCTAGTTTAGATTACGTTTTCTGTTCGATTGTTTCTACATTCTGTGACTGTTACGAACTAGTTACCAGTCGAAATATTTGTACTGATGTATGTAAATGTATTATTATCCTTATCCGCAACTAATGTGTATAGAAATATAGAAAGAATGACAAAAACATAATTATAAATTCTCTTATTTCTTTCAAACATTTTATGTGTATCCTTTCCTATTTTAAATAGTTAAAACAATCAAAGTTTAAAATTTAAATAATTATTTAAAGATTGCTACTTATATTTCTTCAACTCCAAAATCCAATATGTTTTTTTTTACATAATGTTATTGTAATATAAAAATATAGAAAATTTACGACAGCCATGGAAAAATATAATTTGTTTCTATAGACAATAACAAACATTGTCAAAACTGACAAAATGATCGAAAGCTAGCGATTTAATCTTAAGGCATTATGAGTCAATTGATTGATTGAAATGTTCTCTTTGCTAAAGTTAAACTTGTTACTTGCTCTAATTGTGTACTTCTGATTCAAAATACCTACTCTTGCAATTGTTCAAACACGAAACTACGAAACACGAACTGTTTTCGTCTCGTATCGTATTTTAAAAACGTGAAACTGAAAACCTTCGTTTCTGGTTATTGTTTGATTTACAGTTTCGGGTGATGCATCGAATTCGACACTAAGTAAACAAAATTCGAAGAATTCACTCGATTCTGGTATTGTTTCTATCAACAAAGGTGTCACTGATAAGTCACCGTTGTTGATATTGTTGTAACTCGATGCAAACCTAAACAAGGTTTGCATAGACGGAACCGCGCTCGTTCGCACTATATAAGCTCAATTCGGGCTCAGTCCGCTCATTCAGACCAGTTCTTTCCTATCCGTTAGTAAGCTGAAGTACTATAGAAGAAGTAAGAAAGATGAAGAATCCTATGAAAGCAGTAGTTCTGACAGTGATCTTGATGTGAGTATTTCCAATTTCATTATTATTTAATGATTTTTGTTGTACAGTTGAGTTTACTTAATTTTCTTAATGTTAACTTGTTTAATTTAAAAATCAAGTTGAAGCATTGAAATTATGCGAAATTATTTTTTTTAATCTAAATTAATTAGATTGCAAAAGGTTACTTTTCTTTTAAGACACTGTTTTTTAATACTATATTCTATTTATTATATATTATAGTATATATGCTTGCTATTGAATAGTAAATTAATTATATATATTTCGAGAGGTTAGGTTGAGTTAGGTTAAGTTAAAAAAATTCGATGATAACCTGTTGACAACTTGCTTTTTGTTGCAATGTGCTATATGATAACTTTCTTTTTATGGGTAGGATGTGCGTCAAGAATTTAATGAGCTCTCCGTTGACGCCGGTGGTGACGACATCGGCGACAAATACGGGCAAGAAGTGCGAATGCGGAGCCTTCGAAGGGAAGAAGGTGACCGGAAACGCACAGCCAATTTTGGCGCAGAACCCGCTGAACGTAACCTGCGATGCCGATGGCAAGAAGATGTGCCGCACCATCTGCACGGATTTGGCCAAGATGAGCGTCGAACGAGGACCGGCCGTACTCTGCGCCAAAATCAACCACGCAGAAGCGATAAAGGTAAGAGAAAGAAAAACACAACTGTATTCATTGAAAATATCAAGATTTAACTTCTTTTCTTCTTGTAGCCTTCGCTATTCACCAGAATCTGCGAAGGAGAATGGGAGTACGGCGACTTCGGCGTGGAGGAGCCGATCTGCTGTCACGAAGGCAAATCAATTTCGTGCAAGAAAGAGAAGAAGCCATGAGATATGGTACTTCTGAGGATCTTCGTAGACGTCGCATTTTTCCTGCTCCTTTCTACATTTATTCTACTAATCAACACTCTTCTCGACAAGTTCATTCTTCCGCGACCTCAAGTCCTTCGACTGAAAGTCATCAAAGTCAGACGCGTTTAACACTTCCCCAGCATATGCAGCAAATCCAGGACAACTTCGACGTCGACCAACATCCATCAAGATTCCACGCACACGGAACGACCGCTTCGAACAACGGACACCGTACTGTTTATAATTCCTATTGTTTCAAATAATTCAATAAATTTTAAAATTTGCAAATTTTATTTCTGACTAGATTACTTTATTTTCGTTGCAAACTTAATCGCGTAACGTTATATATACTTACGCAACCTAATGTAATGCATAACACATTGTAAAACAATATATGGTAGTTATGGAAACTACTCGTGTCATTGCTGAAAGTTAATTTAACGCTAAATTCCCGGCGTATCCACCAATAATATTTTTTTGGATGGAACAAATAAAAAAACTATTTACACATATTTTACATATATATATATATTTAAATTAACTCCTTTCCATTCCTTGCTTCGTCGAAACGTACCCAATGCGAAGAAACGGAAATAAAGCAAAGAGAACGAAACAGCAAAAAAATATCATTCATTCATTATTACAAATAAAATAAATATCATCATCAGTGTAATCGCAAACAGAAAAAATAAAAATTAAATTAATATTTATATAGTAAAAACAGATTGCTCCGTTCGAAACTTTCATTAAAATTCATTTAAAAATAACGCCAGATAAGTGCGACTAATTAATAATCCAAATACGATCATTTCCTTGGCATCTTCAGAAGTCGTCCAGCGACTCAACAGATTTCCATCGTGTAAGATGAAACGTAGCCAAGGACGCAGCAGTAATTCCAAGTATCCAAGTGAAACGAATCTCCATAGTTACGATAGTACTTTTCTATTGTTTATATATATTAAATCGAAGAAACTCTTCATTAGAATGAAAGTCCTGCTTACGACGATCCAAAAAAAATAGTTTTTTTTAAGAGAAAATAATAATAGTAATTAAAAACAACATCTATAATTATTATATATGCAACAACGAGGGGGTGCTATGTACATAATTACATAATTTTAACGTTACGGTGCAGAATTCACATGCTATTTTTGATATATCCATTTTTTTTTTAGTTTGCTTGTTTAGGTTTTCTCTTCATTACATCTTCTTCGTATGTAGGTATATTTTTTTTTGTCTCATTTTCTTTTCGCGTGTACACAAGTGTATGTTTTTTTTTCAATAATTTAATACTTTAAAATTAAAAAAAGACGTAGAATTTCTCCAATGCTTCTTATTTGAGGGCCGTGGCATCGGCCATCAGCTGGGCGACTTCCTTCATATGTTGGGCTTTACTGCCTGTCGATGGACTTGCTGCAGTAGCTCTACCGATGTAGCTAAAAATAAAGAGAAGAAAAATAAGAAAGGCATCATGAAACAAATTTAAATATCGTGCAGTATGTAGCCACCTTTATATTAACGATGACAACAAGAAAAAGAACAGCAAACGAAAGGATAATATTTACAGCAAAATAAAAGTGAACAAAGCTATTGACCAACACCACCTACGATTAGAATACGAATTCTTTGAATACGGAAAGAGTTTTTAAACAGCGTGCGTGCAGACAAGATACAAGCTCGAAGATCAACACGATACAAATATATAGAGAAAGAAAACAGCAATGAAGGAACGTTTTCTCCCAAACTCCGTTGCATCTTTTGTTTTTTTTTGTATAAAAACAGCAGACGCAATTGTTTTAGTCTTTGATTATTTTTTTGTTTTCTTCTTTGACGCTCACCATACAGTACGTGGTTTGGTTTCGGTGGAGGCCGGCGCGATTGGTTCGGGCGCCGATTTGCGACCGCCAAATATCGAACTGAACCAACCGCCACTTTCGGTGGCATTCGGTCTACTGCAACACACAAGGTGGTTTCGGATGGAGAGTGAAAAAGAGAGAGGACACGAAACCATAGAGTTAGTTCAATTGCCAATTCAAACTGCCGCAATATATACATATAAAATACAAAACTAACGAAACATCAACAACAGAGAGCGAAAGAGAGAAACTATCGGACGATAAAATATGTTACTACTGTTGCTATTAATATTCCTTCATTTCTGCTTCTTTTGCGAGAATTTCATAGTAGATAGATGGAATGTGTGAACTTACTTGACGTCGCGGGAGCCTGAGAGGGCGGTGTCGAATCTCGGCTGCACGTATGTCCATGGTCCTTGGTTCTTGTGTTCCTCCTGGGCCCAGAAGACCTTGGCGTTGGGATACTTGGCGCATTCAGCCTTAACCAAATCGTATGGGAACGGAGATACCTGAGCAAGTGATAAATACGTTCATTAGTTCCAATTTCTTTCTGACAAGTCTTAATATTTTTAAACTATTGTTACTACTTGTCAAATATTGAAATAATCAAGCACTGCGTAAAGAGCAGTGGGTTTGAATATAAGTATTACTTGTTCCATCCTGGCGATGGCGATGTCCTTCTCCAGTCCCTTCTCCTTGCGGGCCTTGGTGAAGTCGTAGTAGACTTTGCCGGAGCAGAACAGGAGTTTCTTGACTCCCTGGGCGTTTGCGGCAGCCGGTCCCTTCTCGGGGATGATGCGCTGGAATTCGGTGCCTTCGACCATTTCGTCGAAACTGCTGCGGGCTTCTGGGTGACGCAGAAGACTCTTGGGTGTGAGGAGGATGAGGGGTTTGCGGAATGGCAGAGCGATCTGCCTGCGGAGGATGTGGAACAAGTTAGCCGGGGTGGAGCAGTTGGCAACGATCCAGTTGATGTCGTGCAGCTGGCGGACGGCAAACTCTTCGGATTCTGGTGGGAAGTAGTCGGGATCGTCGGAGCACATCTGGAGGAAACGCTCGACGCGAGCGCTGGAGTGTTCTGGGCCCATACCTTCGAGGGCGTGCGGCAGGAGGCAGACGAGGCCGCTCTGGCGCACCCATTTGGCTTGACCAGATGAGATGAACTGATCGATGATACACTGGGCGGTGTTGTTAAAATCACCGAACTGCGCTTCCCAGATGACCAAAGCGTTGGGGTTGGTCATTGAGTAGCCGAGCTCGAAACCGAGCACACCGTACTCGGACAAGGAGCTGTTGCAGACGGTATACGGTGCCTGGTCGGGGTAAAGGTTGGACAGCGGCTTGTAGGTAGCCTTGTCGACATTCTGATGATGCAAGACGTGGTGACGATGCGAGAAGGTACCGCGCTCGACGTCCTGTCCGGACAGACGGACGTGAATACCATCCTTTACAAGAGAACCGAAAGCCATGGCTTCTCCCAAAGCCCAATCGATGGTGCGTTTGCCGACCATGTCCATGCGCGCCTTCAGGATACGCTCGATACCCTTGTGCACGACGAATTCAGCAGCGTTCGGTGGCAGAGAGGAGAATCTCTTGCCGATGTGTTGAAGGGTGTCCTCCTTGATTCCGGTGGGTTGAACCTTCAGCGGGTCCTTGCCCTCGAAGAAACCGGACCAGGGGCTGTCGAGCCAGTCCTTGTACTTGATATGGGTCTCCTTGCGGGCGTTGTCGAAGGCCTCCTCGCAGATCTTCTCGTATTTGTCCTTGACGTCCTTAACCTCGGCGGCGGTGACGACTCCCTCCTTGATGAGGGATTCGGAGTACTTGTCCAAACCTGGCTTCAATTTTTTGATCTTTTTGTACATCAGGGGTTGTGTGAACATTGGTTCATCGATCTCGTTGTGTCCGTTGCGACGGTAGCTGACCAAATCGATGACGACGTCCTTGTGGAAGGTTGCGCGCCACTCTGCGGCGATGTTGCACACGTGCATCACGCTCTCCGGGTCGTCGGCGTTCACGTGGAAAATGGGTGCGTTCACAACACGAGCGACGTCTGCAAAAATCAAAAACACATTATTTCATTTCAAAAGAGAAAACAAGTTTATTACATACCGGTACAATACGGGGATGACCTCGAGTGACGTGGATCGGTGGTGAAACCGACTTGGTTGTTGACGACGATGTGGATGGTGCCGTGAGTGGTGTACTCGGGCAAATCGGACAAGTGCATGGTCTCGAAGACAACACCTTGACCGCTGAAAGCGGCGTCACCGTGCAAGAGTACGGACATCACCTAAACCAAAAAAGACGTAAATAATTAGCGATTCATTTGAAGCGATAACACAAGAAAACTACAATACCTTCTTGCCTTCTCCATCACCCCTGTAGAACTGCTCGGCCCTGGTCTTGCCTTGCACGATCGGATCGACGGCTTCCAAATGGGATGGATTGGCGACGACGGCCAATCTGATGTTCTTGTTCGTAACACGGTTCAATCTAAAGAGAACAAAAAAACATCGTTGAAGCTAAGAATTATTGGAACCAAAAGAAACCGACCGTTCGATGTATGTACCCAAATGGTACTTGACATCACCAGAGCCGTCATCTTCGGCTTCAAGACCGGCGAATTGCGTGAAGATCTGGCTGAGCGGCTTGCGGCAGACGTTGGCGAGCACGTTCAGACGACCACGATGCGGCATACCCATGACGATGCTCTCTACGCCCAAATCTGTGCTCCTGTCAATGACCTGTTTCATGGCTGGGATCAAAATCTCGCAACCCTCCAGACCGAAACGCTTCTCCGAGGACCACTTCTTGGCCAAGAAAGCTTCGAATCTGAAAAAGCAATTAACAAACAATCTCAATCATGAATCGACCCATAATGCGTGAATTCAGGGCGTACCCAGTAGCTCTGGTCAATCTGGCGAGGATGAGACGCTTCTGTTCGGGGGAGATCTTCATTATGTCGGGCGTCTCCATGCGCTCCCTAATCCAATTGCATTGTTCCAGACTGTTGATGAACATGAATTCAACACCGATGTGACGGCAGTAAGTCAACTCAAGACGCCTGAGGATTTCCCTGAGCGGCAACTGCTTATCCTTTCCGCCGATGAAAGTCGTCGATGGCAACTTGAAGCTGCGGTCCATGTCGGTCTCCTCTGTTTATGCCAAAATTCAAATTACAAAAAATACAAAACACAAACAGACGCGCGCAAAATAGAGGTGTATAGTAGGCACAATCGGTGTCCGACAACGACCGACTATCCATACAAAAATTACAAAGCTATGCCTTCGCGAATCTACAAAGTTTGAAACAATCTCCTCCTTCGACATTCTCGTAAGCAATTTTTAGAAGATACTACTAGTATAGTGTATATATGTGTTTCTGTGGTGTTTGAAGGGCTACACAATCGTATATGTATATAAATATATCTAAATAAAATAAATTCAAAAAAGCGCAGAGAAGGAACGGCTCAAAGCTCTAATAGATATTGCACAAAAAAATAAAGGATTTATATAGACCACAACCAAAAGGTATGAATAAACAAACACCAAAACAAAATAAGATACTTACTGAAAAAAAATCATCATTGTCCATGAATTTAGAGTTACTTTTGTTTTAATTCTACTTGTATCAATTATTTTCAAATACGAATTTCGCTACTCGTGAAACGTTACGATTGTGTGTTAATTAGTGTGCAAACAAAAAACAACGCCTCTCGTCGATCAATTCTTTACAACTCCTTCTAACTACTTTACGAATTCGAGTGTGCGTGTGTTAAATAGTGTTTCTCTTACTTTTCGTTAACTCTTGTACTTGCCGCACCAGTTCTTGGGAGTAGGTACGGGACGGACCGTCCCTCGCTGCAAATACATGAAATAAAACAAAGCCAAAACATAACAAAAAAAAACGAAAAAAGCGCGAAAGAAAAAAAAAGTTACAATAAAGCGTTGTCAGTCGGGTAGGTGGTGATATGTCTTTCGGTGCAAGGCGTGTTCAAAAGTGTGATGTAGTCAATTGTAAATTTCGTTAGCAAATTATTATATATTATTAATATTATTACAGTTTTGATTTCGAGATTTAAAAAAACAAACAAAATAATTTTAGATAAGTATACTAAGTTTTATGCAATTGAAATGGTTATTACAAAAAAATACTTTACCTAAATTTAAAATATATCTAAGAGATTGTATACAGCGAGTATACAACTCTGAATTCGGTATCGTCACTAACGTGCAGTTAATTACAAAAGTTTTAAAAAATATGGCATTTGGACCGTGCAAAAGTTAATGATTATTTAGCGTCCGGTACAATTATTTGACAATAACCTTAGAAACATTTGCGTAACTCATGATATTGTTATAAAATAGAATATGAATCAATATCATTGCAATATTTCAATAAACATCCTATTTCTTTAAGTGATTGCAAGAAAATTAAATCGAACTATTGAAATTACGTTTTCCTTTGAATAAGTATTCAAAAAATGTATAGAATATCTTTGTTATAAGCGGTTTGAATGTTCACATGGAAAAAACAGCAACAATTGAAAAGTGATAAAACAAAACAGTCTGAATGTCATATTTTATAAATAATTAATTTAAAAAAAAACAAACAAAACCGATTAGAATTGATTAGATAAACAACTATAAAAAAATAATTAATGACGTTGATTGCTGGATATTTACTCGTTTCGCTGTGTCTTGATCATCTGGGAAATCTCGAGACCTCAAAAAAAAACTACCAAACGATCTACCGAAATCAATCGATTCATTGAAATTAAGAAAAAAGAAAAAAAACTCGTCAATGCAATCCGGGTTCAACGTCTCTGTATTACATATTTATTTATTTTTTCGACTAACTGATTGTGAAAGTCTTACCGAAGTTGTAATGGGAATAGAGGAGTTCCGGCGGCGTCTTGTCGTCCAGATCGGCACTGTTGATGCCCAGCGGGTCCAACTTGGCAATGTGATGCCCACGAATCTACAAAATCCGTCACCCCATAACAACAACATCCCAAAAAAAACAACCCTCCTCCAACATCATCAATAAATAATAAACATAACATTTTTCAATGAAAAGAAAAAACATAAAATAAAAATAATTCAGTCACTTGCCTGTTGTTTACATAATAATAAACCTGGAGTGAAAAATATATTCATGGTTAGTAGTTTAAAGCCGCTTCCTACATCACGAAATATCGATTGAAAACGATATTTTGCCAAGAGAAAAGGCGTTACAAAACTAAGATCTAAGTAAAAGCAAATTGTGCGTGCATTAAGTTATTAGTACTACTCATTTAGAATGGGAGTTAGTTAAGCAATGAAGTATACAATACCAAAGAGATACGTCGAAGCTAGTTTACATAATACGAAGAAACAGGTAAAAATATACACTAGACTAGTAAAGCGAGAACAAATTGAAAAAAGCGAATTTTCCGAGAAAGGTTGGTACGAAAAGTTGAAACTGTTTCAAACTAAGTGCTTGGGGGAATGTATCAAATTTTCAGAAACTAAATATAATTAAAATTGCTCGGGGCGGGAGAATCGCCCCAAATTTGTTTTTGGACAGAAACACAAAAAAAACACACAGTTCCGGTTCCTTGTGGAGCGAGAATATGAAATTGAACTTGGGGGGTGAAAATATATAGAGAGTAGGCATAGTTTTGCAATTCTGTAAATTGCGTTCAAAATTATGTGAGTGAGAAATATATATATAGAGAGAGAGACGGAACGGAATACAAACTTAGAGAGTATTGACGGGTGATCTTGTCCGGGGGGCTTCCATGGCGATCGGAAAACGTGGTCGACCTGTCCGTGTACATAATACCGAGAGGGTCGAGTTGCGCAACCAAGTGACCACGTGCCTGCCATCAATCACAACAACATCACAGATGAAAGTATAAATATAAACAGGAAAGAAAAAAATAATAATAATAGTAATTTAAAAAAAAAACATGCACTCGACGGAAATTCCCTAAAATCTCTAACTAAACAAACACATTGATTAAATTTAGGGGAGATATTCATAATCATCATCGACTGCAGAAAAAAAAATAAGTAAATAATGGTTTTGCGTGCATGCAAATCTAAAAAAATGAACGATTTGTGCACCAAAATAATCATTATGAATAAGGAAGATTTGGAAATTAAAAAAAACAACATGAATCAGCCCCTGAAAATACAATATTTATAAACTGTGAAAAAAAAATGAATTCATGCTGCTTGATCCGCATACAAACCATTTGCACAAAAAAAAATGATCTTCCTACTCGAATTGTCCACTCTCATTTTTAATAATTAATGACGCACAAAACCAATTAAATTCAATTGAATTCGAGCATTAATTGCAACGCGTTCACATGAAAAATTAACCGGTTTTGTACTTGTAAATCGAGATCTCGATAAACAAAAAAAAATCTTAAAACTTGATCAAATTAGTAAATGCTTTGTATGCGGCGCGATGAAAAAATAGTAAAGAAAAACTAAAAATAATAAATAAATAACCGTAACTGTTCAAGCTCAATTACGTCTCTAGTGCACATGCCTCCATGGATTATTATTAATTCCCATATATATTAAATCGAAGGAGTATAGGTAAAACAATAGAATAATAACTATGTATGCAATTCAACATAATCATTATAACCCGTCGATTCGTCCGAAACGAAAAATTGGCGATCGCATTAACGGATTTTTGAGATTCTGCGGACCTCTTGCAACGACGCGATACAATGTAGTAAGGTAACTTGCAACCAGCCATAGACTCAACCAATTTGATTTACACAAGTACAAGTATCTTACCACATTTAACAAATACTTGACAAGTATCGCGTTAAATTCGTTAATTCAAATATATTTTATTTTTACTAAAATAAATACACACTTTGAACGGCACACGCCGTGAGCGACGTAATCTGCTGTAAAATAGGAGGAATTTAGAATTCCTGTTAATAATATAGTTAATCAAATTTCACCGGTATTGCAATCGCCAAAAGCCAAAATAAATATATTAATAATAAATTTATAAAACCATGGTAATAATAGTATTAATAACAGTAAAACCAATAATAATAAAAATGACAACATATTGGCTTTTGTACAAAACTATTTTTGTTGGAGACATTTGGAAGCACGCAATTCCCATCCATTATGACCGTGTATGGAGGCGGCGTGTCACGTGGTAGAAACCTTCGTGTTTTTTTTTATTTCTTATTATTACTTAAATTTAGAGCCAATTAGAGCCGCGCGTGGTAGCAGGTGAATTACAATCGCGCGAGTGTTACGCAACGGAGCGAACGAAAGGGAACAATTATCATTGAATTTTGAAGAAAAAATATCACAAAACAAAAATTGAATAATAACACACGAAGACGAAGTAATATGAGTGGGGAGCGGGATTTTAGAGGCTATCGAAATTTTGTCGTTTGTACAAAAAGCTAAAATGTAACGTACATCCTGTTGTTAGTAAAGAATAAAATAAAAATTGATTTATTTTTTGTTTTTGCGGTTTGGCACTCTCGTCCGTTATCCATGGATCATACCTGGTAACTCCTGATGATGGCTTGCACGGCCAGATGGTCATCGATCGTTTTCTCGGAGATGGCGCCACCAACGGCGCCGCCGCCACCGCCCCCAACGGCCGGGAGGAAGGAGGCAATGCTCATCTCGTTTCTGCCCATTGGGGCGAGACTGGGCGGCGATTGGTAACCAGGACCGCCTTCCTGAGAATTCCTGAAGAACGAATCCCATGACTGAAAAAAAAAAAAAAATAATGAGCAATTTTCACGATCGCATTGTAAAACGCTATTTTATCCGACCAGGACGGTCGTGGATGGCTGCGTTTCGCGAAGAAAGAACACCACCTGAAGTAGCACAAGGTCTGAGTAGTCAATATGCATCATAATTTTAAAAAAAATAAGCAATGCAAATGAAAACCACCTTGAATTTGTACTGAATCAAGAAAAAAAATGTTTTAATATATGAATTCATAATGGAAATTAACTTCTACATAAAACAATCCTAATTGAATCTATATTTACAGAGTAGTTTTCTTAATAATTAGTTACTTTAAGTCTAACTAGTCCAAGAAGATTCCTCAATAAATGTTTACTTAACTATTCCAAATTCAACTAAACAATATTAGCAAAGTTTCAAAACCTTCTAATACTTTTTTTGTTAATTGACATAATGATTATTAATGAGCAATATTCATAATATGAAATTTAGATACAATATTTCAAAACAATTTCTAAAATGTGTATTAATGTAATCTATTAATTGCAATGATTACAAAGTGCAACTAAAAATACATTAACAATATTCAATAAACAGAATCTGGTATTCGCGGTAAACAAATTTTAATGAAACAATCGAAAGGTGACAAATGAATGTCAAAACTAAATTGGGAATGTTATCTCAGTAAATCGAGAATATCGGATCAGATTTTTATCATTTTTTATAATGTTATCATCGTTATATAATTTCATATAAAAGTGCATACGTTTCTATTTTTCGCCTTTCCAACAGGATTAATAACGAGAATGCAATGTTTCTCGAAGGAAAGCGGACAAAAAATAAAATTAAACCATTAAAATAATGACCGATAACAAAGGAAGAAGAAGTTATAACATTATAGTTTCATTCGAGCAAAAGAAAAAAGAAATCCGTACTTCTTGCAATTGTAATACTTGATTTAATGCTTCGTTATACTTTCTAGTAAAACTTCTACTTAAAATTTTTGATGTGAAAGTACATTTAGATGATAATTCAGACTTCAGAGACCTTTAAATTTGCATCTATCACCATGGAAAACGATATAACAAATTCGGTCAATGAGTACGTACGTTCAGTCATGTTAATTGTATTGATCGTAAAGTAAGGTTTTTAACATTAATAGAGTTCAGTTTTGCAATAAAAAAATGCAAATTCAATTCCACGATAATAACAAGAATTGACATTCAAATATGTGAAGTCCTTTCAAGATCACGTTACACGTTTCAATTTTGGCTAGCGAAGCAACATTTTTGGCTTCCCTGTCGATTTGACAAAATGTGCATCCATATTCTATACTAAGTCTAATGTCGTCATAGAAATACGTCATTTCTACATTGCTATGAGAAACAAAACCCCTATATTTCGTTCAATTTTTCCCAACACAATAATCTTGATTTATTTTTGTAAATATTCATTATATGATCAATAAACATCAAATTGTGATAATAATTGCAAGAAATATGACTATAATCGACACAAACTTCTAGTTTTGGCAAAAACAAACTAGAAATTTTGGAAAGCGTTAACACCGTTCAACGCCAGACCTATATTAAGAAACTCAATTGTTTATTCCTGCACATAAGACGCAATTCAACAAGTAAATATCAATTTTCTGCTTTTAAGTTAAATTGAATGGCTTGTACTAAATTGAGACAAATGTAAATACATATGATGATGGTCAATTTAGCCAGCAGGAAACTGCATAAGAAAGCAAAACGCTTACTCAGCAATTGCTAACTTCCTGTCCGAAAATAAATCGAATTCATAACGCAATTCGTTAATCAAGTTTTTATTATCAGAAACCGCTTCAAAAATCTCAATATTAAAATTTTTGGAACGAAAATATCTTTAAATCAAAGTCATCGACATTAAGCTAATAAAACGTAATTTAAATTCTAGATTCTATGCATTGTTTGCACGAAATTCACAATTGTTTTGTTATTCGTTCGAACAACATTATAATAATTGGGAATTTCCCGTATTCAAAAAAAAACTGTAAAAAAACAAATGAATTAATAATGAACTTGAAAACTAGAATCGAATGAATTATGAGACAGCAGATCAATATTTTTCCACGCGCTGAAAATATCGGACAATTTCAATTAAGGAAAATCACCAGAATCAAATCACATTGTACAAACCAAGACAATTAAAAACGATCGCTATGAAAACAGCTGAAATCATTCGGTAAACAATCGAATGAATTGAATTTTCCAATGTTTATTCGATAGATGCGTTCGCATAATTCCATTACCACTGTCATCATCATCATCATTACAGAAATTGTTTTATTTAAATTTAAAATGTTCTTTTGGCACGCGTGACCCTCGCCTCGTGATAACCCAATTTTGTTAAACATTCCGCGCAAAACAAAAACATACAGATACATAATATGCACACGCATATAGTAAACGAAGTTTTCATGTTTTATCTATGTAGGTCAACCGAAAAAGAAAATTTGTTCCATAGATGTTTTTGGATTGAGAAAGGGCGCATCGTCTAAGTTCGAGAAGATTCGCGAGAAGTCACCTTCGATTTCGAAAATAACCCACCTAAGAAAGGGAGAGGGAAACGCCCATCGGATGCGACCAATCCAAAGATCGGAAGCAGAAGAAGAAAAAATGCAATCATATCGCCAATTTTTTTACATCGTAATCTGCCAGAGACGTCGATAAGAACGACTAGACTAAAGTACGCTATTTAATGTACTACACGGACTGCAAAAAAAGGAATCTAATGAAATTTAGATAACGCAATCGGACGATTATAATTCCGATTTACAATGCCTATTCATTCACGTTACGCAACGAGTTTTTATTATTTTTTTTCTGTCTCTATGGAAATTAAACAGTTGCAATTAATTGGAATAAACAAATGACTATACACAAAAACAGCGTTTATCTCTGTATTTTCACTTACGCACTGCACTTTTTATTATTGCGTCTCGCAATGTTTAGATTATTAATATCAACACTTTAATTGAGAGGCAATGTCAGACGGACAAGGCTAACGAACTTCGCAGACTACACAATTTGCATTCCGATACGCTTTTTATACAATTGTTGTATGTTAACTTTTATAATTTTCACAATGTTAATGAACAGTTGCAAACATTTTTCTTTTATTTTTACTAGAAATCAATTAATATATTAATTATCTAGTGGCAATTGTTTATGTATTATAATAAATATTGTATGGGAAAAATAAAACTATATTTTTTTTAAATTGAATTAAAATTTAAGTTATTTGTTGAAACTTACCACATGGACACTGGAGGGATCAGCCAACCATGCATTGTACATATCCTCAACATAGGCGCTGGAGCTGCCATTGAGGAAGGGCTCGGAGGTGACTGGGGTGGTATACACCCTGAGCTGTTGGCCAGCACATGCCACTGGTGCAGTTGACTTCTTGGTCAGCAGCCATGCCCCCATGCGCTGTCCCTGAGGCCCAGTCAGGGTCTTGTATATCGTGTGGGCCCTATGCATATCTAAACAGGAATAAATAAATTAAAAAAAAAAATAATAAGACCTGTCAATCAATTTGCTGTGAAAATCAAATCCAAGCAAGTTAAACTAATCCTTGATTCTCTGGATCAAGTGAGGAGAGGAGAAGAGGCACCAAGAATGTTACCTTAATCCTTTAAACTGCTCAAAATAAACCGATATAAAAGGGACCATAGATAGAGGTCCACTGACATTTGCTTGTATTCACTTCAAAATTTTACCATTCAATTGTTTTCATGTAAACAAAAAATGTATATATAATTAATTTCCGTCATGTTTGCACTTGTGGTTAGTGATTACAATTCTTTTCTTTTTTATATATTTGTTTATTATTGATGGATTTCATTATTACTCCAGTGTTAAGTGTGCATCAGCTGCTTCCACTCAAACGATGAATGGTTTTGCAAAGTGTTACGGCCGAAAACGAATTACGTAAGTTAATGTGAACGAAATTCCGAGAATCTGACGTTTCGTCATGCAATTTTTGGTGGGGAGTAAAAAAAATAAAGAAAGTGCGATTTTTTTTTGGCGGAGAAAGGTAAGGTGCATTTCTTAATCATTGTACGAAATGTTAATTGATTCTAACCTCAAATTAGCCTTGAACTGAAAACTAGGTTAAGTGAAAGAGCGAGAGGGAGGGGCGCGAAAAGAAGTGAATCACTGATGTCTGTTGCTACCAATCAGAGTGCTGGGATTTTCGCGGATCTATTGTGTTTTCCGCCGAATTCGATTATTCTCCTACTGTTACGAAACGGGCGGTTGCTGCGGCGGCGGCTTCGGCGCACGTCACAGGTTCCTCTAAATTTAACCACCACCTAATTTTTTTGGCATCTGTCAGCAGGAATTCGAATCGATGCGAGCGTACTTTCCACCTTTCGATTCGCTCGAAAAGTTTCAAATTCACTTGAAGTTTTCTTTTATTTTTCTTCTAATTTCTTATAGGGAACTTCTTGGAAATTCTCCGCAACAGGAAGCGAAGACGCGGTTGAAGGGGAGTACCGATAAAATCGATCCGGAGAGAGCGGATACGTAGAAATGTATATATTATATAACTGCTGCAGTTACGGACGGATGGCGCGATCGATCGTACAGGACTTCTACTAACCGTCTTCCTATTCTCTAGATTAACTATTTAACTAATTTCCCCCTTGTTTCAGAGATTCAAGGCACAGCACTGAGTATTCCCAAAAAATTCGTCGTCGTTGCCACTGCTAACGTTGTATTACCTTAAGTTCTTGCTCGTCAAGTTACCAAGAGGAGCACCGAAACCGTACTACCAACTCCAACGAACACCTCAAATTCCCTACTATTCCAAATGCGCGCTCGCTCTCTCGCCGTCCCTCACTCTCGCGCTCCCTCACCCATCGATCAAATGTGTGCATACACACACAGACAACACACATTGATGTAAATTTTCTCTCTCTGACGCTTATTTTTTTCTTTCTAGAATACTTAGAGAACACAATCACAAGTTTTGTTTCGTGGATTCCACGAGGAGAAACGAGAAAAGGATGCAAACTATTTACTTAATTACTCAATTCTTATCTGGATCGCGATAATGTCGCTATTTAACTGTATTCAGATAGCAATTCCGTTGCGCAACATAATTCGATTGTTATCGAGCATAGATTATATTCAAATTCGATAAGACTATCAGATTTTATTTTGATCCGCTTATAATTTGTTTAAATATTACTATTATAATTTTGATAAAACGATATGTGATAACTACAGTAATTATTTATCCTTTTATCATTGATGTGGAATCATTAATTTTTAATTCTAGAAATGTAGACAACCCAAGTTTCTTATTGGATGATTTATTTACAATTGAAACACTTAATTTATAACATGATTTTTTATGTCAATGAATGTTCCATAAAAGTATCGGTAACATTCTAACTCTTCTTTTATTACATTCGTATTTAGGCAACCAAACTAGCAGTTGTGTCAACATTATACTTCTTCATAAAGAAATACATCATTTTATATTGAATTCTTCATTTATGAATGAAATAACTCGTGTTATTTTAGTAGATAGTAGTCAATAAAGTAGACAGAAACTAATATTGTTATAGTTCGTTAAGTATGTATTCTAACTTGCCTGTAATATTGACGCTAGTTCAGATCTTAACATGTAAATATATACGCATATAAAAAAGGAAACAAAGTTCAATAGATCCAACATTCCAAGAGAAAAAAAAAACAAAAAAATAAATAAATTTTCCTTATGTATATATAAATAAAACAATCCGCAATAGGAGCAACACTTCGGTATTCGAATAAAATATATAACTATTATTATCCTTCCTAGATGTCCAAGATCGCGGGTCTTGTCTCTTTGGCACATTTCATCACCGAATGCATGAACTTGATGAAGCCAGTATCCTTTGGCTTCTCCAGACCCCTCAGCAGCCTGTTCTTCATCACGGCGATGAATTCGCGATTACTCAACTGTCCGTCCACTAAAAAAAACATACAAAATATTATAAGTTGTAATCTAACAGGCGTTTGGAAATCTTACAGTTCTCATCGAAAATGGTGAAAACAACGTTGATGACGTGATCGCTTAAATCGACGTGGGCGACGGTCTTGGCGACGTGTTTGAGGGTGGCCTGGTCAATGGAAGCACCGGCGATATGGTAGAACGTCAGAGCAGTATCGACGTCGTTGATATTATTCAAGAAGTGGAAGAAGTTTAGATAGTCTTGTTTGGATACTCCTTGTCCATGATCACGGAAACTGGTAAAGTTATCGTTGATCAACTGACAATTAACATTATATTTAATTGATCTCACGCTTTTTTCACTCGTTTCAGCATCTTGACTTTCTTCTTCTGCGGATACCCGGCATATGCTAAGAGCAGCTCCGTGAAGTCGGCTTCGGAGATGTTACCGTTCTCGTTGGGACTTTTCCTCTGGAACTCTAAACTTAAGATCTCCTTCTGCAGTTGCTCCTGAAAGTCTAGGAACTTTTCGATGGTTAACTTCTGCTTGAGAGTAGGCCCGAAGAAGTATGTGGTTAAAGCCGAATTCACACCCTAAAAGAAAAATATTGATTGTAGTTTTTGTAAATAATATCTTTATGTAATTTCGTTTACCTTAAAAGTGTTGCCGGTATTGGCGTGGTCCCTATGCCTAGAGCCGATGCTGGTCTGCTGACGAATCAAAGTTGCCACCTTTTCGAACTCTTTGCAGTCCACATCTCCATCACCGTTCAGATCGAACATCCTGAAAGCTATCTCGAAGTGCCTACGCGATGCTATAAAAAGTACATTTTTTTTTGTATTATTTAAATCAAAATATTAATTAACAACACTCACTGGACAAAACCGTCAGCAGAAAAATGTAATCGGAGAAAGTAATCAGACCGGAACTTCCAAGCTTGTAGAAGATGCTATCCTGGTCCAAGGTCAAATCCAGGCGATCTTGCAACGTCTACATTTACAAAAGCAAATGAATAGCTATTAGTGCAAGACACAAAATGAACATTTAAATAAATAAAACCCAAAAGCGTTATACACCCTACGATTTTCAATTAACAAAGAAAACGCAACAAACCAATCTAACATAAAAACAAAACAATAATTGAATCTATGACATAAAAATTTGCGAAAATACAGAAAGCTTCATCCAATTCAATCAATTACTGATTGATTAGGCGAAATTTGCGCAAACGGCGACTTCACTTTGAAAATCGCAGATAAACAAGTAGCACATCTGCTCAATAAGTTGCCTAAAATATTCAAACAAACGCGATCGCGTTACGCAACTGCTGATTTGTAACACGCGCTCGAATATCGCTGTTATTTAGCACTAGGACGTAACTAACAAACAATTCCAGCTACAAAATCTAGATGAGAGCCAACTAACAATAATAATGTACATGCAATGCGATTGAAATAGACGCAGGAGCTGATGATGTGCTTCGTGCTCGAGATGCAGAAATTTTGCGAAAACGAAACGAAATTGAAATGAATCATTACCTCCTTAAAATGCTGCAAAACACATATTCAAATTCGTCAGTGAATCAAACATATTTACAGAAAATAAAATATTATTATAATTTTTTCTTTTAATAAATTGGTTGGGTAAAATTGTATATGGATATAATATATATAAATAGACACAGCCGAATATTGTGCTCAAGGGGTAAAATAAACTATTAAAAAAAAAACATTCCGCTCAAAAGCTTTTGGAAAGATTTCGTTATGTGCAAGAAAGAAGGGAAAAGTAGAGATACAGAAGAGAATAACAAAAGTAATAAACATTTCCTTCTTTCTTTTTTCCATAAAAATATATATTTTCTGTTTAACTAACGTGAATCGTTTTTTATTTTAAATTACCGTCACATCCGACCTGTAACTAAATAAAATTCATTGGGAACGACTCACCTTTGGATCGTAGCGCTTGTACTGGTCTAAACCTAAACCTAGAAGAAGAAAGACAAACGATTAAATGATTTGCGAGTTTGATAGGTGCGAGCGGTGATTTGTTCTTGCGTTAATCATTGAAGCCAAAAGCGAGGAAAAAGTGAGATGCTAGAAGATGAAGAGAAAACTAACCGTCGGGCTGTTTTTGACCCGGTGTAATGGATCTCAAGAAATCGTCTGGGGTCATGTAAATCTCTGTGTGATCGGCGGATTGAAGGGTGGCGAAATAGCGGAACACTTTGTCGGGGGTCGAGTAATGCCGGATCCGGTTCTCATATTCAATTATCTGGATTAGATCATGCAAGTTAGTACAGCCGAAAACCGAATGTATATGAAAACAATTAGAACGTGGTGATAGAGAGTGAAAAAGACAGTTAGTATATCAGTATTGTTAATAATCTCGCATGATCATATATATGTGATTTAGAGATGCAAGAAACTTGTATGTTTTACCGTCGGGCTGCTTGTTGCCTGGCGTGATGGCCCTAAGAAAATCGTCGGGAGTCATGTAAGTGTCCACCCCATCCGAGTAAGACACTTTAACAGTCGCAAAATATCTGAATATCTTATCTGGAGTGGAATAAGCCCTCATACGATTTTCATACTCTATTATCTAACACATCATGTAATAGAAAATAACATCAAGTTGGTAAGCAGCTCAGAAGCAAACCATAATCACCTTTCGATCCCTGAACCCAATCTTTGGCTTCTTGTGTTTCTTATGGGGCTTCTCCTCCTCCTTGATCTCACCCTCAACACCATCCTCCAAATCATCAATTTGCTCGGGAGTCGCTGGACTCTCAGCCTTGACTGGTGGAAATAGCTTCTTAATCCTAAATAAAAGAAATAAATATTTTTCCATAAAGAATCTTTAAGCCATTTACCAATCAGGATTCCAGCACAGTCCAAAGAAGGTAAACCCCAGGAAGGTGTACCACAATTTCGATACGAAAGCTTCCGGTTCCGACTTATGACCGAAGTTCTTGTAATTCCTCCTCTGCTGATGATTATGGTTCACCACATCTAAACGTGCGACACCACACGCAGGTTTAGCATTGACGACCCATCCCTGCGATGCCACCATCCGCTGCCCCAAAGCCCCCAATTTCAACACTCTGAGGATCATTTTCTCGTTCTCATTTGCTTAGTATTAATTACATAAACAAATAAGAATCGTTCGTCCTACAACACTAATCTGACAGCTGATAAAAGTCCCACTTTTCGGCCATTTTGAATATTTCAACTATTTTGCAAAAAAAAGAAATTATCATTATCAATTACATTTTAAAAGTAATACTAATTATTGATCACTGAAATTACAATTTTAAATTGTGTAGATTAGTTAATTATAATTCATTTAAAATTTAGATGCAATAGTTCAAACATGTAGGGTAGGTCCAATTCAGTAGTTGTAATGATGTGTCAAAGTCTGTATATGTAAACAGATGTAAATAAACAATAAAGCAGTAATTGCTAGTGAAATTGTGCAGTGCACAAGTTAAGTGGAAAACTATGCAAGACGATATGGATTCGGACGGTGGAATTACCGATTCGCCAAAGAAAGGTTAGATTTCTTTTCGTGTAAATTGAATAATATTATTTGATTTTTCAGGACCTACTTTATCTACATCCACCTCAAGTTTTGAAGCGTTGGATCCGCACGATCCCAATTTGAGCCGTCTAGCCACGTCCATGTTCAACAAAACCGCTGATTACTTGTACGGAGAGCTGACAAGTACTTTGGAGGACTACAAGTTGCTAGAGAACATGAATCGAGCAACTATCACTAAGTATTCTGATATGAAACATATAGCTGTGAATATTAATAAAAGCATGGTAGATCTGAATGAGAAGTGTAAGTTTTGTAAGATTCATTTTTAAATTATATTCATTTCACTTGGTAATGTTAATGAGGATAAGGAAAAGAGTTACAAGACAGTATTTATTGTTATCAGGTGATACACTGCAGCCGTACCTGGACCAGATAGAGCAGATTGAGGATAGTGTGCTTAAGCTGGAACAGGCCGCCTACAAGCTGGACGCATACTCCAAGCGGCTGGAGGCAAAGTTCAAGAGTTTGGAAAAGCGCTGAAAATAAAGTTATTTCGTTTTCTTTTTGGTTTTAAAATCCTCCAATTTTTTGGCCAATTTCTCCATGTAGGTGCCCTCCACGCAATCGATGAATTCAGCAACGGCAGGCGCGCACACTATGGTGCAATGCGGATGCCTCATGTAGCAACGAAGCACCTGAAAATTTGCAAATTGTTGATTTTTCGAAATTCCCTATTCCCGATCCTCACTTCATCATTATCGCAAAGATTTTTCGGACGGTTCTTCTTCATTTGTTTGGAAATTGACTTGAAGAGGGCGTTGACGGATTGAACGGTGAGGCCGTACGCAACGCTGTGCGAACGATCGATGCAGCGTAGCCTCTCGAAGCCGTCATGATCGACCATCTCCAGCTCCTTCATCTCGGCAGGCGTCAGCTGCTGGGGTTCGATGCCTGTAATTGGTTGGTTTATTACGAGAGAAGAAGAAAGGGGCGGAGCCGTCGCGGCTTGCGCCTCCAATCCGAACCTTCCGTCATCTTCAACACGACGTCGTCCGAGAACGTGATCACCGTGTGCTGCACCGCCGCGGGGCAATTGTTGCAACTGATTAGGCTGCCCATCGCGAAGAATTTTGATCCAAAACGAAACGAATATATTTACTGCAGATTTTCACATTTGACTGTTTCCTCTCTCTGACATTACCGACTTGTCACCCAAAAACAAATGATACGCAATCATTATGATTCCTCCATCCCAAAGACTATTACATTCATTACAATGTAAAAAACACAACATTAATTGTATGTAATGGAGCCTCGTGTGATTTGCAAATCGATTAAATCTTTACAAATACCGGATCGCGCCGTTGCACGTTTTGATGGAAAGGACGAGGATGCAGGATGCGCTTTTTGATAGTCAATTTTCCGATGAGTCACGCGATGCAAGAGCATCATTTCAATAAATCAATTAATAAAATTCAATTAATGCATGAAATCCTGTTCAACAATAATAAAAACGAGATAATGTATTCGCACGTTTGAAATATGAATACCGACCAAAAAAACCTGATGTTTCGAGATGTAATCTTTCCATTTTACACAAGTCAACACTAGTTTAAGAATTGCTTTGATCTCGTCCGATTCGTAAGATAGCCCAGACACACCGTCTGTGTATCCAATTTCTTAATAAAACTTTTATTTCATTTGGTTGACTTTTATTTAACTTAATTAAATCAATTCAGAGAAACTTATGACAAACTAACCTTAGCTGTGATTTATCTAAGTCAATGTTCATTTAAAAGAATCGTACTAACTATTAGAATTTTATCCATGTTGAGTAAATGTAATCTAACTTATTTCATAATCTATCTTGTAAATAACGACTAATTAGAAAAATAATTAATTTACATTTAGTCGTGTTAGGAACATAAATATAATTAATTGAATGTAATCACGGACGCGGTTAGATAATTTCATGATTGCTTTTTAATTTTCGCCAATTTTTCACAGCATTCTGACTGCAAAACAAACATATCTCGCCACAAGAGTCACGAACTAAGTTCCGTCTATTATCTATTGTTTATTTTTGCGCAAAATAACAAAAATAGAATTGAATAAGATTATAAAAAACGTCAATATTTCGTTAATTGCTAATCAAATTTTATAAAAAAATATATCTTACATATTCTTAAACGAAAAAGTCAGATTAAATATAAGTTAATTCAGTTTTTAATCATCTATATTAAAATTATCCAAAGAATTATTTTTTTGTTTGATTTAGCTTTAGAACTAAAAACATATTTTTTTAATTTACTTAATCCAAAAAGACGTGAAAATCTTAATCCATTTAATTATTTTGTTAAATTTAGAAATATTGATTGAAATTGGATGGAGTATTTGAGATCTTATAGCATATATAATTTTAAACGTTGTTTAATTACGTTATATAAATGTCAATTATTCTATTTGTTAGAATATGTAACCTATTTTGATAATGTCTATCAAATGTCAAATTATAATAATTTTTGTCATTGTTCAATTTCATCCTATATGAAATGCATTTAAGCAAATGAAAACTTAACAAGGATTAAAATCACTTAAAAATCTAATATAACCAACTATTTTAAATTTTGTTCTTACAGCGTAAGATGTAACTAATACTGAGTTGTTTTTGTTGTTGTGTGGATTTGCAAATATTAAGTGGAAAATATGTAATCATTTGATATGCAAACGTCAATTAAAAATAAACATAGACACATCATACTAAAAAAAAATAATATTTTCTAATCTTTTGGGTTGGAATTTGTTGTTGTTTTGAACATTCTTTGATTAAGTTTGTACCAAAACAATTAAACTTATCTGGACGTTTAAACACAAATGTTACTATTAATAATATTTGCACGTGATCCGTGCGTCTGCGAAACACAAATACACGTGCTTCTTCTATTTTTTCTGTTAATCTGAACTCTTAGAAACATAATTCGATGTTTTAAGGTCAAGGGTGGATTTGAAGAAAAAGAAAAAATAATCAAACGACTTTCGCCGAAGAGTTTTTATTGCGAGTTCAATACGCACAGGAAATTGTTTAAAAACATTTTTTTTTTTTTAAACCTCAGAGATTCCACTAATCCTCTCCATATAAAGAACGAGTCGTAAATCTCGATACTTGCGGTGCTTTTTTTTTAGTAAATAAATAAATTAGTTTCGCGTTTCAATTAAATGAGAAATAATTTAGAAGTAGTTTTTTGTTTCGTCAAATGTCTTCCTTCTACTTTTGTCTTCATCTAATTGTCAAGGTTACAATGTTTCATGTGTGCAATGTCAGTCGACTCGGATCCAAATTTATCGCCCATTTCGAACAATTGACGATAAATAACGTTTTGTTAATACGAAAATAATAATGTACAGTATTTATGAATTTATTCCGACAAATGTTTTTCCAGGTACCTCGAAATTTTAAAATTTATTTACTTGTTGCTTCCTTTCGAGAAATAAACTCTTCGTTCGTCAATTTTCATAAATTTTAGCAAATGTATTGTTGTGTCCAACCATTATTATTGTAATTGTTATTATTAGTATAGTGTATTAACGAACTAGAGACATTCAAAGCTTCTCTTAGTCGCATTATTATATAAACATTAGCATAAAGGAATCTCTACCGTGATTCCAGTTCGATACACTTTAATATAAACAAAGGGGACCAAGCGTAAACATTCCCATCGATACTCCTATACCCTTATACCGAATTCAAGATCTTATTATAAACACATAAAGATCGTTACATGTACAATCGTAATCAATCATCTTATTCATATAAACAAATGCGTAGGAATTTGTCCCGGTCTTATAATAAACAAAACCCGAGGCCGATTCCCGTGGGAACGCTTAATAATCAATATATACAAAGCCC